CAACAAACCTGTGCGTATATAATTGTAACAGAATAATATCAGCATACAGATACGAGCATGTGAATTAAAAAATTCCAGAAATATTGTTTTGAGATTGCCTTATACTTCTCTCTCATCTGAAGAAATACTCCACTCATAATTCGTATTAATTAAAAATGTAACTGACAAGCAATTATTCGTTGTATTAGTCAATGAGACCTTCAGCGACCTGAATGATTTCAATGACCCTACTCAATCAAGCACATATTACCACCGAGATTTATATTTACTGACACGTAAAAGAATCACTTTTCAATGCCAAGACTTATATGTGATTCCCTCGTACGGCGCTTTTTTGAACTTCACACGATTGATAAAGCAGAGACCTACTACGACTGGATGACCTGTTTCATCGACGGTCGATATAGTAGATTGTCGATTCACAAACGAAATGGAACTTCACGTGGCTCCACTTTATTCAAATCTTCAAACCTATATCGAATTATGTAATAATTTTGAAATATACTGCATCAAGGTCACATTATCAGATCGAACACAAACAACTGTAAGATTAAATAAATATAACAATTGAAAACTAATACTGTAAAATGAGGTGGTTGGTGAAGCTCCTAAAAATCTATGTCAAAGTGGACCATGGTACAACCGTTCAAGGGTTATGTATAAAAATTTCATGCTTTTGCTATACGTTACCCAGCAACTCTACTGCCTGAAACAGCTAATTGCCTAATGAGACTCTTCAAACGTCTTCAAAACCGCTTCTGAAATCCATTCGTGTTCACTTTATGGCGTTGATAAAGACGATAGGGGGCGTGTTTCCGTTCTTAATGAGTTTCCCCAACAAACCGCTGGTGACGGTCTACTCAATTTCCTCGCTATTATACGTCTTCCTCCCTTGAGAAATAACGGTTTTCTTCCCGGCGAGTGTCGGGGAACGCGTAAAAAGGCTATTGTTATCGCGGAAGCGAGATAAAGTAACTACACTACTGCAAACAAAGAGGATGCTTCTCGGGGTTCTTGTATCCCAGAAATTTCCGGCCTTTAACATGCGTGCACAATATTACGGCTTGACCGTGACACGACGACGTTTAACGGTACTGGGTAGAGTTTTGTACAATTTCGCGGTGATTCTCGGGTCTCAAGCTCGGAGAATTAGTACCTCGAGACGCGTCGATTGTCGTTCCGCCAAAATGACACTGCTGTTTACCTCCAAGAGGGCGCTCAGTGATTTTCTGAGCCTCTATTAGAGAGAGAGAAAATCTAATACATACGCTACCAACTACACATACACGAAATGGAAGTAATCGAGCTGCAGAAGTACGTTACAGTAGAAAAGTATTTACGCGAACTGATAAATGAAGCACCGATTAAAACGTATCCATTCGATCCTGTTTGATGATTCCTTTTGCCCCGATTTCTCTTTAGGTTACTGTAGTAAATATTCTATTAGATAAATGCAGGTGAATATTGCATGTGTTGCCTATTCTTTTTTTGTCGTATGATATCATTTATATTGCTTTTTAATGTCTAACTACGAAAGCAAGAAGACTGTATTAAATAAAATGTTAATAAACTCAGCGTGGTCTCGGATAGAAGTACAAAATGGTGTTGAAAGCTGCCAATAGTGTTTTTACATTTTATTATTGTTACCACTCCAAAAGAGATGCAACTTTGTTTTAATCATTTGTTCGTAGTTCCATAGCGTGAAGTAAATACCATTTATTTCAACGAAGTACACTTTTAATTCATGTATACCGGGGGCCGGTTGCACTTTTATGTAGTATCCTCTCTTTTCTGAAAGCTCCATTGTCAGTATCCAGCCTATTGTCCTTACGCAATCCCTCCCGCAGATTCATTTTTCGCCCCCTGCGAGAACTTCCACCACAAAAGCTGATGTGACTATACGCGCGGCAATTTCATCTCTCTCGGAAAACCGGGGAATTTAATGAAATTCTCTTCAAGAATTTCAAAAATTTGAAAAAAAGTTTTCGAATTATTTTATAAAAGAATGAACAATCTGTTCGAACTTGAATTTCAAGATCAAATATAGAGCTATTACAGCTAACTATTTTACTAAATAATTAAACTATTTTTGTAACAAATCGCCGTTATTTGAACACTGTACAATAAAAATACGAAATATATACAAAATTTGTAAGTAATCCTTATTTCATTTGGAATTTAACCATGAATATTATTAAAACAACAGAGCCCGTACTTGCCTGTGTAGACAAAAAGTTCAACGGCCCATCGAATGAAGGTCTTTTCAACATTTTTATATATCCACGCGACACACGCTGATCCGACAGGACAAGAACCACGTACGAGGGCTCAGCTGGGTTTTTGAACTTCAAACCGAAATAGATCCGACAACCCGTATCTTCTACTACAGATTTCAAACCTTCGTGGAAACGTTCTCTGTTTATCATTCACGTGAGTTTTTAAACGGGAAAACTACGTGGGAGATAAAACCATAATACGTTGTTACGAATGTCTAGGTGGAATCTCCATTCTTCTTGTCGACCCAAACTCCGATACGTAGATCCCACCGAGGTAGAAATTCTTATTACCATACTCTCAATGGACAGAAAACTTTGTTTCACACCACCGCTTATTCTTCCTTTTGTAATGCAAAATAAGAATTCACCCTCATATCTAGTCCACGTCGATAACTTTCATCGGACTCATGTATGCGTCCATAGTACTAAAATGGTTAAGAAAAAGTCATGCGTGATTCTACAACAACAGCACAAAGCAGGAATCTACTTTCCATCGACAGTCACCATTTTCGTTGAGATAAAAGTTTCCATAAAAGCGACAGAAGCACGGTGGGAATCAGTCTCGAAAGTGAAACAGTCTCTGTGAGCAAGATTCAACGGCGAAGCTGAAGTCCACGGGACAAATGAAGAGTCTAGGCGCGATCCTCGAGAGATCCTCTTTCCATAGATGGATCCGAAGGGGTGGGCAGGATAGGAAAAAAGCACCTGACCAGTCTTTACCCGAGGACTCGTCCGCGGCTCCCACTTCCCTCCGAACCCCTCTATCTGCCCGGAATGATCACAATGAGAACACGCTGGGTCCCCGACAACGGGACAGGTTGCGTGTCTGGATCCGAAAAAGGAGAAACGCACAATGGACCACGCGGCAGGGGACCAAAACGAATGATAAAGTGGATACACGCGGGATGCGGAGTCGCGACCAGACTACGAAACGACCGCCTCGCTACCCGCCGCACGAATTACCGACTGTTATTAAAGAATCGTTTGTCTAAGATTACTCTTAGAATTTGGCTAGATCAACAGACACAAAGTTCGTAGTTTTATAAAACAAGTTGACGCTGTTTTCGAATTAGCCAAACCACCTCAAATTCAACCACTGTTGTTATATCTAAAAAGTAGAATTACGGGAAAGGCCGAAATAAACAGAAAACCGGAAGACAGAAGTTATTCATAATGACTCGAACGATTCAGCGACTCGGTCTCCTGCTTCAGACCTCGTTTTCACGTTCATTCAACGGCCATACAGGCGCGCAAATAATTTCAAAAAAAGGGTATTGGGGTGGTTTCTATTCAGCCTCCTACACGTTGCTCCCCCCATCGTTGAAAATTCCCAGGGGCAAGAAAGCAGCTGGCGAGACTCGAGGGAAAGGTCGAGGGTATGGGTTACCGGAGGCTTCCAGGCACCTGCTCGACTCTGGAAAACGGTAAGAGCCGATTCCCATTCTCGCCAAATCCCATTTATACACACACGTTGTGTCCGCGCTGTTCTCTCGATAACAGCTCCCTCTTATCGACCCCTTATCGTGGAACGCGAGAATAAAGTTTCTTGGATGCTTTACGAGCGTGACTCACTTCGTTAGACGAAACATGACGAGTGAGATCATTCGTTGCTTATAACGATAACGGGGGTCCCAGACAGAAACCGGAGCGTTGTTCTAGCTCAACCGTATTATTGGCCACGATAACGACGCCGCGAGGCTTCTGCAGCCAACCAGCCTCAATAATAAATTTTACACCGAATAATATCGAATATCCAGATTCAAAACGACCTATTCGACTGATATTCAGGAAAGATATAACAATATATGTACAATAGTCCCCGCTTAATAGATCGGCACTTTTTGGTTCCGAAGGGAACATTATTTTTCGTTACACTCATGAAAATAGTGCGCCATTTACTGTCGATTGAAGGTACCCAAACGCGTGAGCTTACAAAACTCTCCGCTAGGCGGTGTAATAGTGAAATAAAAATTCACTCTTCTATGGGAAGAATGGACCAATAGCTCGAGCCTTAAATTCCTTTTGAATAAATGAAAACAAAGACCTATTCATCTGTAGGTCTTAGGTTAACAGACGCATTTATTCCCCAGGTTAATTAACGTAGAATTGTACCTACCAATTTCTGGGACTGCTTCCACGGGGTGAGCGTCCATGTGTTATCCGCGTGCATACTAGTGATGGCAATACATTTGAATTGCATCGATATTTGGATACTCAGAATATCGATACACATGCATACCGGGAATAAAATATCGATATTATCGGTGTCGATACTTGCAATTAGATTAGAAGCAATATCATTCAAAAATGAAAATAAATCGTTTATTTAAGCAGATATGTACTAAGGCGAATTCTCAAGTATAAGTGTGGAAAAGAAATCGACCAATCGCAAACGTTATGGGAAGCTCACGATTGGTCCGTTTCCTTACGACCTGTCACGCTAAACCAGCTGTACGAAATCGCAATTCTTAGAACACCTACCTGCCACTATAGGTGCGTCAATTAAACGGCCACTATTGTACAATGTTTCGTCCACAATAAATAATATTTATTTTGAATTTGGAAAGAGCGCAATGCATGTACGGAACGCGGAATATCGATATCCGCATACATCTCTATACACCCCGCGGAATATGCTTTCTCTCTCGTATCTGGCTATTCGTCAGGGGAAACAAACGAGGTCGCGAATAAAACGGTCTGGAGAAAATGGGGCAATTGACTCACTTGTATTTCGAGCAGCAGGTCCGCCTTTTTTCGCCTTATGTCTATCAGGATCTTCTGCTGCTCGGGCGTCAATTCTGCAATACAGACACAATATGCCGTTGTTAATATCGAGGTATTTGAATGTCGTTTGCGAAGCAAAAATTTTTCTAGCTTCTATAAAATCGATTGGATTCGTTCCCCCCCCCCCCCTCCCAACGTCATGCCATCTTTCCATTCAGATGACATCACAAGCTAACCTCGTTGCAACTTACCCGAATTATTATCATAACACGTCTTTACTACAGGATGATGCACACAATTGGCAGAAAAGCTTATTGAGATTGTAAATAGAACGCATTGCTGAGAAACGACGATTCTCCTATGATATGTTATAAACGAATAATTATGCATTCCATTAAATTATTATTAATCCATTTTAGAGCAAAATCCATCGAAACTTTCGTATCGACCCAATAATTATATTCGGAAAATCGGGGGTAACTTACAAAACGCCCATTCTTCGATTTTATCAATTTCGCGAAACGGAAGCAAACCGAGCGAACGTTAATGATCGATAATTAATCGTGAACTTGATTTATCGTAGGCCGGACCTCTCGAAAGACCATTCGGGCAAACGATAGCGCCGAGAGACTCGATGCAAGCCCGGGCGCGGGAGAAGGCCCCTCATTAGGAGCAATTTAGCGAAAGATCTAAAAATAGGTCTTTCGAATTAAGGCTGGAGGTCGCGATAGACGCGCCGAATAAACGTAAATGGATTAAAGCCCGACAGGGGAGGGACAAGTGACGGAATGGGACAGATTTTGATTATAAACACCTTGAACCGATTTCTGTAGATGCTGTTTGGCGCCAGATATGTGTGTACTTCACGGGTTATTAATTGCACGAGAGGCTGCTGCTGGTGTAATTTGAGACAAGGGATCCGTAGTGCCGAAATATGATTCTTGCCGCTCGCAAGATAAATTGCACAGTTACGAGCGGCACGAATCATTCAAGCTATATGTAGCCTTACGAGCGAACTAGCCTTTGGCTAGGGGAAAAAATGGCGTAGAAGCCAAGTTTGCACATCAGTGTATGTATATTGTGGTTCGTGATTTCGGTCGACTGCAGCCGGACTGGTTAAAGCTTGATTTATTCCGCCCGCTCGGACAATCAACAGTACCAGAGGACAATTGAGAGCAAAATCAATGTGTTTCTGTGACCGTGCACAGTAGTGCCTATTAGTGGTTAATGTTTCCTCAGTTATCCTTAAAAGATATATCTTGTATATCGGAATCGATAAGACGTTGAAGTTAAAAAAATTGTGAAGAATATCGGACATTGTTTAAAGTACCAATAGACGATGAAAATAAATTTAAACAAATATCTAGATAAAAAGTTTCGAATAACGAATAAAAAATAAAAAGTTCTTCACCAATTTCAATATTAATTAAACGTGGACATTCTAATTTTTACAATAAAATAACACTTGTCCATGAATGAGTGGACACTTGGCAAACAAGTACTTAATTTCGTTAATTGTTTAAAAATCACGATGACGCACTTAGACACTGCTGCTTTTCACTATGTATTATTCGAATAAAATTGTCCGACAAAACATTCCCAACTAGGATGACGATCGGTTGACGTCTGAACCGCAACGTGACTGAATGAATCCGCTATGGCTGTGTATGTACAAATATTCGCATGCCGATTGCCTATGAATAATGGTCGAGTGATATCGTATGCCGATACCGTTTCGTGTCTGAATAGGTTAGAGTACAAATGAACGCCTTAATACGACGCCCGTTGCGGCATTGCCCCGTGATAATATGCCCGGGTTCTCCGGGCTCGAGCGTAAACATGGAAACACGGGAGGACTGCAATAGGAGGGGAAGAGAGTATAACCGAGAGAGGAAACGATCGTATGTATGTGTATGTACACGTTACATACGCCATTCATAACGCATTCTGCCACCTGCGCTACGTTGTGACGGTAGTACCGTATGATCATCTCCGGGCACGACCTCCGCGCGCGAGGTTATGTAATTCGAACGGGTACGCTAACCTCTTCCTCTACGCGCGAGCCAGGCGGAAAGTCGGCACCTCGGATTAGGCTAGGTTACGTGCCCGAGCGGAACAATTAGAAACTGTTGCTTCGCTCTTGTGCGTCGCGCGTCGAAGGAACGTGTAACGGGGCCGACAGACGTGTGTATGCTTCGTCGATCCTCAAGGGCTCCATAGGGGATGAATTTAAATCGTACCATATATATGTATATCGTTAACTTTTCTGTCATTTCACGAAAAACCAAGTCGAAGCGACAACGACGAACATAAACACAGAGCGGGCAGGTCTCGGCAGCAGGTAGATACATCGGATCGCAAAAATAACAGTACTATCGGGTTTCTAAAAGAAACCGATCAAATACCCGCGTTAGAAGCTTAAAAAAAAACAACTTCTACGTCCACGTAACCGAGTGAATCACGTGATACTTTACGCGAATGTAAACAGACAAGATAATGCGTCTCATTGAGCTTCAATCGCGATAAACACTTTTCCATCCGCACTACTACGTTGTAATATCAATTCTTGTGTGAATCAAGGTTCGATCGCTCGACAGGATGGTTTCGAGCACGCTTCCCCAACGATCCTGAGGGAAACTTATTTTTACGTTGACAGATGCGGGTTTGTGAATGTTCCAAGGATCCCTCAGCGTCGTCGGGAGGATTTGGTCTTTATGCCAGGAAATATGAAGCGGGTACGAATGATAACGATGTTATATAGATCGTACGATTCGCGGCAGGAGAAAGGAGATTTCGTTTTGTTTACGGCGTGTGGTACGATAGAAAAGGAGAAAGAGGCGCGTGCGCTCTGACAGGGAAAACCCAGACTCTTCGCCAGGTCGCTGTACGTTCAGATGGGTATATAGAAAATCGTATGAGTTTTCTTACCCGTTGCGTTGAACTGGTCGACCTGATGACCACCAGAATTCACTCTCGCACCCCCCAGACCGTCCAGATCCTGCCACATTTCCAAAAAACTCGCACTTTCCGGGCACACGCACGCACAGAATCACCCACCTTCACTCGAGCGGCGCCATTTTCACTGTGTACTGACTACTCTCGGCGTAAACGATTCAAGCGCCCCCCCTTGATGTAGAGACCGACCGTGAACTCGCGATGGCACTCCTGTGATGTCCTTTTCATTCGCTTTTATCGACACATAAACTTGCGAAATTGTAAACATGCCCACAGACGAGATATGTATGTACATATAGTATGTATAAATAGACCTAACTTGCAATGTAATTTTCTGTTACATGCTCCAAGGGCTCCAAAACTCCCTTACCATTTCAATGTCAATACCCGACGTTACCGATAAAGCATGAAATCTGAGTATTATTAGCACAAATGAAGTGTTACATATTCCATTCATATTAGTGTATCTACACAAGCGCGCTATACTGGCAACGAAAGATAATTGGGGAATTCACTTTACGTTGTGTCTATCGATAATCATACCCCTTGCTGCAACCTTGATTGCATAGTTGTAAAAAAGATTACAGTATGTCCATCAACGTACGAAATATATTTTGAATACAATAAAAACTTAAAAGAATGTCTCATGTAGTAGAAAGAATTGAACGAGTGATACTCACACATGGAATTAACATCTTTCACTGTAAATAAACTATTAGTAGTACAGTTAAATAATTACATCCACGTAATTACTAGCATATCTAGGCCGTTTGAATGCTTATGTATAAAATGTTCTGTATCACGTAACGGCTGCGCATCATCCTTTGAAACATCCTTTGTAATTATACTTGTGTAATATTACGTTTCCCGGCATTCTAAGCGATTGTTGTCAGTTTTCCAGTCATGTAATAACGAAACCATGGTAATTATTGGTTTAACGTAGGGTGCGACCGTCACTTTGAAGAGATTGCATGTCCGAACTAAATGAAAATTGCACGGACGTAGGAAACAATAATTCTACAAACTGACGACAAAGAATGCTTTTCTCGAACTATTACAGACCGCAATAAAAATTTATTTATCGTTCGTTATTAGAAATTTACTACCGAACAAAGATTGATTAAACATCGAAACATAATCGAGATACACTGGCCCTCAGCTAAACACCGTAATAATACTTTCAACTTTAACCACGCATGCGCCTGTCAGCTGTTCGACCGCGCATCATCGTCGACACACATGCAAGAGGAAGCAGGGGTCGAATCACAGTTCTTGGTTTGCCGGCAAAGGGACATCTCTGCTTGGCAGAAAACGGTCAGTTAATCCTTTTGTCATTGAACGTTCGTCCACAAACATTCGCCGTTCATGTTTCTATGAATGATGGCTACATTAGGCGGTTCGACGCGTCGTCAAGTTCGGGATCACGATGGACGGCGTCTCTTACATTTTCGTGGAATCGTTAGGGATTAGCGTAGCAAAGCGTTCGGACGAAAGCAGTTGTCAAATCGATCGATAATTCGCCAGTGAACAATCATAACGTGCAGAGCTGTAGTAATGATCATCGACGGATGTAATCCAATGTTGGTCCAGCTGTTACATTTGTGCTAACATAACCAGTTTATTCCGGGCAAACCGTCGAAGATGTGGTTACCGATAGAACGATCACTTGGGCGGTCTGCACAGTGATGCCCTTGTTGTGAAGAAATCGAAAGGAATCTTTCCATTTTTAAACATCTTTAAAAATCTAACTATAAACCTTTCTTCGTGGAATTGTAGTTTTTATATGATTTAAGAACATCTCTTAGAAAACCACCTTTGAATTGTTAACATATGGCACTCAACTGCATTGCTCTTGCTGTACAATTACAAAACAATACGAGATAACACTGTATTGGATAATTGATAGTTTCGTGTTTTCTTTAACAAATCATACACAAGTTTATCCATATTTAGGTCGGAGCTTTAAACGTGGTTAACAAGTTTATATCACCTATGCAACGTAACGAGCTTCGCGACTACGAAAGTGAGACGGGGGCGTGTGCGTCGGTAAGAAGCGTACCGCGATTGTTGTGTGACAAATTCGATTCAGTTGCTGTCGCTACCGTGGGGAAATGGCAGTTGGCAGTCTACGGTTTCGTTAGGTTTTACTTCATGAATGGTGCAGATTCTCGACGGTATTAATTTTACAAGTACGCTATATCCCAATCACCAACTATAGCAGGGTGCGTGTGTGTGTATGTGTGCATGACACTTTTTCGTCATTTCCGTTCAATGAACTGCTGATAAAACGTCCTTTGGAGTGGACCGTCTACGGAAACTCTGCTATGGAAATTGCCGCATGTAAAATTCGACATTATTTACGCATAGATCATATGCGCCGGTTAGTAAACAAATTAAGTGTGTTCCTCTCCTCAGTTCTGGGAAAAGCACGAACATAATCTCAGTGGGCGATGCTGTTGTGCGTTTGTATGTGTAATCATTCCTGTAAAAATGATTACAGTTTGCGTTCTATGAAAAGGCTCCCATAGACGATACGATTTATCGTACAAGTTGCACAGGAAGTTGAACCGACTAACAGTGGTTCGATTCCCATATGCTGGGTGGACAAAACTAATTTTCAAATAAACAAAAACTAATTGTTTTAATGTAATCTATAATAACCACATATTATGAATCTTACACATTAAAACCTTAAATTCTTTTTTTGAATGTGTGCAGACTAAGCAAACCATGCTTTAAAGGCAGACAATAAAACGGTAGTTAATCGATTACGTTTCTGTGACACGAAGGGGACCCTGACGCAAACAATATAAACAATGATCCTAAGAGGAATAATAAGAAAAACAAATCCCCACGCATACAATGAATTGTACAAGGCGTACAATCGCTCCACAATTGTTTATCTTTTGTTTAAACGGCTTAAAATTCTTCTGTTTCGTAGACACGATGTGTAAAACGTCTCTGAACTTCTTCTACTAGATTAGATAGTCACGAGGCGACGTGACAAGCTACTTAACATATTTTACGTACTACGTTCTACTTAACGTTCTATGCGTGTTTTTAAAAATTATATTTTCATAAAATACATATGAAAAGGTATACTTAAAAATGGTGTATTGTATATTGTCTTTAAAGTACAATCAATTCCGTTATTTCAAATATTCGAATAACGCGATCAATTCTTGGGATTTATTACTATCGCGTAAAGGTAGGTTTGTAGGGCGAATCGCGCCGAGATGCCAAAAAAGTCCTACAGTATCTTGTACAAAAAGTTTTTTTTCTCTCATTGCCAGTGCCCAGAAGCCTTTGAACATACATCGAGGATTTAGTGTAACACGAAAATAACAAGTAAAATATTTTTATTCGATGGGCAACGCTGTTCTTTCGTATTTTGTGTTTCCTTTTATAATCCCATTAAAAGACCCGTCTCGTTTTCAATTATAGACCGTTCGAGGGAACCGTCTAGAAGATGACCGTTTCCGGGGCAACCTGTTGTGCGCTCGTTAGACCGTTCTGACTGTCGCTGGAGATTCGATCGGGGCCAAGTGCACATTTTCTGGAAAAATGAAAAAACAATTGATTCTCTGTTTCCTCTGCGCTGTCATACTTTTTCTAATCATGATCTCGATCGACAACGATTTCATTCAACGCATCTCGCCAAGCACGAACTCGGACGATTCTAGCGACGTTTCTTGCTACGAGGTACCGAACACGTCGGACGGTCTTCCGGATTTCGATCCGGAGTCAAGTAAGTTTAGATTCTGTGCAGAAGTTGGGCACACTTTTATTCGAGTAATACACAGTGAAAACTTTTGAAACTTTTGTTTCTTTGTGTGTATCTATCTCTTTTCACTTAAAAGCAGCAGTATCTAAAAGAGTCATCCTGATTCTTCGACAATTATTAAGGGGTTGCTTGTTTTCAATTTAAACTATTCCTGTTTATTTATTTGGATATACCTATGCAGCGTTTCCCATGATAAGCGACAGTTGAAATGATGTCTACTTATGTTACAAAAAAATAATAATATATTATTGTAACAGGCGTAAATTCGTCCAATAATACATTCAAATAACAGAAAGAACATATTATAATGAAATTAAACTTAATAATAATTAAGAGTACACCTGAAGGAAAGAAGAAAGAAAACAAGAAAAGAAAAATATATACATACATGTTCACAGTACTATGCTGGTGCAAAGAATGGAAAATGAAAGTTGTCAAGTGTTAATGCAGATATTAGTTCCTTCATATTTTATTGCACCACGTCGAGCGATAGCAAAATTCTACACTTACTGGGTTGGACAGGTATTTATGTATTCGTTCTAAAACTGTCGTCGCGTATCGCGGAATTAAGGCTAGTTACCTACTTCCACGATATAAGTACAACAGAGATAAACTGTGGATTTTTCGTTGTATGTTTAAGGCTCCCACAAACCAACGCGAATATTTTGCGTTGGTTTGTGGGAGCCTATATTATATTCCGCTCGATATCTGAGTGAAGATAGTGTTCACATCGTGTTGCAATAAGTTGGAACAGGGTGTGACTCGATTAACGGAACCACCCAAAAGTTGTCATGTTTTCAACTCGTCACGTCCTTGTTTTCGATCTGTTTACACGCACGCGCGTCCCACAGACTTGTTCATTTCATTCCTACCGTGCGTGGTGCTCTTCGTTGCCAAGCGATCGCACGTAGCGGATTTACAGTTGTGATAATTTAATATGTAATCGATAGAAATAATGGTTACGCTGCGGAGTAATTCATGTCGCGCCTTCAATGGCATCGTGCATACCAATTTATAAGAACATAGTCGCAACACCTACTACACACATTACGACTACCTGTTTCAAGATTCTTTCGCTAATAAGAAAACAGATATTATGTATCATTTTCAATATCGGCGATATCTTCTGCAATTTTTTTTATTATTTTCAATTTATTTAAAGAGAAAGAAGCCCTTTGGTATACACGTGCAAGGCGTCATGTGCTACCTGGATTAATTGAAGTCAGTAAAGAACTTCTCCTTATCTCTGTCGATCTTACGACCACGCGATCTCTTATTGTTTTTTCCTAGAATCCGACAAACCGATAAGGGATAGGAACATATTCTTCCACGAGACATCCTGCTTCGACGACGGCGGTCTCATCTTGAAGGCCCGACAAGCGTGCGCCGTTGAATCCGCGGCCAAAATGAACCCGAACATGAACGTCTACTTATTCTTCGTCTCCCCATCGGGTATCTCGAATCAGTCGAGGGAGATGTTCAATCAGCTACAGACGTATCCGAACATCAGGATCAGGCGTATCTATCCCGAGGAATACGTGAGGAAAACGCCCTTGGAACTGTGGTACAAAAGCGGCGTGCTGAGACGAAGTCTGTGGCCAAGAAGTCACATGTCGGATATACTGAGATATCTGACCCTTTGGAAGTACGGGGGGATATATTTGGACCTGGATGTTGTCGTCGTTACGTAAGGACGTTTTCCATTTCGGTTCATAATTTCTTTTTTTTTGTGTCGCTCCCTCAAGGTGTGGTCGAACGAGGCATATATTTTATTATGCTATTGTAAAAACTAAATGTAGTTCAAGTGATCCACTTTATCGTATGCTGAAATCAGCCAATAAATTTATGAATATGGATCGATTTTTTCAATAGCTCCATTACCTTACTTTTCGCATTCGCATACTTTTTACTATACAAGATAGCCCAACTTTTTTTTACCCAGATGGAAAAATTTCATAAGCATTCAGAGCAATCAGAACACCGTAACTTCTTGAACGTAATTATAAAGGGTTTATCAGAGCATGTACGCTCAAGTTCAAGGATGGCCATTTCGTGGTGATGTACGAGATTCACACGGATATGAATTCTGAACAGATCCCTCGAGCGTTTGGCAAACTTCGCCGGAGCCGAAGACTGGGACGCCGTTGCCGCTGGCGTGATAGGATTCGACACATCTACGCTGGGCCGTCGCGTCGCGGACGCTTGTATTCGGGACTTGAAGACCAACTATCGTGGCGACATTTGGGGTAACAACGGGCCTGGGGTTATCACGAGGACCGTGCAGAAAATTTGTTCCACGAAAAACGTGAGTGCCTTTATTATGTTAACGTTGCTATTGATTTGCCTTCATTCACAACACGTCGTGTAACCCTGGAAGCCTGGATCCATTTTGTCTCATATACGTCGATGGGCGTAGTCAAAAGTGGCTTTTGCCCCATACTACAAGAAAAAAATTGGATATTACCTAATATATTACATAACGTATAAATGGTTCAGAAGAACAATTTAACTGTTTAAAACTGTCTAATGCGTTTTGTCATTCGTTGTAAATTGGACAATTTATTTACTTTTATTACCAGTTATATATAATAATTCCCATTATAATGTGATTGTACATAATGAAACCAAATTTTTCGTACCTTCGGGCAATACACTCTCCCGAAGTATTTGAAAGAAATTAGAATTTTGTAAGTTTCTATTTGTAACAATACTCAACACTTGAATAATGTCTTGTTACGCCGGTAATCTTTTAAATGCGCGTTCATATGTTTGCCACACTATCTACACAAGATACGATAGAACGAACTGTTACATTTTCACAGATACCAACATACATGATAGTAACATGGGCGTACCCAGGTGATCAGGGAGGGGCAAAAATATTAACACATCGATTACCACAGTGAAAATGGCCGTACGTAGCCAGACACACTTTACATTGTTTTTAAAGTCATAAATCGTTGAAAATATATGCGTTTTGTTAATAGAGGATGTTGGTCGTGTTTCAAATTATACTGCAATATTAAATATTACGCAAAAATTTTATAACCTTAGAAAGGGAGTGGGGTTGGGCAAAATCCATTTTTTTCCTTGTAGGGTGGGTCAAAAGCCAGTTTTTTCGTCCAGGGTGAGGGCAAGTGCTCCTCTGCCCCCTTGGCTACGCCCATGGATAGTAATATGTTATTTCGTTAGTTAGAATACGTAGTCATATAGCAACAGTAGGAATGAAAGGGTTAAGAAAATTTTTCTTCGTACATATACTTTCGATTCAGCTCATTTGTATGTAAGCCAGTGAAACGATTAACTAATTGCATAGAACCGAGCTTAATGCTTATATGGTTACGCAAGATAGCAACATGTCTACAATTTATCATCTCACTCTAGCATCTTGCGCGAGCAACGAATGTATGTATCGCGTACAGGAAAAGCTTCAATTACTCTTTAATTAAGTTTTAATAAAGCTTTCCTATTTTTTCCCCCTCGTATTATAGTGCAATTTTCATGGTATTCTTAGGTCAGAGACATGACCACCACCCGCTGCCACGGCTTCAAAGTGTTCCCACCGTCAGCTTTTTACCCGGTGCACTATAAAAAGTGGGAAATGTATTTCGAGACGAAGGACAAGAACACCACCATGAAGATGCTAGAGAAAGCTATGACCATTCACGTGTGGAACAAATTGAGCAGATCGAGACAGATTCGTGTAAACAGCGATGTTCCTTACGCGGTCGTCGCGCGGGAACATTGCCCGAAGGTCTTCAATAATTGCGGGGAGACATTTTAACAGGCGTACACGGTGTGAATCTCAGTGTTACTAAACTGTTTCATATGTACATACATAGTACATTCACTTGCGGAAAGTTAGCGAATCGATCGATACTAAAGAAAACCTTTTGGTATAAATCGAAGAGGATATAAATATGATTAAACGGAAACAGCTGCCTTTGTAAAAATACTTGGAATCTAACGATTCCTTGTGAGGGAAGAGTTTGGAAGAAATTATAGAGCTTACCTAATAGGAAAGTTTAACATTGAATTGATGAACATGGTAAAAGAGATAATAATAAATTATAGAGACTATTATTGCAAAGAGAAAATGCGTTTTAAATTTCATAAAATTATTTTTCTCCTCTAGGGAGGAGGGATGATGCCCTCCCCTGCTTCGCTAACTACGCCCATGATCGTATGGGTGTTTCTGCAGGTACAATTCCAGTACGTATTGAATACTTCTGCAAGTTTGAGAAAATATCATTCGCATCCCATACTGGCAGTATATGTAATTGGAGGATTGGTTGAATACTTCTGTAAATACTTGCGGTAAATGTTTTAGTACAATCTGAATGTCGGTTGAGTACTTATACGAGTCCTAATTGGGTATTCAGTATCATTAATATATCAATGTATTTTTCGTATATTTATAATAACTGTAAGATTAATAAAGATTGCAGGCGGCACATATGATCTCCTTTACTAGTCGTTGCTTCATGTTTCGTCCGAATGTATAGGTAAATTGTTCCCCGTTATTACTGTTTACGGCAAACATGAACTTGGAATAATTATCAGATGTATGCGTAGCTGTGATATTTATCAGGGCACACTACGAGGACTCATTGGAAGTTTATATCATAACACGAATGCATTTATGTAACACATGGCTTGTCAAGAAGGTTAATTTATGTTCGGTAACACTGCACGTAATCGGAATACACGTGTGACCATGCGTACAGGTAAGCTTATAATAGCAAATCTATGACGGATTTTGAAACGTAAAACGCGACTATTATTGCGTTTGTTGATTATGACAATCAACCGTTGAAATCTCATCCGGGGTTCTGCTTTAAAATAATGTGAATAGCACTCTATACATATATTCCTACCACATATGTACATGGTGTGATAAATATGTGTCGGTGAATAGAAAATGTTTTACGAATCCAGAAATCTTCGTGTTCACAGTTTATATTTTCAAGTGGAATAATGTGAATGTGTGTGATGGAACTGCTCACATTGGTACCTTACCTGCTCATGTTCCGAGTTTATGAGACGCTACACAAATGTACATACAATTACAAGAATCTTGTAAACTGTTTTTGAATGTTTTATATGTTTTGTATATTAAAATGGATTTGCGTAAAATTGAATGATATTATTGTATCCAGCTTAAATTCTGTCACTATGTTATACAACGTAACACCAGCGATCCAACCGCATTATTTAACATAGAAAAATGAAGATTCAATCTTGTATTTCTCTTCGGATCATTATGACATACTTTAAGAACCAAGTAAAACTTATTTTTATTTGTACTTAACGCATATTGTACAGTACGTATTTTGCAATTTTTGTTTTCATGAAGATTCATAATTAAAGCATAATTGCTATCTCGATTACTAAATTGCAGGGTTTAAATCGCAAACGAAAGCGACACACAAAAGCATTTTTTATGTATTTAATTTCTAATTTACGTTATCTACGTTTTAAATTTGGACAAATTTATTCCTACATTATTTCATCGGCGGAACTTGTTATCGACTCTCGGTAAATTATTCTTTAAAATCTGTCCTCCATTTCGGTCATCTACTTTCTCATAGTTCATGGCTTAACAACCTTCCAAACTTCTCCAAAATGGGGAAAAAACGCGAAGAATGTATGGAGAGTTATGTACAGCGTAAGAACGCGGCCGAGCTGGAACGTTGATTTTAGTGTGAAACGTTAATAAAAGTGGGAAATCTATAACCGATACTATTACGGTCAACACGATTTCGTGGTAATGCGTGAGTTACATCAACTTTCTTGAGCAGGGGGCGCGATTTATCCGTACACAACACTATTCTTCGGTAAGATAACCTCCCTCCGCTGCGCTGGAAAAGCTTTGAGAATATTGACGAAAGAATGGCGGTCGGATCGACGAAAGTGGTGCAGGTGACGAATATCGCACCTCAGGCGACCAAAGATCAAATGCAAACGCTGTTCGGGTACCTCGGAAAAATAGAGGATATTAGACTTTATCCTACTATAAGGGACGTCGCGGTACCGGTCCAGTCGCGTATTTGTTATATAAAGTTCCATGACCAAGGATGCGTCGCCGTTGCTCAACATATGACAAACACTGTTTTCATTGACCGTGCATTGATCGTGATTCCTTATCAGCATGGAGACATTCCAGATGAACAACGAGCTCTCGAGCTGACCAATAATGGCACTGTTGTCCCAGGTACGCAGTAGTGTCTAATACTGTTTTTAACATTCTGTTTGTTTCAGAATCTACAAGATGCATCAGGATACAGAAAACACTGAAATATCCTAATGGATTTAATAAATCCACTGGAATAATTGATGTGTTCTCTTTGTTATGATCCATTGTGTACATATATATATTTTTATAAAAAATTTGTACTAATACTCCTTCTTTTCTCTTTTGCAGGTCTCTACCCTTCTGAACCCAAGTTACCACCCAATTTTGTGAATGCAATCGAAGGGATTCCTCCGAATCATGTAATCACTACCATAGATCCGAAACTCGAAGCAAATGGTCTGCCACCTTATCCTCACTTACCTGGTCACTTGGATAGCAGACGAATTGAGGAAATTCGAAGAACATTAGTCATCGCTAACTTGGATGCTTCTGTGACCTCAGACAATCTGTTAGACTTCTTCAGTAACAACAATGTAGAAGTGAAGTATCTGCGTATGTGCACTAGGGATTCAGACACCGAACACTACGCTTTAGTGGAATTATCCGAACAGACAGCAGTTGTGTCTGCTTTGCTTTTGAATGGAAAAATGGTGTTGGATAGACCGATTAAAATTTACCATTCGACGCAAGCTATAGCCAAACCAGAGGCGAAGAGCAATGAAGCGGCGCAAAAGGAGATAGAGGAGGCTATGTCGCGAGTAAAAGAAGCTCACAATTTAATTTCAGCCGCGATAGACCCCATGATCGGTATGTTGTCCAAGGATAAACGCAGTCGCAGTGGTTCTCGTAGCCGAAAATCTCGGTCAAGATCAAGAGGACGCAGCAGACGGTCCAGATCACGTAAACGGTCTCATTCGCGTCACAGACGTTCCCGTTCGCGTCATCGACGCAGATCACGATCTCGTTCGAAACGTTCTCGATCCAAAGAACGCCGACGAAAGTCTCCGTCGCGTCGAAGGAGCAATTCCCGTGGTCGACATCGTTCTCATTCTCGATCCCGGCGATCACGTTCTCGTAAATCACGCTCTAGGTCGAAGGACAGGAAGAAGAGATCCCCGCGTCGAAGAAGTCGATCGCGATCGGATAGCAAACGCTCGAAATCCAAGTCCAGACGGTCTAGATCCAAGTCTAAATCCAGGTCCTCCAAATCGAAATACTCCGAGAAGTCCAGAGACAAAGATAAAGATAAAGATAGGAGAAGCAAAGATAAATCGGACAATGGGAAAAAGAGCGATGGAGATAAAGCTGATAAGGAGAGGAGCGAAAAGAAATCAAGCAAAGAAAAGAAATCGGAAAAGGAATCAAAATCCGACGAAAAGAGCAAAAACACGTCCGAGAATAGCGAAAGTAAAGAGAAAACAGAGTCTGAAAATTAAGCCCTGGCGAACCACGGTCTATAAAAGGTTTTCTTTATTAATTTAATGTTGCGACGTATTGCAATGTATTGGTCAATAAAAACCACAGGAATATGAAACTTTCAATTTTTTAAATGTATGTACATACATAAAAAGGCAATTGTATCTTTATGGCTATAATGACGTAAATAATACAAACTTTTTTCAAACTATCACATTCATGCCTTTCGTTTTTTTTGGTACTGCTGGTGGTTTGGAAACCTCATCCTTGCTATGGTTTTCGATAAATGAAGTCGATGGCCTACGAGAACGTTACACGCAAAACAGTCATTACTGTAAAGTCGTTAGCAGGATAGAATGAAACGTAACTTAAGTTACCTGAGCAAGTCGTTTATATACACTGCTTCATCTTCCTCTTCACTTTGGACATTCACTGGTACAGGACAGCGAAAAAGCACTTTTTGCACATTTTGCATACTTGTCCTCCTCTTTAGTACACTCTGGCAAATATGTGATAGAGATATTTAATTTCAGAGATCAACTTTGTACATAATCGTTCTTAATAATATTTGTAACTTACTACACTTTTGCTGGAAGTGCTATTTGATCTATCGGAAACTGCAGTCATTTCCAGTCCCCTGTCGGTTTTTCCTTTGTTTCGCATAATATTTTCTAAGTCGGTACATTCTAAGTAAAATTATAACATTAGTAAATTTTGTACAGCATAATTACCACCTTCTTTTTTAAGTTTTATGAACATTTAATGTACGAATAAAAAAAGTGACCTTGAAGGATTAATTAATACTCACGTATTACACATTCATCGTACTGATTTAAGGGATTTGTTCCCAAAAATGTGGACAATTCATTCGGATGTCGAAGGTCCATGAATATTAATATTGCAGCTATAAATATACATAGCAGACCTAAAGGAGAGCAAGTATTGAAATGTAAAATCGAACCAAGCATGGCCATAGACCTTTTACATGTGAAATAAACGTTTTCCAGTTTTCTATTTACTACCGCAACTAAGAGTCATCCAGAAGTGTCGACCAAAATATAATCGGATCATACCATTCTCGAAAGGTATTATAAGAGGCGTCGGATTATGAATAATACACCATACGATGCAAGTTAGTATTTGCAAGCCACCAGTTGTTCCAATTAAATATGCCGCGTATCGTCCCACGGATTGTAAAAATATATTGGCCAGGATCCATCCGGCGAATGCTATCCTATTTTATAAAATATATTGAGGACATATTAATGCAGTGGATTGATACATATGTATGTATTGATATTGTTTATATATTTGAACATGGCGAATACACAAACCACAGTAGAATGTGACAATACCATCCAGCGGTACGATAGTATCTACCAAATCGAATTCCTTCTCCGTCAATAATGAAATATTCGACAACCCAAAGAATTGGAATTGGTAGACCTTTCCTTTGAGCAGCTCGAAAATTTCTTTGCAAAAGCCCAGCTTAAAATATAAATGCTTCATATGTGTATTTCCTAATATTTTCATATTGCCTCCATCTTATTCGAGCTTTACTTGATTCTTCTAGAAAGGAATACTAATTTTGAGAAGAAATTTTATACCGTCTGGGCCAAATCCAAATTTGCCCTGGTCCCAGGTCCACCAAAATCTTTCATTGTAGTTGATAGTTTCTTTCGCAAGCGATGTTCCCTCTTCTCCCTTACCTGAGATCAGTGTACGAGAGTGTTTACAAATACGTAAGAAATGCTTTTTTTCCATAATTGATTTGTTTAATGATTATTTCATTCGAAGTGTACCTTGCAAAGTGACATTCACCGACCGCAAGCCTATTTTCACGCCAATCGCAGCATCGATCTCGTGCTTATTGCCAGCTCGGTAAGGAGTTCTAGTTTTCACGCTGCTCACCTCCCATTCTTGTCCGAAATTATTCACTACATACAAATTTATTACTGATATTGTGAATTAACAATAACATCAAGATAGTTCACATATTATTCAGTCGTAGATTTTTGTTCTAATTCAATTATATTCGAACACTATGACCTTGAAAATATTTCAATTAAAAACGCGTAGCTGAGTATCCCAGAGTGATATATGAATACAAATTTTTGCATGTTTTTATTGTGTATTATAAAAAAGTATATAAAGTGATTCATACCGATTAACAAACATCCTATTGTTATGCTAAGTACCACTTTCACGCACATATAAATGCTCTGGAGAAATAATGTATTTTTAATTAATTTTCAAACACCATTCGCAGTGGATTGTCAGATACAATTCCATGATTACCTGTTTCTTACGGTAACCAGGTATAACACTCGCATAAGCGATACCTATGACAACAAAAACTGAAATAAAGATCGTTTCCGTTACATCAAGAATCACCGGAGTTTCGTTCGATTGATACCGCGCCGGAAAACCTTCGTTTCTACCAAAATTGAAGAACGCCATTTATTAGAAACTCAAATTTCACAATATGTATTCAGTCAGCATGCAAGTAAGGACACATTTGAATTATTCTTAAATCGAACACCGTTGAATGAATGAATGCCTGCGTGCAACTATGTGGTTTCCTTTTCCGCTTATTCTTAAGTATTTGGCTACGAGTTTCCTGATGATTAACAAGTACCAGGCTCCTTATCTCGATTTCGACATTTTTTCAGTAAAATTAGCACAACCTTTTTGTTCTCTTTCCATTCCTTATTCAATATATTAAATGAAAATCTAAGTTTGGTGTTGCAAGGTGTCGAATACGTAGAAATAAATTATATGAAAATGAAATGTATGATATTAAAACTACTAAAACGTTCCAAAAAATGGCGTTCGTCGGTCTGGCTTCTGTAAAGCTCATATTTGATGGTTCCATAATTTTAAAAGACGCGCCTTGATCTGTCGATGGCAGCATCTAGCGTCGATTGTCCTGAACCTTGTGCGTCATTCTAATTGTTATTTGTTGTTGTTCATGTTCACTGTTCGCTGACTGTAATTCATAGAAGAATCATGCTATTATAAATCCACAGGGTGATCGTGGATGACAGATGAATGAATTTAGTTAGTTTACACGGTTGGTCACAGACAATCACAGGGGAAGTGTGGCACTTAAAGAATAGATTGAAATCATCGTTTAGTTATGTTCACGTAGCACTGAAGAAACCCTTGTACCGAATCTCTTTGTATCTAAGAAAATAACGATAATAGACCAACTAGTAAAGTGCTTGGAAGTGCTTTGTTCGAAGTAGAGACGTTTGGTTTTGTTGATTATCTTCCGTAATTAGTCGCATAAATACAGTTGAGTAAATGGTGAAGATGACACCGCTGGACGAGGGAAAGATAAGGCAAGGTTTAGTGAAGGCATGTACTATATCTTCTCTTCATTTATATTTTTATATATATCATGTATTTAGATTCTGTATGTTATGTACGTGCGACTTTGAACATTTTTGAGATCTAACAGGAATTTTATTTTCCAGTATCAGAATCCAGATACCACCAGAAAACATGTTATCAGTGTTCTAAATCTATATATAGGTCTACAATATGAAGTTGAACCATTTGGTAAATATTGATACGCCTCTCAGTTTACATTATTACAGTTGAAAATAAGATTTGAAAATGTCACAATGCATTTCTTTATTCATGCCAATTATATTGTTTTGGTCCAGTATTCAATGATGGATCACGCAAAGAATTATTCAACTTAAAAGGGACAATACCTGTCTCGTATAAAGGTAATATCAGTCTTTCCATTCAATGAAATTAAATGTTACATTACCACCAGAGACTTATTATTTCTCTGTATAATGTATATAGGTACTTGCTACAACATTCCTGTATGTATATGGCTAATGGATACCCATCCAAACAATGCACCCATGTGCTATGTTAAACCTACAGCTGACATGAGCATTAAAGTCAGCATGTTTGTTGATCATAATGGAAAGATTTATTTACCTTACCTCCATGATTGGGTGCCAGTAAGTAACAAACATAGTAAAAATGGTAGTATTGCACCAGAATGGGAACTTAATTATAAAGCCTTTACCTTCACATTATATGTTGTTTTTTATCATTTGACTGCAAACGTTTATGCAAATTCACATTATTTTCTAAAGTAACATATGGAAACGTATAAAAACGATAATAAAAAATATTATATTTTACATACTGAAATATAGTGGAAAATGTGTAAAATCTGCAGTCTAATTGATTATATGGTATTTTTTTAACATATAGAAACTCATTTTATGTTTAGCATACATCTGATTTACTCAGTCTAATTCAAATAATGATTGTAACTTTTGGGGAGCAACCACCTGTATATACCAAGTTGCGAGAAAACACGCAATCGAGTTCCACCCCGTATCCTGTACAGCGTAAGATAATCTGATTTCTAAATATCTTTGTAATTGTTCAATTTTGTTTTCGCTATTAAAATATGGAAATTTGTGCAGCCTTTATGCCTACGCCCGGAAGTCACGTGCCTGGCTCTAACTTTCCGTACCCACAAAACTCTCAATATTCAGGTGGAAGTAATGTATATCCTCCTTACATGTCTACCTCGTCCTCCGTATTCCCCTATCCAGGTTACGGTTCTTACGGCGGAACCGCTTCAAATTATCCATCGCAAGGCTACTGTTCTTATCCATATCCACCAATAACGCAACCGGTGAGATACGAATTTCTATAAAGAAAAAAATAGTATTTGAATAGTATATTAATCTATATTTTGCAATTCCCAAGTCTGCTGTAGCGCCTGGACTTGATATTGGTGTAGGGGGTACAATAACGGAAGAACATATCAAAGCGTCCTTACTATCAGCCGTAGAAGATAAATTAAGGCGAAGACTCAAGGAGCAATTTTCGCAGCTGCTAGCCGAATTGGAAACGCTACGTCGAACGCAACAGGAACTCACTACTGGATCCACCCATCTGGGTGATATATTCGACAAGTTAAAGAGAGAGAAAGCTGAACTCGAAAAGAATATAACTATACTTCAAGACAAAGAGGCTGAGCTAGAGAAAGAGATCGCCAAACTTTCCGATAACCAGTCAATAGACGTTGACGAAGCTGTTACCACTATTGCACCGCTTTACAAACAGTAAGTAGCATAATTTCGTTTAATAATACGTTCCAGTAGTTAAATTGGTTTGCGACGGTCCTCGGAACATTGGCAACGTAATAATTGTACTCAAGATGGATACCGGGCCAAATATTCTCGTCACATTATTATTTATCCGTTTATAGAATGTTGAACGCATTTGCGGAAGAGGCTGCCACGGAAGATGCAATATACTATCTTGGCGAAGGTTTGCGTTGCGGTATCATCGATTTGGACGCATTTTTGAAACAAATCAGGCAACTTTCTCGCAGACAATTCATGTTGAGGGCACTCATGCAACGCTGTCGCCAAAAAGCGGGACTGGCTGGTTAAATAATTTATTCTTAAGTTTTATAAAGTTGCGCTATTTAATATATTTTATTTTATTACAAATGATGCATACAGTACGAAATATATGAATTCCATGATAAATGAAAGGGATACAAATATATTGGAGAGGCAAAGAAATATCACCGCGCGAGTCCGGAAAGTCTTTCGTATGGATTGTATACTATGCATCAACATATTTTTTGTTTCATATTGTTCACGTTTTGTGATGAAACAAAAAATATTATATACTTATATATATACATATGTAAAAGAACAAATGCAGGTTTAAGTATTGCAAGAGGTATAAACATACTTGTTTAACAGAATTATATTTCTAAACACAATATACTCAGAAATCTGTAAAAAAAAGTCGTACTTTTAAATTGATTCTCTTTTATATTATAATGAAATTATGTACCTCGAGTAGCAATTGTAGATACTAACACATATAAATGCTTATTTACTGTGTGATAATTGTATAGATTAATCACTGCTTTGCACATTTTAGTAAAAATACATTGTTTTTATTCTTATGACGTGGAATTGTTATGTAATTACTTAAATACTATTACATATTGTTCTGAAATGTTTTTCACACTGGTCAAATTCATCTGAAACCAAAAAAAAAAATGGAATGAGTTAACAGTGACAACCCTTTCTAAAAAATTTGTAAATAAATAACATACCTATACGTATATGCCAACCCAAAGAAGCAGAAATAATACACCAAATCCAGAAAATATTGCTGCCACCAAAGAAATTAACAACTCTTTGAACATATCCCTAGTAAATTTTGTGCTAGTGACCTCGTACACAAAGAACCATGCTGTGAAAAATATTCCAATTCCTAATAACACCACTGCTAGTACAGGGAAAATTGCAGGGTTTATAGGAGAGACATATCTCATCATAGAGTCGATTTCCACCTGAACCAAATAGAAGACAATTAATAAATTATGGCTTGTTGATATGTCTATTATTCACATTTCAAGTTATATTCCTTTAAATCTTCAATATTAAGATAATTAGCTATTTTGTTATATTAAACATGTACACACAAAATTCAATTCCTAAGTTATTCGAAGAAGTAAGACTCCATATAGACTGAGTTCATATTTCAATATAGTTGCATAATATTTTTATAAAATTTCAATAAGATTCAGAAAAGCAACAGTTCTCCTTTGCATTGTCACTGTATATAAAAATAATTAGATTACAGGTAATTCATAGGAACAGGTGTTAAATAGAAGTCTTTTCTCTTGATTACATTGAGTTAAAAAGTAAACAAAAAGACTCTTTAAAGTTTCATTATGCTGGACGCATTCATACACTTTACAAATACACAAAATTTGCAATATAATAATAATGTAATTTCAATGCAATTGTTAAACATGCGGAACTTTGATTGAAAAATACCGGGTTGAAAATACAAGGAAAGGTACAATAAATCGTAATGTAAGACACTTAACGGATTCAATGTAAAGGAGAAATAGTAATTATTTATATTATTGAGAAAAACATCGTATTGGAGCAAACACTAAACTCACCATTTTATTAAATAAATATTTTGACGTGGCTTGGTTAAGGGACACGTACAAGGAACTTACATTGACTCAACACGCTATCAGAGCAAATACGTATGCAGCAAACTTCAATACACTTATTACGGTGAACGGAGGAAATACAACTCAACTGCCAATAGTTGAAATACAAATCACTTAAATTTCCATGTCGATAAGTGCTCTCAATGACTTCAGACGTGAATTAAACAAAAAAGAAATCCTTCTTATTATCATTGCAATTTTATTTTAAATCCATCTGTTTATTTTAAATCCATAATTATGAATTAAAATTTTGAAAAAACCCTCGACTTTAATATAATTCTCAAATTCACTCTTGTTGTGTATACCAATTCTCATCTTCATTTTAGTTCAATTGTGACATAATGTGTACAAAATTATAAGTGACAAATATCATTCGTGTTTTGTTTTATAATTCTACAAGGATTAAGAAGGATATAACATTAAAAACGTTCTTACAGCAAAATGTATTTTTTTATGAAAAATATATTGTATCTGGATGGTCTGTTTCGAATGGAAGTTATTATATATATCTCACTCGTCCTTACGTATATAGACATAATTTTGTAACAATTCAGTATTTTAAACCTAACATTCTTCCTAGATTTATTAATAATACATTCAATATACGTTGAGTATTTCGAATTTATCAATTCGAAAATTTTCGAATTGCGATTTCTTCGGTATCGATAGTACCGTTTGTCACGTAGTATGATTCATAACGCGTAACATAGTATAATATTACCAATCTTTACATTCTTTGATACCTACCAGCATTTTTGTACGTACTATAATATTTTCTAAGTATTTTCAACGCGTAAACGTCGTAACGTGTAGTTTTTATCGAGATTTAGGTATAATGAATTAGAATTTCTCTACGGTTATATATACAAACAACCGTTTCATGGTATTAAATTAAACTTGGAGCAACTAAAGTTTATCTTTTATATTCCTTGCTTTTATGAAACCTTTAAAACTTGGTGTTATTCTAAGTTTTATCCTTTATAGGTAACCATGGCAGAGAATTCACTGTCAGAACAATTCTCCTTGAGGTGGAACAATTTTTCTAGCAATTTGACATCTGGCTTCTTGACACATTTTACAGAGAATGATTTAGTTGATGTTACCCTTGCCGTAGAGGGTCATCTGTTACAGGCACACAAGCTTGTGCTTTCAGTATGCAGTCCATATTTTAAAAATATATTCAAGGTACAAAAAACAATGTTGTCCTTTTTAAAATTATTGTTTTAGATATTCATGATAGGGCACACAGGGGATAAGCATTTTTATTATAACAAACAGATTCTCTGAGAGTTTACTAGAATTGATGAGAAAGACAAGTAGTAGACATTAGTATGAAATATTCTAATAATCTAGAAAAGTATTTTTAAACGGGTAGCTTTGTGTCAATAGTTTTTTGTTTTTAATCATTGCATGTTAAGTTGCATCATAAGTCATGGTCACTCAGATAAGAGCTTCTTAGGATCATTTTACAGGAAAACCCTTGCCAGCATCCAGTGATCATACTTAAAGACATGAAGTATACTGACATTGAGTCATTGTTAAAATTTATGTACCAAGGTGAAATAAATATAAAACAAGAGGATTTGTCTACTTTCTTGAAAGTGGCACAAACATTGCAAATTAGAGGATTAGCAACAGACGATACAAGTACCACAAAATTGTTTTCCAATAGTGATGGTCAATTAAAGACGGATTCTAGTGCCCAAAATGTTATTCAGTCGCATTTAAATACAATAACTAAAACCTCAAAAGATGTGGAAATGATAGATAGAAGGAAAAGGTCTCGTGACATAATGAAAAAGAATACAAAAAAGAAAAAACACGATACTTCAACTGTATCGGAGAACATTCATGATTTGTCGAATGAAGAGGTAGACGATGACAACCAGGAAGTTTTATTTTTAATGAATAAAGATCTAAGTGAGTTTGTACACGAGGACGAAGATACGAATATTCCCACTGCAAAGGACAATGATAATAATAAAAAAATGGCCTTGTTTGAACAAACTAATGCACAGACTTCGAGAGAAAATCCTGTGCCACAAGGTATAATTAATACCAGTTAAAGTTTACTCAATATCAAAAGATATTCATGTATCATGGTAATACTTTAATGTTGCAGCTGATGAACCAGTAATTTACCGACTTTCCGCTCGAGGCCGACCGCAACTAGTGCACGAGGGCTATGTCTATAATTTAACGTCTCGTTCAGAAGGTTTAAACAGATCTCATTATCGATGCGCAGAGCAACATCGCGGGTGTAAAGGTAAATGCGCAGTGATCGCGGAGAGATTTATGCCCACAGGTGTACACGATCATAATCATCCACCTGGATATCAATCGGAACATGATTATCGGAAAAAGAAAGGCTTGGATACAGACACTCCTTAATTGAGAATAAGCTCATAAATAACATCCCATCTTGTTATAATTTTATTATGGAAGATGAAATATTCCAAATAGTATAATTACGGTATATAAAAATAGCGTATAGTAAATACTATGCAGTATTTTCAAATTAAACAGTTTTTATTTCTTGTAAAATGGTGAACGTTGAATTTCAGTCAGTTACGGTACTCGTTGCAAGAGTATATTTGGTTTAGTTATAAGTAACTTTCGTATTTTGTTCTTAAATTTATTTTTGCCTAAGGCACTTTAGAATTAACGTTAATCTATTGTTACTGTTATGCATATTCTTTAATACACTTCCGTCGCGCGCACTGGAAGTTACAATTAAATTTAATAGTTTACATTACAAAAAATGCGTAGATGTAATTAATATTTATATAACAAATCAATTTTAACGTGTGAGCTATCGTATTTCAATTTAACTGTGATGCACTTTTTTGAGATTCTAATAGAAAATTAGGAAACGGTATTAAGCACATTCCACTTAGTATTACGTGTAACTTCAGTCAAAGCCAAATGAGAGTATTTAATTTATATTATCTGTTTAATATGCAATAAGTTCGGATTAGTGCAATAATTGTAGTTTGAATGACTGCTCTACTTTTTACCCTAATCCAGTGAACCAGATATTAGAGTCTTGCGTTTTTCAGCTGCCCCAATTTCATTATACTAATCCGAACTTAACTGTACTAATGTCTATATAATAATAATTTTAACTCGTTTTGTATAAGTACACATCGAAACACATGTGTAAACTTGTATGTATGTACATATGTACATATAAAATGTAAACATTCTATTTACACCTTAAGTTCTTGTAAAAATGATTTTTATCTATGTTATCGGGGAAAATAAGAACCGTTATAATATATAAAAATAGTAATTAAATACAAGGAAAAGTAGTATAGATAAACGTTATATATTATAAAATTTATTTTTATATTAATCTGTTCATTATAAAATTTTTTTCTCGAAGACTAAGACCGTTGCCGAAATGAATGTGATAGCATTCATAAATATTCAATTTCTAAGAAATTGATTTTGTAAGTTATATAAAAGTTTGTATAAAGGCAATAGACTTTTTCTTAAGCATGAAAAATTTGTATGAAACAACGCCGGCTGAAACAGAGGCAGTCTCGTTTCGCAATCTTGCTCAAGTCTAACCCGCTCCCGTGAAATCCATAAATATTTATTAAAAATGTATCTGTATTTCTAAAGCGAAATATTAATGTCTTCTAGCCATCCTTTTTTCCAATTTCCGTTGTTTCTTCTCGCTCATCTCAGGTTGTTCAGGAGCAGGAGCAAAGAACCACGGAGCTAATATTTGTTTCCATATTATATGACCACCCCTCAGTGGTGCCTGTAACAATATCATGTTATTATTAAGTTGCAAGAACCGGACCACTTTTCGAATACTACGCCAATGATTCTTGCTACTTGCAACCAATATAGTTTTAACAATGTGAATCATTCGTGAAAATTATACAATACGTCGGAACACGTTCCGTGCTGGTCAATCAGTTTTTATTATCAACATGATACACCGTAATATAGATTAACTGTACTTATTCAATAAATGTATATGCCTTGTTATATGCTGCAATTTGTACGTTGTGTTTTTCGTTAATAAAATTGATATCTGCATGCATAGAAACATCGCGTGATATACGCTATAGATGTACATAGTACGTTCTGCCGTAGATCATTAATAGTCAACGTGGCGTAAACAGAAAGTCACGCGAAAAGGCTTGGGCATAGAACAAGACAATGAATTGTGCTATTTCTAAGGCTTGTAAACACATGAAAATATTAACATGAATTAGTGAAGCAAGAATTGAATTTGTAAACGATATTTTATATTTCTTATACACGCGTAGAGTGCATTGGCATTTATACGATTTTATACAACTTTCACGCGATGAAAAACCCCAATATCAACACATTTTTTTAAGTTTTCATGCTACTGAATGAGATACAGTAAAACAGAACTATTAATAAAGCATAATTTTTATAAATTAGTCTACAGAAATGTGAATTTGCATAAGCATCTGGAAACTATGCATAATTAATCTGCACAAAAAAAGAGTATAAAAAATGAAAAATCCATTCTAAAGACTTTATAATTTATAACAGTATAATATTATTATTTTATATTCAAGTTGTCCCATATATACTTACAAGGAGCCACAACAGCCAAAAATAATTTGATATAAGAGAAAGTACATGTACTCCTGATGTTAATATGATTAGATCCTTCACGTGACTGGAAAAAGACAAAAATGTTATTATACCCAACAAACATAATTTTCTGATGTAATAAAATGTTAAACTATTTTAAAATACTATTAATAGAATTCTGGATATTTACTCTGCTATACCTCCTTCCATGTTAAGATCAATTCCAGAATCCAACAGTTGTCCTGATTCTGAATAAGATGCTTGTGCTATGTATTTCATAAATTGGTAACTACCTATATATATAATTCCAAAAAATATGGATAAAGTCTGTAATTATAAAACATAATAATGTTTAATACAATACAACAACTGGGAGTATCCATATGGCAGTAGTAGCAGTTTCCAAATGAAATACATAACTTACTATTGATAATGTTGTGATATTAGAGAATAACATTGTAACAGTGAAATATATTCCTAATGCACCAACAATCATATTACGATAAAAGCTAAGTGTTGTCTTATTTTCCTCTACAATCTGTTTTGCTCCTTTTGTTGCCGCTTTAGTCTTCTTGGTCTGAGAAAAACATAAATGATACTGTTTAATATTAATATGTTCACAGAAACAACTTGTATAATGAATTACTATTTTTTAATTAAATTTATTAGACAGTATGTAGTATACTGTAAGTCATATGGAAATAATAAGTCATCTAATCAAGGTAGATGAAGAATACTCAAAATGAAAGATATACTTGAATGAATAATATTATACAAAACTTACCGCCATTTTTCGTTTATAAATTACACTGGAATAAATATCTGTGCCTCGAAAGAAATAATATTCAGACAATAATCAATACATGATGCAAACTTAACCTTCTTCTAAGTATTCAAAAACACTTCGGCTCCGTGGAAGCCACGTGAAAGACGTGTGAAAGAAAAGTCTCTAGATTAGCATTTTCCAATTCATGTCTTAAATTGAATACATAAATAACGATAGACACATTCTTCTGTTTCATTCATATTTAAGATTCTAACATCCAATTAACAATTGAAGAACGTGTTAGTTTTTTTAAAAATTGTTTCCGAATTATATTTAATAATAATATGTTTCGTAAATATGATAAGTTAAATATTTAAAAATGTAATTTATTACAGTTTACTTCAGTTTACCGTTTTTTAATCATACAGAAATCTTAAAGTTACAATTAATATCTGTGTAGTAAGTTACTCAAATTATCGCGGGTTTCAACATCGGAAGCAAATTTTTTCTAATTCTTTTTCTGGGATTCCCAGTTTTTGTTCATTAATAGAAAACGTAAGAATCCTTACAGATATTTTTATATTTGCAAATTAATAGTAATTACTAAGAACTTTTTGTATCCTTCATCCTAAAGTGCAACCATGTATGTCATTTTACAACGTGTTATTGACTATACTTTAGAACTTTTAAAATCGGTAAAATTCGGATTTTTTTATCCAGTCATACAACATATATATTTTTAACTTTTTACTTGTATTTTAAAAACTCTTACAAATTCTAAGGAAAAATAATCATTCATCAATATATAGATGCACTTAATATTAAAACTGCAATATATATGAGTTTACATACTCCCTATTTTTAATTTCATGTCAGACGTTGTTGTTATATATTACAAACGTTTATGGGTCATAGAAAGTAATACGTAGTCAATTGGACAAGTATAAAACTGGTTTTACTGCTACTATATCGCTCGATTGCGGATGTTTATGCATTTATAGTATACGTCAACTTAATCAAATTTTTGTTTAAAAAGCACGATCAAATAAAAATTATATTCAAATTTAATACTCTTTTATACATGTCTGCGTTATCTCTGTCCTTTTAATTCAATTTATAAAAGTGTGAGTTTGAATAAATATCCGCCGGCTTGTTTATCATGTATAAACGTACACGATTTGAGAAGTACCAAAGTTGTATCGTGCTGTACTACCTTACTGTCTTGCATAATTTTTATTAAAATGAATTATTTAAATACTATGCTAGTTCTCAATTGCACGCAAAAGATTGAAAACTGTTTAAATTTCATTTTTCGGTTAAAAAGGAATTCTATTTTTCCATTATAAGCTCTAAATATCAGTAGGTATCCATTTAAAATAGTCGCGTTTCTGTACATCTCGAGGCCTAATGTAAAGATCCCTATCGTCTGCGTTTGCTACCGTTTAATTTTCTACTAAAATAGGTTATGTCGCAATACGTATGTGGAATTCAATGTGACAAAATACCGTAATAATTTCCACGATTTCTTAAATAAAAATAATTGATTGATGCCAGAGATGAAATAATAAAAATGAGTGACGCCTTAACAGTAAAATGAGCCAAAGCGAATCTTATCGAAACGATAAACCGAAATGTCCGATTCTGTACTTATTTCAAGTAAAAGAACTTCGCTTCTTTTGAGTTCATTGGCCATTTAAGTAATTGACAGGCAAATTAAACAAGTCCCGATAATAAAACAGAAATAACGCGATAGATTATCAAAGAGATATAATTAGTGTCGATCAAAGATAAGAATCCTCGGTTCTATTGAACGTTACCACCGGTTTTAAATGCTCATCTTCTAATCGATAATGATAATCGTCGAATCTAATACGTCGTACTAGTTTTGTTTCAACATTCTTCGAAGAACATTGTGCATTTTTTCTGGTAAATCGGATCGATTTCTTCCAAACAAAACACTGAAAAGTCTAAGAGTTCAATTTTCTCCACTGATACCTCTAAATACTTTCTTTTTTTTTCAATAACATGTAAGACGATCTAGTTTTGTCTTTTTTTGCGTAAAAATCTTTTTATTCCGATAATTAATGGTTTTAAGATAAGTTGATTGGTAGATAAGCATTTTGATCTGCCTAATTATGCTTTGCTAACTTATCAAATAATTAAAGTATTATCTTCTCAAATGATCTCTCATTTTTCTTATCTTTGATTTTAGAGCATGTAATGAAACAAAAATCTATTTTCTATTAAGGATCTTATCAAGATCCAAAAAAAATAAAAATCTTATTCCACTTTAATAAACTTTTAACAATACTAAGTTTTAAACAATCATGTATGTTGTACATATGTACAATTTTTTTGACTACTTATAAATTATTCAGATTTCTGAATAAATGTAACAATTGTATCTTCTATAATTTATTTTGTCCATGTATTTTTTGGCCTACATTTAATATCACTTTTTGTTACAAATACTAGTAGCATCATTTACAATGTAAACATTGATTTTTATAATTGAAATGTATTTCAGGCTTATCATGTTGTGAGCTTATAATGTGATAAAATTAGCATTCTGCTTATTTCTCTTGGGATCATGGATATAATCATGTAGAATTCACCGTGAAGAAAATGACGCCACATTTTGTAGCTTTAACACCTGTACGAAGACGATGTTTGATAATACTCTCTGTAGTCCTTGTACCATGTGCAATTTTAAATCTTTTATCACCATCGGATCTGCACGAAGAAACAATCTTACAAAACAGTATTGCAGAATTGCAAGCTAAATTGGAACACCTGCATGCTAAATATGTTACAAGTCAGGAGGAAATAAATCTGTTATCTCATCAGTTATTACAATTAATAGAGAACAATCATATTTTACCAGATGTTCAATTTCTTCTAAACAATACCACGACAAATGTGACCAATATAAAGTTACCGTCTATTTACAATTTTCTGCCACATTTTTTGAATGATCCCAATAGTTTGCGTCCTGCATTTGTTCAAAGTAAAGGCCGTACAGGAGTTAGTATGGTATTGGGTGTACCGACAGTTAAAAGAGAAGTGCAGAGCTATTTAATGGCAACACTTAAAAACTTGTTGGACCGTATGAATCCTGCAGAAACAGCAGACACTCTGATCATTGTTTTAGTTGCAGAAGTAAGTATTTGCCATGTAACAAGTTACTAAAGGAATTGTTATTAATATTTTCTAACTTTCACAGACAGATTTGGAGTATGTCACCTATGTGGCAAAACAAATTGAAGTTCAGTAAGTTCATTTTTAAAGAGTAACTTAATAGACATTATATGTAATTGTGCCTTATCATTCGAATTTATAATATGTATATATAGTGATATTACATGTAAGGTTTCAAATTCCAACTTTCATACATAACTATATATTTTTTTTTTCAATTGTATTTTAGATTTCCAATCGAGTTCGAAGCTGGTGTGATCGATGTGATATCCCCATCTGCATCCTATTATCCGGATTTATCTAAATTACGCGATACTTTGGGCGACAATCACCAACGTGTAGTTTGGAGGTCAAAACAGAATCTAGATTTTGCATTTTTGATGTCATATGCTCAAACAAAGGGCACATTTTATGTACAGTTAGAGGACGACATTTTAGCTAAAAAGAATTTTATAACAACAATGAAATCTTTTGCATTGCAAAAAATCGCGACCAAAGAGAGTTGGTTTGTTTTGGACTTTTGTCAATTAGGATTTATTGGTACTGTATTACAGATTGATTTCTATAGCCACTATCAAATGCATTTTATGCCTATAATATGTTTATTAATGCAGGAAAATTATTTAAATGCGCGGAACTGCCATGGTTAATCCAATTTTTTTTAATGTTTCACAATGACAAACCAGTTGATTGGTTATTAGATCATCTGGTGTCAACCAAAGTTTGTAGTCTTGACAAAGATAGTGTAAGTACCAAAAAGTAGTATAAACAAGAGTATCATATATAAAAAGAATTGTAGTATGAACATATTAGAAAGAGTAAACTTTTTTTTCTAATATTTAGAAACATTGTAAAATGGCTAAAGCGGAATTGTGGGTTCATTACAAACCCTCTCTTTTTCAACACATAGGAACACATTCCTCCTTAAAGGGGAAAGTACAGAAGTTAAAGGTAATTATTAAAAAGGAATTCAATGTTGCTTTGATTTTTATGTGTGTATACTTTATAAAAACTGTCTTGCATTTAGGATAAACAATTCGGCAAGATAACACTGTATTACGCGCACGAGAATCCAGAAGCAATAGTCGAAACACAAATTAAACCTTATAAACAGTATACATTGCAAAAGGCTTACAAAGGAGAATCATTCTTTTGGGGTCTTTTACCTCAACCAGGGGACCATTTGAAATTCAAATTTTCGCATCCTATTTTTATTAAAAGGTATTTCTTCATAAAATATCCTGCAGGGTAAACACTGAGTAACTCTCGGAAAGAGGATGAATTTTATACAACTGTTTATACAACAAACTCACAGAATTATCATAAGTATATTATATGTACAGGTACTTATTTAGAAGTGGAAATCCTGAACATCCATCTGATAGATTTTACAACACGACGGTGGAAGTTTTAACGGAGATGTCTGCATCTCTAAATAGAAATAGTAACGATGTTACTGAAGACGGTTATATTATTATAGGTAGAGCGTATATTATGATAGACCATCAACTCATATTATAAACTATATTCAATCATCGAATTATATTTTAAATCTTGTTCCTTTAATCAGGAAAATTCGATGCTCTTGGTGTTGCTCAAGGAACAGTCGATTCAAAATTTGGAAGGATATTGATACTTCGTCTGACTGTTCACAGTGAAAGCGAAAATTGGGCAATTTTGTCCGAGGTAACATTAGTTCGTACCGAACATTTGTAAACAGTGTTAAAAAAAAAGTGTCGGTATGCCGAATAATTTAAATATGCAACTGATTTATATTTTTCATGTTTCGCAGATTCATATTGTCGAAGATCATCCCAGTTGACCTTCGGAAAGAATATTCCGAAATTTTTTTCGGCACCATTTGCAGGGAAAGTACATGTAACAAATTAACGACTAATGTATTTTTAGTTTAATGTTTGTGTCATTATATGTCGAATAGGTTTTTAATTAAAAAAAAAGAAATAATCTGTTTAATGCCGTCCAGCGGAAGGAAATTGCTTAAACATCGTTTTAGCGAAAATGGCGTTCATCTTTTGTGATGAATTTGTAAATGCATTTGATTCTTAAAGAAATCGATATTACGCTATTTGTATTATATTATAATACGGGGCGACATGGTGTCCCAGTCTTTTTATTATCAAAATTTTATTCCATTTTCTAACGTTATTTAAATTTTCGACCACTTTTACCACCTCTAATCGAAACAGTACCTGCGTAGTCAATATGTATTATTTCGTTCGTTAAGGATCAAATTAAAATAGTAATTGTACGTATCTCTTGTAAATTAGCGTGTGCAAAAGAGCGAAACACTTTTTGTGATGTAAAGCACAATGTCATTAATATTAAAGAGAGTGCAGCATACTTAACATCGCGATACAATTAAGTGCCAGAGTATTTTAAGAGATCGGTCGACAAAAAAGTCGAACGATTTATCTTCTCATAAAATGAAAGGACAAACAAGAATATACGTATTTATAATATGTGTAATTATGTGCAATCTATATAGTTTCTGTAATATATTATTAAATGTTTAATCACAAAGATCTAGATGCGGATCTTTGTTAAAGTTTAAGATGAAAACGGTGATATGAAATTTGTATTGTTCTCGTATATGTATTATTTATTTCGTATTGCTTCTTATATATATATATATATATATATACACACAATACATGTATTTTGATATAAAATAAAGTATATTTTTCTGAACAGGAGTATATATATACAGAATATTCATTGCCTTAACAAAGTCTTTTCTGGATTATATTATAAAAAATTATGACATAAAGATGAAGGTAGCCTTATGATGGATGAGTATAACACAATAAATGGGTAATTACACTTATCAGTTCTTCTAATAATAATCGCATATACTGTATCTTTTTTTTTTCCTGAAATTATTCTATTATACTAGTTCTTAAAATTAGTGAAAAATGATTAGAATTAATATTACATCGGCAATGGAATGGCAGTTACGTTCTTAGGGAAACCAATGCTCTAAATGGCTTAGGACTAGCTGTGAATCCATCAGCGAATTCTTCCGATGGTTTCCTCTCCCCAGGCACAGGAGAAAATGTGAACGCTTGTAATAACGCGGTCATTATGATAAATATGTTGCTTCTAGCCATATTTTCACCCATGCAACGGCGTCTCCCTGTCACAGAAGAATGAATAATGAAAATAAGCTTTAACAAGCTTCTTGCTTTTTTCGATACAACTACTGAACGCTATCTGGAGACATAAGCATCTTCATAATATAAATACTATTTTGGGGTAAGTAGTCTTGTAATTACTATTTTGTTTTTTTCTTTTGTATTTTCCAGTTATGTATATGTTTCTGATTTATATTTTATATAAACATGTTTACATTTTTTGCTCTTGTATCCTAATTGGAATTAACTCGTAAATAAATAAACAAATACATTATTACACAAAGTTTCAGTAAAGAAAGATCATTGGACACCCTATTATAGCCGTTTCCGTACAACGGTTCTCACGACGAGCAAACAGAAACATATTTCATCGTTACTTTTGTTTGTAAAGATACGTACCAAGGCCAAACGGGAAGTATTTCTTTGGCGTGGTAATATTCCCCTCTTCGTCGATGAACCTTTCCGGTCGAAAGACTTCAGGATCACCCCAGGATTCGTCCATCAGTATTGTATTGTAATTCCCGACGAGCACAGTGTCCTAAAGCGTGTCGAATTAAGCACGGTCTATCCCGAAGCGGTCGGAAGTTCATCTCACAAAGTGAATTGTTAATTAAATGCTAACCTTCGGTATTCTGTGTCCCAATATGGTGATGTCCTTTACCGCTCTATGGGGTAAATTCAACGTGTGGCCAATGAACATTCTCATCGATTCCAAGATGATAGCGTTAATGTATGTCAGCCTGAAACAGAAAAATTTATTTGTTTTTTTTTTTCAAGGTTTCAAGGTTTTCAAGATTTTTACATCGTGAATTCGGTGATTCGCGCGCAAAAAGCTAATTACTTTGCTCTGTCCTCGATAGTCGGAGGTCGGTTCCGACCGATCACTCGGTCGATTTCATCGTGCGCCTTCTTTTGGACGTCTGGATAGAGGACTAGATAGAGGAAGCAAAACGCAAGTGCTTTGGTTGTGGTCTCGGATCCCGCCACGAAGAGGTCCAAGCATATCGCGAGCAACTGAGATTCTGAAATTGTTATTCGTTCGATGAAGTCTTTCTTAAATTCGAATAAGAATAAAACAGTAAGAGACGCGAGCAATTTACCGGAGAACGTGCTGCTATAGTTTTCCGACTTGAGAACGCTCAAATACACGTCCATCAGGTCCCTGGGCGAGTCTGTCTTGAATGTGTTTTTGTGATTGTCCAATTCGTTCTGTAAGAACGTCAGAGATTTAGTTCTGTCCAACCCAGTCGACACATATTTCACGTGTCGGAAATTTACATTCAGACTCGAACGCATTTGTGCGCATCTCACCTTCAGGAACTTCCAGATTTGCACATGGGCTTCCAGGAAGGACTTGTAACCGGACATTTCCGGGGCGATAAATCTCAGAAACGGAAAATGACCAAACGGTGCACCGAACGTATCCACCTCCATCATCACCTTCGCCAGGATTCGTTGAAGATACGTCAACTCTTCGTCGTCGTTATTGAACCTGAAATGGAGAATTCGAACGCGTTAGAACTGAACCTGGTGGGATGAGCTTGATTCGAACAGTGAATACCAGAAGAATTGTACTGTACTGTATTTATATTGTCGGCTTTTGGAAAAAACGAATTTACGAGGGTCCGAAGCATTTCTCTCTATAAGATTATTGTCCCGACACAGACCCAAGTTCGGGACGATAATCGAGAGGAATCTGTATCGAGCAAGTGATCTTAGTGGCGAACGATTTCCAAACAAAATGGCGGCAGCGAACGTTAATTGCCGAACAAATTGAATTTTTCGCACCGTGGATATCAAGAGCGTTGTTTATAGAATATTCAGGACGGGTAAAACGAAATGAATTGAACGTAGGGAACAACCTTTTACCAGCCATCATACGCCACAGAGCGTTAAGAACCGTAACACCGAACGCGTCGTTCATCGTCATCACCATTCCAGGGTTTGATCCAGCGATCCTTCTCACTTCCGCGTACTCGTTGGCGTTCACATACAGATCCGAGGCTTTCAATGGTTTCTCGTTCTTCGCGTATTGTCCCGTGGTGTTCATCGACACCGATTCGTCCGTTCTATTCCCTTTGCTCAGCTTGGATATCTTTCCGTCTTCGGGCTCGTTATTGTTACAATGTATCCTGGATTCCGACGATTTCAAGTTGAATCTGTTGTTGTATTCGTTGTCGATCAACTTTTTGAAATGTTCGACCAGGCACTGTCCCTCCTCTTCGACCACCGTGGACATGTCTTTGCGACCGTAGCCAAACTCGCGGAGATGTTTCAATACGAATCTTCTCTGCTCGGCCCACAGGTTCCCATCGACGATGGCCAGACCTTGAATCGAGATAACGATTGCTTGAGAAATTATTATATCGATCGCGTATAGCGTATCGAATTTCTTATCGTGCATAAAAAGACACCCGAGGATTTATTGTAAACCCTATACTCACATCCAGTTCGTGTTAGCAGGATGGGATACATTTTACTTAAAATAACATAACGAATACTCACGGTATTATTTTTATTTTGCAAGTAACATAAGAAAACTGATTTTATTTTGTATTTAATTCAAATAAATTGTTATTTAAGTTACGTCACTTAAAGAAACTATAGAGATTAAATAAAAGAAAAATAAATAATTTGACATTAGAGAATTAATAATGCTGAGACGATACAATTGGAGAGTATTTGAGGAATTATTTATTATATGTTATCTTGATGATTATTTTTCAAATAGTTGATTTGGATAATGCCCAAGCCTGCGGTGTAAGTACCTCTCCTCTCGCCGAATGTTCTCATCTCGTAGAAAATACCGGTTGGCCGTCCATCGCAGTCGTCCTCGGTCATCATCGTCCGGATGCTCTCATGATTGTTCAGCACCACGATACGATTCGCGCCGATCTTCAGACCGACCACCGGTCCGTACTTCTCGGACAGAGCGGAACAGGTTTTCATTAAGTAACCCGTTTTCTCCCGAAGACGGGCGACTTCGATCGCCGAGCCTAAAATCGGCCACCATTTCGGACCTGAAACGTTTTACCCGATTCCAAACAGTCACATAATCAACTGGTTTCCTGTGCGTTGATAAGTACATACTCGGCGCGCTTTCGCGGTGCCGATTCGAAAGTTCGAAATAAAATTGTTTGCAAACAGAACACTACTTTCGAGAACACTGGTTCTGAAGACTCATGGTGAGCAATTTTAAGATTAATATGTTTTTTTTTTTTGAAAATTATTTAACACGACTCGGATAATGTGTCTGCTTCATTGGTCGCCTTTTCTACTGATTTGAAGCTTAAAGGGACTTTCTCGAAAACTGAGTAACCTTTTGAGAACAAATTATTTTCCAAACTTTCGTCAAGAATCATCCCCTTGGGGGTTCGACCAATAACAGAGATGATCTTGTATGAAAAGTAGCGTCTAAGGACGTAAGTAAGAGATAGTAAATCGACCGGAAGTACCTGGAGGATATCCTCTTGGCTTTCGTGTTCCTATATAGAATAGTAGCACTAAGGCGAACACCAGTAGAATCACGGGGAGCATGCTGTAAACAAAACGAATGTTGCTTTTTACTTATGTATTTCTTGCTGAATTCTTTTGTATTTGGACAGATTAATCTACAAGATATTGCGAAAATAAATGCCCCATCTCAATGTATTAGATAAAACGGAAAGTTCATGTGTTCTTATTCAAAATAAGAATTGTTTTTACAAAAGGCAAAGTTCCACGAGTATTTTAACGTACCACTGTCGTAAGATTTTTGTGGTACAGATACATCTCACCAAAGACGCACAAACTTTCTGTTCAACCCAATACATTCCCAAGTCAGTTATTTTAATCGACTTCGCATAAGTGTCCTGAACATGATCCTCCATTTGGACCTATTCTTTTTTAACAATTACTCTATCATGAATTGTTCTGAAGTAATTTATCGTCTGCTAGTCGTTTCTTCTTAATCTCGTTTAAGCGCCGAAGAAGAATATTTCGATTATAATAAACGAGAGAAGAACGGTTTCATTCCGATCAATTTGGGAAAGGGGCGCGCGCTGTGTGCACTTGAGAGAGAAAGTAAAAACACGCAGATTCATGAGAGAAAGTTAGACACGGAAGAACAGATCGGACCACTCATTGACATTATATCATAACTTCTTGCGTAATCGAAGCACATTCTGCTGTATTTGTTCTTTTTCGAGAGGACCGGTCCACTCCTTTCCCGCACTTTCCAAATTCGATGAAATCGAGATTTCCAGCTTTAGATAGACACTTTGAAATATCGAATGACATATTTTTCATGTGTGAATAAAATTGTTTATTTTACCCCGTATCTCTAATCGTGTACTCATTGTTTTTCATGTGTTAAAAGTTACACCGTACACCGAGAGTCGAATTAATAAGCAACTTGTATAAAATATTTTTAGGGAAATGAACTATTTATTTGGCATGTTACCCGAAAGTTTGTAATTAATTGAAATGTATATAAGTATGCACTTTGACGAAATATATACACTGTAACTGTCATTTTTATAAGTTTGATTAAATTGGATAATGGGAGGATTAAAATTGTTTAAGTTCACGTGAATATTGTAGGGCCTAAATTGACCTTCCGGTCAATCGCAAGTAGTAAACCTTGAGTCAAACTTACCTTGTCCTCAGGGAAATGCACTCCTTTTAGGTTTAAGCAGAACTAGAAGCGCACCGACCTGCGTACGGCTTTTAAATGCCTCTCTTCGTCACCGTCGGCCTTCTTATTTCACGGACAAAACTTGTTGAATAACACCCGTGAGATGTCACAGAATTTAAGAGGATTGTAGTGCGATCGAAAATCAGCGCGAGTAATATACCGGACATCATGAACATCCTTGTTTTCAATAAAACGTTAATTTACTAAGTTATAAACAATTATAAAAAAAGTAATATTCAAAGATAGAAAATGTCATAAGTTATTAAATGTTGTGTATCTCACCTATCAGTAATGCTTATGTGCTTATTTAAATTTTTTTTCACGATTTAGTAAAATTAGCGTTCTACACCAGTGTAGTTAGTACCAATGACTGATGTTAATTAGCTGCATATCCGACAAAACTTTTGCTTCTATATTTATTTAAAGATACGGAATCAATTTATTTACAGAATAACTGAATTGTTTGTTACTATTTATACGGAAAATAAACTCAGTGATGTGAACTGTAAGACGAGTGAAGAAAATAATATCTTTTTGCGAATAATTAAATTTTTAATTTCATTGCTTTATTTAGGTTCTTTAGTAATTTCATCTGTTGTCTCTTCTTCCCTAATTTCATCTGTTCTTTCATTTTCGGTAATTTCAGCTGTTATTTTTTCCTCGACAATGTCATCTGTTTTCTTTGGCACAAAAGGTAAACGATCTCCCCATCTACTAGACCGTGCACAACGGTACGTATTCCTAAAAATATAACGTGCATTAACGCATTTGAGGACGCTTATAAAATGATACAGTATTACGTTTGAAATTTAGAGAATACAGACTTTCCATGTTTAGCAGTAGTAAAAATATGTTCTTGCAATTCCCCAGAAGCTGTACACGTACGGCATATAGCGTGCCTGGAACGTTTCAACACTTCCCTAACAATTCGTGGCCATTTACAATCATCTTCTGGTCGTTCGCCTACAATGGAATGTTTCCTGAATATTTTCTTGGAAAAGGTTTATTGTGTTGTCCGTTGTTTAAAACTTTATATCTACTTCATACCTTTTTTAAGTATCACATATGAATACCGTTCAGATTTGTATTGAGACTTCTGAGGGATTGGTAACGTCAAATAGCTCAGTTCAAAATTACAAGGAGTATCGTCTGTAGTGTGTCTGGGACAGCTTAAGTCGTGCGGACACTGGAACAATTGTACAATAAGTTTACAGTTAAAGGAAAGTTACGTTAAACAAAGTGTACAGAGTGTTCCGTAACTGAACATATCAAATACTCACAGGTGAGAATACATGCCCCTTGATCTTGTTATACATAAGTATAAATTCCCGAGCTTCATTGATTATCTGTTAGCAGATAATACTTCAATTGAATGGCCAAAATTAATAAATAAACTGTAACAGTATAAAGCTTACATCAAATCCACATTTTGTTCCTTGTTCTACAATAACTAGGTATCGTTCCGTTATTCGCCAAAGTCTCCCGATCACCTCGAGCCGAGATATTTGGTTCGGTAATTCCAACAAAGAATATGCGCTCACTACAATATCATAAGTTCGCTATAACATAAAGTGCGTATATAAAATTTGTACTGAAGCTTCTACTACACATTAATTAATATCCTTACATTTGCAGATACAGGTAAAAATTGTTTGTAGAAAACGTCAGAAATGTTGATTCTAGTATTTGATCTTTTTAGGAGATATTCAGAGAGATCATTCATATCTGGAGAAGCATCAACACAATAATATTCCTTAATGGATTTGGTCCAAAACTGAGATGCTGCCCTAAAAGAAGTTAACACTGTGTTCTTTAGCATATACCTTGCAATAATTAGATACTGAATTTCTACATATTTAGGCATTAATAATGCCTCTAGAAAAAAAGCCATAACACGTATAAACATAAATAATTTAGTGATAATACACTGCAGTTTTACATGTATCTTACCATATAACTGTTCCAACTCCAGAACCAAAATCAAACAGTGTTTTGGGTATAAAATTATCATCTCTGGTTTTAATTTCATTAAAAAGTTTGTACAAAACACTATACTCTGGTACACTTCTGCTAATTAAATATGACAGACTTGTGTATGCATCATAATTAACTGTACGTGAACAAATTTCTTTCAATTTTAACTGCATGTCTCTCCTTTCTGGTGGCATTCGTCGACCATGTAGATGTGCAATTAGTTTTTGTCCACTTTCTCCAATTGCTACTGATGATATACCTTTGTCTAAACACCACACAAAGAATAATAACGTATAATTATGTATAAAATTTGATGTATAAGGTGTCCTAATTAATGTACTCATGCAAGTTTGATTGTTTTCATTGATAAAGAAAAATACAGTAAAAATTAAAAACATATTTTTATTGCCTTATTACCTTGCAAAATTATTTGAATTGTTTTATATAGCCATGGGGGTTGTTCTACTGTTCTGGGCTTAATTATACCTGGATGTTCCCTGTGTTTCAATTCGTTATTTAATATTTGATCATTTACAGAATCCAAGATTTCCATCCTTGGCTTTGTCGAGAACTATTTGAAAAAAGAAAAAACACTGTATGTACTGATTTAGACTTTTAACAATTAACCAATGATATTTTCTATCATTTAATAAATATATTATTTTAGAACGCAACTAAATCGTGAATTATTTTGTATTACTTTATGTAAAAATAATAATAATTAATTAACTACCCATCGTAATTGTCTGCATCTCGCAAATGTTAGTCTCGTTGACATGATTGATAATTTTATTATTCTTTTTCGATTCTTTGTAACAGCGGAAATTTCATAGAAATTCCCATTTATTATAAAAAATATCAATGAAATAATTTGTAAATTTCAATAAGTAGAACTGAAATATAATCACAAAGAAATTAGAAATTTGCATAACGACGTTGTGAATAGGACGTGGTGTTCATAACCATTCATAACCTGAATGAATATCTGTATACACGCAGATACCTATCGTAAATAATTCAATTCGTTTTCTCAAAATAACTCAGTATGATTCCTGTTGACGAACCATTCGTTTCAACGCTTGTATTTTACTGTGTCTATTGAAACACAACCGCTAGGATTATCAAGTGATCCCATTGACGAAAGAAAATGAAATTCGCGGAGCACTTAAGTGCTCATATCACACCAGAATGGAGAAAACAATATATAAATTACGAGGTAAAATGAAAAATTCGAGTTTAAGGTATCATTAGAATATAAATTTTTCTATTTATCTTTTATGTCATATCACTTTCTCCAATGCCATGTAACCATAAATTTTTTTTCTAATCACTTTTATTTTCATCCTTGTACCTTGCATTTCTTGTGTAAAATTCAAGGCTTTTGCTGTCAAAATATGTCATTAAGTTTTATGCCAATATTTATACATGACAAAGTTCTCTTGTTGGGATAAATGGGCAAAGTGCAATGCATATAGATTCTGAGTCTTGTTTGTAGTCAGTGGTAAACATTTTAGCAGATTGTATTTTACCATGTGTATTATGTATCAACTTACCATATTGCTGAAATGAAATCTTAAAAAAGTTTCAAGTGTTCTTAAAAAAAACCTGTATATTAAGGCAATAATAATACTGTTACATAGGAAATGAAAGCATTAATCTATGCAGCTGTAGAGCAGGCACCATCAGCAGACACAACAGAGTCACATGTATTAGAACGTTATTTTAATAAGTTTGATGAAAAGTTCTTTCATTACTGTGACAAGGAGTTAGCAAAAATCAATACATTTTATTCAGGTGAGTTACATTGCATATGTTATTAGATCTGAACATTTATTAATAGATTTTCTGTATTTTTTTAGAAAAGTTGGCAGAAGCTACACGCAGATTTGCATCTCTGAACAATGAATTAAGTGAAATTTTATCAGTTTCTGAAGACAAACAAGGAAACCGCAAATCCAGATACCGTAACAATATCTTACATAAGAAACCAGTCTCAGCACGCAAGTTGCAGGAATTGAAATTAGCTTTTTCGGAATTTTATCTGTTTCTTATTTTGCTTCAAAACTACCAGAATCTTAATTTCACTGGTTTCAGAAAAATATTGAAGAAACACGATAAAGTATGTTCAGAGAGACGGTGTGCACCTATAGGGTAGATCGTATAATTTGAGTTTTTCAAAAACATATTGCTTCAGCTTTTAAATATAGATCTTGGAGCAAAATGGAGGGCAGAGCATGTAGACACAGCCTTGTTTCATACCCACAAGGATATAGACAGACTAATCGCGGAAACGGAAGCATTGGTCACCCGGGATTTAGAGCAGGGTGATAGACAGCGTGCCATGAAACGTTTAAGAGTCCCTCCACTTGGAGAACAACTGTCTCCATGGATTACGTTTAAAGTTGGAATCTTTTCTGGGGCTTTCATTGTACTTTTCATAGCAGTAATACTTTCAGGTGCACAATCGGTTGTTATAAAAATTTCATAACAGAAATTTAAGGTATTTTCGAAAGTTTTATTGTCCTGTATATTTTTATAGGTGCACGATATAAAGATAATAATAATTGGCGAGTTTTATGTAGATTGTATCGTGGGCCACTACTTATGATTCAATTTTTCTTCCTTATGGGTATAAATGTCTATGGGTGGAGGTCTTCCGGTGTAAATCACGTTTTAATATTCGAACTTGATCCTAGAAATCATTTATCGGAACAGGTTGTCTATGATCGTTAATATTAAATAAGTGTATTAATTATAACTTTAGCATTGTTAATTATGTGCTAATAAACACTATGTTTCCAGCACATAATTGAAATGGCAAGTGTGTTTGGGCTTGTTTGGTCTTCGTCGGTATTGGGTTTCTTGTATAGCGAAACATTGGGAATACCACCATTTGTTCAACCTGTAAGTTGTTATTTTAAATATGTATAAATTAAGAAAAATTCAAACAAACGCAACTATTCCTTACAGGTTTTACTGTACACGCTGTTGGCTTTATTTTTATTTAATCCAACAAAAACGTTGCGACACGAGGCCAGATTTTGGGCACTTCGGGTTTTGGGTAGAATATTTTGTGCTCCCTTCTTTTATGTTGGATTCGCTGACTTTTGGCTCGCCGATCAGTTAAATTCCCTACATACTGTTTTTTTAGATTTCCAGTATTTTGTTTGCTTTTATGTACAAAATTCTTCGTGGACAAACGTTACAGGTACGTATGAATTATTATAAAAAAACATTACTCTAGAAACTCGATAACATTCATAATTCCATTTATCTTAGATGCAGAAACTTGTATAATGCGTGAACTATCAATGAGACCATTCGTGGCTTGTCTACCAGCTTGGTTTCGTTTCGCGCAATGTTTGCGCCGATACAGGGACACAAAAGAAGGCTTTCCTCATCTTGTAAATGCAGCAAAGTATGCGACCAGTTTTTTCGTTGTAGTTTTCTCATATCTACATTTGACTAACGCTAGTAAGTTGTGGTCTTTATTGCCAGCTGATTCGAGTGTTCGAAAGTTATTCATAATGATATCTTCTTATAGAGTATTATGTAATGTCGACTGAGAATCCTTATTTCTATTTGTGGATAACTGCAAGCATAATGAGTTCTTGTTTCGCTTACACGTGGGACGTAAAGTTGGATTGGGGATTATTCGATAGCAACGCGGGAGAAAACAAATTTCTCAGAGAAGAAATTGTATATTCTTCTCCGGTAAGTTTGTTGTTATAGTAGATAATTGTACACCAAATATTCGACAGTGTATAGCGTTTATCAACTTACATTTAGATTACATTTATATTACTACTAACATATGACTATACAACCGGCTTGGCAGTACCTTCAGTGCTGTTCTCTACTAGTTGTACATACATAAACATTGTTACTTTCTCTATCGAATTCTCATTGTGTGAATTGTGTTGCAGTACTATTATTACTTTGCCATAATTGAGGACTTTATACTCCGTTTTGGCTGGGCTTTTTCTTTATCCTTAACTGAAATGGGATATGTGCATGCAGACTTAATGGTCTCCATAGTTGCACCACTGGAAGTGTTCAGGTAAGTTAGAAGTAAGTTGACACTGTTAGTAACAAATATGTATTTCTTTAAAAGTTATTACTTTGTTTTGTACATAATATCCAACACATATAGGATACGTTTTATTGCACAGTATTATGTAGTGTATCATTACCAATACAGCTTAAAACATATTATCGCTTGCATGTTATCTAAAACCAGTTGGTATTTCAGTCATGCGTGGCAACTCCAAAATATAATGTCTGCTGAGTGAAACTAATATATTTTAATAAACGATATCATGCGAAAAACGAATTTTATTGTTTATTTCATCTTTATTCCTATTACTTATTTTTATGTTATTATTATTTATTCCCTAATATTCTTTCTAAGTCAAACATGTTTTTTATTATTTTTCTATGTCAGTTACACCAATCTTTTTTTGTTCTATTACTGGTGTCTATTTAGCAGATCATTAGTAGTGAAAGATTTACTCTAAGTATACATAACAAACAACATTTAGAGCATATCAAGTCACTTTACTAATCAGTTGATAGAAGGTACATTTGGAATTACTTTCGACTGGAAAATGAACACCTGTACAACGTAGGCAAATTCCGAGCAGTTCGGGATATCTCCATAGGGCCTTCTAGACAACAGGAAGACAGTGAGCCGAAGGTAGCAATGCAACTAATGGATCGTACGAACGACCAAGTTGATGACCTGAAGAAGTTACATGATCGTTGAAATCAATATCTTGTAATTGAGAGTTTTACTCTTACGTCCGTAAACCTTACGAAATATGTACTATATGAAACACTAGACACCTTCATTCATCTGACGCAATTAATCTCGTATTTTTTTCTACATCAAATACTAATCTGCACGTCACGCTGTTTGGCATGTTCCGTTTCCGGTTAATAATATATATAGAATTTGCCTAAAATCAATTGGCCATTTCGATGCAAAGAGTGCCAATGTATATTTTCGTATATTCATAAATTACATTACTTTATTTCCTTCAATAAGAATCTTATTTTCTGAAGAGCAATACAAACACAGTCTTACATTTTTTCCTTTCATTTCTCAACTTTAAAACGAAGGAAGTTAAATTTCTTGGTGGGGGAATAGTTTTTCAGTGGTCTTGACTGGTCAATTGATTTTGATCTGAACTATATATACTATAGCTTAAAGTTTAAAGCGACATTTACATATCTGTAACGGACTGATTAAAGATCGCATGGATCGTAAAGTAATCGGTAATCTTTCTCCAACAGGAGATTTATATGGAACTTTTTCCGTTTGGAAAACGAGCACTTGAATAATTGCGGCAAATTCAGGGCGGTTAGTGTTGTGGAAAAAAGTAAAGCGCAGCGTGCGCTTTCGAGAGGCGAATCTTTAATTTATGACATAGACCCCTAAGTGAAACGTCACTATTTTATTGCTAAGAATTAACCCTTGGCACAAAGAAATTGGATAACCGTTGTTGCTAGTGTTTTTAAGTCTAAATTTATTGTCCGTTAAATGTGAACAATGTATAATACTTGTATGCGAATTGCACAAGTTTGTTGTAAAATATTAATGGCTACGCTTATAATATATTCTTTTGGCGCAATTGCCATTTGAATACTATCAACGTTCATTAATCGCGGGAACAAATATCGAGATTCGTTCTTCGAATGAATTTGAATTGAAAACTATCGTCTTTCAAAGCAAATACAAATTTTTTTTAAACGCACTTCAATATTGACCACTGATTGTATTATGAATAAAGTATTATAATGTTTTTAATGAATTTTTATTACTTTTTCATCCCTTCTGTATTTGTTGGTTATACACCGTAGCGTATCAATGTAAGACAGTATAAAGAAATTATAGGTAAATTATCCTCGCTTACATATGTACTTGTAACGTTTTCAAACAATATCAATAAATATAAATAAGCTGATAAGGCCATCTACGACAAAATGCTCAAGTTACTAGCCAAGTAGTACCATAGACGAGGTATAGGATGGCAGGCAATGCATTTTTCTGTTCGCGCGCGCACGACGATTTTAGAGCTACGGATGTCTCCTTGTCTCGTCTTTCTTTCCGTATATAATAAATATATTAGTCATTGTAAATTAAAAAATATATCGTTTGTTTAAATTGATGGGACAATACATAGATATACGTGTTCGTAATCGCGGGATTCCGGGAACCGAGTGACGTCACGGCGTGCGAGCGTACTCAATTTTACAATATATTTATTATAATATATGCATAAACTCAGTAACACACGGCTTAAATATTATTCAAACTTAGTGTAATTTATCCGTTGCAGACAGTTCCATTTCTGAAACTGGTAGATGTTCCGTACGATCTTCAAAGCTTCGGCTGCATACGATAAATGTGCGTAATACATTGCAGTATCCCTTGGCCACATTCAATCTGTTATTGTTACCTGTAGGTGACGGGTGAGTGGACGGTAGTGAAATGATTGAGTCAACGTGCGCTTGAAACATGGTCTTTATTACTGTTGTTCGTGTAACTTTCGAGTTTGGTTGGTTCTTGCTCGTGCAACTGTAGCATTTTTATTCCTGTGAAATCATATAGATACACGCAATCTGAGTGGAATATATAATACTTCATTTGTGCTAATAGTACTCAGAATTCATACTTTATCGGTAACGTCGGATATTGACACTAAAATGGTAACAGGTACGTAGCCCTATGAATGTGGGACAGAAAAAAGCATTGGATGATAGGTCTATTCTATCCCTAGTCGGTGATTATACATACATACGTGTAGTGCCGTTTTAGCCAGAGAGCTTGTAACAAATTTATCGTTTTGTGGGTGCCAGTCCTATAACTAACCGCCTAGTTCTTCATGGATGTTTACTTGTTTGAACAAACAGCAGAAATAACTGACAAGGAAAAAAGTGGTAATCTCTTAGTTCCAGATCTCCTATACACAGTCGGTTGCGGTTTGTTGCGATTGGACGCGACCGAGTAGATTCAAATTAGTTTGGTCGGTTATAACTACTCACCGACAAGATGTCCGAGAAAGTTAAGGAAATTGCTGACGAAGAGAATTCTGTTACGATGCTGGACGTACTTCGAGAGGAGAAGCAGTTAGAGGACGATGCTTGTGCGGTTCTGGGCGCATCCGACGACAAGAATTGCACTTACAGCAAGGTTCTGCTTCGGACTTCATTATTAATTTTAAAGTCCAACTGAATTCTAAACATGTTGAACAGAATAACTTGTCCGATTATTTTAGGGATATACACGGCAAGCCTTGTACGCATGCAAGACTTGTTGTTCGAAAACAGTACGAGCCGCTGTGTGTCTCGCTTGTAGTTTCCATTGTCACGAGGGTCACGAACTCGTCGAACTTTATACCAAACGGCATTTTAGATGCGATTGTGGCAATTCCAAGTTTGCAGAGAAACAGTGTAATTTGGATGCGGTATGCTTTTTATTATTCTTTCTTTATTTCCCAATTTCCTTTTTCTTACTTTTTGGAATTCATTTTTAGTCCAAAGATCCTCTAAACACAGAAAATCAATATAACCACAACTTCGATGGACTGTATTGTATTTGCAAAAGACCATACCCAGACCCGGAAGACACAGTAGACGATGTGATGCTACAGTGTGTTATTTGCGAGGACTGGTATCATTCTCTGGTAATGTGTACACCTAATCTTTAAATTTCTTTCATCTACTTATCGATAGCTTTTAACAGCATCTTGAAAACGAAAGAGGTATGCCGGCTGATGGAGCTTACGATGAGATGATTTGTGCAGGTTGTATGAAGAGGAATGAATTTCTTTGGAATTATGCAAGCAAATACGCCGGTAATGCTAATAGAAATCATCATTTGCTTTGATATAAAGACGTATGATCATTTTGAGCATTCATCGATATATTCTTTTACTTTCGTTGCAGTATTTTCAACAACAGGTACTTCGTCTGGAGAGAAACCAGTAGAAACCGTCGACGTTGTTGGCGTGACTACAGGTTGTACAATGCCGCAGAATAAAATGCTACTGAAGGGAAGTTGTTTTTGGTCTGAAGGATGGAGGAGCGCTCTTTGCACGTGCGAAGTCTGCAAGAAGGTAAAATTTTTTATTCGTACGAGATCCTTCCTGTTATTCAGTGCATAATTTTTAAAAACTTTGACCTTGTAGATTTACCAAGAGAACAGTATTATGTTTCTACTCGATCCAACGGACAGTGTGCACGCTTACGAGGAGGCGGGTAAAGTTAATAGTCAAGAATCTCGATACGAGAAAGGTATGAAGGCCCTTGCTACCTTGGGTCGTGTCGAACAACTAACGGCCATTGAAGGTAAGTTGATCTTGTTGCGTTTTAAAAGAAAAAAGTTTCTTCACTCGATGGATCAATTTGTGTTCCTTGTATATTCGATAGAATACAACAACATGAAGGAACGATTGAAGCAATACTTGCAGAAATTTGCTGAAAATAAAAAGGTTGTAAGAGAGGAAGATATAAAAGAATTCTTTTCGGAGATGGAGTCTAAAAAACGGCCAAAGGTTGTGGTGCCGACTTATTGTCGTTGAAATGTCATTAATATTTAAAAATTTTCCACTTCTAATACAGACAGAATCAAGTCTATTTCCACTTTCGTATACGAACCAACGTGTCTTTTGTATTTTCTGTTGTGCTAATGATCACTTTACACCTGATATCTCATGTTTAACGTATTACACTTATTTACGTAGTGTTCAAGAGAATCATAAAAGATTTGTGATAATAAAAATATGGGGGACAGATAATAAAACTTGAAAAGATATATGATTGTTTCTGTGAAACTTGAAATGTTTTCGTCATACCCGTCGTACTTGTTGTGTATTTATAATGAAATGTAAATAACACAACAAAATTTATGTTCGCATACATGTTTATGTATAATATATATATACATATGTGTGTACATAATCGATATACGATTATCGATGAAGATAAACTATTCTAGAGAGACAGACGCAACTAACAGAGCACGCGCGTCGTCGTCTATTTGTAATATTTCGATCGGTTCAGGGAGCCGAAAGTTACTACACGTAATCACGAAACAATTTAACGAACAAACAATATTACAGTTGATTTTACATTGTAGAATTGAACGTTTGGTAGTGGTCGTGCATCTGCAAAGGGATTACCAAAATCGGCTCTGTACAGTTTGGTTTGTCCGTATAAACGGACCAGGTCTTTTCGATGCAATCGAAGATACCTGACGAGTGTAATTCAAATATTATTTACCAAATGAAATGGTTTACGAAAAAAGAAATGTGAAACATCACGGAACATACCGGTGGCAATAGTCTTCACGTGGTCATCTTTATTAATTTCCTGGTAAACCCTGTATTGATCATCGGTTTGATCGCTCAGAATATTTTGAACGTCTTGGCGAGATTTTGGAACAGGATGCTTACAAATCATTTCCATTCGCCTGACGCTGCTATCTATAATAAGACCCTCGACTTCTGGTATTTCCAGTCGGAGATACCTGAAAATTTCCCCGTTTGCATTGCGTCGGTGATAAAAAGGAAACGCAGTATCCGCTATTGTAAAAGATATAACGATTGTCGGGTGGAAAATAAACGAGTTTGCTCACTTGTTGCAATGGAAGGCGTTTTCACCGGGACCGACAGTAAGAATGTTCAATCGGGACTGCGTCGCGTCGTTTTCGCAGGGACCGATCTCGATATTGTGAAACAGTCTCTCTCCTTCCTCCATTAAAAAGGTCATGTTCACCGAAAATCCTTCGGCCGCGCCAAAACCGTCGTTCCTTAAAATCTGTTGCGCTTGCGCGTAATTGTCCGCCGTCAAAAGTGCACGACTTAAAAAGTACCTGGCTGCGCAAAGTGATTCAATAACACATTACAAATATGTGTATATACCGGGCGTTAATAAAGATCTGGGACATTTTCACACGGTGCATTCTAAGACGAAGAAAATCATGAATGACGGGATTGCGTTCGAGGCTTCGTTTCCAAGTTATTAATTAACATATCTGCCACGACAAGTTATTCTACTTGAAAGCCGCGGTGTTCGACTGTTTCACAAGTTCACATGTTATCTCATTCATCAGTTTCACTATGCCATCGATCAAACCCGTGTATCAGCTGGAAATCAGCTATTCCAATGGTACGATCCATCGGCGCCAGACGTATTCTGCCAGCATTTTCAACAATTAATAATTGGGAAGCAAAGCCTTGGGCGCAATTTCGTCATTCATGATTGTCGTCTTAGAATCCACCCTGTGAAAGTATCCCACGCGTTTATCAACACCCTGTATACGGGAAAAGATCGCTGTTGACCATACTCACGTGTTTTACCGGATCTCAAGCTCGCGGCGCTCAGCGTGTTGATAGTATAAACAAGGCCATGACAGTTGTAGCCCATCGTGTAGCCGGGTAAAAATCCAGCGTAGCTCAAGGACGTGAACTTTTCCTCCTTGCACCCCGGCTCGAGCACGTGCGCGGACACCAAGTACCAATGGTTCAATGTCTCGCTGAGCGCGTCCTCGTTGTGCCCTAAAATTTCCTGTCGCGGGGACATTTCGAAAATGATTAATCGTTACCACTTCGTTACGAATAAAATGCTGAACATTTCTATTAATCGTGCACGTTGTTTTGCTCACCTGTCCTGGCTGATTGCACATGACGGTTGAACAACCGACCGGCAAGTCGTTCGTCGGTTGGACACCGCTGTTCTCTGCTGCGTTCACCATGATGTCATCGAGGTGCATTAGGAACAACTGCGGGGGTTACAGACGTCCGTAAGGTAATTTGAAATTTAAATGCAACACCTGATTTTAATCGTACAACTTTTTCGCGGAACCCCGCTCACCGCGCGCACGCGAATAGCTGGAGCAGTATCCAATTAATTGCGACGGTAATAAGTTGAAGCAATACGCAAGAATTCACGAAGGAATTCCATGCCGAAGGAAACCAGCCGTTTACTTGCCTTATAGAACGGAACGTTCGCTCCGTCGGCCGTTCCTTGGATTTCCCTTAGGTACCCGGGAAACTGTTTTTCCACGCAGCTGAGTGTTTCTTCGTAGACATTTTTGCCGGCTTCGGTCTCGTACAACGGCAGATACGTCTCGTTCAGAGGTCGATATATGTTCACATAGTTCTGTATCAAAGTGGAAAACGTGCGCCCCTAGAAAAGAAATATATAGGGTGTCGTGTAATCGGTGGTATAACTCGGGTAGAGGGGATGATTTTACGTGGAAAAATAAGACGAAAATATAGAATGAAATTTGTTCATTTGGAACTTCATTTTCGAAAGGATCGACTTTGAAGGTTGGTCAGAAACGCGTATATCCGTAATGGTAGTAAGTAGAAACGGAATACAATGAACAGACGTGCTAGCCAAGTCCCGTTCAATTATTGCACGCGTGTTCGGAAGATTTTCATAATCAATCTTCTCGAAAAAGGAGTCTCAAATAAACGAATTCTATTCTGCATTTTTAACTTATTTTTGCACGTAGAATCAACTTTATATGCGGTTGTACCACCAGTTACATGAAATCCTGTATATATAATCCTGTTGTTTGTTGCTAGAACTTTTCTGCCCTTTCCCATTCGGCCCGCGAGCGTGGTACTGCTCGGGAGTGGTTCGATCGGAAATCCAAGCCAAGAATCTCATAAGCCTGGCGGCCGCGGATCGACAAACGGCGGGGTTTTTATAAAAGCTACATACGTGTATCATTTTACTAACCAACATACCGCGTGTAGAAACAAATATTATGTAATCCAACGGTCTCGTTACGCAACGTATTCAATCTCTTGGAAACAAGGTGCGCGAATGATTCCCGAACGATTTTTGCGACGAGCACGACCGAACGTTTTCTGCGACCCATCCGATAAACGATTGTTCTCCACGAGGTGTGTTATCGATCTATCGGGAAACCGAACGTTCGAAACATTCGCTGTTCGATTTTTGCAAGCGAAGTGTAACACGCGATAGTATTACATTACAGAAATATTGATTCGTTCGTATTCATGTTACAGTGTTACGGTTCTAAACGGTGTATATTTCAAACGGAGTGCATTATATGTAACGATTTACGAATGAAATCCTTCGAAATTTCAATATCTTATTAATCGTTATGAATCTCGTTCGACTTGCAAACGGGGTACCCACGGATCAGTTGAAACGGTCGATAGTACATCAAAGAAAATGTAATTACTCGGATTTACTCAAAGATTTTGCAATTGACTCTCCGTATCGTCGATCACAACCGTCAGTGATTATCTTATAACTGGGCTTACATAACTGGTAATTCTTGGTCCTCTAATGAGGTGTTTGTTTTTTTTTCCCCCTTTTTAATCTCTAATTTTCCACGGTAACCGACTGAATGGAGCCGGATTCACAGAGATCTAGATTCTTACGATATCGAAACCAATGTCGTAATGCGTTCCTCTTGCGTAAATCACAGGAATCGCTTGCCTCCTCCCGATATCGTTCGCCTTGCACGTGTTCTCCAATGCATCCTCGAGCGTAGTCATCCTTAACGTCCAGACGTTGGCTGTTCTAAATCGTGCAACAAATATGTGGTTACTGTGTCACGAACAAAAATTTCGACAGTTACTAGATCGCCTGTATGCGTGCGTGTTTATTCTCGGGGTTCGTTATCTGTACCCCATTTCTCGAGTCTAACGCCGCGATCTTTCAATCGTGTTCTTTCGATGCTTCCCCCTACTCCTCGATTAAATTGTTCGCAAATATATACATACATACACACGTATGTATGTGAACATGAAAACGCACGAATTGTCCTCGTTTGATTATCGGTTGTACGCGATGGCCTTATAATACACGCGGAAACGATTAATTTTCTATATAGCGAATCCCACGATAGAGCCCACCGATAAAAGACTTCCTTCTGTTGCCCCGTATTATTTCGATTCCGTATTTTTCTCGATAATATTCGCGGCCAGTTAACTAACGTGCAGCAAAACATGATAAAGAGCTTTTGAAACGGACAGAATGCGAATTGGAATAGGGAGTATATGAAATAATGGGAACGCGGTTCGGTTCCGTTCCCTTCGTTCCATTCGGGGACGCCGCGCGTACATACGCGTATGGTAAAAAGACCAGAAATGTTTGAAAAAAAAGACCGTTGGTGACACAATAAATAAAAAACAGGAACACACGGATTCCGTACCTGCACTTAAATTATGTTTACTCTTGGTTCTTCTTTTTTCTTTTATTATTTTTATCGCCGAAAGGGATGTACGATAGTTTTTTTTTTCTCGTCGACGAGGCGAAACTATCGGTAATATATGTAGTATTTTCTTTGAGAAAAGTTCGCGAGAATACGTGCAAGAATTACAGACACCTGGAACACGCGGTCCTGAACGGTCGTTCAAACGGCGATGAGTGTCGCGCGCGACTGACGACTTACGATCGGTGTGTCTCCCTGTTACGAGGACCGTAAGTCCGTCTAATCTACCTTTTATCGACTTCCATCGATTAGCGGAGCGTGCGGCACGTATAGCCCGAGTCCACCTCCAGGGGATAAAGAATTCCCCGGTGTTTCGGTACCGGAATGCATTGTGCGCGTGCGCGCATACCGATTTATACAATATATCGGCATTTCTACCCGCGGGACCGCGATCCAATGGTGTACCAATGAGACCCTTATGTGTCCCTTCTTTCTATGTGTGTTCACCAGTTAATTGGCCACCGAATAGAGACCAGCCTTGTTCGACGAAGAACACGTTTGATTAAACAGGGACAAAATATCGGGTACCGTCGCGAATTAAACGCGTCTCGGCTCCCTCGCGGCGGTTCGGATGGGGGCAATTCTCTCTTTCGTCATTCCTCGGGGAAGAAATTCATTTTTCAAATGATGGAATTCACGACTTTCCATCAAACGGTTCTAACGTCGTGGTCGACACTGTAACAGAGTTTATTTCTGTAACGAGCTAACTGTCCTTGTCACGATAATTACGGTATATTTTGTTGATAACACGAATATCGAAACCGTTTTACAGTATACGCGGTTAAATGTAATATCGTTGTTGGTATTTTGATTCGTGGTTTCGAAATGTTTCGTTCGTATTGTTGGGAACCAAATTATCGTTGTAATGCACACGATGATTCGAGGGAATTTTTCGAACAGGGGGGTATACAATTCTTCAAACCTTTTGCATCTTGTAGAGGATATCCCCAGGGTGGTCCCGTTTGCAAAAATTTTCCAACTGTTTTCTGTTATAGACTATTTTTTTCATCCACAGGTCATGTCCTTTCAAGCAGTCCAAGGTAATACCCTTTGATTTTTTCTTTACGGTTACAGCCCAACTAATGATAATGAAAACCATTTTACGTTGGCCTATTGGCCCATTAGTATTGCTTTCTACACCGAAAAATTTTCTTCAAAAAATATAGCCCGACTTCGAAATGCGCTAAAACGTAGAAAATAATTTCTATTCTTATTAATTATTATTTTAACACTTAATATGCTATTTGGGAAGAGAAAACAAGTTTTCTTAACCGCTGTTGCCTTCCCGTATAAATAATAAAGGTAGAAATTATTTTCTACTTTTTAGCGAATTTCGAAGTCGACCCACATTGTTTCATAAGAATTTTTCTTACAGCACTAAAACTATATGTATTTCAAAAGAATTTCCTCGTGGTTCGTGTGACAATATAGTCGAAGAAGCGACACTTTTATGGGAACGTAAGAACGAGGTTGTTTGCATAAAGCTTCCGCGCGACAGATAACGCGATGTTCTTTCTATAATGATTAGCAAATCGCGTGTATACTTTTAACATTTCAAACGTATCGAGGCCTAGACGCATCGATATGAAACATTTAAACGAACACAATCCTTTTTTGCCGATTAAATCCCCGATACAAATAGAGTAAATAGACAATCACATTCTCGTAATCTCGCGTTCTGTTTTTGTTCTGCTGCGTTCCATTAAAGGAAATGTAATTGCGACCTCCTGGACGGACCGTGGTCGCAACTCTACCGACACCTAAGTATATCCACGGTGCAGATAGAATCAGGTGCTGATTCTACACCTGTAAAACACCAATTACATACATCGTCAGCATCTGTTTTTTCGCTAATTAACCGTACACTTTCCCTTTTTATCGCGGAATCCTTTTCACGGCATCGACGACGATCGAATCAAGGAAAACCTGCGACGAGAATGTGTCAAAAGAAAAGACGGATAAATAAAAAAATATCTGCTGTCGTATTGTGATCGCCTCGCGAGACCACGTGTGCCCTATGAAGAAACCCCGCGCGCGCACTTTCTATCGCACACAACTGGCCATTATTCTGGCTTCCAAATGCGCCTCTTTCACGGCTATAAATGAACAAGAACGGGTATCTGGTGACGTTCTTACGGCTTCCTCGAACCTTCGCGGATCGTATATTGTACGTTATACAAATACGGAATAATAAACGATCTATTAACCAAGAATCGCTTGTATCAAATTTCCATCGACTTATTAACCCACTACGATCACATGAGGTCTGTTTAATCACAAGGCAACTTGAAGCTAAAATTTTATCGATAAATATTAAAAATCTAAAAAGTTACGATTTTTTAAGTAAAAATACTCATTTTTCACGGATTGTTTTACTACACTCAAATTGAAATTAACACCTATAAAACCATTTCATTCTTATTTTGCAATATTTGAAGATTGTTCAGTGATTTTTTTAACCTAAACTAATTAATAGTTTGGGAATGGTAGCCGTTTAATGTCTGTGGGGTAACTGTGACCCCGGTGTGACCGTTAAGGGTTAAATGTTTTCATGAAATTGTTACAAGATACAACGGACTTTTAATCGAAGTAAATTAATGTCGATATAAATCATCGACAAATCCATAAATGTTTATTATTTCATAGATTCCGTTCTTTCACGTCTGTTGGGTCATCGAGAGTTTGCATACCGTGCATATACTAAAAAAATGGGAAATACATATTTTATCTTTTAACAATTTATTAGTATACATTGTAAGTTATACGCGCGTATGTGTGTGGCATGTGTGACGAGTGAGAGTATGTATTTCTCTCAGGGTGTCTATGTATATGTGTCTGTGTGTGTGTGTGTGTATATATATATATAATTTTTTTTGGGAATTGGTACGCAAAGCTTAAATGTACCTTACAGACCACGCACTGTGTAAATTGACATACGATCAGTTTTATTTCTAATCTGCTTGAAACATAGCTACACTGTAAAAACCATGAATATCTCTCTCTCTCCCGATCTGTCCTCTACTTTCGTCCCTACTATCGTGTGTTGTTTACATGTTTACATGTAACTGTTCGATGAACGTCTTGTAATGCTGAATCAATACTCTGTCCTATGAAATCAACGTTTTCGTTCGAATCAGAAACGGGATTATAAAGTTCTGACAATTAAAATAATATATTTACTATTGGTACCAGGAGCTCATTTCGATTCGTCCAAATGTCGAGAAAAGAGAGGAATGGATGAACCATTTTCTCTGTGGCAGAAAAATTACTTCTCGATAGTTTAGTAACTAGGCTGTAGTTATTACATTGAAATGAATGTGTCAACCCTATAAAAAGGAAAGAAAGAGAGGAGGGATGAGAATGGGAGGGAGGGTGGACGAAGACCGAGAGAGAAAAAAACAATGTTCGATAGTTGGGAAAGAGGAAGTTCGGTTCGGCGAAAACGTGTCTTCTGGTCTGGATTATATCCTCGTCTCATTTTCAACGATTTTTAAGTTTTGTTCCGATAACACGCATCCTCGCGACGGCCGAAAAATATCACGACAGTTGTTTCCGCGGTAGCCCCGCGGTAACATTCAGCAATAACTCAGTCTTGTAGAAGAAAGTTAGTCTCCTCTGAACGTCGATGAAGTAACAGTCATCGATACAAAAATATCCTGCCGACAAAAATTCCCGAGCACTAACTCCTTCCTCTTCGTAGGAACGAAAAGACTGAAAATCCCGAGAACATCCAGTTACCCGGCGTACAACTACGAGCCTCAACACGCTGCCGCATGTTTCGCCCTTTGAGCGGCTATTCGTTGACTTCGTCTTAACTTTTGGGGTGGTGAGTCGTTGTCACTTTCTTCCTCAGAGTCGGAATTATCGAGCGCGGTCTTTCCGGCGTATCGCCAACTGACAATCGCGCCGTCCCACTGAAAGGAGAAAATAATTTTGGAGTAAACCGTAAACGGGAAGGGTAGTCGTTCAGAACTGAATTCCACGAAGTAAAATATTTACAGCAGTAGAAACAATTTCTTGATGAAACGGATGCCAACTGACATCACGAACGCATCCATGATGTCCCATTAAAGTACTGACTATCCTACCCGTTAAAACGTCGTATACTGAAATTAATCGGTAAATACAGTCATATACTTTGTTCCGAGTGTGGTACAGTTTATGAAGAATAAAATAGATTTTACTTATCACTCGTCCTGCGGCACAACCCGTATATATGTATCTTTGACCGGTGATCGAGGAAGGTGAAAAATGGCAACGTATCAAAGTCTGAAGAACCGAGTGGCCGCGATAGGTCATAATGCTTGTGTCACCTTCCAACATATGTTTCGCTTTATGTACTATAATAAAAGAAAAGATGAAGAGCGAGTACGAATTTCGGTGCCCAAATCCCGATACAGATATTGTTCGATGAATGCTCACTTCGCTTTGGTACTCGCTGCCATCGGTAATCCCAGTTTTGATTCGCGACAGCCATGCGTGTATTCAATTCACCATTATTATCCGAAAAAGCACGTACGTCCCACAGTTTGATAGTTTGATCTTTGCTGTTCGTGATGAGATATCGACCGTCACCGCGTGGATCGATATACGTTATACCATCCATGTGACCAGCCAATACTCCCACCGGACGCGGACCGGTTTCGTTCAACGTTCTCCTGTCCCAGACCTAAATAAACCAAGAAATGGGGGGAGGGAGGGAGAGAGAGAGAGAGAGAGAGAGAAAGACACCGTGTGCAGGTACACGCAGAAGAAAAAGAAAGATGTATGCACGTATGCAATAAACAAAAAGTAAAGCATAACCAAAAATGTATCAACAAAGAAAATAGAAAGAAAGAAGGAAAAAAAGAAATAAGAAAGAAAGAGAGAGAAAGTTGAAAAACAATATAGTTTTGCTAGCTTTTGTGTAAAAATTTTGACAGTACCTTGCAAAGACCATCGTCTCCAGCACTGTATAGAATTTGCGATGTATTATCGGCGAAAACAACTGTATTTACATCATTATCGTGACCTTCGATCTAGAAGAAAAATAAACGATTTACGCTAGACAATATGAACGTATCATAAGAATACACATGTACAGACCCTGAAAGCACGTTGATGGCATTCTCGGTCGTAGACGTAGATGTAACCATCGTTCGCCCCACCGAGAATTTCTCGGCCGTCACTAGAAAACACAAGTGAAAACACGCAAAACCTTCGATCCTCTGGACAGAGGGATAATGATTCTTGTGCACTGGAATCGCCATAAACAGGACACAGATATACTGAAAAGAAAAGAATGTTCCAAAGTGGTTCGTGGCATGTAAGATCAACCGAAACAAACTGAACTGTCATTCTCATAAATGTGTTTCTACTCACAACACTCTGACCAGCTGGAATATACAATATAGTTGCCATCAGGACTAAAAGCAGTATCTAGAATACTCCAACCTACGTCACGCGCAGGAATTGTTTTGAACTCTACAAAGTCACCGCCGTCTGTCCGGTATAGGCGTAGAAATTTATCTAAGACATGTAGGATTGCATTAAACAGGGAGTGTACGAATGTGATGAAAATAAAAAGGTTACAAATAGACTTACCTTGACTGGCAGTCAAGAAAAATCTTCCATCTTTAGAATAGGAGCCACAAAACGCTTTGTTATTGTACTGCGCAACCTGATGCATTTTATTTGGCAAAAAACTACTACTTATTCTGCATCTTTCGCCTGTACTAAAACCAGGACCAATGGCTCTTCTTTGAATCATCGACGTGACAGACATATTGCGTTTATCGGCATTCTTTATATATCCGCAAGCCTGCTTCGTGGCTAGACTTATTTCACTTTTCTAAAAGGGAACAGATTACGTGATACTACGTATGTGAACGATCGCGTCGCATATTCATAAATAACAAACATTTAGTCTGGACGTATTTGGATGTAGATGTAAATAGGAAGATGTATATCTTGGAGGTTGCGAATTCGCGATGTATTCTTCGTCCGAGTCATCATGATCCGAGGATATGATGTGTAGTTGTCCGCTGTAACGATGAAACGAAATTTATTGCGCTTATGATATTCACAGCGATCAAAGAGAGAGAGAGAGAAGGACACAATGAACGTGATTGTGTGTTCGTGTTTGGAAAAATCGAGACTCGGGATGAACTAGGAACCATTCAGCGGACACTTCGAAAAAAAAAGGAAACGGATTCGTGATGAACGGAAGTCCTGAGGCAAACGGGAACGTTCGTTGCAAAAATCGTAATCATCGCGGAAACGTTAGAAATGTGTAATGACGACGATTTACGCGTAGAGGTTAGAATTTCTCTCGTTTTCTTTCTCTCTGTCTCGCGCCTTCTCCTTTCTGTCCAGTCTCTATCTGTCTCCCTCTTTCTCTGTCCCATTAATGCGTACATATTACACACACAGTCAGTGGAAAGATCCACGGATGATGTTGAATTTTTCGATAAGGAGATAACGTTCAACCAACCTGCGTATCAAATATTGCAAGACAGCGGCCAGCCCTCGATCATGTTCGATGTCCATAGTCCGTGTATTAAAGCCTCCCATGCAGGGAATTAACGAATCTTATTTACTGTCTAAAAGCAAACAAGGAAAACGTCCAAGGGTTGATGGCGTTAGTGCAGTGACTATGACAGTTGAAACAGACGATGACAGGAACAGAGAGAGCGCGTGAGAAGTAACCTGAAGTAACCGTCTCGACGAGGAGAGGAAACTGAACGGAGATACGAGTTCTCTTGCTGTTCCGTGAAAACTTTCGCGCGTGAAAACGTCTGTCGTAGAAAAATAAAATGGAATTCCAAGTCACAGACGTACGGACGATACCACATTCAGAATAAACACGTTGAAACCGAGAAAGAAGGAATGAGCGACGATGAAGCGTGGCGAGGAGGGGGGATGGCGCGCATACGATGCACGTAATCGCTCTTTTCAAATCTCGAAATCAACAATCTAGAAATTATCGTACCGTTGATTCGTGAAAGATTTTCCAATGGATAACTTTACGCTTGTCGTGGGTGGTCAAGAGAGTGGGAGAAGAAACGTAAGAATAAATATGTTCGACATATCGAAAAAGATTTTAGTAAACGCAACAGACTCTTGAAATATATTCTTTTACATATGCCAAATGACCAACCAAATGTTCTCGCGATCCACTGTTAAATAGCAAAACAAATATTTTCCCTTAACTTAGCTACATAATCGATCGATTGGTCGGTAAATTATCGATCCGTTTCCTAGAGGACTCATGCTCAACAATGATGGGTGGTATTTGATTTTTGATTTCGACACGGTTTACAATTTGTACGTCAGCGTGTAAAAACTAGCTCGATCTATTCTCAATCCCTATGTCTACCCACCCCTCCCTCTACCTCCGCCGTGGCCACCCCCGTTCTTCTCCAAGGCAACTCTTTCTCTCTCGCTATCTCTCTTTCGCTCGCGCCGTATCTCTATCTCTGTTACCCTCGCTTTTCCACTATTCCTTCTTGTACGTCACGTCCCATAGCCACCCATAGGTGCACTCCGTAATCCGACTGTCTCAACCAATAACCCCCATGAAACGATGCTCCCCACACACCTGTTAACAGCTACATCATCCGTTAAACCCGATTTCAGGGCACATGTGACCGGTAGTTATCCTGGATACATATTAATTTCAAGTAGAGGCTTACACCCTGGCCAGAGCCGACGATGACAGGGCACCGGGGCCGTGTGTGGCCGAGGTCGTAGCTAAAATCATATCCAGGACCGGGGTGCGCGCGCATACGTCTTTTTCTCGCCTGCCTGCTCTCGCAAGTTTCTCTCCGTTCTTCCATCGGATGAGACGACAACGTTAATTCGTACGATGCCGATAACATCGTCCTACGGGACAAAGGAGAAGAATACGGGGACAGTAGGGTATCATGACAAAAGTACTCCAGTAGAACGTCTACGCTGACAGTTGTGAGAAAACAGCGACGTGTCGACGGATGACCGAGCAGGACGACCGAAAGGACTAGAAAGACGAGAGCAGGGGGAACGTACGGGACAAGTACAAGGGGAACGCGAATCGAACCGATATAGGAGACGGAATTTGGAATCAGGAAGGAAAAGTGGAAAAGGAACGTGAAATCTCGTGTAAGACGGAACGGAAAAGGGAAGCAGGAGGAAACAAGAGGATAATGGTGTACAGGAGATCAAGTAGATCCAGGGAAGAGTCGGCGAGAGTGCCAGTGTGTCCAAGAGCCTGTACGTAAACGTCTGTCCTGCTCGAACCGTACCTCCTTTGGATTCCTGGCGCGTTCCTCGAGCGGCGCGCGCGTGCTCCGTGTGATCGCGCATCGCGCGCATATTACCCTTCTTTCGGTTTCTTCGTGCCCGCTTATAGTGCTTCTACGCGAGAGAGCTACACGATTCGCGTTCGACGTCGGCAACAGGTGAGCTATTCCATGCGTCGTGTCTCTTTTTCCTCTCTGTGTCCGTAGTTTCCGTTCTTCTCTCGTCGATTCGTCGATAGTTCTCCGCTATCCGATTCGCTGGTCGATTCTCGCGGTGAAACGGATCCGCGTGAACTTGTTATTCGTCCGACAGCTTCGAAACGATTAGGGGTGCTTTTTTTTTTTTTTTACGTCGCGGCGGTAGCCCACTTGGAACTTGGACCCAACTCCAGGATCGATCCGGTTTCCCTTGCGGTCTCACCGGATAGATTAAACCGTAATCGACCCTAACGTTCTTTCGCTGGCTGCGAGAACGTTCCTCGAACCGACCTGTATTACGTATCAAAAGTGACGTTCCGAAACGGGGGTGGGGGGAGGATACAATTCTTTCGAATTAGCTCGTTCAGTGGTTGCAAATGATCCGTGCAGACACGATGTTGTACGTTAAGAATACGGATACAAACCGAATCGCGCAAACCTGAAACGATTCGACGTAATTATTGTTCTCCATTCGGTGAAGATTTCAAGTAATATAAATTCGCGGTAAACCTTTTCGGCCGACGGGTCGTTGCATCGATCTGTGTACTTACGCGTGCACGAAAACGAAACGTTAAACGCCGCGTGAAATCGACGTCGAAGAGGGAGAAGAAAAACAGCCTTTTTCGAAAAAAAGGACGCCAGAATCTTCTTGCATCGTACCTGCGGCGATTCCGACACCCGAGGACCGTGAAATTTTAATCGTCCATATGGACTCGAATCGATCGATTAAGCGAAACTGTCGGAGAATCGTTGGAACGACGATATTGATAGGTAAACGTGATTGGAAATCGAGCAATTGAATGATCGAACGAGGTGTGACCTTTCCCACGAGTGTGTTACGATTTGCAGCGAGTATTATACACGCGTGTAGAATCCCATACGGTTGAGGAAACGGTTGAGGGGGCATAGGATCGGGGAAAAAGGAAGAATCGATCTATATTCGGTTACCGATCGATTGTCAGCCGTTACAGCATCGTTCGACGATTTCGCACGTACGTACAGTAGACATTCATTTATTGCATCTTTCGGGGCTATTGAGGGCCAAATTTCCAGGTATGATACAATAAACAAGAGCCAATCACACGCGCGCTCTCACCGTCGATCTTCCATTTACTTGTTCGACGTAGTTACATATAGTATATAATCACCTCAAATATTTCCGTTATTTTTAGGGATATCGAAAAAGTTTATTTACAAAAATTGGTATCGAAATATTTTTCGAGTTAACACTAGAAGTACTCAAACCCGTTAAATGACGCAATTCAGATTTGTTATTTTACAATTACTCGAATCGTAAAGTTGCTTTTTGTCGTTATTCATGTCGACCTTTAATTTACTGTATATTTCTCATTACACTATATTATGCTATACTGTACTGTATATTATAGATGTCGATGTATTATCCAATTTAATTTGGCATACATTCAACGCTGGTGGTTCTACTAATGTTAAACGCGACACCATATGTATTCTGTAGCTTCCTTGCTGGGCGACAGAGTGTGGTCCGCGCACGTGTGTGAGAAATAAAATTCCTAAGATGCAATAAACTGGCCAACATTAAACGAATGTCTACTGTACAGCGTGTGTACATAATGCGTACGTTAGATAGGTCGTATTTGGCTCCAAATCGAATGGAACGTTGGCGTTCGTGCGAACAGTAAAGTGGAATTGGAACGTTCGAACAGATCCGACCGGGGTGTAAGGATTAGAGGAGCGAGCCAATCGACGAAGGCCAGAGTCGAAAGGAAGTGGAAGCTCGATCGAAGACAAGGACAGTCCGATGAACGTCAAGGATTAAGGAAACGACCGATCGTGGTGGAGACGCCGTCATGTTCGCAAAATCGAAAACCAGCGGCTCGACGCCGAACGTTTTCCTCACAAATCCACTGCAGAATTTATACGAAGTGGGGAAACAATCGGCAACCGCGGGCCCCGAGAACGCATGGCGTATATACGACGGATACACGAAAGCAGACAGAAAGGTAAGAACGAAAAATCTCTCTCGATCGTTACCGACCGAGAACGCGACGGAATTGACGACCATAGACGTCGTCGATCGGTATGGTTGATTGTAGCGGTCGATTTTTGTTCTCGTTCGGTTCCAGGAAGTTTCGATATTCCTGTTCGACAAACGATCGGTAGAGAAGCTTTACAAGCCGAAGCGTAAGGAGATCGTCACGGAAATTCTACGAAAGGGCGCACGACAGATGGAACAATTTGCTCATCCGAAGATACTTGGGGTAAGAGTCAGGACGGTGTAGGCTAACGATGGATCTATAAACAAAAACAATAAACGTTCGAAACGACCAAACATTGTTCGAACCGTTTGAACGTTTCGTCAGGAGTTCGAACATACACTCATGTGTAGTAGGTGACCTAGTCTGTACCAAGGAATTCACCCCCAATTCTGTTCTTTATTTCCCGGTAGGCCATCAAAGTCGAAGAATGCGCGGACAGTCTCGCCTTCGCCTCGGAGCCCGTTCTGGCTAGCCTCGCGAACGTTCTGGCCTATCAGGAGCAACAAGCGGCCAATCTCGATCAATCCACGAGCAACGCAAACAAGCAAGCTTCCTCGACTACCAGCCATCGCACCACATTTACGAAAGAGTATGAACTGCTCGATATCGAGATCAAATACGGGCTGTTGCAGGTGAGAACCGCGGAGGCAGACTTCATCTAATTTCAATTTCGAGAGTTGGTGGTTGTTGATACGGGTCTTCTCGGTCACTTGACGGCGGGAATGATGATTTTTCCGATATTTCCGCGTGTCATATCCTTTCTATATGCGTCCCTCTTTTTCGTTCGTGTCAGATTACCGAGGCACTGCTATTTCTTCACGGAACATGCAAACTTCTTCACAAAAACGTTTGCCCGGCGAGCATAATAATTACCAAGAGAGGCACTTGGAAATTGTCCGGTCTTGAATTTATCGGTAAGTAGATACCCACGTGTTCTATCGTGCCCTCTGTGGTGTTGGATGTTCTCTCCGTTTTATCGATTCTTTCGAATTCCCCGTAACGCCTGTACCTGATTTATTTTTTTTCTTTTCGTAGAAAACGCCAGCGACGTATTGGTGTTGGATGTTCTCTCCGTTTTATCGATTCTTTCGAATTCCCCGTAACGCCTGTACCTGATCTATTTTTTTTTCTTTTCGTAGAAAACGCCAGCGACGTGCCGATATCGTTGCAACCGTGGACAAATCGTGCGCCGAAAATGACGCAGCCGAATCTCGACTACACAGGTAAAGAAACGCCAACAAGAATACGCGGGAATATGCCTGTTCCCCCAAGCATCTTCTTTCATTTTTTACAATTTCTTGTTTTTTTTTTTTTTTTCATTTTTCACGGAACTTATTCGCACGGAAAACGTTGGGACTCGTAGCCCCGGAAATACAGCAAAAGAAAGAAGGAGGCTTCTACAGCGACATGTACAGCTTTGGCATGACTATATGTGCAATTTTCAATCAAGGTCGACCACTGATTCAAGCGAATCACAGTTGCTCCGAATACCTGAAACAAATCGAGAACGTGAGTGATATATAACACACTATCGTCGACGTATCTTAAGAAAATTCTCTTCCTACTCGCCATTCATTCTCAAGTTTTATACATTATGATTACTTCTTACGCCAACAATCCACCGTGATCGTGGTTCCCAAATGGGGTAATTCTTTTTGGTTCTGTTGTTGCAACGCAGCTTGAGCAACAAGTCACCGTGATGTTGCCTTTGATTCCACTACCGTTACGAGAGGCTGTTACCCGTCTCTTGCACAACGAACCGGAACAAAGACCGACGGTTCAAATTTTATCGATGATTAAATACTTTCAGTACGTAACGATCACGATTACCAATCGAATCCCCGTCGAATGAACAATCCGTTCGAACTTCGCCATTTTTTTTTGTTCATTTCCAGAGATCCGCCTGTATACGCGCTCCAATTCCTGGACGTGAGCAAGCTGAAAGACGTGTTACAGAAAGAGCATTTTTACACGGCCACCCTCCAAGGAATATTACCTTATATACCAAAGGTAATCCATCTAGCCCGAAGGTAAACGAGCGTTAGTATAGTTGTTGGACGTGAATCGACGATCGCGACCGATAACAACCTGTAAATTCGCAGAAACTCTGGTATCAGCATGTCTGGACGTACTTACAAACCGATCTGGAGAGTCAAGAGCTCCAGTCGGCCGTTCTACAGCCAGTACTTCATATCGTGCAGCACAGCACCCAAGAGGAATACAATCAGATCGTGTTCCCAGTGTTGAGGTAACCCCAACCTCGTATTGCCACGCGAGGCACTACCCCTTCACACGTATTTTCGAGCACACAAATTCGTTCTCCTTTACGCAGGCGTTGAGGCCAAGGCTATCACGATAGAACTTAGCATGGAGGGGACTCTCAACTCTTTGCCATTTTACTCCCCTATAACCGCGACCATGGCAATATAGTATTGTTTTTGCGTAGGTCGCTCTTCATGAATCGCAGATCGATTCAAGCGACGGTCACGCTGCTGACGAATTTACATGTGATACTGAAGAAAACACCGTTGGAATTCAGAGACAAGGAGGTGCTTCGTTTGTTATACGAATCGTTCGAAAATACAAACACTCAAGTACAGGTGCGTAGCGTCAGAGTAAAAGGGGAGAAGATTCGTTAGAATGTGAGGTAATGAGAATAGGGTAGCGTACCTACTCCGAGCGTGAACCGAAAACTTCTGACTTCACAGACCGCGGCGTTTGTAGCCGTTTCGAACGTAACGGAGCACATCAACGACGACGAAGCCGTTCGAAATATCATACTGCCGAAATTGCTTCAAGCCTTCGAACAGAATTCCGCCGATATTCGTGTACTCATGAACGTGGTCTCGTGCGTCCTGAACCGATTGGAGAAACAAAAGATCGTCGACTGTATATTACCGTTGTTGTTCAACGTAAAGCTTCAGGAGCCGGAGGTTATCGTGCGGGTTGTAAGTGAGTATACGAGAAAAAGGTGTAACACATTCTCCTCATTCCGTTCAGTGTGTGATGGATGCGATCAAATGCACACTCGCGTCGTGCTGATCGATCGCACTCGCCTACGTCACCTTGAGCACATAACTTTTACTAATCCATGGTGTCGGGGGGTGGTCGGTGTTGGTATTCTGGCTACGACAGAAATTTACAGATTAATGCTGTCCGATAAAAAGTACGGACTTACGGTGAACTGGATGGCGACTCGAGCGATGCCGTCCTTATTACCCCAGACGATTAACCCGTCGTTGAACTTGCAGCAGTTCGAGCTACTTCTCAAAGTTTTGCAAGATATGCTCAATCACATCGAGAGGTGAACCTTTTTCGGTTCAGTTTCATTTGGTTCAGTTTAATTCGGTTCGTTTTGTTGCGTTAACATTTTGTTTCATCTTATTCCATTTACACATACCTATGTATGTACATGTTTATGCTGATTCATTCAATTGCTTTTCCATCCCTTTTATCGCATTGCTGATGTTTCGCCTGAACACAGAAATCAGAAGAATCAATTGTCGCTGGATAATCTGTCTCTGTCGAGCCCGGAGAGATACTGGAGCTTGCGACATCAGTACAGCACGAACACGCACGTGCCGGCATTTTTCGTGCCGAATTCTCAGCGTAAAACATCGTCCGCGGAGGATATGGCTAGGAAAAATAGCATAGGTGAAAAAATTACATTTACAACGCACAAGGTTGCACGTGAATGGGGACACGAGGTGCGTTAATTGTCTGACACAAACGGTTACCGATTGCAGGTTCAATATCGATGACAGCTTCGGCCGAAAACATGGCAAGGAAGAACTCTGTGGCGGGTAAGCCAATATTCATATTCGGTACAATTATTGATGGCTCGTTCCACGACCGATCCACATATTCTTAATCTTGCAATACCGTTCACGTTAACAGAATACGGTTGGCTCTCGTCCTCGAAAAATAACGGGAACTTCCTCAAAGTGTCGAACGCCTTTCCGAACAGACGTTTATCGGACAATACTCTAATGGCGCCGAAGATAGGCGTGCCGTCGTCCTGCGTAAGTTCGCCAGGTGGCACGCCCGGCGGTGGATTACCGATGTTTAGACGTCACTCGACGAGCACTGGTTCCCAAGACCGACGTGGATCCACCATCAATTTGTCGCTTCCCACGGTATCGTACTACCAGTAGCAGCGTGCCATACTTGTTCAGCTCGAGCATGAACAGTATACGCAGCTGGAGACGTCCGTCGGTCTCGTCAACGTCGTCCCAACAGGGCGCCGGTTTTCTACAGCAGGTTGGCTCCAGCATGGTAAGACAACAACTCCCCATCTGCCTCAACCTCAATGGACCACCACCACAACCACCAACACTTTCTCCATTACTCCAGCTACCGGGACAGCTTTCCCACTGACCCTTCGTTACAGTGTAAGGATACTCAGTAGCTTATCCATCGTCGCAGCGTCTCGCGTGTTTTTTTTTCTCTCTCTACTTGGCACATAAGTACGTCCTAGTGACGCTTGGTGCTCGTGATCCGACAACGCAGTATATTTTGGGCGCGGCAAATATTGGCCGTTTCGAGGTGGTCCCTTATCCCACCCTTGCGCCCGCCACTGCGATTTGAAAGCATTTACATGCCCGAGTTACCGACAGACAAACGTGCTAGCAGGGTTGCCAAGAGTAGGGTGAACATGGCCACTTGAAGCCTACAGTTGTGACGTCATTCCTTACTTTCCCCCACTACCATGACGGGTAGTCCGTCATTTTCCTTCAAAATCCCTCAACTGGTCACACTGGTTGGTTTAGTTTATATATATGTATGTTATTATATAACCCTATGACGTACTGTGACGTCACATGACCATTATTTCGATACCTTCGCCTGGCATCCCTGCATGCTTAGGATCGAAACGAACGCGAAACTCAGACACAACGGATCAAGGGACACGGCGGGCACGGTAGTCAATCGTTTGTGGTTCCAGCAAGTATCCACCACACCGATGTAACCTTAATCAGCCAATATTTTCCGCTCCGTACCGTAGTTGCCATATCTTACCGCTTGATTCACTTTGTTTCAAGAAACCACTTAGCTACTTCTGCTACATTTTGGTAGCAGTGGTTCTCCTGGTATAAACTAACCTTCCAAACGAAACGCATCCTCGATAGTGAATGACGCACCCTCTGTTAAACGATCCGTCGAAGCTCTGCAGCGTTTGCAAGTGGCTATGAAACAACTACCAGCTTACAGTTATACCCTGTGCCAACTCGGGAAGCGTTGCTTAGACGATCGAGTCGACCAGAGAAAACGTTACACGCTGTTCGCGTTAAGTATCGTTGGAAAAAATCGAGAAGATGCCGGAAAAATAGGATCGTCTTCGAGTAATTCACTGGGGAGTTACAATTTGAAATTAATAATCCTCTAAACCAATGGATCTGATTAAAATCTGTTCACCAAAGCCTTCCGTATTCTTTATCGCTATGAACAGTGTTGCAAACGTTTCAATCACTGCGACCTAACACCTCATACGTGTTATGAAGCAACGCTTCCTCAAAATATTAGATTGGTCTGCCTTAACCTAGCTTCGTACTTTCCCCCAGTTTCTTTGGCTTCCTAATTAATTACTCTACCTGTTCTATTAGTTCGTCTAATTACTTCCTCATTTCCTTTTCTCAACCAATTTGCCTAAACATACATGTAAATAGTTGTGCTTCGCGGTCATTTCCTGCCATGTGCACGTACTCGATTGTTTCTCTAATCGACCAACCAAACGATTCGATGAACATAAAATTTTCTCCGTCGAGTGAACTGACAAGAAGACGAAAACTTTGAACATGATCGAGATCTCGTCGGGAGTTTTTGCCGTCTACTTGCCGATTATAGGTTAGCTTGAACAAGAAGGTTTGGAACGCGTGTTTTTGCTCGTACAAATCGAAAAGAAAAAGAAAAACAGTGTACGCGCGCTCGGATTGGTCAATCGGTTGGAGCAGTTCGATCGTTCAATTTATCGATCCGTCTCGAAAAATCACAATCGTCGATTTTTCTTTTTATTTCGTTCCAGTACCAGTTCTTCTCCAGACAGTTCGACGATGGAACCATAACGACGACAAGACGCTAAACCATCGTGCAACGACTGAACCGTCCGACGCGTGCAGCAAAAGGAATCATCGCAATCGTGCGAACGGTATTGATTTTTTAAGTAGAACGATATCGCAAGAAAATAGAAAACGCTGCTTGCGAATTTCATCAAATGTACGATACCAAATTGCGGTTCCGACGAAAATATTTTTCGAGGAACGCACGGGACCCAAATGAATTAATCGATGGAAGTTTCTCATTATATCGTGAAATCGAACGTTTTCAAACATTTCGAACGATTCAACTTTGATGAATCACAGCTCGTACCGTGCTATCGCGTTCCTTTTTCGACTGTGTACTAGATAAAAACATTCGAGGACGCGCGTAGCACGTACACACAAGAGCGGAGCGGCAGGGCGGACACGCAACAACGTCCGTCTTGTGTCCTATACGCATTACTGAAAGTAAACATTGTACTATTTCGTGTCTTCGCCGTGTAATAGGTGCGTGTACCTGCAGATATTCTTAGCCGCGTTAAAGGCAAGATTCGATGTTCTATTTAGTTTTCATTTCTGCGATAGAAAATTCAGGGTCTTCAGAGTCCAGATGTCAATTGTTGTATTATAGATTTTCAGGTAGATTTTTCTAAAAAAAAAAGTTTCGAAGTGATGCGGTTGCACGACCGCGCGTTCCCGTTTCTCGAGCAAAAACGAATCGACAAAAGGAATGTTTTTTGTCCTAACGACAATCTTGGTGTGTCGGAAGGCAAATGGAATTCAACGTGAACAGGGAGAGTGAAAGGGAAAGACGGTGGGGGATAAAAACAATTAAGCAAAAGGTAAAAGTACGAGAACAGTAGTGTTGGTTATTTACGGAACACGCGTTCATGGATAATCTTAACGTATCATATATTACGTATGCTCATCTGCGAATATACAATCGCTCTGAGAAGTAGCGGTCGTGCAAATCGCTAGGTCTCACGGTGCGTTCGGATGCACTGGTATACATATCCAATGGCGCGACTATTTTGCGCCAGTAACTTAAATATATTTACATTTTTGGCGGTATTTGCGCTTTTCGGTCATGTTTGAAATCTCGTAACCGATAACAGATATACATAAATTAATTCGGTATTTAAGAACAGATATTTAATATGCATCTACGTACGGTACCTGTGCATCATTTGCACGCTCATACTTGTGTCCAGATATGATACATATATGTATATACACGTAAGGAGCACGAGGCGCACGCAGAACGAACGGAGGAACGAGGGAGTGGGGGAGAAAGTTGCGCATGCGCTTGCGTTTGAAATAAAATAGAAAGTAGTGGCGATCGTTGCGCGATCCTAACAAGCCAAGTGTCCTTAAGGTTCGCGCGAAACGGTTCTATTGATGATCGAATTCGCGGTACCGAACCACACGGACAACTTCGAATATTCCTGGACAATCATGGACAATCATTTTCCAGTTTCACCGAGTGCTCGCGAAGTACTCTGTAAATCTTGCCTCGTGCGTTTCAAGAGTGGCGTTCGGCCACTCTCCTGTCGAGTCAATTACAAAGCTCGCGCAACGTCGACTCGACGACTGTTGCCGACTCTCGTCACGTCGCGGTGCTCGGATCGATTTCCGAACGAGCTTCGCGATATCCACGTGCTCCCGCGATCGGGGATAGCATAGCACGGTCAGGGAATGACAATCATTCTCTCGAAGCGTCGACTCCTCGAGCTTCGAGTGAACCCAAATGGCTTCTTTAACGTGTACCTGTTAGTTGATAATCTGTGTACAGTGCACTCAGTGATTCGGTGAACGATATATGTATAATTCGATCGTTTTGATCCTCTTTTGATGCTTGCAATGTGTCAAATGTGATTTATTTTGCACTTAAACCGCATCGAACGTTTCGAAAATTTCATTGAACTTTCTATGTCGTTCTATATTTCTCCGTTTTATGTTTCTTTACGACCCGTCGCGAATAAAATACAATAAAATCGTTCGATCGTTTTATCGGCTCTCGTCGAGACCGATTCATCGAGTGTTGCTTGCACCAAAGTCGAATTACTTGTATGTTAATATGCATATATGTTGTTACGCTGTCGTCGTTCTCTACACTACATCCGAAATTCTTGTAGAGAGTCGTCTATTCGACAAGCGATAGGTGGCGATCGATGTCCCAACGGAAATCTGTGTTCGCGGGTGTATAAATGAAATTATGTATTTCCTGTGAGATTCTTCACACGCGTAAACTGAAAATAAGATCTACCATTTCTTTCCGACTCGTCGGACCATTGTCCGATGCTACTGGTATGAGTGTACTATTCGTGTATTCTTTCGAAAGCTATAAATAAAGGAATGACGTATCAAGTCTATTGCGTTTGTAATGAGTTTCATTTGACTGACTTTTACCGACAGAATGTTTGTATAGGGAGGTTGTGCAGTTGCTAAAGCCGTGTCTGGTATTCTTCACCCGCTATTGTCCCGATCTTTTTATTTTTTAAACAATGTCGTTCCATTCAGAATCGTAACAGGGGCGGGGGGGGGAGGGTAGGGGACTGTAGCCCGGGCTCCACTTTCTAGGACGGCCCCCTTCGAAGTCTCCCATTTCGTTACATGTTATTTAATTTTGAGCGGCTTTCTAAGCCATATATACGCGACAAATACACGTACGTGCGCGAAAGGGTTGAAGATGAAGGAGCTGCCATGACCGAGCAATAGAGGGATGCATGTCGCTGTGTTCCACCGTACACGCAATTGCCAATCCCATGGAGCAAAACGTAGTAACTGGGTGTACGCAGTTGTGTATACACAATACAGTCCTATTTTCTGCAAAGGACAAAATACGTGACATCCGAAGGGACACTTGTGAGTGACGAAAATACTATTCCCTCAACTTTCTCGGCGAAAGGCTGGACTAAAAGCGATTCTTTGCAAGAAGAATGAAGCTCTCACAGACTCGTATCAATAATAACGAAACGAGCGATATGTGCAGGCTATGCCTCTGCACCGACGTCAAGTCTAGGTCCATATTTAGGGAAGGACCGACGAGCGAACATGTACGTTCACGTATTCTCGATTGTTGTCCCATCTCGGTGAGTCTAGCGATCTTTTTGTTTATTTCGCCCCTCTTGATAGGCAGGAATATCCTGATGCCATTTTCTAATCGTATTTAGCTATTCGAAGACGTTCACCTGCCAAACTCGATTTGTCGTCGTTGTGAGGACAAGTTAGACGTCACTTACGAATTTCGGCAGCTGTGCAGAGAATCAGAGCGCGTGCTACGCGCGCGATACGAGTTTAATTATTTCAACAACACATGCCACGTAACTCCCCTCAACCGTGATGTCGTTCGGGTAAGTTCGGGTAATTGTACATCATACATCTCACACACACGGGGTCTCTTCAGCATGCTTCGGGGGCTCCGTGACCCCACATTCTCAGCCCACGTGATCGAAGGCGCCTCCACCGGGGCCTCCGTGCAGGGTCTATGGCGCCTCCACCGGGGCTCTGTGACCCCACACTCTCACCCCGCGGGGTCTATGGCGCCACCACCGGGGGCTCCGCGACCCCACGGTCTCTCCACACGTGATCAATGGCGCCTCCACCGGGGCTCCGTGACCCCACGCTCTCACCGCGCAGGGTCTAGGGCGCCTCCACCGGGGGCTCCGCGACCCCACGGTCTCTCCCCACGTGATCAATGGCGCCTCCACCGGGGCCGCCTGCAGGGTCTATGGCGCCTCCACCGGGGCTCCGTGACCCCACGCTCTCACCGCGCAGGGTCTATGGCGCCTCCACCGGGGGCTCCGCGACCCCATGGTCTCTCCCCACGTGATCAATGGCGCCTCCACCGGGGTTCCGTGACCCCACGCTCTCACCGCGCAGGGTCTAGGGCGCCTCCACCGGGGGCTCCGCGACCCCACGCTCTCACCCCACGTAATGTAACTATCGATTTATCTTTCAGGGTCGCGACGTTCGAACGGGAGAACGTGGGCGAATATCAACCAGTGATTCGATCGACGAAGAGAAGCTGGGTAACGATCACGAGAACGAGACAGCATCACATGGAAAGGATCCGACGCGATCTTCATCCGACGAGCGGAGAATCGAGCGAACGAATGGAGGATCTAGAGAAGAATCGGCTGCGAAATATATAGGAGCTTGTATTGTGGGCAATGTGCAAGTTATTCACGATAAATGCGAAGACAGAGACGAGGAGACCGTGAAGCCGATAGAATCGTTGGAAGTTCCGTCCGAGGTAGACAGAGAGTTTGACCGATCAGTGACGAGGACATTCTCTGTCCTAGAACAGCGAGAAAACGTGAACCTCGGGAAAACAACACGATCGATCGACGATGAACAGGGAAAGCCGTACCTCTGCGACGTTTGCAGCAAAACGTTCGCCTCGAAATCTGGTTTAAGGTTTCATCTGAAATCGCACGTCGGTACAAAGCCTTACTCGTGCCGATATTGTAGCAAACGGTTTACGATTCCGAGTTACGTAAAGAGACACGAGAGAATCCATGGGGGTGACAAACCATTCATTTGTCACGTTTGCAGCGCCGCGTTCGCCTCCTCGAACGGCCTGAGATATCATCTGAGATCGCACACAGGCGAAGCGAACTATCGGTGCGAGATTTGCGGCAAAACGTTCTGCCGGCACAAATACCTGAAGGAGCATATCTTCACCCACACCGGCGAGAAACCGTTTGTCTGCCGGATCTGCGGTACCGGTTACGGTAGTTCCGGTAGCTTGTTCGTTCACGAGAAAAAGTGTAAATATAAATCGAATGTGGAAACGTACCTTTAGCATGGAGGTGGCTCTCGATAGATTGCCACGACCGAGGCTGTAGGAAAGTCAAATTATCGGACGTGGTAATGTATCGAGAGTTCAGTGTATTCACGATTTCGTAAAATGAATTTTTTGAATGGGATCACACTCACCGATCGAGGAACAGAATTAACAAGGAAATACAAAAAAAACAATGTTTATTTCGTTGCGGTCTAACGTAGATTCGAGACCGAGAGACGCGAGCATGGCGCCATCGAATGTCGTCGTCGCGTTCTACCGTTAATTTCAAGGGGTTAGAAAATCTCGGTATTGACGAGTGTATACAGACGTCGATAGGCGAAACGATCGAACGCCTCCGATCTCGTGGTTAACCGTGAACAACAAACAGTCTTTGGTATCACAAGAAAAAAAATTGTCCGACGTCGAGTCGTTACCGCGATCGTCGACAGTCCGGGTTTCTGCGCACGGACATCTCCGAGGAAGCGATCGACATCCATTGGCTGGTGTCGGAACGGAACCAGGACAGTCCCAACGAGTATTTGCCGTTCAGATTCGCGTGTTGGCAACGGCTGAACCACCATCCACCGTGGTAGTTCCCGGCACAGTGAACCGGGCTGTCGTCCATGTCGCGATCCTTGGCGCTGAACGACATCCCGTTCTGATAGGAAAGTGCATCTGTCGCGTTCCCCGTGTAACCACCGACACGCAGTCTGTACCCGGTCTCCCGTGAGTCGATCGCGAATGAATCGTACTCGGCTTGCCAGCGTTCGCCGTATATGTCTAACAAGTCGACTCGAAGCCTCGTGCAATTGTCCCTGGTGAGCTCGTGCAGGATCCCGTTGCCGATCCAGTATTCGCCGACCGGCGAACCGAAACCGAGGGCGTAATCGTTCCATGTACGGTCGAAATCGAGGGTACCGTCGGTACGACGCGCAACAACGATCCATCCCTCGCGACAGTAAACCAACATCGGTCTACGTCCTTGACCCGGTTCCACAAGCCTGAGCCCGTCCCTGTCCGATCGATCGTCCGTGGATCGTTCCTCACAACTGGCCGGCAGTCTGTCCACGATCAAATGATACCGATCCTCGAGTTTCTCGAGTTCCAGCTCTAACGCGAATTCGAGCTGGTTCGGTGCTGTTGGCGGCGGTGACTGGCTGGCCACTGATCGTTTTTCTCTTGCAATTTCGACGCGCTGACGCTCAACGCCTGAACGGCTCGGCGCAGGTTGCTCAGTTCCTCGCGGGTCAACGAAAGCTCGGCCGCTTTCCGTGCAGCGTTCACGCCCAGTCGTACCAGTTCCCGTTTGATCACAGTGTTGTTCGACTCGACGACCTCCTCGAGAGCTCGCAGCGAACCGAGCACCCGCGACCCGATCGACTCGCCGATATTCTTCGTCGAGACCGCGTTTTCGCTGACGTTCGCGATTCTTTGCGACAATTCCGCCTGATTCTTCTCCAAGCTCTTCACACGTTTTATTATACTGGTCGGCAATTCTTGGGACTCGTACGCGATGTGTTTCGCGTCCAGCATAGCCCGACGCTGCGACGACAACATAGAGACACGGCGTTCCAAGCTTTTCAGACGGTCCTCGACGCGGACACGACGATGCTCATCGCCATGTCGCGAATAACCGTGCCGCCTGGCGAGTCGATGGTGAATCGTCGCCGCGTTACGATCCGCATACACCGTGTCGATATTGTTTCGTCGATCGTTCTCCCAGCTCGCGGCGACCGATCTACCTTCCGATTGCTCGCCCCGTCTGCCTGTCATCGTGTTGCTGGAATCTGTCGACGATTGGCAACCAACAGATTTCACCTCGATTTGGACCGCGCTGAGCTGCAAACATACACGAGTCCTTGAAAGTATTAACGGTACAGATCGATTATTGCTATCGATGAATTTCAGCCATTAATGCTTTTCAATGATTCGCACATCGACGTGTACACCTATGCACAGTCGATCTAGCCGTGGAAAAGGTTCCGAGAATTCTCACTTTTGTTTAGTACGCACGGTATTCGAACGGCAGCTTCGAAGAAAAGGAAAGAACGCACGTCAGCTGGCTGCGCATACGCGGGTTCGATGGTCCTCGACCCCCGTGTATACACGCCTGTTGCAGCTGTCGCGGCGGACGCGTCTATGGACTCTATGGTTCGACCGTTTCTCTATCGTATACCTGCCGCCGCCTGCACACGATTCCACCACCAAACGCAACACCCCAAATTCTTCCATCGTGGATAAATGTGAATCGACCGAAACTCGCGTGCCACCCACGACCGTAAAAATCGATACACGTAGAAGTGAGGGAGAATCGAACGGGTGGACAAATCGATCGAGTGTACCGATAACTTACAGAAATTGACACCGATAGTCGAACAGACGCGCGAAGGGAATGTTACACGGGACAGCTGCGAACTATGGAAACTAAGTGCGCACGGAATTCTTTCGGCTCGAACGAGCATGCAGCTGTTTCCGTCGTTCCTCGACCGTCACGATTACATACCGCACAATGATATCTACGATGGAAGAAACTTTTGCGCCCTTAAGAAGGTTAAGAAATTTTCCCCCCTTTCAGCTAACGACTGCTTTGCCACAGACTATACGTAAACGACGTTAGTACCGCGAACGGTGTTTGATTCTTTTCACTACTCATTTTGCTGTGTTTACAAAACAAATAAATGTACTAGATTTTCAACGCGAAATAAACAAGCAAGCTACTACAGTGGCGTATCGTTCAATAATAGAAATGGCGTGAATTGCTACTTGCAAGTTATGAGTGATCACATTCCTTCTCAATCGCGGTGAGTTTTCAGTGATTCTGGATTTTTCGTGATCGTTTCTGATTGGTGAGAAAACATAACGACGGTTGTCACTTAAAGAAATGTCACTATAATGGCATAGTAGCTGAAAGATTAATTCAACAATGCGCCCTCGTCAAGGCGTTCCGTTTGATTCGAACCGATCTCGCGTTATTTATTATTATTGTATTTTTCTCGTCCAACATTGTTGTTGAACGGCCTACAGCGGCGGAGGGGGAGAGTATACAAAACGAAGACTCGAAATCGAGGCAGATGCGCGTCCGAACGGGCCCTAGCAGGTGGACAGAAGGATAAGGAGAACGGGCGAAGGAAAAAAAAATGGTACGACGAATAGAGGGAAAGTAGCGTGTGCACCTTGGCCGGGATTGAAAAGGGATGGCGAACCAGAGAGAAAAGAGAACGGAATGGGAGAGACGAAGAAAAAAAGAGTGGGGGGGTGGCAAGGGGGACGTTACCTGACTGGCAATGTCGGCGCAGGTGCGAGATAGCAGGCTGAAGCGTTCCTTGACCGCCGTGATATCAACGCGAATCGTGCCCAGGACCGCTTCGAGCTTGGCGATTCGACCGCCAAGATTTCGAATTCCTTTACCAACCGCCGCCACGTCCCCCTTCAGCATCGCGAGCTCGCCTCTCATTCGAGATCTCTCAGCCAGCTCCTCACTTGCGTTTCTGGTCCTCAGAACTTCGGCGACCTCCCCTTGAAGCTCGGTCACCGCGCTTCCCAGCCATCTGACCCGTAATCGTTCGTTTTTCGCCTCGTTCCCGTTTCCGCCGCGCAACGCGTTCACCTCTTTCCTGGAAACGAACACCGTCGAACACAGAGATCGTCAACACCATATTTCCACTTGTCATGTTCCTCCTGTCGCTCGCTTAAACCCTCTGTGGCCTGAAGTTGTTGTTTTACGACTAATATAATAATGTATGTAACGCGAAACCAGAGCTGATAATCTTATCGGTTATCAAAGAGGGGTTATAGACACGATGTTTACGCCACATAGCGGGAAAATATTAAATGAGACCAAAACAAATATGTATCGATATATCGGTATGTGATTTCAAAGCGACACGGGACTACAGAGGGTTAACGTGCGTAACAAACACGCAGGGAGAGAGGGGGAATAGATAGGCAAAAAGGGACCACACCTTACCTGAGTTGTTTGACTTCGTTCTTCAGAACGAATAATTCTGTGTTCTTCTCCATCGCTCGCTTCAGACTTCCCTCGAGGGCATTGTAATCCTGTTGTCTATGGTCCAGAAGAGCGTTGACTTGCTCCTGTAGCGATCGTATCGCGTCGGAAACGTCCTCGTCTTTGGCACAGATACTCCCGAGCAACAGCACGAGGACGAACGTTACGCGAAACAACCATGCTTCACCGGTCATATTTTAACCGTGAACTACCGACAAGTTGTCCGCCCCCAACAGGCGCGGGCTAACGATAACTCTAACTATTCGTCGTATCTTTTTGCAAATTCTTATTATCTCGACTATTTTACACCTATGAAATATATCGCTTGCGTTTTCCGAAAAAAAAATGTTCAACGTACACACTCCACAACAACAAGTCTGCCCGCCCGCGATGCACGAATGTCGGAAGCTCACTGGCCCGAGCACATGCCGACCCACCAGTTTTATATCGTCCACGGTACTTTCCGTAAATGGTCGGGGGTAAATGGGCCGGCCCCCGAAGCCAGGTTCGGCCGGCTGGCCGGCCCCAAGCCCCGACGGAGCAGGTGTGCGTTTCGTAACGCCGCATTGTCCCGTGCCTGCAAGCTGCGCCCCTCGTATATGTACTGACGCCACACGCTACCGACCACCGATACCATTGGGCCATCCGACACCGTTCGCCGATTCTATATACCACGACCGTTCGCACCCTAATACTCCCCCATTCTTTTTTCCGCTAGAGCCAACTCTGCTCGCGGGACCCCAACTAATTATTCTCCTTTACTCTTCCTTATTCGACCGTAATTCCTTTCTTTTTTCTACCCCTCTCTTCTGTTACCCGAGAAACATGATAAAATTGTATGGTTCTCGTTATTGTCGATGCTTGGATAATCTTCGACCTCGCCGTTTTCAGGCGGTCAAATGGTAAGAATTATTTGGTGAAACCTAAAATCATCTTGGTTGCAGTTTCGAAAAGGTTTTCACCTTACTGATTTTGAGGAAACTTGGTGAAATTGTACCGAATACTCCTAAATGAACGTATGTAAAAAATATATTTGGTGGAATTTGAGTGGACCTTTTCGGAACTACATCCATCGTCTTATGTTAAAAAAAAAACTTAAACATTTTTTCTAAAAGGACGAGAGACATAGGGGTGAATGCGTGTGATGGACTTTACCGCGTTAAGGTCAATAATTTATTGAAAACAGCTTGTTCCCTAACAAGACCTAAAATCCTATGTTTCTAAGAAAGTACCGTTCTTAAGGTACCGTTTTTTTAGGGGGGGGGGGCACCGTATACCGACGAGAATGCACCGCGAATGACCGGTATTGGGATTAACGCGACGTAGCAATTCGTCACGAATACGGTGCAATTCGATACAATCGAACGTTATCGAATCTTGAAGAGATTCGCGCCTGAAGTCGATTAGTTTTTCGGTGTATATTTGTCCGCCATTAATCGATCTTCTTCCTGAGAAACGAGAAACAGAAGGCAACCTTTTTGCCCGTTGTCGCGAAGAAACCATATGTTCACCGATAATCACCGTGCGCGCCCCGTAAAGGTGTGTATCCATTTGTTGCGTATACTCGTATCGTATCACCGTTGCGTATCATCATACGATACATTTTCCTACGCAACGATGAAACACTTGCCCGTCCACGTTGATACAGAACAAGTCGATGCCCACCTTGACATATAAGTGCAAGGGTGATCACGATACTTCCGTTTTCGAAGTAACCGACCGATGCATTACACGATTCTTATCCTTCCGAGTGAAATTTTATGTACAGAACTAATAAAAATACACTTTTTCCACGAATCCAACGGTCATATGTATAGGTCTCTCCTAATCTCGTGCTAACACGCGATACACTAGTAAATGGCACTCTCGTTTTTCTTCCATCGGTTCAACGAATCGAATGAATAGAATATATATATATGTATCTGACAGAACTAAGGGACGTTCGCTCTGTGAAGAACGAGCTTACTCGGTAGACGCTATTTTGGACACATTCGTTACGACGAAAGAGGGATGCACTGTGGAAGAAGTGATGCTCGAACGAATCATCATCGTCGTGCGTGTCGTTGTTCCTTTACGTTTGTGCTGATCCGTAGGTTCCCGTAGGTGGACGATACAGTTTGGGAAGCGTCAGAATTTGCAGGCTATTGAACGCGTATTTCCGAATCCCGATATTCTTCCAGGTGTTTTCTCGACGGCATCCCTCGCTAGAATTAAAAAAAAAATTCTTCGAGAAATGCCTCTCGCATATAGTCTACGAAACGTAACGAAAACGAGATGTTTCACACGCTGTGGAAAGTACGGTGAACATTTCTGTCCTCGCAGAGACTTGCATACTGACCTACGCATACAGTCAAGAGCTCTGGTGAATTCGTGCTCGGCCAGATGATACTCGCTGGTCAAAATGTTCACTTGCTCGAGGGTAATCGACATTCCGGTGCGATCCTTTGCGCTTTTGCAACTGGTGAATCTGAGTCCGCGCATTCGTCGACAAATCTGCGAGGACAGCTGCAGGATCTCGACGTTTTTGTTCACTTTGGCCTGGACGCTCGTCTTCAGATTGGCCATTAGCTCCGCCAACGTTTGACCGAGCGGCGATCTCGTACCGACTGAAGTGGAGAAATATATATGAAAGAATTACAAATTCTCGTCGCAAATGGTGTACGATATAGGGTCCTAGGAAAAGGTAAAGGCTTACGTCGAGTCGACGCCGTCTCTGTAGGCAGGTTCAGCTTTTTGAATCGCAGATAATATTCGTTTAATCGGTCGAAATTGTCCATGTTGCTCTTCTCTTGTGGTTTCGTGGTGCCGAGGCTCTCCGCGAGGGATGCCATCTCGTTTATCCCGACGTTGAAAAACACAGGAGTGATGTTGAACGAAATTGTCTGTCTAGCGGAGGGTACCAACGGCAGCAGAGAATAAATCGCATCCGGCACGGGAAGCATCACCGTTAACGCGGCGCGGGAGCCGACTACTCTCGGTAGTGGCAGTTGCGTCAATGAAACGTTGCAGTTCCCCTCGAGTCTGAGGACAAAGAAGAATATTCTAAATCAGACAATAAATTATATACCAAGTACTATTTTAGACAAGAAGATAAAAAATTGTGGAAGGAAATTTAGAAATGGGTACTCGTTGAATTAAAAATTCTCTTCTACGATTAATTTTTTAGTGTATACTATGTGCTGTCACTGTTTGTCTTTTTATTTTGTCATGTTACGTATGGTTACTGGGCCATAGGATGACTAAACAAATCGTACGTGACTAGACGGAATTCATTGCGCTTATCGTTCAATGATCTATGTAGAATATTACCTACCTTGACTGAATGCCGCATCTGGTCAAGGTGAAGGTGACCGTGTGCATATCCTCTACTGCGACGGCCATGTCCCCCCACATGTCTATCTCGTCCCCGTAATAGCTCAGAAGACCCTCGAACGAGACCAAAGGGCCAAGAGTTGTTAAAATTAATAGAAACATGGGATCCGGCCTTTGACACCACAACTTCGCCATTATGCCTGACACCAAGCTGGTCAACTGGAAAACAACAGGAAGAACATTGTAATTTTTCAGAGAATCGTACGACGAGTCGACGAATTTATACGGGTCGTACAAAATGCTTACCGCTTGACTGAAACACACATCACGCCTGTAACGAACGTTACAAGTACGCTGCGCCGTCTTTGCATCCTCTTGCACTCTGAACACCGAATGTGTTAACCTAGCGGTCTTCAAAAGCCCGTCCATAGCTTGTCTTAGCTTCTTCATACTTGGCCTGAGCTCGCTCGTCCAATCGACGATCGAGGCGAAGTCCAGACCCTCGGTGAATTTATTTCTGTGCCCTGAATTGCTTTTGATCACCCTTGTCATCGAGTCGACCGCCTGGCACACTGAAAACAATGAAACAGCGAACGATGAGCGACAATGTTGCCCAAACAGGAATTAACCTTTTATACATTTCAATCAGCACTGGATCAAGAGGGGGTTCTATGGGGGGCTCTAGCTACGGGCCCCGTTCTGTACCTTACATTTCATTAAGATTAAACGTTATTTAATTTTATTTAAAATAAATTTCAATTTTTTAAGATTTTTGTATTTTTGCCCTGGACCGCGAAAAATCTTAATCCAAGCCTGATTTCAATCCGTAAAAAGTTTCTCACCTTCTTTGGCTTTCGATAAAGCCGGCGTCGTTTTTTCAGATCCAGGACTGGAATGTTGACGCGCGATAACATGATTCTCCACACCGTCGAGAAGCTTACTCGACTCGTCGTTCTTGATATCGTTCTTCGGTTGAATCGTCACAACTGCCGCGATTTGATTCGTGACATTCGTATGGCATCCTTTCAAGCTTTGCGAACGCCCGACAATATTCTTGTTACGCAAACGTACAGCCGGACTGCTGCATCTACCGCAAAGAAATTTCACTTTCGACACCAGGCACATCACGCTCGCCTCGATGTTCAACTGCGTCAGATCCCACGGTTCTGGTTCGTCCGTCGGCTTGTAATAATTCGCGGACGGTGAATTGCACATTTTCTGCGTGTCCAAAAATCGTTTACACGGATCGATCTCGCCCTTCATCTCCTCTTTCTCTTCGTTCTCCTCTACCTCGACGATCGTGCTGTTTGCGTTCGTATTACGATTCGCGTTCTCGTTGTCGACATCGTTGTCGGGAACGCTGTGATTGTCATTACCATCGTTTTCGTTGTGCTCCGCGATAGTTGCCGGGTGACCGACGTTAATGGCACTGCGACACGTCTCCACGTACAATTTCATTTCCGTGTCTCTGTCGATACTCTTCTCAGCGGCCGGAAATATCAAGAAATTCTCTTGGATCGTCGCTTCGTCGTCGTTTTCGATTGGACTAATACGTTTGGAAGCAACGCAATTGCCCAGCGAGAAGAACGACGACGGATAACTGTTCTTCTCGTTCTCCTTCATCCACAGATCTCTCACGTATTCCGGTGTGTCCGGTGTAACGAAATCATCGAAATCCGGACTTTTCAAGTCGAAATTCAATTGCTGAGTGATACGCTTGAAGGGGGACAAGGTCTGGTTCGCTTTCAGCTCGAGATTATGGATGTCTTCGTCGGCATCCTCGGGGACCTTGGCGAGTTTGTGTTCCTCGAGAAAGGTTAATGCTTCCTCGACCAGACCTGGGTCCCAGAGACTGAGCAGAATCCTGGTTTTCGTGATCATATCCTCGCAGATCGGCAACATGCCGCTGGTTTGCTTCTCTTTCGCCAGTTTCATCAGAGCACGCATCGCGTCGACCACGTCCCGGCGAAGTTGCTTGATCGCTTGTATCGCGTCGTGCGCCATCGTGATCTTCGAGGTTCCTTGGTACAACTGACTGCCTCGGGTCGGCGATTCTTTCAAGGCTTGCACCAATCTAAAAGAAATCTTCTCGTATCTCACCGACTTACACGCCCCACTTGAATTCAAGTTTCGAGTCTGATACCGTGATCTCCGTCAATTTACCTTATGAGACCTCCGTTCTTGTTTTTATGGGAATGCGCGGTGAACGCTCCGACCGTTATAAAGTCGTAAAATCCGCACTTGTTCAAGGTGTCATTGTGAACCCACATTCGTTGAAGATGTAGATTCAAAGGAGCAAACTCGAGCGTTCTATCGTTTCTGCGAGATGACCGTTTGAAGTAGCTTCCTGAGAAAGACACGAAACGAATGATGAAAAGTGAGGGGAAGACTTTATTCCAGAAAGTCACAAAACGGCACAATCACCTTTGAAAGCTGTCAAATTTTCTTTAGCCTGCGAATAGAGGTGCAAAAGGTGCAGGTGACGATCGAGCAACTCGACTTGCTTGGTGTGCCAGGGTTCTCGTAGTTCGCCCATCCCAGCGACTTCTTGCAGCAATTCTTTCTCCTCTTGAATCCAAATCGCGCTGGGAAGATCGTTGGAAGAATCGTTTGTTTTTTTTTAGATTCACGGATCGTAGGCGTCGTTGGACGACAGAGGTTAGGTCATGCGTGCACGTGGGGTGCAATACTCACAGTAGATTTTGCGGGAACTGAAAGCAGAGTTTACTCTCGGCCATGATCTCGTGGACACAGATATCCCCCCCTAAGCCGGAGTGAAACCTGAAACGGCGATATTGCACAAAACACACCATCGGAGATGATACGACAAACGGGTAATAACTTTTCGTTCGTCGCGCACAACGTACCTGTACGTTTGTACATGTGGATTCGCGAAAAGAAGCTTCAGCTGACCTTGATGCGGTAACTTGATCTTCGTTCCTAGTCGCGGGGGCAACGATTGCGAACGCCTGTGCGCGAGTACCTGCCGGATCGCGAACAAAGTCGATGATAAATCACTGATTTAATTTTCTCTTTTGGTAAACGACTATTTGGCCACCGATAGCTCTAACGAACGAAGTCACGTGTACCTGCTGATTCGGCCCGGCTGTGCACTCCTTCGACGGAGTGCTCTCCGTGCTGTTACCTTTGTCCTCCGCCTCTAGATTCCATACGTTGATCGTCAGGAAGCCGACGGTGGTCGTTTTCGCGGACTTCAACGGTATCCTCAACCTGAAACGATCCGATTGCTAGTCAGAGACGCGACAGCTCGACGAACCTCGAGACGAAAGGATGGGAAAACGCGATCGCGAGACCAGGTTCGCTAAAATTACCTGGGAGTATCCTGAATCGCGTTCAGGGTCACGATCACGCTCCCGATCGGCGTCGCCGTTTGGCTAACGCGTTCCCTCACGTCGTACGCGGTTATCCGGACTTTCGTGTCAGTGTTCAATCCATCGCTAACACGAAAGCTCACGGTGGTCAGGAAACCGGGATTGCTGCTTCGCTGCAAAAACAACGGGATCGTGAAACGGAACAGGACAACGGATTTTTCCTGAATAAAACGTTTCAGCTTTACCTCTACCACTTCTGTCCGCGCGTATTTGATCCACATTTTCGAGCCTCTCGACTGAACGTCTATCTCTAGAACGGGATTAGGTGGCCGACCGTGACCGTCGCAAAGAAGATTGTCGCACGCCAACGATACCTCGCACATCGGTATTTCGGCGGGATCTGAAAGAAACACAGGGATTATAATTAATCGTGAAAGTCGTCGAATAAATATAAGAAGAAACTCATATGTATTCGTTTTAGACAGTGTTGCCAGATCAAACAACTTATCGCAATTTTGGACGACCTTTTTGTAGAAATCGGAAATCGCAAAATGAACAATTTCAAATTTATACTGTATATTATACAGGGTGATGCAAAAAAAGGGTTCATAACTTCAAAAAAATAATATTTTGACGAGTACTATCTACCCTAAAAGTTGGGAACCCTTTTTCTGTATCATCCTGTATATATTTTCATGTATATGTACTTTAATTTGAAAATCCTACGTTAACAGTGTCTTCAAGATTTTTTTTGCAGCACTACTATATACCTATATTACTGTGTTTGCAAGAATCTTATAAAAAAATCTAGCAACGCTGATTGTGGACGAGTCAAACCTGTCGAGACCCCGCGTTGCAACCGTAACATTTGAATGTCCGTGTCGTGTTTGTGCCCGCTAAACGCCTCTATTCGTTGCCGCAGTGCCAACAGCTGACTCCGCATACACTCGTAGCTGGCCAGCTGAAGTGCCTGCAACCAACTGTCTCGTTCCTCGGCCGTGTTTGCCCCTAACGCTTGAAACAGACCTCCGTCGAAAACTAAAACGACCAATTAAACGGTTACTGGTTTCTTTTTGACCAGTCGCTGCAACGTATCACGTTGTAGCCTTTGGTACGACGTAACAGAAAAGAAAACCAAAGAGGCTTACCTATACTGAATCCGTAGGGAACCTGATTGCTCGGTTGTTCCACACGAACGAAGCATTGCTCGAGTATTATTACTCCCAACGGTTCCGACCATTGCTCCCGCGATTTGAAATAAAACAATAGGTTCCCCCGTAGTCTGCACCACCTCTCGAAACTTACTATACAAACAGAGAAGAATAACGGTTTTTCCTCGTTACATTTCCGACTTCAACGGCATCGTGAATTTGCAAGAAACTTTCGGGAAGTGTTCGCCGATGATAACGTTTAAAAAAGCAGAAAGAACGATCAATGAGACCACACACCTTTCTTACCTCGATGATCGAAAGAACAAAAATCACGAGACGGAGAGAGAGAGAGGGAAGAAAATAATGGGAAACGAAAAGGTTATGAGGACGCGTATTTCGTGTATGTTTTATGGGTACGTATATACATATGTGTATGTAATGTCATATTAATAAGGACTCAGATGATTCGATACACTCATGGTTTCGTGATGCTTCGATCGAAATGCGCAAAGAAAACACGTGCAGGACACTCCCGATAATCTACGAAAGCGAATAACTGAAGGATAGAAAGAGAGAGCATGCCAGGCAAGTGTGTTAACGTTGTGTGAGATGTATTGTTGGAGATCAAATTACTCGTGCAAGAAATAACACATACATCACGACCTTCAGAATTTTCTCGTCAAATGGGGGAGCAGAGCGTCCAAGTGAAAGGAATGAGAGCGTAAAAGGACATTAAGGATGAGGTGAATTTATATAAAAGCACCAAGCCATTTACCGTATGCGTCGGTGCTCGCACACATTTTAAAAGTACACATCCGTTGAGGAAAGAAACCGCTTCGATTCGATTCGATACAACTCGACCCGATTCGACTCGGTTTTCAGCGACAAGCGTGTTAATCGCAATAAATCAAGTTAAGACAGCGAAGGGGGGGAGTGGGGGAAATGATTTTGGGGGAAAAAAAGAAACAAAAACTCGATTATACCTTTACTCGTACTGGCAGTAACGCAACTGAAGTCTCGTAGTGTCTTATGCGTTTTTCCCTTTTGAAATTTGTTGTCAGATTTTTTACCTGTACCTGGAAATTATACGTAGCTACAGGTATATTTTTTAATCTCTCCCAAAATTTGAGATCGAAAGTGGCGTTTTCATGTGCGTGCTAGGCGCGTCTGGCTTTTCCACTCTCTCTACGACGAGATTATACTTGTCGCTTGTTTCGTTATTGTCCGTTGCCCTATACGCTCCTGCTTTGAATTCCCGATATGCCAGAGTTAGGCAGAATTTTATTCGAATAATACACAGTGAAAAGCAGCAGTATCTAAGCGTGTCGTTCTGAGCTTTGAACAGTTAATGAGATTAAATAATTGTTCGACAAATGTCGATTCATTCATAAAGAAGTATTATTTTATTATAAAAATTGAAATTTCCACGTTTAAACAATTAGAAATGACGAAATAATTTTTTTATCTTTTATTCGTTATTCGAAACTTTTTATCTAGATAATGAGTTTGCCCATCTCTGCGATATGCATTGCCATCAACCATACATATACATAACCGCGAAATTTCTTTATCCCTTCGTCATAATAATATTTATTAAACAGGTAACACACTTTATGCTTATTCCCAATGTTTACTTGCCTTGTAAAAATGATTGAAAAGAATATATGTATGCGGTTCGCGAAACGGAGAAACCCATTCTCGATGCAACACATTTGCGTAACAGTATAACCTAACTTCAAAACCCCTGCGTAACCGTGACGCGCGACCGATCTATCGAGAAACAAATTCGATTCGCAAAATTCCGACCGTTTGACGAAACGAACTTTGAAGGCATGCTCAATGCGAGCTCGCATAATTCTTCCAGGAATATAACCGGAAACAAAAACAGGCACACTATCAACGGTTCTACAAAGTCGAAGATACAAACTAAACGAAGATAAATCTACCTGCCTTTGGCAAAACGTCGTTGATACAGTGTTTCTAGGACTCTGCAACATCCTGAATTTTAGTCACTAGTTTAGAGTTAGAGTTTAGTTTAGAGTACACTCAGTACCGCCCTTAGCAGTGCGAAGTTAGCACCGAGTATGCAGGGCACTTGACACGGGCCTCGTGCTAAGGGTCTTCTGCATTTTGTCAAAATTGAAATAGAAAAATAAGATTATTTGTTTTCGGTTACATGTGTTTAATGATATTGACTTTTGCAACCGGGCTCCGCAAACTTTAGGGGCGGCTCTGAGTACAGTAAAATTAATTTTATTATTTGACTTGTCAGAAATATCGTGTGATTTTTCTATAAATTGCAAAATCTAATCCACGAAAAGTCTACATTTTCAATGGAATTACTGCAAGTCCAGTTCAATGGAATTGTTCTCTATTTTGTATAATTTCGATACTAACCCAGAAAAGAAACAACAAAATTGTATCGCATGTTCATCGTTTACAATGCACAGTGTGACACATATCTCGAAAGTTGAGAAATGTAAATATAGAACGATCTCGATTCGGGATGTTGCGTAGAGCTACGGATACCCTTGTAAAATACAAGGATTGCACGAGGTCGACAAATTCTTCGTTACACGACGAGAAACTTTTTGATTTACGGTCCCGTTTCATGCGTGAAACGCGTACGGGTCGACATGTCGACGCTCGTCGGTTCGTCGATACAGGTGAACGCCGGGTAACAACACGTTTGCGGACCATCTCGAATCTTGTAGGACGATACTGACGAGCGACGTGATTTACGGAACGTCGTGCAATGAAAACGCTCGAGTTCCGAGACGCGGGAATATACAATGAATGTATTACACGAGCATCGTGTTCTTCGAAAACGGATGATGTGGGCTCTACATTAAACAGACGACGAAGAATTTGCGTGTCACGTGAATTTATTTTTCAAGGATCAAACATGTTTAGAATTCAGTCGGTTTTAAAAACAGAGGCAATCGGTCGCGGCTATGATATCATTCGCATTTGCCAAGAATTGGATCACTCACTCTCTGTTCTGCGAAAGAAGCCTTCTTGTCGCTCGCGTACGTATAATATACCCTCCTTCTCGAATTTTTGCGAAGGTTGCGTAGCCAGAGTCAGCAGTTCTTGCTTGTTGAATCGCATCTCGGAACTTGAAACACGGGTCCTTCGGTTACACCCACCTTGTCCCCGTCAATGATCCGTATTACGTGCTTTCTCTTATCCTCATCTGTTAACAAGCAGATCATTAACGACACGCATCTCGAATTCTTTTCTGGTTTCTTTTTTGGATTTCGTAATACATGTTAAGTCGAGAGCAAGATCGACCGACACGACGAATGGGAAATTATATTTGTGTTTCTCTTTCGATTCTTGAATTCTGTCGAAACCGTGCGTGTCGTTGCGTTAAGTCAATGACATCTCTAACCTATTCCATCCTACGCGTCTTGCGCCCTGCGTTACATGCACACATAGGCGTACGCGCGCGCACACACAACACTCCCTTCTTTCCTTCCTCTCGCTCTATTCACGGTATCAATCATTTCTTTTTCGTGTAATCGCTTTTCTCGACACTACGCGCACGTTTTTACTCTCGATAATTAACAGACACAGCTGGAAAAGCCACAATGGGAACACAATCTCGTTCCTGAATTAGAAATTCCTGGATTCATTATGAACAAAACAGACCAACCTCCGTGGGGACAAATAATCATGCGATGTCCTTTTGGAAATCATGTTTATTCCGCTCCTTTTCCTCGTAACAATTCGTTCCAACGAACATACGCATGGCGTTCAATGTTGAATAGTACCAAAACGAGATATGCTAGTGTCTAAAACAAATTTGAGGCGGCACGTTGTAACGATTAACAGTGAATGCGCGTGTGTGTATATACATTTAAGCGAAAGCGCATGCTTCTGGACGGATGTGCATGCAGCAAACTACGAAAACACAACAGCCAGCGTATCGAAATACCGATCCATCGACCGTAATAAAATCGCGTACCGTGGCTCGCATCTCAAACGACAAACTGTACCGACCGCAAGCACAGCGAAACGAGCGTTCGCGGACATTACTGTCACTCTGCATCGTTCGGCGTCGGTTTTTCTCGATCCCCGCCGGCCGTTCCCGATTACATTCGAAGATTCCCGAGGGTTTCCGAGCAATACCGGGAAACGGGAGGCAGAGAAAGTACACAGTGCACGTCGGACACTGCAAATTGTTGCGTTTATTGAGACAATTTTGACTTTCATTGGCAATGAAATCGTGCGAACGATACGTTCATAATATACTACTACCGGAATTAATCGATCGTTCATTTCCTTACGTTTGTATTTGGACATTAACGTCCTCAACTTTACGATAACCACTCGTCAATGCGTTCTCGTTAACCATTAAAACAACCGACTATTTCGTGTCAACAACACTGTAAATTTTTTCAAAGAAACGATCGATACCGAGTGAATCGTACACCAAGAGACGAAGGGATCATGGAATCGTTCCTTTCAGCGTCGAAGAAAAGCTTGGTAAATTTTTGCTGCTTCCAATATACATTCCCATATAGTGTACGAGTAACACACAGTGCCCTCTCGGTAGGAGAGTGGTCCCTAAAATACATATCTTTATAGCTCCGGTGACGAGCTGCTATTGCCTGCTATTACAACATAGAAAATATATGTCTCCCATGACAGCACTCGGCAGTCCGTCTTTCTTTCGCTAAAACTGATTTATTTTATTCTTTTAAAAAATCCATGAACCTAGACGAATACGTTTTACTGGGTGACTTACATGTAGTACTCGGGTACAATATCATATACATAATAAATATATTACTATTTATATACGTCTAACTTGAGTTGTCCTTCCTTTTTTTTTAAATGGTTGCATCGATTTGCCATTTTTAACGAGACCGAGTAATATGACGAAAAACGTTGAAGACTTGAAATTTTTTAGTCAAACTTATCGGTCTACAAAAAAGTCCGTATCGTCCTGGGTAACGGCACATGCGATTTAGATTCTGCCGTGTCCGCCTTGGCTCAAGGTTATTCCGAATATCTTGGTAAAAAGAAAAACGCCGAAACAGATATGGCGGTGATACCGTTAATGAACATATTCGAGAGGGAATATCGCGTTAAAACGGAAGTGATATACTTTCTGAATCATCACAACATCCCCACGAGTCTATTGACATTTCGGTGAGTTCAAGGTTCTGTTAGTGCACCAAAATACGTGTTAAACCGTGATCGACTGTTCGTCTCGTTTCCAGGGATCAGATAGATTTAAAAGGGTTGAAAGACGAGGGTGTTGTTACTCTAGAAACCATACTCGTCGATCATCACAGCCTCCCGGACGAGGATGCTTTTCTAACGGACACTGTGATCGAGGTCATCGATCATCGACCGCGTGATGCGAACTGGCCTTGGCTCAAGAGTAAAGTGCACATAGAAACTGTGGGCAGTTGCGCCACTCTGGTGGCAAGAAATATTCTCTCCAAACATCCGGATGTCGTGGACCCCGTTCTGGCGAGTTTTTTACGAGGCAAGCAGCTGTTACACGTATAGGAACTGTTTCGATCGAATATATTCGGGCGAATTAACGTTGCAATAGTTACATTCTCAGACAATTTCGAGTTTCAAAGCGTGTGTACGATGCGTGAAATTTGACAGGTCCGATCTTGATCGATACATGTAATTTCTCGAAGGAGGCAGATCGCGCCACTTCCACTGACGTCCAAGTGGTGGAACAACTGGAAACGATCGGTCGACTAAGTATCGCTCGAAATGTCACGTTCGATGAAATTATCCGTGCAAAAACCGATATCAGCGAATTAACTCCCGATGATCTTTTAATCAGAGACTTGAAGGTTGCCGCAGGGGTGCCAATCGTTGGATTACCAATTCTGGTCAAGGTAAAGTACGAATCGCGCGTCGTTTACGCGTAACGGAGATTCTACACTCTTTTCTTGCGTTTTTTCGTTCCAAAAAATTAATTCGATTATATTTTAGAATTTCGTCGAATTAGAAAATGTGTTCGAGGTTCTTCGAAAGTTCGCTGTGTCTAGAGACACCACGATCGTCGTATTGCTCGGGATGCAAGTGATTACTGAGAAATTGTCTCGAGATGTCGGTATTTTTTCACTGACTACCGACGAATTGAAAACGAAGGTTTGTAATCGTGGCGAAACTGTGCGTCTATTACGGTGGGATGTGCAATAAATCGATTACCTGAAATTTATTTCAGATGATGGAAGCGCTCACGTTATCCGCAGAATCGTCACTGGACTTGACGTTGACAACGGAAATCGAAGATAAAAGTGGTGGTGATGCCAGCTTATCGTTGTATACACAGGGAAATTTACGAGCCACCCGGAAACAAATACTGCCGATCGTTCGGAACACGATGACGTCACAGTGTCGATGTTGAGAGGAAATATTCTAAAGCATTACTTACGTCTTTGGACGTTGGAAACCACTGACCGCGCATCGCCAAAAATTGTAATTAATAGTATTCAAGATATCTGGTAATCAATACGGGACACGAATAGTAGCGTGAGAACAAAATTGTGCTTTTAAATGTGAACATATATGTATATTGAGGGCTCAGAAACCGATCAGTTAAGTCGCAAAGTAAGTTAACAGAGATAATTGTTTAAAAAATGGACTGTAAAAAGTAATATATCCTATTAACAAATAAAAAATAAACAATGAAAGTGTATTTACACGGCATAAGCCATTTTTAATGAAAGAGTGACTTACACTGATTGACTTCTGAACCCTCCATATATGTATCTGTAGTTTGTATACCGCGTTGTAAAGATTTATAAAGTTTGATTAAAAACTGCCTGATTTATTGCATGGAACCCAGACGATCCTTCCTTGTCACGTTGCAGATTGAAACATATGCTACCGCGGATAAGTATTAGGACACCCGGCCTGTACGAAGAAAATAATTATGATAACAGGCGTAAATGCGCCCAATATACATACGAAACAGCAAAAACATAATAAAATCATACTTAATCATAATTAACATTAAAAGCAAAAAGGAAAAAATTGTCAAGTACCGTAAAAATTATGTGTTTTGCATTGGCCTGTCGAGTTTTCAATATCCCCTGAATAATATTTATTTCCAACCTTCAGCAATTTCGTAATGCCTTGTAACATTTACTGCATATTCGATAAGTGTGCCCTAATGCTTGTACGTAACGGAAGTGTATATATTCTTGATACACGCGTATACGGAATATAAGATCTTGGTTAATATCTTTGTTCCGGGCAAGGTAGTATCGTCGTTGTGTATACCATTTTTACCTACCGTTCTCGTAACCACCTTCACCGAAACGAGCATCAATGGCGGATGCTGTAGCAATTACGACGGCACCAGCACCGTTGCAGGTGTCGTCACTGGCCGAGGGATCCGTGTTCGTGCGCGGAGGGAGGCTCTCCCCTACAACGGTTTACCGCCACGCGCACAGCTCTCCCCCTCCTTAACCGTCGTGTTCGGATTTTCGCGGACCGACTCTCCGCCACGGGACAAATAGCGTGGAGGCTGGGCCAACCCCGGTACCAACCACGGAGGTTCGCATAGGGCCAGCCCACCACGTCTGAAACGATCTGAAAACGCGACGGAACATAAAAAAAATTGACAAAAAGTCAAAGTAACGGAGTGTGCCTGAATACCTTGACGAGTGCCACCAGTGTAAATACTCGAATATCTTTCTCGATATTTACGTATTAATTCGAAAGAAATCGAATGTGATTTAAATCATGGTGAGATGTTGTTGTCTTTCGATACTTCCCGTCTGACACGAATGGGTGATTCCATGCGGAATGGGGGATATCCAGTTGTAAAAGGTAAGGAATGTATGTGCTATTACTATTCGCAAAACTTGAATCGAATTATCATAGCTTTCTCGCGTGTACTAAGTCAGGGTTCAGCGGTTTCGGGAATAATAGAAAAAGAAACGTGACATCGATATTCAACGTGTGTGCGCGAAGCAGTTTCGCCGGCATCGGGGACCGGTTTCGTTTCTATTCGCAATGACAGTCTATCATTCGGAAACATTGCTTCACTTACTCTTATTCCCATCACTTGTTCGAGTGAAACGATTATCATGGAGGAAGCAAATTTCGTGTACGCGCAACAATCGGAACACAACACCAAATTGGTCCAGACAAGACGAGGTGACTGGCTAAAACGCATGCTTAAGATTTTCTCACGTTGTTCAAGAATGAAAATTGTAGAATACACAGTCGTTTGTCCTCGCGAAAAGGGTGGTGCCCTTAGTGAATCGGGGGGACTAAAAAAGGTTATATCACGCGGAATGGTTATCATATGCATCGCGAACGATCCTTTCGAGGAAATGGAAAAAGCACCTCGGGCATGGTCGGTCTGTCCGTTCCTTCCTACGGTTCGCTCGTATTGATCGCGGTTTACTTGTTGCACGCATAGCGGAGACCTCGACCCTGTGCGCGTTGCGCATTCCCCGCGACCATCCTTGTCCTTCCTCGTATATTCCATCAGCGAATCTAATTAACGTCCGACACCGAGCCACGAACCGTGCAAAACGCGATAGCTCCCACTCTACCGGGAACCGGTCTGGATTCTCAATCCGGAACAATACGTCCATACACGATTCATTGTTTAAAAATTTTGTTGACGAACATTGGTTTCGAAATTTACATAGGTATGGCGCAGTACGTCTTCTGTTTTTTTTCCAAACGTTTCTTATCGAGTTCCTACTTTCTACACCGCTCGAGACAATTAGAGGATTCATAGTTCATAGTTTCTGAAAAGTTTTTCATACAAATGTAATTAGGTGTGAATGGTGTTGTACGGAAAAAGTATCAATTTAACCTGTAGCACTTACGTTTTGTTTCGTTCGCTTGGTGCACGAGAACAGGACTAGCCACATCAGCGATCCCCTAATTCTCTCGAGGAGTGTATATCTTGTTCGGTCCCGTCACGTCGAACATTTTTGGGAAGCTTTATAGATACTTCGAGGATAAAGGAAACGTGTATCGATCGATAGATTTTACAGTGTCCAGACCTGGAGCGATGCGACCAAGTCACTCGACCTATCATGAACTGTGAACACGTCGAGACGAATGCCAAGATCCGATATCAAGATGCGCCGGGCGCTGCTGACCGTCATCACGGCGGTGGTGTTGGTCGTCGCATCGTCTCCGCCCACGGAGGATACAACGAGAAACGTTTTCGGTGAGCAAAAACAGAGACGAAAACAGAAACGAAAACGTATGAGAAGGGTGAAGCGAGTGGAACCGCAAGGGTCGGTCCAACAAGTGTGCGGGAACGATGGAAACAGACAAGATAAAACGATGCTCATGACCTGATCATATTTCAGGTCAATGCATTCTTCCGTTGGGCATGGAAGAGGGAAAGATTCCGGACGACGCGATCACAGCGTCTTCCAGTTACGAGACTAAATCGGTGGGCCCGCAGAACGCGAGGTACGTTTCGCGCGATGCTTAGTTTCGAGATAGTGCTTTCGGGTTCAAACTTCGTGGGATGGTTTCACCCCTTAAAGTCGCGTTTCAGCCGATAAGAAAAAATACGTATCCCTTATTTTTGACTGCTTAACAGACATATGAAGTTTCATCAAAATCGGAGGGGGACACTTCCGTGCCTTCTCTTGTAAGTGTGTTTTAGACACTTTATTCAAGGTTTCCATTTCAGTCCTTGAAAACGTCCATTTACCTTTCGTTTTGTGGTCACTCGGAATGAATGCACTACACATATCGGTATACGTGACACAGAAAAGTGTATACGTACGGAAATTGGATAAGACAAAAAGGGGTTTGGATAAATGGGTAGCGAAACGCGGCAGCAAATAACGGAGACTGTCTGAACCATCGAATTTTTCTCGAGTATGTTCATAGAATACGACAGGAGAAGAATGGCGGTGCATGGTGTCCGAAGGCGCAGATCAGCAACGCGATACGGGAGTATCTGGAGATCGACCTTACGAGATACCATCTGATCACGTGGACCGAAACACAAGGACGGTTCGGCAACGGTCAGGGACAAGAATACGCGGAGGCGTTCTTTCTCGAGTACTGGCGCGACACCAAATGGCATCAGTACAAGAATTTGAAGGGTGACAGAGTTCGTGTCGTCGGTAAATCGACCGCGGGAGTCGTCCGCGTTGCTTCGAAATATTCACAACACGATGGTTATACGCGGATTCCAGCGGCGGGAATGGAAAGACACACGTCGATTGACCAGAAAGAAAAGGGGGGGCGTGATTTGTCGACGATATTCTCTTTGGCTTCATAAGAATTAAACGGAAGTAGCTTCTTGGGGGCAAAGCGCGACGTCTCCTGTGACTGTTGCGCTGTGAAAAAAAAAAAAATAAATTACAGGATTTATCTGACGACATCAATGGAACCTACGTTCGTTTCAGGTACTCCGTGGAAACAGCAACACCTACCTGGTGGAGAAACAAAAGCTGGATTTGCCATTTGTCGCGAGCAGAGTGCGATTCGTTCCGTACAGTCAACATCCTCGTACGGTGTGCATGCGAGTCGAAATTTATGGATGCCTGTGGGAACGTGAGTATCCTCGTGGATGTATGTACAGTAGACATTCGTTTATTGTCTCTTTCGGAGCTGTGGAGGGCCGAATTTCCAGGAATGATTGCAATAAACGAGGACCAATCACACGGGGGCTCTCCCTGTTGATCGTACGTTCACTTGTTCGATGTAGCTACACATAGGGTGGGCTCGATGTTGGCACTTTTCCTAAGATACAATAAACTGGCCTACATTAAACGAATGTCTACTGTATCCAGGACTATAATTACATATCCATCAATGACCAAGAAATCGTGTTCGAAATTTCTTCTACAGAGAACGTTGCTAGGTACACAGCCCCGCAGGGCGCGCGTATCGGTCCGGGGGGATGCAGCGTTCAAGATTCCTCGTACGATGGTATCGAGCTCGAGACCGATTCGATGCTCGTCAACGGTTTAGGCCAGCTGACGGACGGAATTTTAGGGCAGATTTCGGAAATTTTGTCCTCCAACCCGTCTAACACGAACTGGGTAGGTTGGTCCGATCGCGACGCCGTTCAGTTGGTCTTTGAGTTTCAAGAATTACGGATATTCGAGAATTGTTCGATCCACACGGTCCGTTTGCCGGAACTGGGAGTCCAGGTACGCTGGTTTCTGCTCATCTACCATCTCCCCGCTTTGGCTAATTTTTCAATCGTAGATCTAATCCAAATTCGGCTGTTCGTAGATGTATTCAAGGGTACGCATTTGGTTTTCCGTCGACGGTGAAAATTACGAAACGACACCGGAAATATCGGAGACGATGTCGATCGATGACAACCTTAGCACCGGTGTCGTTTTCTCGACGTCGATCATGTTACAGTCGAGAATCGGGAGATTCGTGAAAGTGGAATTGAGTCTTGCCGCCAAATGGTTACTCCTCAGCGAGATCACTTTCTATACGGGTACGATTTGCTGTTCCATTCCAATGAATCTCTTTTCTAACCACTCGCAGAAATCCTATTTTAGAGCATTTGCATCTCTAGTCTCAGGTATCAAGAATCCCTCGATCAATTCTTACCGATCGGTCGATCGATCGTTCACCGAGGAACGAAATCGAAGCGAATTATGGACGAAGTCGGACGACACGATGTCAGTCTTCAACGAGACGGACGTGTACGAAATTCTCAAAGACGACGGTTCCACGCCGGACGCGTTTCCCGTCGGGACCTCGCAGACATACGTCGGTCTTGTCAGCGGATTGCTGACGGTGTTCGTTCTCTCCTTAACCTGTACAGCGTTCCTGATCAAACAGAGGGGCCGCAACAAAGTGGCCCTGTTGCAAAAGCACACCGCCCTCCTCTGCGACTCGTCCGCGGCTGGTATCGCAATCAGCCCAAAGGACGTCAAGCTTCACAATTCGATAGTGAACGGGCTGTCCCTTATTCGCAAACCGATTACCAGTCGAACGATGCCCACTACCGGTCACGTGTCCGCCACAGCTGCCGCCACTGTCGTAAGAGCGGACTCGATTGATAACATAACTGCTCAACCGGATCGACCGCACCGTCCGCGCATCAATTCTCAACCCACTTCTATACCGAATCGTCGCTCTTCGACAGTTTACGAAAGGACGTATAAGCTGTTCTCCGAGGAAGGTGTCATTCACGCGGATACGAACCCGTCTACGAGCGTAACTGGTGAGTCTGATATCTGCATTACAGTAAATCTTTGATTAACGCTCCAAATTCGGGGTCGCTTTGGAGTAGTTGTGAAGGACACGATTTCTGCACTTCTTGAATTGTCACTTCATCTAGCTGCCTGTGTGAAACCATTCAGTAGTGGGGATGAAGCAGAAGTATTTAACGTAGAGCACCTTCCGAACAGTTATCGAGAAGTTACTGTATAGTCCTCGAAGTTAATCCTAATCGAATCTAGCGAAACACGAATGTTTCATCGATCGTCGCGCGAATCTTACAGATTTCAGATGTACAGCCAACTTTGCAAAAAACACCACCACAGAATATGCGCCGCCGGTTACAGCGCTCACGTCCAAAAAAACAACGCACAACTGTCTAACGGGAAACACAATTTCAAAAGTGCACGAAGGATATTACGCCGCAACGGATATTTTCACGGTAAGATGAGACACTTATGTAAGTGAAAAAAAGGATCACAATCAGCATTGCGAAAAATAGGAAAGTGTGCACAAGTCGTATTTGTGTACAGTAAATCATCGATGAGTGTTCAAACGCCATCCCCACCATTCAGCGCTTGACTGGTTCCACGAGGACCTCCCAGTGGTGGAATGACGTTTGAACACTTAGTGCCTTCAAACATTCATCGATGATTCACTGTATATAGCTCTATGTGACGTCACCTTGTCCCTATGATAAGGAATGCTCCCAGAATTCTCCAGTGAAGAGTTGGGGTGATACACGTTTCAATGAGACAGAAAACAAATGAGTAGCAGCGGTAAATACGTATGATTTTTAGATTAAGAGGCGAGGAGAGATGTCGATCCTGAGTCCATTCACACCATTACATATCCGTGACAAAGGCGTACGTATACCGCGTACCCTTGACGCGTACAACGTTCCACGTATCTCCAGACACAGATTAAGGATTCTTGATGTGCTCGGCGAGGGAAGCTTCGGCTTGGTAAGGGGACGAATCGTGTTATCATTTTCTCATTGATTCCTCAATCTATATGCCATATCTATGCCCGCCAGGTACACCTATGCGAGGCGAAAGACATTGTAAACACGGACATGGGATCTATCCAAAATAGGCAGACCGTGATCGTTAGATCTCTCTGGCGGGGCGTCGTGGATTCCTTGAGGTACGTTCTACTCCTATTAATTGTATTTTTGCTGGTGTTGTTGTGTCTTACACGGAATTCGACATCCTTGCAGGATCGATTTTACGAAAGACATGCGAGTTCTGGCGACGCTCAGAGATCCGAACATGACGAAAATGCTCGCGTTGGTGGAGGAAGAACCGTTCGGAGCCGTGTTCGAATACAGCGAACTCGGGGATCTTCCTACGTTTTTGGAAAGCCGCGAAAAACTCGGCAACGAAGCAGCTGTCAGGTTAATTATAACACAATTACACGGTGTTCACTTTTAATAATGGCACGACTGACATTTCGTCTCTCCTGTTTCTAGCTACGGCGATCGTGTAAATTTCGTCCGGCAAATTGCATCCGGCATGAAGTATCTCGAGTCCATAAACATTCCGCACTCCGATTTGGCGGCAAGGTTGGCAAAATATTATTTATACCGATGACTCTTGAGTAATTGTTTCGTTTGATGTGTCGTTGGATTGTGCATTTGATGCGTCTGTTTCAGGAACTGCATCGTAGGACACAATCTGGAGGTTAAGGTATCTGATCACGCGATCTATTGCAGCAAGTACGACCACCATTATTACGTCGACGCGTACAACACAAAAATTCCACTTCGTTGGATGGCTTGGGAAGCGGTTATACTGGTAAGAATATACAACTTTGGTCAACCTTTCTTCCTTGCATCATCTTCATCCGTTTTTTGTTTGCACTGTCAGAGTACACGCAGTTGCCAGGCGGACGTTTGGTCGTTCGCCGTGACAATTTGGGAAATTTTCACGAACTGCGAGGATACACCGTACTCGGATTTAACGGCTGAACAGGTCGTCGAGAATTGCAGTCGTTGGTGTCAAAGAGAAGCGTGGATCGGAAACGGAATCGATCATGGCCACAACGACGAGAAACATCAGCCTCGAGTTCTGTCGAGGCCGGACCTTTGCTCGGACGATCTCTATCGGGTGATGAACAAATGCTGGAGCAAACGAATCGAAGATAGACCCACCTTCGAGGATATTTATTTTTATCTCGAGAGAATGGCGATCGTCTGAATGTTCGGGATACTCGGTCGAATAGCACGGACCAAATTGGCTACAATCAGTTAAGATGCATCCTGTCTCGTGTACGTGAATCTATCTTTTTTACGCTCGTGTTTAGGTTAGATCCCTTTCTCTCTCTCTCTCTCTTGAACTGTTCCCCTTCTTATGGACTATAGACCAAACGCGATGCAAATCCTCATCCACACCTCTCCCCCGCCAATCCTATAAATCCACTCTTCCTATTTCGATTACGTGGGATCTCAGATTTCACGAAATCACTGTACAAATCGATGCGTCGCTCCCAGGATGCTCTAGCCATCAACTCGTAATGCTCAACTAGGTTTACTCGAATCGATCTTTATGTATCTAAGAATATTTATGTAAATTCTAACGAATAGGTTTACCGTCATCGAAAGGGGCGAATTTCTTTTTTTTTTGTTTATAAAAAAATGGATATTCTCGTTTTTGTTTCGTTTATGCGAATAATCGTCTGCGGTAAATCGATCGGCGATGACTATCGGTCTCACCGACCGTGAACGACGCTCGTGCGTTCCGATATCAGAGAGTTATATACAGTTGAGAGCTGCTGAGGTGCCGAGCTCCTACAAACTGAATGGCACAGGGGCAAGAGGGGTATTTCGCCAACCAATGGTTAGCAAGACGCTACGTCATTACCACGTGATTACTCTGTTATCGCTCTATCTCACTTGATCTCATGTGTCCCGTTCGCTCTCTTTGTCACGAACGAATTTCATTAGAGAGCATCTCGTCAGCTCCCAAGTATACCTAGCATATACATAGCTAACCTAAAATGTTCCCCGAATGGCCTCAAGCGGCCAATATTTTTGTCGGTGACTTTGCTCCAATATCGGCAGATTACCATTTTTTTCGACCCGCGGCGATCGCTGTACTGTGAAACTCGGATTAGTGCTCGAGAATTGAGACCGAAATCGAGCGATTATGAAGTAGAAGAATCAATTCTAAATACAGTATCAATGCCGAACGTAAGACAAAAAGACAACGAGTGAAATAAGAAAGAGTGACTGAGCCGCACGGTGCGTCAAAGGGAATCACACTTAATGATAGTGATTAACACTGGGTACTTACGTTGTAGTTCAGGCCTGAGGAACGTGTTATTGGTATCGTCCACATGATCCTTATCGTCGCTCAATCCGTTCCCCCACTACTCACAATCAGTTGTACTGCACGTTGATCAGTTTTCGGCATACAGCATACAGGACGCTACGGTCGGGAATGCGCACGCACCTTCTAGCTCTTATATGTCCCCACCCGCCGATCGTGATCAAGCGCAGTAAGTACGAAGAGTTAGGGGAAGGGGGGCTGTGTGACTCACGTGACATCTATTGGCCATCCCTGCTGTAAATCATTTTGAGCGCTAATCCAAGTTTTACTATGTATGCGAAAGATAAGTAGATATTTCGATATAGATACCATACCGAGTCCTACCTGACACGTATCACACAACCGTTTCTCGGTATCGGTGAATGGACCCCACGCGTGAATGAGAATTTCTCGTTGCCACGATATACGATATTACCGTTAAGTAGCGTTAAGTATCTAACATTGTAACGGTTCGAATGAACCGCACTTGCGAGAAGAACGCGTGATCTTCGATCTCAATTTCGCGAGAGACCATCAAGAATTTTCCTATTACGTTTTTAAACTTTTGTCTCTCGATCGACCGTGAATGCATTCTGCTCGCGATAAGTTTAGATATTCGTTACGGCACACGCGTTCCTTGTTTCTCAGCGACCGTGTGCGTGCGCTGGTCCACTAATCGAGCGACAGTTCATACTCATGATTCGCGTGTATAACTATAAACGAAACGAGACAATCAATTTCGCGAACATTGTTCAACTGACCGACCGATATGTGGTATCGAAACGCGACAATCGTGTGCGCACGCACACTCGAGCTTCCTCCGATCACGATCGAGCACTCGAAGTAGATCTCTGGGTTCGAAATCTTATTCGAATGATTCCGTCTCCTCCTAACCTACAATCGATCGTATCGCAGTAGCGCGTTCGTGTCTCGCGTTCCTCTTTATCGAACAATCCCTTCTATTTACAAGTTAATGAATTAATATCGAAATTTGTAATACAAAAATCGTACACGTATCTCATCGAAAATTATATTCTTCATATTTCCAAACGTTACGACGAATAAAAACATTGTTATACCATCCGAAATGGGTTTCTTCCGTGATATATCCGGTGATAGGGGGCACATATGTCTATCGTCTTTCACTGACGTAATTGTCTATCTGTACCAGCGGCTGAATATTCATTTCCCGATGAAAGTCGTCGAGCGTTTGTTCCCAACGTTCCTCGAAGTACGCTCCCAATAAGAATTTCGCGGTGACGCCCGTTCTAATGGCCCACGGGAGATGATGTTCGACGTACATTTTTCTTTGCCTGAAAGCCGGAGAAAAGATGCCCAGGCTACGCTCGTCTGTCGTTAGCACGTTCAATGCGAGGTCGATACTATCGATGCGATGTACGCTACTAAGGGGCGAGAGATCGATACGCGTATCGAGTAACCGTTAGCCGTGTTCCCGCCAATACTACTGTTGAGTTCGATTCGCAGAGAAGATCGATACGAACATTTCGTGTGTTATTCCCCCAAAGTTGTACGATAAAGTCACTTTTTCATTACGTCATACTGGGATTGGAATTGTAAAGATTCGTCCGCATTGAACGTGTTAATCGAGTGTCACGCGTATTATATATATTCCGTTTCGTTTAACGTGTTTACCTTGGACGTAATCGATATGCTCCGAATATCGCTCCGCTGAGACACATCGGTAAACGCAATTGTAACGCTTCTATCCATTTCACGGACACTTCCCCAAGCATCGTAGTCGGCATTAGAAGTACCGCATGAAATATGTCGTGGGTTTCTCGATACCGTTGCATTACGTATGCCAATTCGGTATTCTCTATGAACTTGACCGACGGTCTAGAATCGGGTGTGACATTCTGCAAAAGAGTAATCATTTTGATCTACGAATCGCCAACCGTTTCTACCGGTGGTATACACCTTGGTCATTTCCACCGGTGCTTACGTACCGGCGGAGACATTTCCGCGATTCGATAACGTCGGTAAACAAGGCGACACGTGGTGTATACACACGACGCGGTGTCTGGTCAAATACAATTGGGAATTAAGTGGGTCGAGGCGTGTAAATACAGGCGGGGAAAACGGATCAACGGTGTGATTCAAGATAATGTGTACACGTTGTGTACGTTAACGAAACCACAGAGCTTACATTCGCGTCCAAAAATTCACGGTAGGTTCTGCCAACCGTGCCCACTGGCAAGCATTTCAACGCGGCAAGATCAACCGTTTTGGTTGAAATGCGTGGCTGATCGACGAGGATGCGACGTCCTTCGGCGGTCTCGAGCATTCGCCGTTGACAGTGAACGAGGGCGTCGGACCCGGTGGTTTCTCCCAGGCATGCGATCATGTCACCGCGAAATGGATCGGCGAATGATACCGCGGCGGCGCCCATCGTCAAAATCGCGTGTTGCATTCGCGTGAGAGGGACGCGATGGTTCGCGTAATCCTTCGCAAACGATGCATCGCTGGAAAATCTTCGTATCGGGCCGCCTGAAACCGACCGAGGACAATAACGATCGGTCATTATCTTTCTCCATAAATAGAATTTATTTCGATTAAATCTTTCTTGTTTCTGTACACTCATGCGACACATTCGACGTAAATAATTGTTTCTGAAAAAAAAAAAAAGAAAAAAAAATGTACAAAGTATAATTCGGTATTTACAAGTTGCGCTTCGTAGGCACGACCGTCGCGTTTAACCGCAGTCTGGAAGGTTTATGGCACGCCGCGTTTCTAAGAACGACGCTTTTGCTTTGGTATCACGTTTGTATGTCCGTTGCGCTGCTTTTCTCCATTCAACCAAACCGTTGGCGATTTTGCGATCCGCTGCTCGGCATACGGGAATCACTTCTTCAACGGGGATGGGTTTCTCCCTTGAGAACGAAACGGAGAAAAGTGAAGCGACTGTCTACGCGAGAGATTCTGGGTAGATTGTGTAACAAGTGCGATCCCCGACGCTGAAGACGAAGGTACGCGCGATCACAAAAGATTACACCGTTTGAGCTTTGGCTAATTGATCCTGAGAAAGCAGAGAATACTTAGACTCCGATGATTCTTTACGCCGAAATGTCACCCACGTGTAGACCAGGCTACCGATCACGCTTAAATTCAGTCCTATAAAGTTCAGCCACGTGAATATATAGTCACCGCCGATAATCATTCCGAGATACGTAACGCATATATTCTTTAGACAGCCGATTATGGTAGTGGTCAAGGCGGAGTTATGCATCGTGCACAGGAGCATGCTATAGGAGAGCACAAAACCCATAACGCACGACAGCCCGAATTGCAGAACGAAGAAAACGTTGTTCCAATGGGGAAACGCCAGAACAGAGCGCGCGTCTCCCATCCAGCAGGCGATTGCAATCGCAGGAACAACCATGAACAACGAATTATAGTACATCAATCCGTACTTTCCCAGCTCCTTCGAGTCCAGCTTCTTCTTCATGTAGACGCCGTTCGCGGCGGTGAAGAAATCGTTTAACAGGATAAATAGGTAACCTTCCAAATTGAAAGCGAGATCGTTCACGGCCGCCACCACAGCACCGAGAATCATCGTGTACACGCTCAGCTGAACGGAGACGCGCGCCTTTGCTCCCAGTATATAATACTCGGCGATCATCGTCATCAAAATGCTAAATCGTCTTAGGGCCGTGAACATCGGAAGGCTGAGCTGTTTGGTACCGCCTAATCCGAATATCATATTACCGATGTAAATCACCGGCAACGGCCAGATCTTTCCGAACGTTCCCGTTTCTAGGTTAGGAAAATCAACGTAGCGTAATTTCTTCGCGCCGAGCAGCAACGCAATCGTGGCCAGCATTTGTCCTATGCCGAGCGCTTGGAACGACGGGAATTCAAACGACGTCAACACCGTTTTATTCACAACCGTGATCATCAACGACGACAACCCGTAAAACAGGGCGGAACCGGCCCGCGCGAATATCACGTTCTGTTCAGTCGTCGACATACTGATTCTCGCTCATACACTCGCATCTGACACTTCGATCCCCTTTTCTTCACCGTTGTTACCCGGTTCCTAATACACGATTATTCTTGTTACCAAATAAAACTGTGTCACGTGTCATGGAACATACTCTGGCATAACCTTATCATCGTTCTTTTCTTTCTTCTCTACCCGACGTCTGGCCGTTTCTTCGTTTCTTCCTTCCTTTAGCTTGCTTGCTTGCTTTTTGTCGCACGAACAATTCACGAAAACAATTGTCAATCACTGTGCTCGTTCACGCTGATATTTAACATTGATTCCCCGATCAGGGGATTTCAAATCATGTACTGTCCACCGTATAATTCGTCCTTACACGACTGTTTTCAACTATTCCACCACGTATACAGCAGTATAAACTTCGTTCGTCGCTTTTTTCATCACACGGTCATTCGTATATCGCATGCACTGCACGCGCGTGCGCATCTACTCTCACATTCGTCTTCTCTTTCCCGTCAATGATCCGTTCGACACGTTACCCCCCACGATTTCCGTTAAAACGTCACAATCACACAACTTGAGAAGAATGGAAACGATTATCGTCAGTCTCTTCTAATCACAAGACAAATAATAGTTCAAATGTTTGTAATCGAAACTCATTGAACGTTATCAAGCTTAACGATAAAAACTGTGAAGAATACAAATTCCTATATTTTCCTGTATCGATTTCCATCATAAGAGAGTTATTTCTATTTTGCACCGTAACAAAGTAATAAATCCTGTCTATGCCGTGGATTAACGTGGTATAGATGGAGAAGCTATTTTTCGTAAAGTTTCCCTGGCCAGGAGTCCCGGAATACAACAGTGACCCACTCTTAAGCTAGAGAAACTAGAAAAACTAGAGAAACTAGAGAAAAGATTGAGGCCTTCCCGGTTTAATTCGTCCAATGCTGCCCAAGTTTTAGAATTGGAATAGAGACCAATTTGTTCGTATTTCACAGCTCTTATTCGTTTGCTTGTGAGTGAAAAAGTGCATATTTACATAATCTGGTTGACATCGATGCGTTTTCGATGGTAGTGCGTCTATCGTTGTCACATGTCGCCAATTAATAATGCGTGTTTCGATGGGATCGCGGCGAAAGCGGTGAAGACTGGGATATTTAACAGAATTTATCAGTCTTCAATGCAAGGCACGCATCAGTCAGTTCTTTCATTATGTAACACTGAACGTGTAATTTGGGAGAACAAAAATTTGTCAAGATGTAAGTTCGACATTCCGCATTAAAGAAATTTAAATGTATGTTCAGTAGTCTTTACGTTTTGGTTAGACAAAATTGTGTTCAAAGATAATACCGCTGTAACTCTTACGGAACTTCTAAATACTTTCTTCTTACTTTCAGGGTGGAGGGACTAAATTATTAACTTTAATAGAAGATATTGTTAACATGGTATATGCTTTTTGTTCAACCAGAACATCTCGGAATGTATCATCTTTCTCCTCGTTATTAAAACTCGCTATTGCAACGGTACGCATGACGCTTTCTATACAGTGTTTCAATGTTTTACAAATTGTAGTTTTATGTCAAAGATATTGCGATTTGTTCCAGTATTCGAAAGAGGTTAGGTTTTCAACAGTCGCGAAAAAATCGCCCTCGTTGCAACGACAATCGAGCTTATGCGTTTCGAAAAGTTTACAAACTCGAACAATTTCTCCCCGAATAACATCTACCATCGATCGACAAAACACCTTGATCGACGAATATGAATCTGAAAGAGTTCGAAAAGGCGTACATTCAAGCAATGATCAGGAATGGAGGTACATGGAAGTGGATTCTAGCAACCTACAAAAACACTGTTTCATGTTATCCAAAATAAGATTAACATGTAAGTAAAATTGTATGTTTCTCTAACATCCTGTTAACACTTTTGTCTTCTACCTTATACATGCATATACATGAAATTAATGATCACTCAAAATTTCAGCACTAGTAGTTGTAACAACCATGGCGGGATACATTTTGGCACCTGGAGCTTTTGACACCTATACATTTATGGCATGTTCCGTTGGAACTGGTTTAGTTTCAGCAACAGCAAATTCTATCAATCAGTTTTTTGAAGTTCCTTTTGATGCACAAATGTCCAGAACGAAAAACAGAGTATTGGTTCGGGGTCATTTAACGTATGTATTAAAGGGATGTACACTTGAGTGACACATAATGAAAAACTTACGTAGCATTATTTTGTTCAGGCCAGCGCATGCGGCGATTTTTGCAACAGTGTCCGGTATCTGTGGATTATCTTTGCTCTATAGCGAAGTTAACGGTCTAACCGCTGCATTGGGTGCAACTAATTTGATTCTATACACTCTAATTTATACTCCTATGAAACGAATTAGTATTTTGAACACCTGGGTTGGTTCAATTGGTAAGTGTATTATTATTGTCTCTTCATCCGCGAACGTTTCTTGGTACAAATTGTCCGATTAACATTTAATGAAAGTTGCACCATGTTTATTCAGTGGGAGCCATACCACCGTTGATGGGTTGGGCAGCTTGCCTCGGTGACATAACGTCGCCTGGTGCTTGGATTATGTCTGGTTTGTTATATGCATGGCAGTTTCCTCACTTTAACGCGCTGTCCTGGAATTTGAGACCAGATTACTCGCGTGCTGGTTATCGAATGATGGCCGTTACGGATCCAAATCTATGCCGTAAAACAGCATTACGTTATACTGGTATATTAATGGGCCTTTGTTACCTGGCGCCTCTATTAGACGTGACAAACTGGTGGTTCATTGTGGGATCGACACCGCTCAACGCGTATTTTCTTTATCTCGGTATGTTGAATACAGAACAAAATTTATAATAAAGTCTGTATTCTAGATACGAGGTACAGATCGCGTGACATGTTCTAATGTGGCTCTTCCATTTTTTAGCTCGAAATTTTTATAAGCATTCGGACAGTGGAAGTTCACGGAAACTCTTCCACTTTTCGTTAATTCATTTACCCACGCTTATGATTCTTATCTTGGTAAGTAAGAAACACGGGTTTAACGATGAAGAATCGAAGGACACGCTGATCAGTGAAGGAAAGCAGAGCGATATTCATGTACTGTTGACGAAGTTTTTCGCACTGACGCCTTTGACGTCTAGCGCAAACTACTTTTCCGATGTCATCCAGAAACCTAATAATACGAATCGCAGCGATATTCTGCCGACGAACGATGTATAGAAAAATGAGTCCGTAAAATGTTTACCGACAACATATTTTGTAAAATAGTACAATGTGTAAATAAAAATAGGTATTCGCCGTGATGGTTGAATTACGCAAACAGCGAAATCACAGACTCTTATTCTATTTATAAGATTATCATACCATGTACGTTTCATCGCGTCATCGGCATCCTACTAGACCTACTGTTCGCCGAACAGTGTTCGGTGGTCGCCTCTTGGACAGACGTTGCTGGGATGAAAAATGAAAGGATCATACAATAGCACAGCTTGATCAGTAATATGACTTAAATGGATTTTATTCGGGTATTCACTGTACACGAGCACAAACGTATGTGCGTATTTGTTCGAGGTTTCTTTATTATACGTAAAGTCACAACATACCATCGATAGTTTTTCGTTTTGCGGCGAATTCTATTGCCATCTGTCGTCTAGTTTTGGTTAAATTTCTATGTCCAACGCAATCTAGATTTTCCGTGAAACACTTGTTTCGACAGCACTGTCTACATGATTTATGAACGCATTTGAGGCCCTACGAAGAAAAACACAAACAAAACGATCGAAGTTAAACTACTGCCTGTAACCAGAAATATTTCGGAAAACAAAACTGTAAAATTATGTTGTACGAACCACTGGATTCGGACAATCGCGACACAAGTCGGATCCTCTCTTTACGACAACAGGTGGCCTGTTGGGTCGACGCGCTATTCGTCTGAGCTTCTTCAAACGTTTTCGCGATATTTCATTTCCATCCTCGTCTTTAAATTTTCTCTTCGCGGTATCGTCCTTCTGTAAGATTGCATGAACATTCGGTTATATATAATAAGCACAACACAACGAACGAATAGGAAAACATCAGTCAAACGAACCGTTTCAATCCTCTCCGTTTCAAGCGTAGACGTCTCTTTTCCTTCCGGTGAATTGCGCACGTACGGTCGACACAGCCACGGCGGCAATTGCAAGTTACAGTCTACAACAAAGCCGAAAATAGTGTTGCATTAACTAACAATTACGTGGATGGAATTGAACGAGAACCGATTTGTATATATGTATACCATTCGTTTCGTCCCGCCATACCAGACGTCCTTCATGGTATGGTAGATACCGATCTCTTAGAGCGTAGACAACGCTTCTAAACGATTCCATGGTAGAATTTCGGGCCAGATTTTCCCTTTCTTCTTTATTCTCTGGTAAAGAAAGTCTACTCTCCAGTTAAAAGAACGCCGAACACACGATTCAAACGAGAAACGACAATTCACGAAAACGTTTACGGCAAAAATGGAGACTTTAAAAGCCGCTATAGGTTAGGTTGACGGAAGCTGTACGTACGTATGATGAAACAATTTGAAGAGATGACCACGAATGTAAGAGGACGGAGCTGGATACCGTTCCACAAGATCCAAATATTCGAGTGCCGGCTCCCAGCTGGCCGGATAACACGCCTCGAATATGTATGGGTTGTAAAGATTGCCCTCGGCCAACATCACACCTCGAACCCCAGTTTCTTCTATGCATCTTTCGATGTCTTGTAGGCATTGTATATTACCATTTGCGAATACGGGAATCGCGACGGCTTCCCTGATGTTTAAAACCAGTAAAAAGAAACGCATGAACGGGGGCAGAACGTTAGTTTTAACGATTATAATGAGATTAATGGTACCTGACTGCTTTGATATGATCCCAAGACGCTAGACCGGTCAATGGGCCTTTCTGCTCTCGAGTACGTCCGTGCACGGTAAGCAATCGTGCCCCTGCATTCTCGAGCATGCGAGCGTATTCCACGGTTTTCTCGATCTCCGGGAATACGCGCAACTTGCAAGTCACAGGTACCCGGAGTCCCTTGCTCAGAGTGCTCACTGAAACAGAAGGCTAAGGTGTTTCGTGGAATGACAAGAAAGAAATATACGGTCCTCGAGGACGTGGACTGGCCGTACGAACCGATTCGTCGAAGCAAATCCCAGTCGTCTTGCAGAAAGGCACCGTAGCGACCGCGTTTCGCGATAGCTTGTGGACAACCTATATTTATATCTACAGCGTCGCAGTACGGCTCGGCTAGAAGCGCCGCCTCTAGTAACGTGTTCGGGTCGTTGCCGCAAAACTATAATAAAAACGAACCAGAAAATTAAATAATCTTGTTTGCGAAATAAGAATCGAAATGTATCGGAATTAGGTACCTGAACTATCAATGGTCGATCCTCAGCGGTACTGGCGAGTGCTTCTTGCCGATATTTCGGGTTTCTACAGAATACCGAAGAGTGAAGCATCGGCGTGTAACAAAGATGAGCACCGTGCCGTCGGCTGAGTAATCGCCAGGCCAATTCGCTAGCGTCGACCATAGGCGCGACCACGTATCGCGGTGAGCCCAGCACGGTTTCCCATACGTTCTCGGCTCGCAACGTAGAACCGCCGACTCGATCGGTTAAGATCGATTCCGCTGTAACTGACGACGACGTCATCTACAAAGGGGAAATTAGTCGTGAATGTACAAACACAAGGAAGACAGACGCGACATAACCTTCTTCTTCACGCACTTCCGCGCGTCAAACGGCGCGTGGTTTCCGATGAAAACGCCTCCTGTCTTCGTTAAATCGCGCGAACGTGCAGAAGATTCGAAAAAAGTTCCTGTACCGAATGGTCGTGAGAAAATGATAATCGGAAGCTAGGTCGAGACTCAAATTTTCGGCGGCGACGTCGGAACAAATCGAGAATCGAACAAAGGGGACGGAGAGCGGGTGAAACGCGGTGATTGGACGGAACAGGGGGAACAGGGCGATCGAATTGAAACTGGCGAACGCGGGGATCGCGGCGACGCTGGTTTCGACATATCCGACTCAAGGATAGGCGACAGCTGTATGGACTGGGCTACACGCGAGTTCATCTTCAGTCTAAGTTTCTTTCGAAAGGTACAGGTACGACGGGTACGAGCGTGTCCTTGGTTCACGGTTCTCCTGGACGTTGAGGAACCGTTCAGTTTCCTTGGCGGACTTGGAACCTGCTGATGTCCACTGGGTGAACATAACGGCGGAAGTTTGACGGACGGTTGTGGGACAGGCTCGGAGCCTGCAGCATCGACACCGAAGGGCATCGTTGGCTCTATGGGATCAACGGTGATTTCCGATCGACGAGTAGAATCGCTGGTAGATGCTAACGGTTGCTTGGTTTTGGTCCCGCGAAGTGTATCCGCGCTGACCGTTCGTCTACGGCCGTTTCTCCTGAGGTACGTTCTCAAGAATTTTCCGATTCTCTGCACCGCCTCGCAACTGTTCGTCGAGACGTGGACGGCTTCGAGGGAGTCGTTGCTCTGTCGTTTCTTCGACGCGTTGGTCTTGCTCGTCGAACGGCAACGTGTCGTCAATGAATTGGCCGCGGCGAAGCAACAGGAGACCGGTGACGGTGTGGACGAGCCGACGAGATCGATCGAGTCACGGAACACGATCGTGGACTGGTTGCGTTTCGCGCTGGATGGAACCTGGGACGAGAATTCGATCGAAGTTTCGTTCGACGTTGACTCGATCTCATAGGAGAAACAAAGTCGAAAGTTCTTACGTTGGTCGTTCCGTGGACGGATGATACGTGTTTCGATCGCGTCTCGACTCGATTCCGTTTCGATCAAGGCGGCTATGTTTCTGTTGGTGTTAGGGCAAGGTGAATGCGTGCCTGCGTCGTCCCGTCTGCTCAACACGAGTCCGCTGGTTTTGGCTGCGTTCTCGATGACATTCGCGATTATATTGCCGGTGGTGGCAGTGGCGGTGACAGCGGTGGCCGCTGCGACAGCTGCCGTGGTCATATTCCTTTCGCGTTTATTCCGCACGTACTCGTAGGTGGTCACACCGAGGCAAGCTATGTAACCGTGGAAAAAGCACAGATGAATCAAAAGAATTGCCGCGATCGCCGAGAGAAATCCGATCGCTGAGATCAGGATGATAGAGCCTGTGTCGGATACAGGAGCGATCGAAAAAACGGCCCGTGGCAACGAATCGGTAGTTGCGGTGGTATTTTCCATGCTCGTGTTCCCGTTCGACGTCCGATTCGGAAGCAACGCGAACAACAATTCGGCGACGCATAAGCCGGCAACCAACAGGCTGCCACAAATCCCAGAGATCAGGCAAACGAGAAAGGCCTTGTAATTTCTAGCCCCGATACAGTTGTTCAGCCATTTGCAATGATGATCGAACCGAGCGACGCATTTGTTGCATATCGAACAGTGCTTGGTGCGTTTGCTGTCGGTGGTTATGTTGCAAAGATGACACCGACCGTTCTCGATCACACGGCTGTGCTTCGTTCGGTCGAATTCCGGCAGCACTTTATTCGCCGGCTGGGATCTGACACGAGGATCTGCCGGGTCCAACAGCAGCACCGTCAGATGAGAGCAGCAATGCGTCAAGAATATCGTCGCGATCACGATCGAGAAAACCGAACGCGAGCACGGCTCGATTAACGGCGTCAGCACCGCGAACGTGTTCACCGCGATCACCAGAATCACAATCCAACCGAACACTTGCTGCGGATGCAACGGAAACTGCAGCCCGTGTACGCGTCTATATTTTCTCCGTTCCGGAGTCGTGTACCCGGTTTCGTTCGAACACCATCTCCATACGACACCTCTGGTGACTTTATTTCGCATTTCCGTCGTTCTTCACGCCCCGTTTCCGATCAACCACCTTTTCTTTTCCGTTCTCCTTCCTCTTCGTCTCCTTGTTTCTCGCCCATTTCTCCGTATCAGGTTGCTCTTTCGAATTCGCGCCTCTTCTTGCTTCTGTTTCCCTGTTTCCTGCTCAGTCGCCTGATATTTCCGTGTCTGTATCTCTTGTTCCGATTACGTGTGACTTTGTTGCCGATTGAATGATTAAATGCTCGTGAAAACTGTCCGGCTGCAACGACGCGACATCGTGCGACTCCTCGAGAATTCTCGGGGAAACTCGGTCGAACGAACCGTTTGACGGAATGTGCCCTCGCGACATACGAATCGGGGCTCATCGAATCGATACTCGCATGGCAACGTAGTCGCGTAAACGTTCTCAAAAATATGTATCTATCCTTGTTTTCTACGGATGACGTTGCCAGTGGTGCCCGATTAATTTATTCTGTCTAAAATACGATTCCTCACGTGCACACGCTACGCTCTAATCGTTCCTTTCTTTCCACTTTTATGGATCTAATTCGTATCCCCCTGCACCACCTTTCTTATTATTCATGCGTGTCACACTTTTGAATATGTAATGGGGACTTTGCATTTTCGAACGTGTTGAAAAATGTTGAATAAAAACCACGGTTCGAATCAACGATTTACGCTTTTTTTTCGATATGTGTCAAGCGGAATCCCAAGATTTTGATTGAGCGACAAAGAACCTGTTGATCTTCGAATAGAATTACGAATCGCGAGGATATTTTGCGTGCTAATAAGATGAAACGGATTGAAGGATTTTGGAATCTTCCATTTAATTTATTATCTACATTTTACATGAATAGAGATGATGGGTCTCTTTCGTCACATGAACGATCGTTCAAGTTTATTCAAATGATTTGTTTTTATTAAATTTTTTGTTTACGTCTTAAAGTTTTCAAACATGTTTCAAATATTTTGTGCGTGGTTATTTTATCAATAGGTGACAAATATCGTCACACACGTGGTATATTTAATCGCTAAATCCTTAAAATCTGCTACTTTACGAACACGGTCATTGACTAACCTTACTTCCGTGATCCAACGTATAGGTTATCTGCGTTTTTACGTGATGCTGTTCTGCTATCGGCGAAACCACCACGAAATATACTTGGTTTCATGCGTTGATTTAGAAGCGTTTGTGTTTTATATGAGATATACAAGAATAACCGTGTTTTTCTTCATGTAACCTGCACCAATTCACGTCAGTTTTACATCACTGACAATCACTGAATGAAACGAGTATGGTCGTAACTGTTCTCGAAGAAACAATCGATGACGAAAGATCGATAGATACATCGACAATTTCAGGAGACATTTGTGCGATTCGAGTATTAGTTATCGACTATCGATAACGCTACTTTATTTAGGAAATTTCGATGTTGCTGCTTCTGATGATGCTGTCATTGAAACTGTTTGCTTCGTCCAACAACAATTTGTAATGATCTGAAACGAATCATTTTGTATTTCTACAACGTTGGATGATCTGCAGAGATGACAGGCTTATTTGTCTTTTGCATAGTTTGCTTTGTTCTCTACTGCAGTTTCACGTGGTAAGGTTAACTTTTGCTTCGTAATTTTTCCGTAGTACAATAACAATAATGTTTTGGACTCGTCTTGTAGGATAATACCTAGACTTGTGGCATGGTTAGTGAAGAGACGATACAAAATTTATTTACGGGTCGGCTACATTTCACTACCATATTTTATACTTCGGGACGTAAATGTTTCTAAAAATGGATTCACGTTAGTAAGTTTTCACCGGAGATTTTTCGTTGAAAAATCTTGCGTATATTGTTAACACATCGAGAAGCTTTTTACACTGGCAGATTTTAATAAATTACAACCACTATCAGCAGGTGGAGGAAATTACTATACGCAGCAGTCTGTTCAGCAGTGACGTAGCAAAACTTTTGGCTGTGATCATGAAAGATGTTAGAATAAATAAAGATGTTCCGACCAAAGTCACATGTTCGACGAAAAATCTGGCGAGTCCGTTGGACTTTCAGAATAAAAAGATTCCTCCGATAATCATAACATTTGTACAGGTATATTTAAGTACCGAACCCGAAAGAGCATACAACATACTGTAAACAAATAGTATAATTTACAACTACAGGGATGCAAAAATCCAGTAGTAGTCCCAGTTTTGCAGGTGCATCCAATCGACTTCGTCTTTTGTCTTGAATTTTTTCAGTTTATGGCTGTACACATAGAGAATCTAAGTCTTTTGATATTGGGCAACGGCTGGCTCGCGAACGGTAGCGCGGAGAGTCTGAGTTTAGACGGTAGCGTTGTCCATGGAGCGCGTACGCTTTTCGCGTCTGCCGGTGTTGTTGGCGGTGCGATGAAATTGTTACGACATTCGTCTGACGCGTGTCTGTCGCAAATATCGTTTGCGGGAACGGCAGAGGCTACACTAAAAGCGCATGGAGAACTTTCGGTGGAGGTGAGGAAAAAATGTTCTGTCTACAACGTGCACGCACTGTTAGTTTTCGCATGACGATTCCGAGACTCGTAGAGTAATTGAAAATACATTATATAAAAAATGCAAAGATTTTGCTCAAGGCTTTGAATGGTAGCTGTTTGTGTTCAGCGCACTTAATGGACGATCCCAAACAACTCTCCTTTGAAACGGGAATAAAGTGGAATCAAGCAGGATCTAATTTATAGAAATTGTACATCGGAATAATGCAGACAGAGGGTTCCGGTGGTGCGGGACTAGTTACCTTCTTCAAAGACAGGAGCTCGTTGACTGACGCGTCTTCGTATTCAAGGACAGACGGTGATCCTTCCGACGATTTGTTAACTCGACTGGCGCCAGTTATACCGAAGGTAAAGTTCGCAATCAGACATCTCGATCCTGCGAATGCTATTGTATGTTCCGTTATGTGTCGCTGCAAGTACGAGCCTAAATATTATTTGCAGGATTTCACACTGAAAATAGGTAATTCCTCTGTGATCACGAGCGGAGAAGACGGTATGGTGCTTGGTTTAGAAGGTACGATGAAGGGCCTTCAAATTAGTACGAAATTCCAGCCTAGCTGCTTTCAATTGAATCTTACTTTAAGCTTGGATGGGCTCTCCGTTCGTAGCAAACTTCCTATTTTGACGCTGCGATCGTTGTTGATAAATTCAAAGGTACTAGTATACTACATGTCGCGGCTAGATTTTTATTTGCTGCACTCTATTAAAGACTCGGCGATGTTGACCTTGGACAGGTGGATCGGAACATTTTAGAAACTACCACGCAAATCAACAGTCTTTCAATCATTTACGATTACAAAGATTGGGAGACGATACTGTGCAGTGCAGAACACGAAATCTCAAGGCCCGTTAGTGGTATAACATTAAAGGATAAATTACCTTGGTCGGATGTAAGAGTGAACACCGAACTTTACGATTCCTCCCTGAGCATCAAGTTACTGGATGTCGATGAAGTCTCGTGCAGCGTGGCTCATATGAAATATTCTTTAAATACACTTACAGGTGCGGATGTGACACGTGATCATTTGCGTCGAATTTCTCTTTACGAATAGAGTTTAATAAAGGTTGGTTTTATCCGATAGACACGACTGATGGTTGGAATACGGAGCTAGTAGTGGAATCGTTGTATTGTACTTTAAACGGTCCCAATACCGCTACCTCGGAAACGTCACATCGATGGGGTACGCCTCTATCCGTAGGTGTGCTCTTAGCTACAACGCGTACCAATGCTATTGGAATTGCTGTCGATGCTCTTGTGACCGAATGGAGTTTAGAACTTGCAAGATTCCTGGAAGAAGCGTTCAAGTGGGTCGTACTACTGAAAACAAATTTTACGTAATGTACATCCAATAACACCGTTCCGTAAGTGTTAAATTTGTTTCAAAGGTGCTGTCAACGATACGGAAGAACCGAACCGACGAATAAAGCCAGAGATACGGACAATGTTATTCAATTGAATCTCAAAGTTACGAACTGTAATTCATTCTTTATCGCGGAAAATAATCGTAAGTATGTACACGTAGTGCACAAGCTTTGCGTCAAGCGTCGACGTTTCTCTGACGCTTCTATTAATTTCTAGTGTCTATTATGATGCGCTTGGATGCCGCCAGTTTCGAGCACAGCGCGAAACGATTGGTAGCCGTGGCCGAGGGTGTAAGCGCGATCACACTGAATAAAAACGAGCCGATTATTTGTCAACACGCTCAAGCGTTAGCTCATCCGTTCTTGGCTGTAAGAAAATGCAAAGGCGCCGTTAGTTCTGAAACGGTAAACATTAGTTTGGACGGCACAAATTTAGCCTGGAGCCCGAATTTACATTTACGACTTTTGCAACTCTGGCTAGAGTCCACAGATTTTCGATCCATTATAGGTCGAGGTGAATCTCCGGTCAGCGTCGAAGGTATTTTGCTCTTGTTCAACGCACGGTCACGATTCACGATTAATTTTATCGTGGTCTAAATTTTCGTCCACAGGCGAGAAGGTTGAAGAACGGAAGCGAGTGTTGGATGTTCTGGCCACCGGGGGTATTAGCTTGTCGATCGATATTTCCCCGAAACACTTTTTGGAACTGTCGTCGGATCAGTTGCGTTGGTCCCAAGGGGAATGGAGGTTGAGCTACATTCGCATCACTTTAGATATGGCCGACGTAATTATGATAGAAGGCTTCGAGCTGGTCCGAGTGCCGGACAACGAGGAGATTCGCGTCGAACGACAGAGTAACGAGGGTTTCGTTCTGGATTGGAACGAAACCTGGACGCTTAACATCGAGTCGGTGAAGGCTTGTTTCCCGTACGAGCATCAGTTCACGGACGCGATACAAAATGAACTGTTCAGCATAAGGAAATGGCTGAAGGAGATTCATTCATCTTCGAGGGGTAAAAAAATGAAAGCGTTGCCCTGTGACCTGATCATAAAGGTAGGTCTCACGACTGTACGGTATTCAGTATGTACAATTGTAATATAATATTTCGAGTGTAATACACCGCAGTCGAATATTCAGGGAGGAAAATGTTTTGGCGCGGGTTGCAGATCAAGGAATGGGTATTCGAGGTGAGCGACGATCCGTTCGAGGTACGATTGCGGGACAATTACGAGCTTCTCGAGGACGAGTACAAGGAGAGCTTGAAACGGCAAGCGATGCTCGACGCGAAAGTCCAAGAGCTTTGTCGGGCCCATCTGTTGCTGCCGCAGGGTAAAGTCGAGGAGTTGTACGCAAGCTTGAATAAGAAGAACGCGGAGATTTACGTGCAACGATGGAAGCAAATGCAACGGGCCGGCCCGGCACGTACGAGACTGTTCGCATGGTCTATGCTGGACCTGGAGATATTGGCGTTGGCCGATCCGTCGATCGACGGCACGAAGAACGCGGTCAGGTCCCTGCGGGAAATGGACGCGGAGACACCCTGGCCGGAGGATGGCCTCGAGTTCAGCACGCTCTGGGTCCGCGGGATAAGCTTGAAGTGTGCCGAATGGAAGTTACACCTACGGGATTTCCCGCAGCCGTTGCTGTTGGTCGAGAGTCTAAGCGTCTGGGGCAGGTTGGCTGGCGCTGAGGCGCTCGCGCCACCTAGGGCCAGACGAACCGTACGAATCGAGATCGGCGCGCCGTGGGAGGATATAGTCGTCGAGAGAGGAATGACGTCGTTGAAGTATTACCACGATCTGAATTGGGACATCGACAAGTTCAGGTACGCATTCGGCCCGTGCTGGGAGCCGGTGATCGCGCAATGCAATCTGAGCTTCGAGAAAATTCTACATCCGTCGCGGGACCCGAGTCCCCCGTTACCGTTCTGGGACAAAATGCGATTGGCCCTGCACGGGAGGCTGACACTTTGCGTGAAGCAGCTGACGGTGTTGTTGCACGCCTCGCTGGATCCATACAACACCACGGAGGAAATGGAGCTGACGTGGACGGGGCTCGAGCTCGATTGGACGCAAGGCCGAATAATCGTGAAAGGTGATCTAGACGTGTACGTTCGCACGGCAAGCAAGTACGATGATTGCAGGTTACTCCATCTGCCGAATGTTCGTCTCAGCATAAAGTTAGCCTGGGTCTGTTTGGGCGATCCGAGAGATCACCATGCCGCGATTCCTTGCGCCCCTGATAGACTGCCGGAGTATTCCAGTAACCAGGAGCACGACTCGTTCAGAGCGTTCCGTTCGCAGAATTTAAACGTGAGCCTGTCACTGGAGACGAAGCCGACCGGATCACCGGCCCTGAGCAGCGCACCAACCGCGTTACTATACGGGAGCACTCTCAGATGGTTCGAGAACCTGAAGTTCATTCTGTCCGGGGCGACCAGGCCGACCAGGAAAGGGCCCCTCTTCAAAAACATCAGACCCCGAAAGAAACAGCTTAGTCGGCATTATCGTAAAGTCCGATTAACACTGGCGTTCCATCGGTTTCACGTTAGCTATTGGATGTCCTTCGCGATGCAACGGGGATTCGAGGTGACCGGCGGCAGAGTGGCTTGCAGCTGCGAACATAATCTATCGTTGCATCCTATCCTCGACGATCTGATACATCGGCCTCGGGCGGAATGGTCCGTGGTCTATATGAACTGCGAGCTAAGCGACGCTGAAATATGGTTGAAGAGCGCGTTACAAGAGGACAAGGAGACCGCGTCGTTACGGCAGCCGGTCGAGAAGTGTTATTGCTTGAGCGTGGCCCGTGTCAGTTACGGCAGGGAGGCGATGGTCGCGGGTTTGAGCGGCGGCGACACACCCACCCATCGATTGGTCGTGCACGATCTCAAAGGGGCTTGGACTAAAACAAACAGGGACGTGGCGTTCGCGCTTTTCGACTCGTTCATCAAAACGCAACAGCTGAAGAAAAACCTTTCCACCGCCGCGTTGAAGGGCTTCCACAGAGAGAGCTCGTCGACACCGCACAAAAATCGGCAGAGGGCCGTCGATCCACAAAAGACCCCTTTACCCGCACAAATCAGCTCGTCGTCCGCGACAAAACCGCAACAGGGTGAGGCTGTCGGGATGTTACAGAGATTGATAGCGGAGGCTGCGAACAAACCGGTTGCATTTAGCGACGATCTCTCCGTGCAGACCAGAGGGCAACAGCTTCGTGGACTGGCAGCCTGTCACCAGGACGATGTTCTTCACAAAAACTGGCTAAGTATGGGGCGATCGTGCGCGTTCTAATTGTATCTCGAATATAGCCACAGATAAGATACAAGAAATAGACCTAACATCTTATGGCACTTTCAGTCGCGTTGGTGAACAGTCAGGTATTGCTGAAAGGTATCGAGACACGAGGCTACGTGATATTATCCGCTGCTAAGGCGGAGATATTGCAGAGGATTCATCAACCGGTATGGAAAGAGAGGACATTGGTGTCGAAGACGACATGGGTCGGTTCGTTGGAGTGTATGCAGTATTATGCGACCGTCAGCGCCAACATTGACGAGAACATCGATGATAATATTATGTGGTTGACCTTGGATAACATTCAGGTGAGTTACAAAATACCGACTTATATGAAATAAACACGTGCAAATGGAGAAATTAAAAGAAATTATCGTAATTTACCAAAGGAAAAAGATTCGACGGTCATAGCTGGTTTACCGGATGTGCCGGCGCTGGTAGGCTCCGGGCAGAGTGTCGGCGGAGTTGTCAGTCAGACCGTTGGCGGCGGTGGTGGACCCCAACACCAGCTCCAACGTATCGTTTCCCGGTGCAAATGCGAATTTTTCTATGTTGGATACGGTCAAGCCCTAGACGTTGGATACGTTGATCAGGTACCACCGCCACCGCGAGAAGAGGTTAGCCCATGGGAAAGGAAGGACCTCTCGGCTGCCGATGCATTCACATTAATGCATCACGATCTGGACGTTTGCACGAATTCGCTGCAGTACGCTATGATTCTGGATATCGTGAATAATCTGCTGCTTTACGTGGAGCCCAGACGAAAAGAGGCGTCGGAACGGTTGCAGAGAATGAGATTTCAATTGCAGCTTCACTCGGTCGAGGCTCAACGACGGCCGATTCAACAATTGCAAAACACCGTGCGCGGATTGGTGGCGAAATTGAGACGATTGGAACGGGAAACGTATCTGGTTCAAAAAGCCCTGGCGGAGGAATCCAGTCCCGAGTTGCTCGCTGAAATGGAACGATTGGAGGCGGGAGTTTTCGAATGCAAGGAACAACTCGCCGCGAAAGCCGAGGAACTCGATGTGATGCTGAGCTGTTACAAAGAGACTACCGCACCTGCCACAGCGTCCACCACTTTGAAGGACAAACCGGCAGCGGTGGCGAGAGTCGCTGAAATCTGTTTCAAACACGCACAGTGGAGGTTGACGGACGCGGACGGTCAATTGGGAATTGCCGATCTGATTTTAACGAATTTCTTGTACACGAAAACCAGCAAAACGGACGACTCGGTTGAACATCTTCTCGAATTGGGATACGTTCGAATGACCAATTTACTACCGAATCAAATTTACACGGAAGTATTGACGCCTACGGAGTTGCAAAGCAACATGCCCGTTGACAGACAGAGAGCCCTTCGAGTTTTTTGCAGAGAAAAGGCGCCGGTTGCGGGAATATCTGTGAAAGAACATTTCGAAATTAATGTGGTTCCCCTGACGATAGGTAAATTGAGATTTTCTGTTTTTTCCCCCCTTTATCCAATACTTGTGGGCAGACTATATCCATCGTTTTCCCTCCCTGTTTATTTTAGGATTAACGAAGAAGTTTTTCAACACTATGTTGAAGTTTTGTTTTCCCGAGAGAGATCCGGAAGGAATAGAGGAACCACCCGCACCACAACGGGATTCCTCGTTTTATGTACCGATGGAAAGAAGAGACGATGTGGAAAAGATGAAAGAGAGGGCGGATAAAAACAAACTGTTTATATACATCAAAATACCAGAAGTTCCAGTTCGTGTATCTTATAAGGTATATCTGTTTTTTGAATGGTACAGTTTGCGGGCAGCCTCGAACAGTGTGTAGTTCGATGAGTGACCTCTCACTGATTGAGGTTACCATTATAGTTACAAAGTGTTCAGATCATATGCTTCGTTGCAGGGAAACAAAGAGAAAAATTTAGAAGATGTCCGTGACTTTGCTCTTGTAATACCTACGTTAGAGTACCATAATGTTACTTGGACATGGCTTGATCTCTTATTGGCTATGAAAAGTGATTCTAGACGGGTAATATTGAGTCAAGCTATTAAGCAGAAGTTACAAATCAAGCCGCGAGGTCCACAGGAAGAGTCTGCTCCGCAAGAAGAGGATAAAGCTAGACTTTTGTTGGGCGCCAGACACCTCCCGGGTGACGCTAGGAAGAAAGGTGTATTTAAATTTAAGTAATGTATTATTTCGGGTCACAATTGCGTCAATATATTGCTATTTATTGTAATAAAATATTTAATAAAACACAGGAATACGGATACGTCGGAGAGATCAAGTATTTTTTATTTAAACAAAACGATACGTGCAAATCTTTCTGTTTATTATATTTACTTTGTACAATAATAAAATTTTACCTTGTCTAATAGCGGAGTATCACGCGTTTCGTGTGGCCTTCATTAATAACGAAACGAGTAAGAACTGATCTATTGTCTCTTCTTTTTTAATTTTAATTGGACAGGTAATATTTGTTGACAAACACATGTCTGACAAAAATCCTGCGTACACAGGGGATAAAAATAATCTAAGCTATTTAGTTGCAATGTAATGATTAAAAATTCATTGGTATTATAAAAAAATAAATGATAAATTCTAGTAACACTTTGTAAGTACAATATCAGATTTTCCATTAAAATATTTACAATGTACACGCAACACAGCACGCTATAGAGCGATCAAAGGTGTCTCTACGTTTTTTCTCGCGTGCCTCCATTCGTTTAAATCTGCCAGAATTCTTCTACCATATATAGTGTGCAGTTCGCGAAACGTAATCCTCGTTCTAGGAACGTTCTCCGTTCTACCTGGAGCGGATCTGACACTCTGGGAACGATGATGCGATTCGGGCCTATTGAAAGGATTATGTCGTTGCCGCGGAGGAGCTTTAGGAGATTGCGAGGGAGGCACAACTAACGTAGTTTCCTCTTCCGCAGCATCCAATTGTCTTTGCAATTCCGCTGCCATTAATTTCATATAATCGTAACTTGCACATGCCAGGGCTTTCATCCATTGTTCCATAGATTCCTAGAAATTCATGAGTGCTCATTTTTCTTGCATAACAAGCATTACGAGACACAGTGTCTAACTTTAAAGGTACACATTTTTTACCTGCGATTCCGCGGCAAGAGCATAATTTCGATTATTTGGACCATGAAATACAATTTGAAAGCCGAACTGTTCCTCATCCTCTGCCAATTCGATAGTACAACCTTCTAAAACTATCATACCTACTGGTTCTTTGTCGCCACGTCGATCAAAGTAAAACAATATATTTCCCTTCAAAACGAACCATCTTCTCTGATAGCCACGATTCAATTCGCCACGTTTGTTTAACCAACCTTCACGATCCACCGGTGTAGCCGATGTCGCGAAAGCTACCATATTCTTCTCGTTTATTTTCATTGCATTTGAAACTGTATTCTGAACGAGCACAAGAGCCAACAAGGTTCTGCCGAGGCAACGCTTGCCAGATATCACGGGTCGCTTTGTTTATATAATATTCCGATGTTTCTGATTAATCGACAATTCGTCTCTTAATTGTTAAATGTTCGTCTTTCAGACTAAGTTAACCTGGTTAACCTTGCGAGTCAAAATGTTTAATTCCCTCGTGATCGATATATTTTCACTAAAACAATGAAATCTGTAATTATTTTTGTAATTGCTATGCATTGTTGAATCAATACTTTTTTTTATACATGCTTTATACATATACATAGGCTTCTTTTCCTTTTCAATGATGCTTTCCAGCGATGTATTTACACACTTAGTTACACAAGTTTGACCAATTTTGACGCGCAAACTTCTAATAATTCTACCATGCGTATTACCAACTACCCTTCCTTGACAGTTGAAAAGGTTACAATGGAGCCAAATGGAGCAATAGGCAAACGTCATACTGTTTATGTGCATGTGTGTCGTGCCAGGTCGTGAATAAATGTGCAAAGATACTATTTAGACGACAAGAGGTACTAATCTGATCGTACAAAATGGGAAAAGGATTTAATAATTATATGTGCAAAAAGTTCTTCCATCCAGCGTCTCGAGACAATTTGAAACGAGTAGGTTCTTTGTTTCGGAATGATTTGCAGGTTATTTATAATTTAGGCAAAAGATTAGACGTAATATTACTTTTTCATTAGGTATGGATGGCAGAACAGCAAGCCGAAGCTTACAAGAAAAAACAAGAGGAATTACGCGTTCAGTATGAAAAAGAACAAGATCTCCATAATAATAAGTAAGCAGACCGATGTTTTCTTCGACGAGATATTAGAACGTTCTATTCTGAAAATTCGATTTACTTATTACAGAGCTTTACTGAGTAAAGAAAGCAAAGATAAGCTTAGCGTAAATTTCATGTATGAGCCACCACCTGGAGCAAAGAAAGAAAGAGAGAAAGAAGATAATGAACCAGAGTACAAATTTGAATGGCAACGCAAGTATAATGCACCTAGAGAAAGTTATTGCAAAGGGGATAGTGAAATTAGAGATCAACCATTTGGAATTCAAGTGCGAAATGTACGATGTATCAAATGTCATAAGTGGGGACACATAAATACAGGTTTATATGATGCCTATTACAAAAATCTAAAAAATCGAATTGAAATGTAAATTTAAAGCAATAGATTAACATTCATAAATACATTTTGCTTGTAGATAAGGAATGCCCTCTATATAGTCAGGCTATGAGCGTTGTGATGGCAAATAATTCCCAAACACCATCTGCTCCAGATGCTCTCACTCTTGTACAACAAATGAGAGAAGATGGCCTGGCACTTAAGAAGTGAGTGTACATCTTCTTGTTTGTGTTTGGAAATATTTTTTGGTTTAAATGTTTATTGTTTTTTTTTACAGATCTGCACTGAATGCACAACAACATTTACGAGTTCCCGAACACGAACATCTCATGGTTTCAGACGATGAGGAACAATCAGAAATAACATTCTTAAAAACTCTTTCCAAAAAAGAAAAGAAAAAGTTGTTGAGGTAAACAATTTTATCTTGCATGTCTTTTGAATGTTGATTACCTCCATAATTTGACTAATTTTTCTTTCTTCTGGATCATATTTATTACAGAAAATTACAACAACTCGAAAAGAAAACTAAGAAAAGCAAAAAGAAGAAATCAAAGAGAAAAAGCAAAAAAACAAAACGCAAAGAAAGCAGTAGCGATACGGACAGCGACAGTAGTTGTAGCAGTACAAGCAGCAGCACCAATAGTGTCAGCAGTAGTAGCAACGGTCGTAGCGACAGTAGTAACGATGTTCGCAAAGATAGTAATAGTAACCGTTTCATGAATGGTATTAATACTAAAAATTCTAATGATCACGTATCGAAAGAATCTAGAAAAGCACGAAAAGGGAAACATAGAGCAGATTCTAAGGTATCCAATGACGAAGGTGCGAGATATCGTCAAAAAGTAGAAAAACATAAAGCATACGATCGAAACAGAAACAGTAAATATGATTACAAGAAAGATGGAAAACCCAAACAATCGCATCGACGAAATTTAAAGAAAAGTAAAGACAGATATTTGGACGTTGGTAAAAAAAGAAAAATTGAAGAATTTGACGACGACAGAGATTATGAAAGGCAAGGTAAAAAACGAATAAAACGATCTTTAGAGTAATCGTGTTCCGTTACATGTTTAATGTATACAATAAATTTAGATAAAAAATAACATATACATAATATGTGAGTAGATATGTCTCCTAATGGTACAGAATTACAGAGTACATACTAATTGAAATGAATTGTAAGCATTTTTGTACACTTCTAAATAGAGGAAAATACAATACAGCAAAAATCAGTGAAACGAATTGAACTAGTATGTGTCGCTCATTTTTCAGTAACTTGTCTATTGTGCAAAGAGAAATTGTTGGACACGTCTACTTAAATAAATGTTTGGGATAACGTTAAAAATATCACATAAAGTTATGCAACTTGATAAGATATCCAAGTATCTTAAATTAATAAGAATTTAAGAGGATTCTATGTTTTAGAGGATAAATAAAATTTGAATTGAGTTGAGTTGTTAAGTATTTTCGTGCTTTATTTTGTTCAAAGAGACGAGGATGGAAAATTTTCATTAACCTCGGCTGAAGCGACGTAAAGACTCGCTGTTTTAAATACTTATATACCAAGTATCATTCGAAACGCGTACACACATATTTGAAAATGCGGTACTCACCTTGTTATATGAAATAATCTTATTATAGAAACATGTAACAGATGTGAAATATTCACTGCATTTCGTATCTATGAAAAGCAAGGGTACATTTCCTTTTTTCTGAACGTATACCAGGTACCGTAACTGATGGTACAAAAGGGAAGGTTGGTTCGTTTTCAATATAATTGAATATGAATTTTGATTGAGTACACCTGCACTGACGCAGTTGTAGGCTCTTATGGGGTATTGTGACGACCGAAGAGGAACACATGTTACAATATACAAATGTTTTTCACAGATCTGTGTTCGGTCAGCTAGTCGTCAAAATGTGTATATTTTTTACAAAGTTTTGTTTTCCACGTACAATCACCACCAGTTATGGGACCCTTTGTATATTAATGATGTCCAAATTATCCTCTGAAATTTTAGCTCATTCCCGTTAGTATATTTACGGCTCGCAGAAAGGGAACGCAGACATATGACAATTATCAAAGTCTCATTCTCAACATTATTTCTTTTATATAACATAATCATCTATTAACAAGACTTTTACATACTTATTTACTACACACGCGAATGTATATGCGTTTTCCCTATGTAAAAGTTAATACTATCCAGCTAGTGGCTGTGAACACTTGGGCAGTTTAAATCTGTTGTGTAATTGTCACTTTCACAATGATTACATCTAAAAGGGAATCGAATTGATTAATAGTTAGGGTACGACATAATCTAGAATAAAATATGAAGGTTTCGAGTGCAGTTTGGCTGCATCGACATTTCACTAAAAGGAGACATTACTGTGAAACAAGTTACGATCAAACATAATAATGCACGAGCAAAATATGCCTACAATACCACCTCGATTCTGTTATATATATATATATATATGTATATAAATACAGATCAACGCAGTGTTTGCTTTTATAATGGCTGTCCGTTTTTCGCAACACAGAGTTCTTCAGAAAAAATTATAACACGATACTAGTAGCGGAACAAGAGGTTTGAGATTGATTGTATCTTTCATAATTGCCATTGGTAATGAACTTCTTTATGGACTCAAAGCAACATTTATCAAACAAGGTATTCGAACGATTTTGGAATGTACAATTGCTCCTGTTAATGTTCCGTCGCGAAATAGTTTCGTTCATTTAAGTGAACCTTCTGAGAAGTGCATTGAGTTGTAACTTCTCAATGGAAAACGCATAATTGGAAACATTAGAATTGGTTTCTTTTCGTTGGCCTAATTTTGTACACTAACGATAAATTCGTACTTCTTTGACGAGTCAGGCAGGCATGTTAAAAAGTTGAATAACTCGTTGCAACAATGAGTGTAGTATGTCATCAAAAATATCTCTTAGACCCTTTGAATATTTTTGCGTAACAGAATTCACTGCTTATCAAAAATCCACGTATATATTTACATAATGAAAACATGTATGACTTTCCTCCATCGTGCCGTGAACAGTGGTAAATCCATGCTAGGGCAGTCACAGGCCTCTGCGTATTATTATAAATTCTTGATGAGTGTTCGTAGGCTCCTCGGCATTGAACATTAAATATTTCATAAACTAATGGCCATATTCGGCTGAAACGAATATCATTGGCTTCAGAATTCCAAGCTTTATTGTAGGAACTCCTCCTTGTCAGTGACGAGGAGCCTACGAACACTCATCGAGTATTTATTGTATTTGTAACCGCGAATAGCACCACTGCCCAATCACTGTAACTCTGTTTTCGATTTACAATTCATCTTGGCTATGTATATATATATTATAAATATATATATATATGTATGTACGTAAGCAAATAGCATCAAGTTTTTAGCTGAATGTATCCATTGAACCGTAGGAAAGAAAGCCAGAAAATGATACTGCAAACATTCTTTCAAACTTATTATGGAAGATGAAAGCTTGTTTGCATACTTCTTTCTCTAAATTACTACAAACGATTCGATAGTTGATCTATATCTGTCATCTCGGTATCCTCGACGTTATTTGAACCTACCATATGATGCCTGCAAATTGAAAATTATTGAAATAAGAATTGAAATTCATTCTGCTAGGTAAAACGGAGCAACGAAGTTAAGAAAAACACCTGTGTTGTTGAAAATGACAGGGTGCACGTAGATGAGCATCAGGTGACCTTGAAGATAGATTGTGAAAACTTCCGCTGAAACCTGTACCTAAGAGTCCTTTACGTGGGCTTTTAGCATTTATGACTCTAGGTTGAGAGTACATTTCCTCCAAAACGCTGGGTGCTACATACGTGAAACCCTGTGAACATGTTATCGAACTCATTCTCGTTGTTTTATCTAGTCAGACACATATTCTGCTACGTACTTGAAAAATCATATTAGCAGACTCGCTTAAAGTACTTTCGACCGGGGAATCCACAGGCACGGTTGTCGTAAACTGTTCGTCGAACTGTGACGTGTCATCGGCACTTTTCTGGAAGTATTACGAATCATTTTCGTTTACTATCATAACTTCTTATATTTACCGTGGTTACTTACTAACGACGGTTTAAAGGGAGGTTCCAGCTTTCGTGAGATTACGTCTTGCCAATTAATATGTTTAAAAAAATTGTGACTCATTATCTGTTCAGCATCTTCGGAGCCCGATCCTAATCGTTGGGGCACTTGTCTCTACGAGACCAAACGCAAAATGCAGTTACAGTAATATTATTAGATTGTGCAGGAAATAATTTGACAAATGGTACCTTTAATAACTTTCGTATCAAGTCTCTTGCATCTGGTGTTAAATATTGCGGAAGACTTAGTTTTCCCCTTAAAATCTTTTCAATTGTCTTTCTTCTGTCATCTCCTGTAAATGGTGGCTGTAAATGAAAAAACGGATATTATTATTTTACGTAATCCAGCTTCTTGTACGAAATAGTTTTTGGTATCTGTAGTTCGCGTACCATTCCACTAAGCATGTCAAACATTAGCGCACCTAAACTCCACCAGTCAACGGCCTTACCGTGTCCACATCTCGTTAAAATTTCTGGCGCCCTGAGTACGTTAGCGACAGTGAAAAACAGGAGGATACAACATATTTCCAGGCCAACTATTTTAACTTACAGTTCGTGTTTTAGTTTTAAAAATCGGATTATTAGAATGAACGTGTTTTGTTACTTCGACAATAATTGCTTACGAGTTTACAAAGATCCCTACTCACATGTATTCTATAGTTCCACAAAACGTGTGCGTCACTGTACCTTCTTGTATATGTTCTTTGCACAAACCGAAATCGGTTAATTTAACGTGACCTTCGCTATCTAACAATATATTCTCTGGCTTCAAATCTCTGAAAAAGTATTCAATGTGGGTGTGACTCGAGCGAGTATATACTTTAAATAATATTATCGTTACGAAAACTGTACCTGTATATAATACCCTGATTATGGAGATGCTGAAGTGCTAGTATGATTTCTGACAAATAAAAGCTATGGACACAACATAATTAATAGAAATTTTAATGTGTAAATGTTCAATCTACTGCCACATTTTTAATGTTTTCACATAGATTGCAGTGAATTGTATTCTTGGTGACTTACCAGGCTGTATCTTCTAAGAAAATGCCTTCTCTGTCTAAGTAAGTGAAAAGTTCCCCACCACAAAGATATTCCAAAATTAAATATAATTTCCCACCAGTTTGAAAGGCATACATTAGATTTACAATGAATGGGTGCTACAATAAGATAAATTAAGTAAATGGATGCCCTTTCATCTTGGCAAATGTGCTATATTTACCTTTACAGCCTCTAGTATATTCCTTTCTGCTTTTGTATGTGCTGTATCTTTCTGATTTCTTATAATAGAAGCTTTTCGTAGTACCTATTTATGAAAAACACAGTTTGACTGATCTTAAGCTTGCAAGCAAGCAAAAACACTTACCTTCATAGCAAAAATACTGCCTTTGTCTTTTCCTGTAACTTTTTTTACTTGAAAAACTTTTCCATATCCACCTTCTCCAAGAATCTTACATAACTCAAAATCTTGGGGCCCAGTTTTTTCTTGACCAGGATTAACATTTTCTCCGGACAATTGAACTCTTTCCAAATTCTCAGATCTGTAAAAATCATTAATAAGAGTTTTTCTTTTTTCTGGTAGCGAAAGGAGAAAAGAATGCTCTGAACTAATTCAGCGGCATGCTATTAAATTGTAAATATTACCCTATTTGTAAGGTCAACTCTGTTGACCTTCAAAATTTAAAGTACTTACTCTAAGATGGCATTAACGTTTGTGGCACTATTATATTCGTCCTGAAAGACAAACAAAAAAGAATAAACGAACTAACAGTAATAATGGAAGAGTATATCGATAATCTAGGAAGAAACAGACTTCTCTGATTTCAAGAACATCATCGTCTGAATCATCTTGATTTACAGAATCCCCGTCATGCAATTCTATGTCAAATACTCCTGCCATCTTCTTTGCGATGGAATTACATTTAAAAGTTTCTCTCTTTAATAATTTTAATTGATCGTAACGCAATCAAATGATACATCTACGTATGTCCATAGACGCAATAGTATGATTCTTTATTTTGCGTGTCTTATGCTTATATTATATTATGCAATTGTAACTGCAAATTATAAAGGAAATTATACACGATACGACAAGTTGTTACTGATTTCTAAATAATATTCAAAAGAAAATGTACAAACTTTGGAAAAAAAACAACTCGTATAACTTGTGACACTGACCACGGTCCACCACTACAAGTAACTACAAGTGACTATCAGTGACTATAAGGTATTCCAATCCAGCATGAAATATGTAACAGCAAAGAGAGACATATAAAATCTGTAAAAGTCTGGTGTCGCCTGAAGTTGGAAGCAAATGTTATGTTACACGGGTTACACGCTTCGATTTATTCATTATTATTATTATTTATTATTATATCGATTCATTTCTATGTCTATGCTTTCTTTAAATTGAACCACGAGTTCCTTCTCTTATGAAGTCTTCATGTTTAATGTTGTTCAATGTGCTCTTTGGAGCGTCGTTTCGGCCGTTTCCCTCTGATTTCACTGGATTTCATTTGTGCGCCATGTCCGGTAATATTGTATTACATGCCGTCCGTTGATGCGCGTTGGCTTGGTAATAATGTTTAATTTTGCATGTAATTGAGGTAAGATAACCATTTATTAACAGTTTTTTTCTGAATTGTGTGATATAACAAAGTAGAATATTTAGTGCTAACGAGATAAGAAAATCCTTATTCTTTCTAATGTAGTATTTCGCGTTGACCATGTAGTGTTTCCAAACGGTGCAACAACGTAATTCAATTATAGCTCGTAAGCAGTAATTTAACCTTTTATTCATTAAAGTTTACGGTGATTTATGATCGGAAATGAATATTGATCTCTTTTTTTTTCCTATAATTCCGATATATTCTTATTAATTTTCATACTCCCGGTGTTGAAAAGTACTTATAAGAAGTAGACTAAGCGGTAATTACTACTCCTTTTAACATTCGTATAGTATACGAAATTGAATTAATATCATATTTTTAAAGTATGGATTGTAAACATTCCGTAAATTTAATGCTATGCTGGTTTTTTTTTCTAGAATTTTTACATAAAAATGTCGATTCCACCGTACTTGCTGGGTCCAAATCCATGGGCCACCATGATGGCCCAGCAGCAGGCTCATGCCCAACTAGCAGCTGCTCAAGCTCATGCTCAAGCAGCAGCTCATGCGCAAGCAGCCCATCATGCCCACATGCAAGCAATAGCAGGGCCTCCATTACCACAAATGCCTAAACAGCCCGAAGTTTTGTCCGAGGACAAACTTCAAGAAAAAGGTATCCGACAACTATTGTATTCATGATATTAGAAAAAAAAACATTGTATATTATCATGAAAGTCTTGTTAAAAGTTAAGTTGTCCAAACAGGAATTTACAAATAACATAACATTTATGTAAGTCTTATCTAATATGCTACAATATCTTAGCTCAAAAGTGGCAACAACTTCAGTCAAAAAGGTTCGCTGAAAAAAGAAAGTTTGGCTTTGTGGATGCTCAAAAAGAAGATATGCCACCAGAACATATAAGAAAAATTATTAGAGACCATGGGGATATGAGTAGTCGCAAATACAGACACGACAAACGTGTTTATTTAGGGTAAATGAAACCAAATACTGTTCAGTTTTTTATGATTTGAGAAAAAACATGAAGTAAATGTTTTGTAATGTTGTTGGTTCTTTTATAGAGCATTGAAATACATGCCTCATGCGGTAATGAAATTGTTGGAAAACATGCCAATGCCTTGGGAACAAATTCGAGATGTAAAAGTGTTGTATCATATTACGGGTGCGATTACGTTTGTGAATGAAATTCCGTGGGTTATAGAACCTGTATATATTGCTCAATGGGGGTAAGCTGCAGAGTATATGTACATTATGGTATTATTGATTACGTTTGTATGCCATCAAACAAGTACAAATTGTTTTTATTACGTGTAGAACAATGTGGATTATGATGCGGAGAGAAAAAAGGGATCGCAGACATTTCAAAAGAATGCGATTTCCGCCGTTCGACGATGAAGAACCTCCGTTAGATTACGCGGACAATGTTTTAGACGTTGAACCATTGGAAGCTATACAGATCGAACTTGATTCGGAGGAAGATGAATCTGTGGCATCTTGGTTTTATGAACATAAACCATTGGTTGGTACGAAGTGAGTATCAAAATTCTTCCTATATATTAGTCGATTATCAATGCACAAGTGCAGAGAAACGTATTTCATGATGAATCGCGTAGGGGTCCTGAAATCAACCGACATGTGAGTTGAAAGCTCTGGTAATTGCACAATCTTGTCCGAGACGAGTATTGTGGGTTACCACGAGCTGGATAAAACGCTATACTGAATTATCTTTGTTCTCAGCAATTGCAATGTAAATGTAATTTATGAAAGTTTCATTTAGTCGTTAATAATATTCCAGACACGTAAATGGATCGACTTATCGACGATGGAATTTGACGTTACCACAGATGGCGACATTGTATCGTTTGGCTAATCAATTGTTGACGGATTTAGTGGACCAAAATTTCTTTTATCTCTTCGATCCAAAATCATTCTTCACCGCTAAAGCTTTAAATATGGCCATACCCGGTGGTCCGAAGTTCGAACCACTGGTGAAGGATTCAAATGCAGCCGATGAAGACTGGAACGAGTTCAACGACATAAATAAGATTATAATTCGGCAACCTATAAGAACAGAATATCGCATCGCGTTTCCTTATTTGTACAATAATATGCCGCATTTTGTACACTTATCGTGGTAGGTATTAAGGCCAATACTAGTACTACAGTTACTTGTATATCTGTCCGCATGTTTCGTGCGATATTGTCCACGCAAGTTTTAAGATTGAACAGTTTTTAGTATATTAAAGTCTTACTAGCAGTGTGGTAAATAAACGGAAACGGAGGTGAATGGTATTCGTTTCCTTCGTAAAGTATAGAAGGCAACTGCTGAAATCACCTTACATTATTTTTATTTTTCTTTATAAAATACATGCGTCGAAACAATACCCCGTGAGTGTATAACGAGCCACGTTGTTTTCAGGTATCATGCACCAAACGTAGTTTATATAAAAACAGAAGATCCTGATTTACCTGCGTTTTATTTTGATCCATTGATCAATCCTATTTCGCACAGGAACTCGTTGAAGGTAAACTTGTAAGACTTATAAAAAAAGTATCGATGAATTAGTTTTGTCGTACGTCGATGTTTTATCAGTTGTTCGTATTCAGACTGTCGAACCACAAATTGAGGACGATGAAGACTTTGTGCTGCCAGAAGAAGTACAGCCGTTCCTTCAAGAAACGCCTCTCTATACCGATAACACGGCGAACGGTATAGCTTTGCTATGGGCGCCAAGGCCGTTTAACACTCGTTCCGGTAGAACGAGAAGAGCCATTGACATTCCTTTGGTGAAATCTTGGTACAGAGAACACTGTCCACCGGGACAACCTGTTAAAGTTCGGGTCAGCTATCAGAAACTGCTAAAATACTTTGTTTTGAACGCCTTAAAGCACAGACCCCCGAAGCCACAGAAGAAACGTTATTTGTTCCGGTCATTTAAATCGACAAAATTCTTTCAAACCACCACGATAGATTGGGTCGAAGCTGGTCTACAAGTATGTCGACAGGGATACAATATGTTGAATTTACTTATTCACAGAAAGAATTTGAATTACCTTCACTTGGATTACAATTTCAATTTGAAACCTGTTAAAACTCTGACCACTAAGGAAAGAAAGAAATCTAGGTTTGGAAACGGTGAGTGTCCAATAATTCGTGAAATTCGTACGCATAGTAAGCATACGTAGACATATATTTTTCGAACGCTATCCAGTTCTTAAAAGAATGTTAATTTTTACAGCATTTCACTTGTGTCGTGAAATTCTCCGTTTAACAAAATTGATCATCGATTCTCACGTACAGTATCGTTTGAATAACGTTGATGCGTTTCAACTTGCGGACGGATTACAGTACATTTTTGCGCACGTTGGTCAGTTGACTGGAATGTACAGATATAAGTACAAATTGATGAGGCAAATTAGAATGTGCAAAGACTTGAAGCATTTGATTTATTATCGTTTCAACACGGTAAGTGTATGACTTCTACCGACGTTTGAATACCCTCTAAAAATAGTTGATTTGTTTACGAATACAATGAAACAGGGTCCCGTTGGAAAAGGTCCTGGTTGTGGCTTCTGGGCACCGGGTTGGAGAGTATGGCTCTTCTTTATGAGAGGAATAACTCCGTTGCTGGAAAGATGGTTGGGGAACTTGTTGTCCAGGCAATTTGAAGGACGGCATTCGAAGGGCGTCGCGAAAACTGTAACGAAGCAACGTGTAGAGTCGCATTTCGATCTTGAATTACGAGCGTCAGTTATGCACGATATCGTGGACATGATGCCGGAGGGAATCAAACAGAATAAAGCACGAACAATCCTTCAGCATCTCAGTGAAGCCTGGAGATGTTGGAAAGCCAATATTCCTTGGAAGGTTTGCCTTTTGGATACTTTTCTTCGATCTTTGCTACAGTTTACCCTTTTCACGTTATAATTTTTTAACTGATATAACAATAGGTCCCTGGGTTACCGATTCCCATTGAGAATATGATTCTCCGTTACGTGAAAATGAAGGCTGACTGGTGGACCAATACAGCGCATTACAATCGAGAACGTATCAGACGTGGAGCGACCGTGGATAAAACCGTCTGTAAAAAGAATCTCGGACGTCTGACTCGATTATATCTTAAAGCGGAACAGGAACGCCAGCACAATTATTTGAAGGTATAGAATATTATGAATTGTAAACGACTGTGGTGACAAACATGAAATTACAAAATATTAATGCATGCACTGGTTTCGTGCACAGGACGGTCCGTACATCTCCCCGGAAGAGGCAGTAGCCATATATACCACGACCGTGCATTGGTTAGAATCCAGACGGTTTGCTCCTATACCCTTCCCGCCCCTTTCATATAAACACGACACCAAACTGTTGATATTAGCTCTGGAACGATTGAAGGAAGCGTACAGCGTCAAGTCGCGATTGAATCAAAGTCAACGCGAAGAACTCGGTTTAATCGAACAAGCGTATGATAACCCCCACGAAGCGTTGTCCAGAATCAAGCGTCACCTTTTGACACAGCGAGCATTTAAAGAGGTAACTCTTCCGTTTTCTATTTTGTTTTTCACTGTTCCACGAAAGGATCTTATTCGTTTTTATTTCGTAGGTGGGAATCGAATTTATGGATCTTTACAGTCATCTGATTCCCGTGTACGATGTGGAACCACTTGAGAAAATTACGGACGCTTACTTGGACCAGTATCTGTGGTACGAAGCGGACAAGCGAAGGTTATTCCCACCGTGGGTGAAACCCTCGGATACGGAACCACCGCCGTTGCTGGTTTATAAATGGTGTCAAGGTATCAATAATTTGCAAGACGTCTGGGACGTCAGTGAGGGAGAGTGTAACGTCCTATTGGAGTCCAAGTTTGAGAAGTTATACGAGAAAATTGATTTGACGTTATTGAACAGACTTCTCAGGTTGATTGTCGATCATAACATAGCCGATTACATGACCGCAAAGAACAACGTTGTCATAAATTACAAGGTATTTAGACGGAGTTTCATTTTGATAAAAAAATGGCAACACGATCGCTGATCATAAATATTAAAATGTTTGCTACTTTCGCAGGATATGAACCATACAAACAGTTACGGAATCATCAGGGGGTTACAGTTTGCGTCGTTCATAGCACAGTATTATGGTCTTGTGTTGGATCTGCTTGTTCTCGGGCTGCAAAGAGCCAGCGAAATGGCTGGTCCGCCTCAGATGCCGAACGACTTTTTGACTTTCCAAGACGTAGCCTCTGAAACTGCACATCCTATCCGATTATACTGCAGATACGTGGATAGGATACATTTGTTTTTGAGGTGAGATCCTCTGTAACATGACATACATTTTTTTTTTAAATAACGTTTCACGTTGAAGTGCTTTGCATACCGATTTCCCCATCACTTTCCGTAGGTTCTCCGCTGATGAAGCAAGAGATTTAATTCAAAGATACTTGACGGAACATCCAGACCCTAACAACGAGAATATTGTTGGCTACAACAATAAAAAATGTTGGCCCCGAGACGCGCGAATGCGACTTATGAAGCACGACGTGAATTTGTAAGTAATGAATTATTCTGTGATTATAGTGATCCCTCGATAAATGCGACACAAGCAACGACGTTATTCCCACCACTGGGGAAGTTCCTTTCTGGAATCAATCAAAACAGAGTAATCAGAAACTAACCAGAGGTGTGAAACATATAGTGGACAATTTTTGCAATGTTTTTTTGATGCTTTCAGGGGTCGTGCAGTATTTTGGGATATTAAGAATCGTTTGCCCCGTTCCACGACCACGATTCAATGGGAGAACAGTTTCGTCAGCGTGTACAGCAAAGATAATCCAAATTTGCTGTTTAATATGAGCGGTTTCGAGTGTCGTATATTGCCGAAATGCAGAACCACCCACGAGGAATTCACCCACCGCGACGGCGTGTGGAATTTACAAAATGAAATCACGAAAGAGAGAACCGCCCAGTGTTTTCTAAGAGTAGACGACGAGAGTTTGCAACGGTTCCACAACAGGGTCCGGCAGATTCTCATGGCCTCCGGTTCGACAACGTTCACGAAAATCGTTAACAAGTGGAACACGGCTTTAATTGGACTGATGACGTATTTCCGGGAAGCGGTGGTGAACACGCAGGAACTGTTGGATCTGTTGGTCAAGTGTGAGAATAAAATTCAGACGCGTATCAAGATCGGGCTTAACTCGAAAATGCCGTCGCGTTTCCCGCCGGTGGTGTTTTACACGCCGAAAGAATTGGGCGGATTGGGAATGCTTTCGATGGGCCACGTGCTGATACCTCAGTCCGACTTGAGATGGTCCAAACAGACCGACGTCGGTATCACGCATTTCCGTTCCGGTATGAGTCACGACGAGGACCAGCTGATTCCGAATTTGTATCGGTACATTCAGCCCTGGGAATCGGAATTCATCGATTCGCAACGCGTTTGGGCGGAATACGCGTTGAAACGGCAGGAGGCTAACGCACAAAATCGTAGACTCACGTTGGAAGATCTCGAGGACAGTTGGGATCGTGGTATACCCAGGATAAATACTCTATTCCAGAAAGACAGGCACACCCTTGCGTACGACAAGGGTTGGCGGATACGCACGGAATTCAAGCAGTATCAGGTATTGAAGCAGAATCCATTCTGGTGGACTCATCAACGTCACGACGGCAAACTGTGGAACTTGAACAATTATAGAACCGATATGATCCAAGCACTCGGCGGCGTGGAAGGTATTCTGGAGCATACACTGTTCAAGGGAACGTATTTCCCAACTTGGGAAGGTCTTTTCTGGGAGAAAGCGTCCGGTTTCGAGGAGTCGATGAAATACAAGAAATTAACGAACGCCCAGAGATCTGGTCTGAATCAGATTCCAAATCGACGATTCACGCTGTGGTGGTCGCCGACCATCAACAGAGCAAACGTGTACGTTGGTTTCCAGGTGCAACTGGATCTGACGGGCATATTTATGCACGGTAAGATCCCGACTTTGAAGATTTCATTAATTCAGATTTTCCGTGCTCACTTGTGGCAGAAGGTGCATGAGTCAATCGTCATGGATCTATGCCAAGTTTTCGATCAAGAATTGGACGCTCTGGAAATCGAGACTGTTCAGAAGGAAACCATACATCCCAGAAAGTCTTACAAAATGAACTCTTCTTGCGCTGACATTTTACTGTTCTCCGCATACAAATGGAACGTCTCGAGGCCGTCTTTGCTCGCCGATTCCAAGGATCTAATGGATAACACTACCACGCAGAAATACTGGATAGATGTGCAACTTCGATGGGGCGATTACGATTCTCACGACATCGAGAGATACGCTAGAGCAAAGTTTTTGGACTACACCACCGACAATATGTCGATTTATCCGTCCCCTACGGGATTACTGATCGCCATCGATTTGGCGTACAATTTGCACAGTGCTTACGGAAACTGGTTCCCAGGTTGTAAGCCTCTTATACAGCAAGCAATGGCGAAGATCATGAAAGCAAATCCGGCGTTGTACGTCTTACGTGAACGTATCAGAAAAGCGTTGCAACTGTACTCTTCCGAACCCACGGAACCGTACCTGTCGTCGCAGAATTACGGAGAACTTTTCTCGAATCAAATTATCTGGTTCGTCGACGACACGAACGTTTATCGCGTTACAATTCACAAAACGTTTGAGGGCAACTTAACCACCAAGCCCATAAACGGAGCGATTTTCATCTTTAATCCTCGTACCGGGCAACTGTTCTTAAAAATCATTCACACCTCCGTTTGGGCTGGTCAAAAGCGTTTGGGCCAGTTGGCCAAATGGAAAACCGCCGAGGAGGTAGCCGCGCTGATTCGATCTTTGCCGGTGGAAGAGCAACCGAAGCAAATCATCGTAACCCGAAAGGGAATGTTGGATCCATTGGAAGTGCATCTGCTCGACTTTCCTAACATTGTTATTAAGGGATCGGAGCTTCAGTTACCGTTCCAAGCGTGCTTGAAAGTCGAGAAATTCGGCGATCTAATTTTGAAAGCGACCGAACCGCAAATGGTGTTGTTCAATTTGTATGACGATTGGTTGAAGACCATCTCATCCTACACGGTATTATATTAATTATACGTTCTTCTACTTTTCGTTCTGATGTGTGCATAAATATTTAAATAAACGTGTTGGTATTCCTTTTTTTTAGGCATTTTCGCGGTTGATCCTTATTCTTCGGGCGTTGCACGTGAACACCGAGAGGACAAAGGTTGTATTGAAGCCTGACAAGACAACTATAACGGAACCCCATCATATATGGCCCTCTTTGACGGACGACGAATGGATTAAGGTCGAAGTACAGTTGAAAGATCTTATACTGGCGGATTATGGTAAAAAGAACAAGTACGTATCATAATTATACTTCTGTGTGGCGTAAATGCGATACAATTACCAATTAACAATGAAATCTGCCATTTTTCAGCGTGAACGTGGCGTCGTTGACTCAGTCGGAAATCCGAGATATCATTCTGGGTATGGAAATCAGCGCACCGTCCGCTCAACGTCAACAGATTGCTGAAATAGAGAAACAGACGAAAGAACAGTCGCAGCTTACAGCGACCACCACGAGGACGGTGAACAAACACGGTGACGAAATCATTACCGCGACCACGTCCAATTACGAAACGCAGACGTTCAGTTCGAAGACCGAATGGCGAGTTCGAGCAATCTCTGCCACGAACTTGCATCTTCGAACAAATCATATATACGTGTCGTCCGATGATATAAAAGAAACAGGTTACACTTACATATTGCCAAAGAATGTTCTCAAGAAATTCGTCACGATATCAGACTTACGAGCACAGGTATGTGACTTTTACGCAATAGTAGTTCTTCGACAAATTCACCGACTTTGCAGAATTTTTCAACGACTGGTATATCTCATTCTTCTTTCGTGCCGTTTCCTGTTGATATAGATCGCAGGATATCTGTATGGTATCAGTCCACCCGACAATCCTCAAGTGAAAGAAATCAGATGCATAGTGATGGCTCCGCAATGGGGAACACATCAAACTGTACATTTGCCCAACACGCTTCCGAATCACCAATATTTGAAGGAAATGGAACCTCTTGGTTGGATTCACACTCAACCCAATGAATTGCCACAGCTGTCGCCACAGGTTAGTGTCACTTGGTTTATTCAAAGTGACATCAAACCAAGTAACACGTTAATCGTATAAACGACAACACTTGATTTGTCCGATTTGTCCTTAGGATATATCCACGCACGCTCGAGTAATGGCAGAAAATCCAATCTGGGATGGAGAAAAGACGATCGTGATTACTTGCAGTTTCACTCCAGGATCTTGTTCTCTTACAGCGTACAAGTTGACACCTAGGTTTGTATTTCCGAGAGAGAGAGAGTCATCCGATAATCAGGAATACGTACTTTTGAACGTTGTGTTGTACTTGTTCGCGATCATTACATTTTGTATCGCGGTTTCAGTGGCTTCGAATGGGGAAAACAGAACACCGACAAAGGAAATAATCCTAAAGGTTACCTACCGAGTCATTACGAAAAAGTACAAATGCTGTTGTCCGATCGATTCCTCGGTTTCTTTATGGTCCCGAGTCAAGGATCTTGGAACTACAATTTCATGGGTAAGATATATTTCATTTTTATTGCAAGTGTCAATACCGATAATATAGATATTTTATTCCCAATTCAAATATATCGCCATCATTACGTAGAAACTCGCCTGTGCACGGTTGTACCCGCGAATACAAATCTTTTTTCTCTCGGGAATTTTAGGGGTGAGGCACGATCCGAACATGAAGTACGAACTACAATTGGCGAATCCAAAAGAATTTTATCACGAAATTCACCGACCCGCTCACTTCTTAAACTTTTCGAGTCTGGAAGATGGTGAAGGTGTAGGAGCCGACCGAGAAGATGTATACGCCTAAAGAGAAACGGCAGGACGAAGGAGGAAAACGTTAAAGCGACGTTACCACTTCCGACGACTGAGTCCATTTGAAGTTAAACCGTGTACCTATGGTGTAATGAACTGCAATTAATTGTCGCAAAAACAGTTTTTAATAATGAGATGTTGTCACCCGTATGTATATGTACCCAAGGATCATGGCATTTAAACATCATCCAAATTTACTTGACAAGAAACGATCGTTACGCAAGAAACTTCCACGCGGATGAATCGAGGCTGTTTTGTGTAACGTTTAACCTCTTATTCGATCTCATCCACGCGTTGTTGTAAAGAAAGAAATGTTTGTACGCGGTGTAAGTAACAAACTTTGTGCACGTGTTGCTTATCGTTATCCCGAATTTCCAGTAGACTCGTACACGTTTGGACTTTAGTTAACAGGTTGAATAGTATTAATTTGGACATAGAATATTTGATATTTGTACTATACTTTAATATTGATTTAGAATAAAAAATACATAATTTATACACAGATGTAACATATAAAAGAAAATGTACAAAATTTGTTCACGTACATTTGTGTCGTTACAGACATGGCGAATAGCATGTATGATATTTCAATGCGCATTCCATGACACGCGTCAGTTTTTTATAACCCTCAGCGCACAGTGGTGCTTGTTTTGGAATTGACTTTGTCACTTTGCGAAGAAAAGTAGTAACGTTATTGGTGGAATAAAGCTCCATCACGGTGTCGATGATTTTTTTTCTGTTTTTCGGTTTCATAACTGATGCGACATAGTAAAAAAAAAGAGAATGATCGCGAACATTAATCGAACGAAATACAGCGAAAAATGCGACGAGGATGCATTAGAATCGAGAAAATATACAAATAGCAACGACAATGAAATTACACAACAACCCTGTTCAGATTGAAGACGCCCATTTTACGGCTATTTTAGGTCCAAGACGCCTTTAAACCGTCTTCAAAGCGTCATTCGGCGTCATGTGTTATCTGGATAAGCGGTTCTCTCGTTCACGAGGGTTGTACACGATTGTGCGCGAGAAATGTTAACATCAAGAGGAGGGTAACAGGTGCCTTTAAGGACAGTCGTTGCTGTCGTCGGATAACGGTGGTTTACCGCTGCGAAGAGGTAAGGTATCTTTCAATTGGTGAGGGTTGAACTTCTGCTGGAACGGTATCGATGCCGTCGGTGCCGCGGACGTGGTGCAGGTGCGTGATGCCGAACTGTGGTATGCGCTGCGAGTCGAATTCCTCGAGAGAAAGTTGCGTCCGTGGCAACCGAGCCTCTTCAAGAGCAGTCGACGGATCTTTTCTTTCCAGACGAAGATCAAAAAGATTATCACGCCTTGCAAGGTGTTCGTTAGATCGGTAAGGTACCAGATGTACGTCGGTGAATTGTTGCATAACCATGATATTATTTCCATCGACCAATTGATGCCCATCACGATGAACAGTTTCAAGTACAGATTGAACCTACGGAATATGCATTGAATTTTATGCGTGTATTATGTTTGGAAATTATTGTAAATTTATCTGAATAATACATATAATGAAGATAGCTGGAAGAAGAGTAATTAGCAATCGTAATTAGTAATTGTGGCGGGACAGTAGTAGGCTGGTGTGCATGAAGCAAGGAGCAAGAACAGTCTCGGCGTGTTTACACGCGTAATTCGTGACCAGCCCGGGATATATTTTTGCTACATTAGAGGAACCCGTCATTATGAAAACAGATCGGAGCCTGGGAAAGTCCTCGTTTTACTCGGTCTATGAGATCATCTAAAAATAATTTTGCCATCGTAAACGAAGCGACGATAAAGAGTGGTGCTTCGGTGAACGTATCGCGTTTCAAAGGTGACGCACAGTGGTCGAAGTGATCGATGCAGGGTGAATAAAAATCGAAAAATTGTTTAACTGAAATTGTCATAAAAAGAGGTGATATCACATGGTCTCTTAGTATTTTATTTAAAAAAAATATCTGTTCGTACCACCTGTCAGTGATGAAAGAAATCAACGAAAAAATTGTACGAAGGAACAAAAACGGGAAAAATAGCGTAACATTATTGAAATTAATAATACGAACGGAGTTGTATATATTACCGAGAAGAGCCTTTTGTTCTTCTGGGAAACTCGGCGCTGCGAACGCGCTGACAATAAGAAACAACGGAAGCACTCGACGAAATATAAAAATTTCGAAATTATTTCAAAGTGACAACTGACTTTGTATCTAGGTCTACAACCACTGTGCGGTGCTAGACCAAAGCATACCAATAGAAATCGTTTTGACGTTCAAAAACACTTGAGAAAGGAAAACAAACCATTGCTTGTTGTCATCGTGACGCCTGCTGTCCGCGCCGTTCAAATGATGAGCTGTGTCCCGTGTGTGCTTCACAATTTTCAATGCCGTGGAGACAAAAAGACAGATATTGCAGAACACCGTGACACCCATAGGTCCGTAAAAGTATATTGCTTTCGCCTCATCCGCTACAATTAAAAAAAAGGCGTCTTAAACTTTAAAAAAAATCATCGGTACGATTTACGCGAAGATCGATAGTTCCAGCAAAGGTTAGCGAAAAGTCTTACTCGTGAACCAACAGCTCTGCATTCCGAATTGTGGTCTTATAAAATAGGTCGGAATATTGGGAAGGAAATCCATGAGGATGCAGACACCGGTGAGGATCGACGCGCAGCCCCAAGCGTAGATCGAGTATATTATGAATTTTTTCCGTTCTCTTTGTTTCACGCTGCCTTGGAGTGACCGGAAACCACTGAAAACAATCATGCTTTACTCGGTGAAAAACTGAGAAACGAAGGAAAATCTGGCGAAAGTTCCTCGCCTCGCCAAGCCACTCCTAGACTTCATTAGTTTCGACTAAATAGATACAAGTGTAAACTTTTACACATACAGGCGATATTGTGGTTTTATATGACACATCCATGGTTCTTCTATGCATAGACTCGTAAAAACCAGACTCAACGATCATTCGTTTGATAAAATATTCGACTGTACATATTATGGACAAATCCTTTTAAAGTTCCGAATTGAATTTTTAATGCCATAAAAAATGGTTTTACTTGGTACCGTCGCGGATCTCGCGTGAATCGATCGTGGCAGAATGAACAAAGGAAAAAAAATAATGGAAGAGAATTTTTCCCATAAGACAACGTACATGTATAGTGTATATCCTGACAACAAGGGTAGAAGAGGAGCGTTCATGAGAGCTGGCAGGCGAATAATAGTTCACGCGATCGTACACACCCTCTTCTACGTGACACATGTTTATATTTACAGATCCGTGGAATGGTTAAAAAAAAGGCTTGGCAAAACGAGCTTACGGACGAAAGGATAATATATCGCGTTAACGATTATGCTCGTAATCATGACATTATATACGCCTCGAACCTGCGAACACGCTATTGTTTTCGCGCGACTTTGACCACTTCTCACGCGAGGTTATGGAACGCTTAAAAATATCGTTGAAAGTATTCGAGTGTAGGTTGTACTTATTTACGTTGAACAATAAAACTCGTGAAAACCGACGGGATCAACGAAAATTTCAGAGAAATTCGAATATTCATAGGTGACAAGTCTTTACAACGAAACCATAAAGTGAAACCTCGCGTAGAAAAGTTGGCAATTAACCGCATCTATTGTTGACCAACGGATCGCACGATAGATTATTTATCCGAATCTTTTCGAAACATCTCCTCGATATTCGCAACGAACGTATCTCGTATCGACGCCTGCGTTGGCGTCAGCATCGAAGAAAAGACCGATTCCCGGCATTCGAGATTTGTTTGGACTATACGTCACGATTTGTTTGCTGTGCACCTGGTGTTCTATAGATATATAAAGTAGCTTTCCAAACTTTTATGAGGGCTGCTCGATGGAATGACGGGTTACTGTTCATCTCGAAAGCACATTACATTCGGCTTCCGTATCTGTACGAAAGTGTCTGTGCACGTAAATAGAAATACATGGAACAGGTTAGAATTCGATAGCTGACTATAGCCCACTCGAAAAATATCGATCGATGTTAAACACCACTCGACTGAGAAATTAAACGGGAGGGATCGATCATTTTCACGTTAAAGAAACTGAGGATGTATACTCGATCCTCTGTGAACGTGTTCTCTTGCAATAAAAAGAAGAGGAAACATAAAAAAAACCGTGGAGATGCGAGGCGATTCAAACGAGAATATAGACGGTGTTAAACAGAATTGGGGTAACGCTCGTAGTCGAAACGATCAGGTCTGTATACAGAATCTTGATTAAATACGACGCCTCGGGACGGTTGTCCTTTGTCAATAAATTCTATCGATCCCCGTAAGTGTGTAACAATTAATCGGAACGAATTAAGGACGAGGCGAGTAGACTTGATTCGAATCGTGTGGGAGAAAGAGTTATTACGCACATTTGGGTCGGAGAGCCGTTCCGTTGTTTCATGGACCGATCGAAATTAATTTAAGAATGTTTGCGGAGTGTACACGTGCCGTCACGAACCGGATACTAATTCGCGTTTCATCGCAATCAATTTTCCCTCGATGTTTGCCGACTATCGAATTTCTCCTGTTGGTCTAGAAGAATAATGGATAGAGTTTATAGCGTGTCCGCGGTATCGACGACGGGTGAATACGTTGACGAAGGGATCCCAGCCGTGTGACTAATTGTAATACCGGGGTACGAACGGGATAGGTTACGAAAGCGAATGTGTACACGGAACGGTCCGATTCCCTTACCCGAATGTCCACCAAATGTCGAAGCACATGACGTTCAGCCAGAAAAAACTGGCCAGAAAGGAGAAATGGATGATGAAAGCTGAAACAGAGTCGCGTAAGAATTATATGTGCAATTACGTAGGGTACATATGTGACAATTAACCCATTTGCATCATTCGGAAAAAAGGAAACTTGGCCCATACCACCAAAATTTTTTTTTATTGTATACAGATAGAAATGTTGCAAAATGCTTAAAAAAGGAAAAAAAATGGCGTAATATATAGTAATAAAGTTAATACATATATACATTGAAAATAATTGGAGAAATTAAATCTAATAGTTTTGCACAGTATGATAGTACTTGAAATTGTCGATACATATAATCACACGGCAATTATCACACTGATAAAATGAATCTTCTCTCTTTTTTGTGATAAACAAACTGCACAACGTTTGCGAGCTTTCTGTGATGAAGTTTTTTCAATGGGCATTAGAAAATGTTGGCCAGTAAATCTTGTTGGTAATGATACAATAATAATAATAAAAATAGTCCATTTGCAATCATCACTCTTCACTAACTGCGTGCATATGCGCTGTGGCTATGATGCACAAAAAACTTATGATGCAAATGGGTTAATAAACAGTTATAAGTCGCGTGCGTAATAGGTACATGGAAATGGGGCGCGGTCTCGGTTTTTACATTTCGCATAATTTCACGGATAAAACAAGATTTCTACGGGGAAAAACTTGGTTCTTTCGCTTTGCGTCTTTTTGTTTCACCAATTCGATATTCCTGAACGCGGATCGTTTGAGTTTATGGAAAGTAAACTCCCCTGTATAATCCATATAATGTATAATCTATGTGTCTCGTCTTAGGATTCGTGTAACACGTACAGTGTCCCCTTGACGATAAGGGGGGGGGGAGGCTTAATAAACACAATGGAAAGCAAGGTACCGAATGCGACGCAGAGGGGATCCGAGATGCTGTATTGCGGGAGGATCTGCACGATCGCGAGTACCGTGTACGCGATCAGCAGCGACCCAACGTAACAACGTAGCGTCCGCCCGTGCATATTCTTCAGTTCGGGTATCAACGAGTAGACGATGAACGTGGCAAGAAGAAACGGCACCGACACGATCAGTCCAATTGGAAACGAAACTATGATATTTGTCCCGTTCGACTCCCCCGTCTCGTCGTAGTCATCCGCCTCGAAACAGAGCACCACGTCGTACTTGTCCACATCCACGCGACCAAGACAATATTCGCTCGGCGGGAGGATAACGTTCCCGTTCGGCCTGTACACCGCGCCGTTATCGAGGAGCAAAAACGCGTCCTCGTCGTACGTCTCGGGGACGAGCCGATATCGTGGACCGCCGTCGCACGGATCACGTACGGCCAGCCGGAAACTTTTCGGTGTCGGTGATGCGTCGAGCAAATCGAAGCTGTTGGACCGGTACAAGGGTGGAAAACGAATGGTCACGTTCGTTTCGAGCGTCAAGCAACTGTTTTTTATCATCCGACTCTCGAGGGGACAGCAAAGATGAACCAGAGGCTTGTCCGACGTTTCGTCGGACGAATTGTTCCTTGTGTCCCGCTCGTTCCTGTGGAGACCAATGAAACGTTCGGTCCCATCGCTGTTCTCGACGATATTGGCAAGGGGCCCGACGGTGGCGAACGTCACCGGTTCGACGCCCGCGAGGGAACCCTCGGTTACGGTGAAATCGAGACCCGAGAACGACTCGACGTTTATCGCGCGAGCCGACAGAATCGATAGTATCGATAGGATCGACGTAACAGTCACAACCGTCGTTTCACTTTTCCGTGCTGGATCGACGCTGAACATCTTGTTCGTTGCGTTCTTGCGAACCGACTGTGTCTTATCGGCCCCCCAGTCGTCCGGATTCCTTGGCCAGACCGCACAAACCGCGTTATCACGGCTCACGCGGAAACAGAGCTAGGAGCGGCCCCGAACTTTCCATCTAATCTTGCGTGCGCTCTCTCGCCCTTTCACCGCCCTTTTTCGACTGCCTCACCGTTTACGAACAATCGAATCGCTTTAAACGTGGAATTATTAATCGAACTGAACGGAGAGTGAATTTTACCCGCGTTATCGGCGTGTTATCGTGATCGTGAGTGAATTCCTCGAATTTTCTATTCCCGCGCCTAGAAGAAAATCGTTATTTCCATTCGGCGGTTTATACCGTGGCTGAAACGCATGCGCACGATTTGAAACCAACGGAAGAGGAACGGTTATGAATATAGGACGCGGGCGATTTCGTTTCTTTCTAATTTCTGGCTCTTCTTCGTAGGAAACCTGTCTCGATGGACGTTCGTATATACTTTCCAACATTTAATTTGCATCCAGGGCGGCGTGTAAGAATCTCTGAAATGAGGTATGTCTATGATTTATATGTGACAGTTAAAGCGAAAGATAGCATCGTTTCGTTCGCGCGGGATTGATGTTGAATCTCGATAAACGAAAGATCGACGTGTCGATAAATCGAATCAGCAATTGATAAGATGCGACACGAGCCACCCCCCCGTTTGAGTTATCGACGTGCGATATCAATCGTTTCGTGTGAATCGATATTCCTGTAATATGATTTCTGATATATTTTCGGGAAATGGCGGAAATCTACGTATTGCACGCCACTTTTGAACGAATATTGTCGATGCAAAGAGAAAAGAAAACTCTGTCTTGTTTCTTGTTGTTAGCAGAAATCTCGATTTTCCTTCACCCTTTAACGGCGATTCACGCGTAGACTCGACGTAAACCGTGTACAAAAAAATTAATTACCTTGTTTTCTTTTCAGATACACATTTCTAATACAAAATTCCATCGTTGAAGGGACCACAGGTTATTATGCATGCATCACTTTTACGATAGTCGTGTACCATACAAAGTGAGATGATTTTTTGTTGTTTTTCAATCTAACACACACGTTATTGTTTCCGTTTCTCCCGGCGTGCAGAAAAGAAAACAAGAAAAGAGAGAAGCGAGAGAAAATTTTGAGGAAAGGTGGACACCAATAGGGGAATGGGGGTATAAGTCAACGAAGACAAAGAGAAAGATCAAAGGGGTAGGCCGTATAAAGCTTACCTATAGCAGAACATAGACGGGACGCGAAGTAAAACGATTTCGCCAGCACGAGAAAGGTGTACGCGATCACGAGACAGGCGACATAACACATCAGTGTTTTCCCGTATAGGCTCCTCAACTCCGGTATAATCGCGTAGACCAAAAACGTGGCGAGGAAGAACGGAACGGACACTATGATGCCAATGTTGTACGATTCCTGTTCGTTCGCGGGCGAAGGAGTCGGCGAATCCGGCGACAGGCAAACGAGCACGACGATCCGTTCGAAGGACTCCTTCCAGTCCAGGCAATAGCTCCACGCTGGGAATTTGCTGGTGGACGTTCGGAGGGTGCCATTCCGCTCGAGAACGAACGCATCCTCCTCGTATCGTTCCGGTTCGAGCATGTATCTGACGGAATTATCGGGGCAGGCCATGTCCTCCACGAGAACGAACAGATCGCCGATACCGTTGATCCCGTGGATTTCAGGGGCGAGTTGGGCCCGCTCAAGAACGAGATCGGGAGACCCCAATTGCAAGCGGTTCGGCAGTTTCTTGCAACTCGGCCGGTCGCCCGCGCCCAACATCTCGTCACGCCGGCAACACTTCTTCAGACAAGCACGCAGATTGCACACGCACCCGTAAATCTCGTTCCCGTGCACGCGATAAGACCCCTTGGGGAACACCAGTTGGTTGTGCAGCAGACTTTCGTTCTCGAAACGACGTGTTTTGTTCCTCTCTAGAACGATCCCGGGGAACGGTCGACAGAACGTGTCCTCCCTCTTCACGGGCTTCTCGCCACGATCGTGCTCCTGGCCCTGTTCACCGTGTCCAAACTCGAGACCACAAATTAAAATCACCGAAATGACACGAAACACGGAACACCCTCGCATCCTGCTTCTTGTTCTTTTGCCTATGACCGAGAACACCTATTCCTCGATTCGAAGCGAAGCCAAGGAGACGCGACCGTTTCTACAATTTCGAGTCGGCATGGATGATGGCCTCGAAGTGCTGTATTTCTGCAACCAGTAACCTTTGTCTTCTCGATATATATCTCGTTGGAAATCGAGATGCGGGGCAATCACCGAGAATCGCGACGAATATCTCGGAGCTGGCTTCGAACTGACTGGCCCTCCGAACTTTTCGATCGTTCCCCGCGTTGCCGCGCCGCGCGAATCTAATATGCCAACGCCACCCCGCCCGTTAACGTCGTCGCGGTGTAGCTTCGAGCGAGGAATCGACGACCCTTCCGTGTTTTCTCGTACCGTTCATCGATTTGACGATGGAATTACGATCGGTAACTAGAGCGCAGCACTTCTCCTCTTCGGCAATTTCGAACGGTCCCGCTCAAAAGAAATTTCTCGTTTGCATGTTCCTATCAGCGATCAGACATTTCGCCACGTTTCTCGGGCTCGATTCGCGCCTTCTTTTCTTTCATTGCTGAAAAAAATAATGAAAAAATTAAAAACCAAAATCCTGCCCATGTACTAACGTATGTTCGTTTCTCAATCCTCGAAAGAATGATTTCCTTTCGTCCGTGGAATATTCAATTTAAAGACAGCTATCGGAATATCATTCGACTGGTACAAAATGTTATACACTCTCGACAACAATAACGGTGGTTTTACATTTACAGAAAGAAAATTTATTATTGTGTTTTTTTCATTAGAAACTTATGAGTTTACGGTACACGTTGGGTGATCGAGGATGACCGCTTTTGATGAAACGAAACTCATGTATGTATCGTGTTGCTCTTGTTGATCGTATCTCTATTCCAATTCACGCTCCAGACCCGTTCCACTCAATTCGAATTGCGACGAGGTATCGTCTGTGGCACGATGTAATATAAGTATACCGTGGTCTGTGGTATATATTTAATTATAGATGAGGTGTAGATGTGGTATAGAATTTACCAATCACGTACATAGCGTGTTTTTGTTATCACTGTGAAGTCCTCACTTCATAATTTTAGTGTCGTGCTCAACGTTACCGACGCAACTACGAATTTTAGGCATTGTTAACAGACATAGAGTATATCGTATACTTCATTCGTTTTACGTGACCGAATACAATTTGGCGGGAACAATCGCATGTGTGCTTAGATTTAAAAAATGTCAACAGCTTTCGCGATGTACATATCGCTGTGGATTCGTACAGTTTTTCAGTAAAATCTTTCATATTCCTTAGATACACAGTCGGATAAACCTTTACAACAGTATAAGAAATCCGATCCTTTTCTTCGATTCTATGTATATATGAGCTAGGCAACGTTAACCAAACTATGTAGAGAATGTTCCAAATTGTTCTACGTTCATTTCAATAAACGTTTGAAAAATAGTTTTTTCTTTGAGGAATGAAATTTAGATATTTAGTTTACTCCTGGAACAACAAATAGTAATAATTGCGCATGGTTTCAATGCGTATCTCGTCGGTGATTTACCGTACAGTATGCTTCCGCGAATATCTTAACCTCAATAAACGCAATATTAAATATATAGATTTTTTTTGTTATATGCGAACTCGGATTATGCAACACGCATAGACACGACTGAGAGAAATTAGAATCAATTTCCTGTTTTCGTTGAAGACTGTACTACTAAGTACGGATAACAAGATAAAAGTTTGGTTTAGAGGAATCATAGACTTTTGTCTTTGACGTGTTTAGGTTAAGAAAATCGTCATTTTTCGTAGAACCTGTTGCTGTAAATGCAGTAGATGGCAAACTTGGAGAACTTGATATCGGTATGGAAGAAGGCGGACGTAGTCACCTTCGACGTTGATTCAACCGTGATACAGGAAGAAGGAATCGATGAACTCGCAACATTCTGTGGAAAAGGAAAGGAGGTTGCTGCTTTGTAGGACTTATTTTCTTTTATTCTTCTCTTCTTAACTCGTACTTTTAATCATTTCCATAGTCCCTTTCACAACGTGGGCAATACGTCTCGATCATGCTAAAAATTAATCGAAAATCCTTTTAGAACGAGACAAGCGATGCAGGGACATGCAACGTTCCGAGAATCTTTGACGAAACGATTAAAAATCATAAATCCTTCTTTCAACCAAGTAAAGCAATTCTTATTATCACATCCACCTAAACTCTCACCTGGAGTAGGGTAGGAAATGATTTCAATCGCTAAAATATACACGCAATACCATTTGTGCCATTTCATTTAAAACTCCTTCTAAAAATTTCAGAACCCTGGTAACAGCCCTTCAAGCACGTAAAAAGCAAGTGTTTCTAATATCCGGTGGATTTCAATGTTTAATCACACCAGTTGCAATAGCACTTGATATTCCATTAGAAAATGTGTTTGCTAATAGACTAAAATTCTATTTCACTGGTTATTATACGTTTATACTTGCCCTAATTACTGTTACTATGGTATTTGAATCTTCAATGAAACCTTTTGCAGGAGAATACGCTGGATTTGATGAAAATCAACCGACTGTAGATAATGGTGGAAAATCAAAAGTAATCGAATATCTCAAAAATGAAAGAGGATTCAAATCTGTTATTCACATAGGAGATGGAGCAACAGATTTAGAAACCATGTCAGTAACTGACCTGTTTATAGGTAAGTCTGAATTATTTGAAACTAATGATGGAAATTATCATATGCATATAATATTGTTTAATTCTGATTTGGTGTACTCGCGTTAATATTGTATCTCTTACAGGATATGGGGGAAATGTAGTTAGAGAAAGTGTAAAATTGAGGTCTTCATGGTTTATTACAGATTTCAATGAACTTCTGAATGCCTTATAAATGTGTATGGTACAATATTTTACAATAAGAACTCAATTTCTTCATCGATAAAATCTAAATTTTCAGGTCCGTTTCTAGCATTGACCTTCATCAAGTTAAACATAAGAAACAGTATAAAGATCAATTTTCTACACCTGTTTATATTACACATACATGTAGAACAACAACTATGTTTGAGTCCTATGCCTTGTTCCATAGACTTGCTAGATAGAATACCTTATGCGACACTAATTATAGACACTGATTATAGAAGGTGTCCTGCAATCTATTCAACAAACGTTCCCCATGTATTCAGCAAGTTATTCTGAATAAAAACTGTCATTTACATTGTAGGTGTATCGATTTATCCATTCAGAGTGATCTGCTGAACACAGAGTAAACGTTTATTGAATATTTTACAGTACATCCTGTACATTATATTACTTATGCAATATTAGTTATAGGAAAATATTGAAAATAAATAAGTAAATTTAAACCAAAATATATAACACACCGGGTTTGCTTTAGATCATGCTTCATTTTCTTTGTTACCTGAAAACTCGAGGGAGAATTGAGTGTATCATATCCTTATTAAAACTGTAAAATCGGAGTTTTGATCTCCTGTAATCACTGACAACTTTTCGCTCTTTCCTGTTTCTTCTTATTTATCCAATCTTGTATCCTGCGCTGACGTTCGGTGTCAGATATTACCATGTCCATGGTCAGAGGAGACCGATTAAACGGATCCGTTTGATCGCTTAGTAGGTGCCTAAAACATATCAGGATCACATAGAATCAAATGTACATAGAGCTGTTACTATTCAATGTTAAAAACTAACAAATCAAATATTAACCTGGCAATAGTCTGACGATCAATAGTTATTTTAGAAGATGGAAGAATTACAGGATCAATCATCAAAGTAGACATGATAGGATCTAGAAACTCTTCAGGAGCATCGACCAGTATCTCGTCTTCTTCTCTTTTGTGACTTGCAGCTGTTTCTACATTTTTCGCGAATCGACTCAAACCTACGGATATACTCGCACCTCCGATACGAACTGAAAAGTTGTATAACAATAATATTTCATTCAACTCTGATTAAATCGATTACTATAATTAACCACATATTCTATAAAATAATGCTTACCGAGTACGCTATCGGCTAACTTAAACAGTTCAGGACTGTACGATCGACCGTCTTGAGAAACGGCGAGTGTAAAGGATTCAAATTGACTAAGATTTATGTAAATTTCGCATATGTTCAGCACTAAATTTGCAGGATTAAACGCATAATCATTTTTATAATTTACCTAAAATTATAAGAACGGTATGATAAAAATATTCGTTTATGATTTATACGTTTCGTAATATCTCCTCTATACCTTCAGATTTCTCTTATTCGGTCCAACCAATTGTAGTAGTAAATAATTAAGCATCGAAGCAATACGATCTACCATTGTCGAGTGACAGAAGATCGATTTGATCTCTGTCGTTAACATTTTTAACGTTTCTATTGTTTTTTTACCTAATATGTTGTCAAATCGAGCAATCATTCCGAGATGGAGCAAATACTGAGCCTGCTGATCGCGCTCGTGTTGCGGTAATTCATTCCACTCTCCGTTTTCCCTTTCAATTAAAATTGATAACGTGTTATGTAAGGAAAACAGTTTTAAAAAATCGCATTCCTTTAATCAGTTAAGTTTCAATTAACATCGTAATTCCATGCAACATATGACGAATTGTGTATAGGTACCTTGCTTGAAGTAATTGTTTCAACTGGGCCATATTTGAAAGCGCTTCGTCTAACAGAAATACGGCGTCGTTCATTAAAAGATTTATAAAACGTAAAAACAAAGGGGGTTGAGCTGCCTCCATGTTTGCTTCTGCTTCTTCAGCTAAAATACTATACATTTGAAAAGTCAAAGTTAATATGAATGTAACTTTTAATTGCAGCATAATAGTATAATTGTGGAATTGCAACAGTAATTACTGCAAAATATAAAAATCAATCGGAAAGTTGAATTCTTGATGCGTCTTCAATATACATATCGTTTTTCTTTTTTTACTCACATAAAATTATTACGATGTTCCTGAAGTTTCCACAAATATTCCATAACAACGTACATTGGTCTTCGATAATTAAACTTTTGTTCAAACTGTACGCTTTGTCCAGTCATTTCGATGCTTACGAATACTTTCAGCAAGTTGGCGACAATCTAAATTGCATAATGAATATGATTTTGTGACAAGAAAGCATTTTAAACGTTCGATAAAGAAATACGTACATATTGCCTGTAAGGATGCTTAATAAATAATTGTTCTCTATGGAATGTTCCTAAATTCAGCGTTGTAGAATTTATGGTTTCATCACTGGTAGGTAGAAGAGCTTCTAAAGATTCTGCCAGACAAGCACGTAAATGAGGATTGTATAAACGTTGCTGTGACTCCATCAGTACTATGATCTGAAGTAAAATGGCTAATTATTGTACCGAAATACACACGCTTTAGCTTATGACAAATGTATGTTTAGCTTACCTCAGTTAACACTGGTGTTAAAAAAAATGAACCATGTTCTTCAAAAACATTTGGATTCGAATGGCGCAGAAAGCATAAAAATCTAATGGTATTCTCCACCACGAATTCAGGAATGCATCTAGATACGCATAATATCTCGATAGAAACAAAGTTATCGATATGAGGAAAGAAAACAAAATCTTGAGAAGATAGCTTACGTTAACGTACTTCAAAGTGTCTGGAACAGTGTCTGGCAGAGGAAATGTTATTGTTTTATATTCCTTTGGAGTGTAATCAATCTGTTTACCTCCTTCAACTTCTTCATTATTTAAATACACTTGTACTAACCAAAATGCTGTTGTCGCGTGAAATTTCGCTAACAATGTTAACATCTCTGGCACTAAAAGACTCGCATTAAAGGATAAAGACCTAACATTTCAGAAAGACGTAAATTAAAATGAAAAACGAAAACAAACTTTTTCACAAGGATAAATTGTATAACAGTACATACTTGCTCCTTTCTTCCACTAAAATTTTTCCTAATTCCACTGCTTCGATATCAACATTGCTTACCGCATCTGCGTACGCTCTTTGTATTCTTGACAAGTCTTGATTTGTTCTGCGCATACAAAAAAAAACCACCAACATTTTTTAATTTTTTCATTAAATAAAATTTATATCTTAAGAAATACAAACCTCGAAAGCTTATCCAATACTACCCTGTAACCAAGATCTAAAGCCCTGTGAGTTAAAAAAAAACATTCAGTAGTAAAACTAAATGTTTTTGCAATTGGTCTGGCTCCATCATCTGATGTTGGTATTAAACAAGTTTCCAAAGACAATCCTTTTAAGTGTATAGCATCATTTGAGCATTCGTTCCCATTTGTCTAGGAAATCAATATTTATAAAACACTGAATTCTTTGAAATTCATTGAATAAACTAGATATATTTGTTCTTTTCAAATCAACTAACCGCTGCCGCACAATACGTCGGATCTATTTTAGGCACTTTCGTTTCATTTTGTTTAATGCAAAATGGCTGACATAGCCGGAGCAGCACGTTTCCCAGATTTAACATAAAACCATCAGAAACGCATAACATAGCGCCCAGACTTGTGTCGTTCTGACTGTTCCATATTTTTCCCCTATTCGCGTTTGCGGAAAGACAATTACCTATCCACTGCAGAGTTAAGTGGCGAACTTCCACAGAGCATTTGAGTAATAAATGAAAAACTTTATGCAATGATTCGTTTAAATCATCCAGAAAGGTCCAAATCATTCCTTCGATAGTTGCGGTAGACTATACAAAGAATTATTAATATGGATTTGATATGTAATAAAATTGTCAAATTCAACATTACTTTAGTTTATTACTTACCTCTAGTAATGGCGCATCGAAGTAATGGAAAGGTTCTTCTATTGTTTTTGGCAAACAACTTAAACTGAAAAGTGCACCTAATAATGTTTTCGCATATGCACTACCATAGATATGCTTTGGAGTACTATGATGGATTATCAATTTAGCTAAAGGTTCTATCGAACAAAAAAGATTTAATATTGTAAACCAATCTTGTCTAAAAGAGGCAAGATTAACTTGTGCTGCTTCTTTGTAAATAATATCTAAAATAGGATTAAAAGATACAGCAATTGTATCCATAGCATGTTCTTTGTTCTCTGTTTGTAACTCAATTACAATGCCATTAGTGAATGACACAAATTCTGGCATTGATCCAGCTTTGTCAATACATAATTGGATAAACTGATTATGTATCTGAAAAATAAAAAACAATTAAATCACTTAGAACAATTGCTTTTGTGTTTGTAGAGACCAAGTAGTTACACTTTGTAAATATCTAACTGTGCACATCGTACCCCTTGTCCTTCAAACAAGTCTGGTTCTTGTAACGCTACTCCTGCATTTTGTAAGATAATTTTTTGCATTTTACAGACAACATTACCCAGTTCTTGGTTGTTCTGATATCGTTGGAGTCGACAATAACTTTCAAATAAGTAGGATATTGCTTGTGTTTCTAATGTATGCGAGTTGCAAGGGGTTTGCTGAGAATCTTCAGCAGGCACCAATTTTGACACGAGATCAAGAAGCATTAATCGTTCGAAAACTGCTTGCTCGATCGAATCGACATCGACAAAAATCAATTTACGATTTTTACATCCACTCATTTCTGTCGCGTGTAATGTTATTCCGAATACGTCAGCGAGTAGATTGTTAACCTGACTATCAATTGTGGAACTGTTTGGACCTTGAAATTCAGTGGGTCCTGTCGTGTCCTGTACGTTTATATTCTCATGCTTTGTAACATAATTAACTCTGTCATTTTCGTTAACAACCCTCTGACTTTGCGATGAAAACGACACGGCATCGTTGACGGTCGGAAATAATCCAGCGAACGGATTGATGTTCATATTGTCGCACATGGTTCTCTTGGTAAAACTCAATCACAAATTGTAACAATCATACTTAATCCGAAAATAAATCGCAGAAACTTGATTTTCAAGCTAGAAAATCTTAAAGGACAAGTTAAAGTGCCCTTCTCGAATAATTTCACAGTACTCCGATTTGCTTAGTTTCATTCTGTATAAGCACCGCCAATATATACTGTCTACAGTTTATCTAGGCATTATTCATTTCAGTTAAGGATGAAGAAAACACAACAAAACCACGTGACTTTAACAGGAACGTCCATAGCATTTGCAGTATTCGTTACAAAAGATAATCCAGTCAGTCTCACTCAAAACCGACCTTTTACAAAGTTCACTTAGTTACTGTGCTATTAGTTAAAAAAGAAGAATAGACATTTAATGTGGCTTTTTGTTTAGAAATAGAGATGACAAACTTCATGCTTGGGTTTATTCAGGTTTATTGCAAGTAGATACACTCCTGCGTGATGCAAAATGGACCAATAATACATGCACCACGTGATGAGAGGAGCCACCATCGCTGATTTTTGTTCCATTCGTAACTTGAATGAATAATAGTCTATTATTAATAGAAGAATGAGCGAAAACATTTCAAAGGACATCAAAGACGCATGGAATCAGCTATCAGTAACAGCAATAACAACTATTAATATCCGCTAAGCAGCAGAGGAAACATTATTTTAATCCAGTACGGGATATGATTCAAATGTTAAAGAACAGCTTGTCCTATTAGAGGATTAGAATGATTTCCAACTAATTGCGAGTGACAAGCTGTAAGATTTTTAAGATATCAAAGAAATTCTACTTGTTTTCTTCATAAAAGTAGTATTATATAAACGTGTACAAGCTGATGTGTTATGTAATACACTGTAAATGATCTTTTATATGAAACAAGTTTATTAAAAATTCAGGCACAAAGTGAGCTTAATTATATATTATAACTTTTACGCGTGTACAATATACAATCAAATTGAAACGATCTAAGGCACTATTACAATTTCATCGCCATGGTTTTCTTACGGTACCGGCGCTAGTACTCCTTTTAATACCATGATCTGAAATTTAAAACCTATTTAAAAATATGCAAGTAGATAATACTAAACATATATCAGTAATTCTCATAATAGTCAAAATAATCAGATAATTTCAACAATCACAATACAGAAACATAACTTACATAAAATGTTTGGGGAGATCATTTTATCTTTATCGTTGGAGGTCCAAGTTTGGCATCTAGATCTAGACAGACATGAACGAGCAAACGAAGACGGTTGATGTTCTTCCATCCTGGCAAAGAAAAAAAAATAATAAATAAATCACGTAATAATCCTACGTTCGTGTAAAATAAAGACATCACGCGCGTAAATGTTTATTTGTGAGTCTTCGTATCTTACAAAGAAAGATTGAATATTCAGAGCACTATAAAATAAAGATTATTCACCCAAAAGTGATAAAAAAACAGATTTACTTAAAGCAAATGATACCAGCAGACAACTAAATAGTTTATTTTATATTAATTGAATTCTACATGTAAAGTATATTATTTATCGAATCTTTTATAGAAGGCAACGTGTATTATACTACGCAGAGTCATACTCCTTCAGTTTTTTCCTGGCTAAGGTCCTCTGAGTCGCAAACGAGTACGATCTGGCTGATGTAGAACGTTCTATGCGACTTTGCTTGATTTCACGATCTTGTGATATTACTTGCATTCTTTTCTCGGCACTTTGGGCAAATAACTCCACTATATTCATAGAGGCCGCATCGCACTTTTTGAAATCAAAAATTTTTTATAAATACTGTTTTCCTGAAAGTCTTCATACTAAACATGAAAATTTTCGTTTACTTATGGACAGCAACGAAATTAAACTTTAAAAAAATCGTGTTTAAAAGTTACCAATGACCTGATCAATCTTGTCAAGTAAAAATTATTTGCTCTGTTCTATTGCACTATTATGAAATTATTATTATGGGTTAATTTATATTAGAATATCTAATAGAACAAAACTTTAACCACTGATCAACTAAATGTAAACCAAGCACTTTATAATATCTGATTGAAGTGTTGCAAAATATATTACCTGCAGTTGAAGACGATATAGGAAATTGAATTCCGATCGATTAAGAGGTGCATCAACGTGAAGCTTGAGCATGCATTCTAAAGCTTCTTTATACGTATTCTTCAAAGCGATTACACGTTCCGTTCGCATCATTCTGCGTACTAAATATCCTCGTGCATACGCATTTATCACATTTACAGCTTCTATCTGCAACATCGAAGGCATTGTAACAATTTTGTAGGCATATAAAATGAAAGTATTAATGAAAAAGTATGGTTTCTCACATGTTTAGCTCCATATATTGTCTTATCGAGAATTGGTACGTGAACAGTTTTACTATCTAAAGGAAATAATTGTCTGCTAACGTTCAAACGTTTACACTCTCCATCTTCTACCAATTTTTTCTCGAAACTTCCATCTTTATCTGGGTGTACCACGACTTCATCTTTTTTCGCTACTATTACAAAAGTATAGTATTTAGCGGAACGATTGTACCCTTATTGACTCAATCAACAGCAAGTACTTACTAAAGCAAGAATCCGTCTTTGGAAGTTTCATGTCAGTGTAAGTGTAGTCCAGCAGACATGAAATTAAATTTTCGTTATTGTCTTGCAAATGTTCTACTTCTTTATTACCTTGAAGATTGTTTCTCAAGTTTTTTACATTTTCCATAGTATTATCGGTGTTTTCATGAAGCTTCTCATCATTGGGAGTAACTTGGTTGAAAGAGGTAGATAAAATATTTTCAGAGGGCAGTGAAACTGAAATTTCTGGAAAAGATTTTCTGATCTCGGTTAATAAAAGCAGCTGTTGTTTCTCGAATTCTTCTTGGAGCAGAGTTTGCTCCCGTTGCTGTCGAGACATTAGCTCAGCCATTTGCTTTTTATGCATTTCTTGTACTTTTTTGTAAACTGTTAAAAGTTTATCTGAAGTAATAGTTAGTTTTGAGTTAGGTATAAAATCTTTAGAACTTGGATTTCTTGAAATCTCTTCAGCAAAGTTATCACCGGTAGGAACTTTATTATACTCATTCTCCAAGTTATTAGGAAATGGTACTTCATTTTCTAAAAAACTGTCGTGTTTAGGCGCTAATTGAAAAGTAGAAAAACTATTGCATTTCTTCCACTCCTGAAATTTGCGTTTCCTTTCATTATTATTCTCTGTAGCACACTTTCTATCATGATTAATTTGTGCATTATTTTTCTCCATGCATTCGTTGGCTAACATTGTTTGGATGCAATCGACAGACCTTGCAGCTGGGTACATCGTGAACGAGGATACAGGGTTTGTCGGCGAGGAAACTGACTTACACATCTTGTGGCTGGTATTGGAGGAACAGTTTTTTTGTTTCATGCATAATTCTAACGATTCTGCAGAAACGAAATCTTTACCTTTCAAGTCGTTTTCCCATTCAATTTTAGCTTGCTCGATATTCCATTCTCTACGACGTACTGTATTTGAACACGACGTTGGAACATATTCGGAACAACATTTAGAAGTAGAACTGGACTGTTTCATTTGCATGTGGGCTAGTAGAATAGGACTTGGACTATCCAGCACATAAGAACCCTGACGCACTAACTTAGGTGTATCTTCCATATCATTTGAATAATTCTTTTGGTGTTTCTCATCCCTTCTGGAATTAGAATCATTTAATATCAATGGTGTAATATTCAAAGTTTTAGGCACTTGTGGTTTCCGAACGTCTGACACTGTGTCAATAGTATTAGATCTCATCGAAAGTATCTTCTTTATACATTCGTCTGTGCTAGGCCTAGGAAGAAGTGATTTTGATCTAGAACAGGTATCAGATACTAGATTAATTTGATATTCTGCTATGTGATCTGCATTTGCTTCTCCATTCCACTGTGAATTTCTTTTCACATTTTCGCCAGAACTTGCAGAAGTTTCCGTTGCAAAACTATCATTAATTGTTTCATTCGTATTTTGATGAATATTATTGCAATCTAAAAAGAATAAATTTTCATTTAAGTCATGTATCCTTTTTTGAAACTGGTGGATAGAATCTTTCCTAATTGTATCGGTATCAATATCCTTATTTTTTTCACAGCTAACACGTAAAGTTGTTAGCCTTTTTTCTACATTTATGGCAATTTGTTTATAGTTAGACATTTCTGCTTTGATATCCTTAGTCATCTAGAAACAAAAAAAATTTATTACAAGAAATAATGTAGAATAAATGCTATTTTAATACTACATGTACTTAACATACATACCAAAGGTGGTAAGATAGGAACTCCATTAATTTTGATACACGAAACATACAAACAATCTTCCATATTTCTAACTTTTTAAAGAGACTCCTGAAATCAATTTTAAATACATGTATACTTACATAGAAAGTCAAATATTTCTTTTCTACACTGATCAGAAAAAATGACATTAACAAACATTCCATTAGCTTTTTAGATTATTTCAAAATTGTGTAATAGTCTTGTAAAGAAAATTAAGTACAGCATTATAGACAACAATGATGGCTTTTCTTTGCAAGTTAAAAAAAATAGAGCCAATATATAACTGCAGAAACCACCCAACAAGTATTTGTTTTGGAACTTTTTAATTTCCCAAAATTTAATAATCCCGGTAAGCTTTGTTCTGTATCGATTACTACTTACTTTCATGTTATATTTCATAACTACACTATATTACTAGTCTAAACATTACAAAATCGCAGATTTTTCTACGAAAAGATAAAAAAGCTTCAAGCGCTTTGACTTAATCAAGTGTATTGAATCGTAATACTAAATCGACACAAATTAATCTCCATGAATAAAGGTACGCCGATTACTTTAATCTTCTTTGTACCCTAAAATATCAAATTCCGTATTGGTGACCGCCAATCCAAATTGTAAATAAGAAAATACATTATTTGAAGAATAATTAACAAGGTAATGTTGTAAATCCGATCGTCTCAGCGCCCCAATCCGGAACGGCGGATCAAGGAACCAGAGAAGAAAGTGGCGATTTTATGCCCGGTTCAATCCACTCGTAGAAGATCTCTAATGTCCGATATAACATTGTTAAATTTGAATCCAGTTTGTAACAGTTGAGGTTACGTATGAATTTAAGCACGTGTACATACTAAATTATACGAAGATTATTAATAGAGAACGTGAAAATGGACGCTTATGAAGTTTTCCAAAAACTTTCTGCCGGTGTGAAATTTGACAAAAAACGTTTTCTTACTGATGCGCAAAGATTTCAGGTACCATTTGAACATACTGTATAGATTTGTAAACATAAAGATATTCTAAGCATTTTCGAACAGTTTCATAAATATTGTGTTTCTGACAGCTTGTTAAAAAGCAATCCGAAAATGCATCGAAACACGAAGAAGAATCTGTTGGAACACTCAATAGCAGAAATTGTTCAGTGTTGTCGATGAAAAGAAAGCATGATAAAGTTGATGATGAGTCCAAAAATGTTGGTCAGTTAATTCTACTTAATGGATTATCTGTTCCGAAAGATGGGAGTAAAACAAAGTTTAAGAAGCATAAAGAGTCTGTAGATGTAGACAAGCAATTAAAGTTAGAACAGGAAAAGGTATGATACGTTTTGTTTTCTCAAAGTACATAGCTTTAAAGACATAGTTTGAAGAATTATTCTTTTCTTACAGATTAATCAATTTCGTAATCAACAACAAATCAGCATTACAGGCACTCGTGTACCTAAGCCTATATCGATATTCTCAGAATTGTCTGAAGATTATGGTGTTTCTGAATACTTAATAAATAATGTCATGAATTGCGGCTATGTACATCCTACACCTATTCAAATGCAAGCTATGCCCATTATGTTGCAAGTAAAGTAAATGTAGCCTATAACTTATAATACTTTTTAGTATATAACGAACAACTTTGGTAAAAAATAAACTATTTGTAATTTTTTGCAATCATAACAAAAACAGGGTCGACAGATATTAGCTTGTGCACCAACAGGATCTGGGAAAACAGCTGCATTTTTGTTACCTATAATCCATCAGTTAGGTGCTCCGCAAAGAAAAGGATTCAGAGCTATTATATTAAGTCCTACCAGAGAACTAGCTAAACAAACACATAGAGAGTGTGTAAGACTTAGTGAAGGTTTTAATTTTAGGATACATATCATAAGTAAAATTGGACAAGCATTGGACAAATATGGGCCAAAAAGTTCCCAAAAATTTGGTCAGTATACCAATGTATATATAATAAATTTGATTTATCGAATATCGTGGTAACATTATCTTGCAGATATACTAATTACTACACCAAGAAGAATAATATTTCTTTTAAATCAAGATCCACCAGCTATATCTTTAAGCAAGTAAGTAATAAAAAGTTGTGGTTTATGTATCTTATAAGTATAGTTTTATTAGATGATGCTGATTACATAATTAAATTTGTACAGCATTGAATGGCTGATCGTAGATGAGGCAGATAAACTTTTTGAAGATGGAACACGATGCTTCAGGGATCAATTGGAAGAAATATCAAAGGCATGTACGAATGAGAATTTATGTACTGCAATGTTTAGCGCCACTAATACTCCCGTTGTATCAAAATGGTGTCGCCGTAATTTGAAAGGCCTCGTAACAGTTACTGTTGGTCACAGGTTTGCAACAACTGTTTTTTTCTTCTAGAACTAGTATTAAAATAAACTACCTACTTATCTGCATCACACCTCTTACAGAAATGCTGCAACTGACTTAGTGGAACAGGAACTTTTGTTTGTTGGAACGGAAAGTGGAAAACTCGTAGCGCTTAGAGGTATTATTCAGAAGGTAATATTGTACGCGTCAGTGTTATGCCTTCATTACAGTCTTACATATATTTCAATTAATTATATTATTCCATTTCGTAAAGGGAGTATTACCACCTGTATTAGTATTTGTGCAAAGTAAAGAGAGGGCTCAAGAATTATTTAACGAACTTATATATGACGGAATTAACGTGGATGTTATTCATGCTGACAGATCGCAGACACAGGTACTTTTCTGTTTACTTCGATTATCATATATTTACAAAATTACATTTAATTGAAATTCGTCCCCTTTTCCGTTCTCGTTTCAGAGAGATAATGTTGTTCGTTGCTTCAGAGAAGGAAAGATCTGGGTTTTAATATGTACAGAATTAATGGCAAGAGGTATTGACTTTAAAGGTGTCAATCTGGTTATTAATTATGATTTTCCACCATCTGCTATCTCTTACGTTCATAGAATTGGTACGTACCTTAATTTAGATCCAGGCACATGTATTTAGAAAGTATAATTAGCACATTTATTTAAACATTAATTAATTAAACTAGGCCGTACTGGCAGAGCTGGGCATAAAGGAAAAGCAATTACCTTTTTCACCGAACAGGATACTCCAAATTTAAGAAGGTGAGAATTAATCTACTGAATCGGTAGAATATGTATAAATTGTTTTGTCGATATTGTAGTATAGCTGCTATAATGCGAGAATCTGGGTGCAATGTTCCTGATTATATGCTGAGTATGAAGAAACATACTAAAAGAGAAAAACGGAAACTCGAACACAGCGCTCCTCCTAGAGAAAAAATATCTACCATACCAAAGTTCAAGCGTATATATAATAAGGGGAAATCAAGGTAAAATGGTTTTGTATCTATGTTTGCAATATCATAAAATAATATTTCTTTAATATACTTTTATTGCTTTAGCAAATATGTTGAAAGTGTTTGTGAGAAAAAGGAAAAGGACGATATAGCAGATAAAGGAGATAAAAGTTGGAAGAAAAATAAAAAAAGTACGAAAAATAAACAGAATCCAAACGAAAGTAAAAAAGATAGACAAATCAAGAAACATACTTTATCCGTTGGAAAGAAAACCGTAAAAATGACACGTGTGAAAAAATAGGTGTATAATAAAACGTAACGACAAAATGTCCTCAAAGGTACACAATTGCAGGCAACCAGAATTGAACAAGAGAAATGAAATGCGTAAGTAGATAGAGACTAACTAATAAAAACATTGAAAACATTATATGTTTAAAAATTTAATCACATAAGAAAAACAATAATTAAATAATTAGAACAAAGGTATGGTCTTGCCAAAATTGTGTACTCATATTCGAAGTACTTTGAACATTAATAAATGTAAGAAGTAAAATATAAAATCATTTTTATAAATATTAACGTTGTACATTGTAAATATTAATTATTCTAATTGCAACAAAGTTTAAAATACCTTTATAAAATAACTTTATGAATGTAATTAATAAACGTGACTCGTATTTACAAATCAGGATTCATTATAAATGTATTTTACAGGTTTATGTGCTTTATATACATTCAGTTTTTAAAGGAAACATTATTATTAAGCAAATATGAAGGTTTTGTTTTACACGAAATTTTAATAAATTACATATAAATCGTAAATATAATTACAAATAAGAACATTAACCCATGAATAAAAAATAAATTACAATGTTGCACGCAGTCTTTAAACAATTTGCCAATTTATTTTAAGTATAGGGTGTAAATTAATATTGAACACAAACAGTAATTTCACTAAAAAATATCACACGTGCACAATGTAGCATATTAAATGTATTGTATATGTTGTTGGTACGATATCAAGACATTTCGAAAATTGTTCAATTTCGTAAACATGATATAAAAAACTTAATTTTACTTACAAACTTGCGCCAAAACATTGTACATTTAAGTTTCACATAACCAGTCACAAGGCAATTTTGGCATTTTATTTGCTGGCCATGGGAGATAGCCTGCTGTTTTAAAGATCCAATAATCGTAAGATACCTTAGTTATCAGACTTATTAAGAGAACAACTTCCGTAGCAATGATGTAGTAAATGTAATCCGTCCAATCACCCGGGTATACACACATCTTCGAAGGTTCTAAATCAACGACCTTTTCTTTTACATTTTCGCATAGTACTTCGTCTGAATCTAATATGCGAGTTTGTAACCACACCTAAAAATGTAATTTAAAATTTTACGTTTACTGATTTACATTATAGAAATAATATTTACATACCTTTAAGTATTTAGCTGTATTACAGTCGCAATGCAGCTCATTTCCACCAAGTTTCACTAACCGTGAACTGATGAAACTTTTATCATGAGTATTAGGGCTTAGAATGTACGTTGGAAGCTACACATTTCAATTTAATATTGATATAATTGTTAAATATTTTCGTACATTACTTGTCACATGATCTTATCATTGCTCTTACTTACAGATTTGATTTTGTTGTACCGCAGACTAAGTAAAGCATAGTTGTCCAGAAATTTAGAACCTTCGAGTTTATTTATAGAGGATATATTATTATAATCCGCGTAGAATTCTCTTATATCTTCATAGCACGGATTGGTACTGAGATCATCCAATGCTGTGATCTATAACGGTGAAGAAAACTTATTAAATGCTCTTGAACGAGGTTTCCTAACATTTATCGAACATGAATCGAACGAATCGTGAAATACACAATAGTGCGGAAAGCATTACTACTTTTTTTTATGTAATACCTTTCACGTTATTAGATCCACTATTGAGGATAGCAAGAAGTAGCCATATATGTTTAGTCGAAATATTTTATGATATTGTTGACATAAACAATGCAAGAAATTGTAAAATTTACGTACGTTGTTGTACGATACGTTCAAGGCTATGGTATTGCGAGGTAATTTTTCGGGCAATTCAGTGATTTGAATACCACTACAATCCACGTTTACTGCTAAAGTCGGGGGTTTACCTTCAACAATATCTAATCTCCTAAAATTGCATTGACACTGCCAAGTATCCCCCTTTGGGCATTCTGTTTGTAACTGTGAAGTAGTAATACAGTTATTAAATATTAAGTGGAAGATTAATTCAATTAAATAGTTTCTATGATTTGGACAATATTACCAAGCTAAGGTATCGAACTTGTTTCAAAGGAACTTGTTCGGTGGTATTAAACCAATGCCATGTTTTACTAGCCGAACATACAGTTTCATTTTCGCGATTGAAATTAATTTGCTTTTCTCCTGTCTTATTAATGTATTGGTAAATATCGTGACACCAAAGCGTATTTGTTCCTAAATGCAACAAAATATATTACTGGAACATAATGTCTATAAAATATAAATATGGAAGGTAGAAATTAGTTCGTTTGTGTACCTATTTAATTACCTGAAATGTCCAGCCAGAATTCTCGGCCATTCATTGTATTCAAGGCTGGTAGGTGCGTAAGATTATTGTAAGACAAATCCAAAGTTGTAAGTTGTACCAAACGAGTAAGCGAATTATTTTCCACTTCGACGAGGCCATTATTCGAAAGATTTAAGCACAGCGTTGGTGTCATCATCCGAAATTGTCCTTTGACTCGATTAATTTTTCCATCGGTTATAGCGAGCGATTTTAATCTTCTCCACCGAATTTCACTTACATTAAATACATCTAATGTTGCATTTCTTATATGTATATAAGATATATTTGATGGAAATCCTGTAATGTTTGAAATACTCTTAAAAGATATTCTGCAAAAAATGTGTATGTTGTATAAAGAAAAATAGAAGCCAATTCCAATAAAAATAGAAGCAATATTAAAGATTAGTTATACAAAAGATAAATAAATGTAATAAGTGAAGAGATTAAGATTGTGCTTAACAAATTGAAGAATAAAACAATCAAATAATCTTGTAGTAACCTGCACAAGACAGCTCAGATTCAAAATTTCTAATATCCAAATTACAACAAAATACTGCAGTGCTTTCAGGATTATTATGGGCAAGAAGGATCTTTTTACAGGAACATCCAGTAGTTTCAACATTAGGACATTCGCTAGATTGACGATGAAAACATCTCTCTAAAGTTCCACCAGACATTCCTGTTATCGTGCTTGATGAGGATGTTTGTTGGTCTTCTTCTGTCCGTGCACTTGCTACTCCTGCATACAAGCACATAACTATGGCAAACCACTGCATCTGTAAATTTGGATTATGTTATGAAACCGAAAATTGTATAATTAACATATGTTAGTTTGAGCTTTAAACGAAATTTACGTTACAGATTATTAAATGATACATTCAATGTTTAATACAACAGAGTTTATACCAACATATAATTACAGTACTGCTACTGAAAAATATGAAATTTGTTCCAAATAGTGCGAAATTAAATCTAAATTCTATTATTATTTTTGCCGTAAAATCTGTCTAATCACATTAAATATGTGCACACAATAACTACGTATTAAACAATTACATTTAAGTTAATAACGCGAATGCCTACATTATCCTGTTTTCATAATTTCGGTTTTAAACGACATATTATATATGAGGTGAATAAAAATCAGCATAAAAACGGTAAAAATAATATTGTTCAATATATTTTGTATCCTTACGTTCATTTATTCGGCGTTCCAATAGTGTTCAAATTACACAACATCGATATACTCGATATTAAGAATTTGGGTAAACTTTGATAAGCTAAAGCTAACATAACGCTAGTAGACCTCTTAATTTTTGCATTCTTTAGATATTTTTAATACATACGAACGACATAACAGTATCGTGAACGGAACCACAAGATAACATAAAAAAACTTCGTATAGTTCATTGAAACCGTATCACCATTAAATCATCTAATCGCATATACAAAAAAAACATATGTTAAATTATTGTAGGTGTTAGACAGCCGGTTAGCGATGAACTAAAATTTTTATATTTCAACCTAAATTATGTTCAATATAAATTAAACTTTCTATATATTATATATATTCTGTTTTGAAAAACTTCACACAAGCTACTATTTATTGGCGTCAGTTCAAATCTTTGCTGTATTAAACAATTAAAAATACGACCATATCACGCACCTGGATACCTGTGTTAGGTACATACGTGCACTCAAGAGACTGATAATATTACCTTAAGAAAACATTTATGTAAATTCGAATTGTTCGTTTTCTTCGAGCAAGAGAAAGCTCTATAATATTCGTACTTAATGTAAAACTTAAGCTTTGATTTCTGCTGTCGTAAACTATTCTTTAAGTAATAACATTCATTTAAAATTAGTTAATAAATTTACGCAATGAGCTACGATACAGTCGAAAAGAAAATCTCGTTTGATATATTCAACTTAATATTTAAGATTCAGGTATTTGCATTGATTGCATTGACCAATAATTACATAATTCATCAACATTGATAAGTGTTCTGTCGAAATTGTAGTAGAAATTTTAATAAAAGTTAAACATACTACTGTGAGCAAAGTAAAAATGTGTTACATCAAAATATCGATAAAAAAAATTCGAAGATTAAAAATAGTTGCATGAATGTTTTTTGTTTCAAGTTACCTTCATTTCGCATAAAATTTTTGATAAGCAAGATTGTAAAAATCTACATCGCAAGAAAATTGTTAAGATGATTTGTTTCTCATTTGCAATAATGCGCTGTCGCGTAAGTATACAAATGATACACATACAGTACAAGTACTATTCACAAGTGACGCGGTCACCCTTAACAATGGGCAGATTTTTATTCTTGTGGCGAAAGACACACATTGCGCATTTGAACTATGTAATAACGTGGATAAATTAATTGGTTTAGTTGACTCCGACACTTTGGGTCATTCGGGTCGACCTATTAATGAATCAAAATTGGTTAGCTGCTGGCAGAATGCGTCACTTTATTACTCTCGTTGGCCTCGCATGAACAATAAATCACTACACGATCGCAGTTGTTTCATTTCTTCGCTACTTTTCTTTCCTACGTTGTATTTATTTTTTTTCACTGTCATCGACAGCAAACTTTGTAAAACAAAAAATCTTTAATATCGTACTGAATAACATTTAAAGTAAAATTTAAACATAACTATGTTCCGTACAAAAGAGTGGATTGACTACTATAATTAATTAATTAATTATATAATCAAAAGATTACTTCGTAATAATTCTCAACATTATGAGACTGAAACAATTTTCAAAACCTATTGCTGCGTTTCATATACGACAACCGTTCAAATGATTTAATTTAAAAATTGCGATAAACAAATGAATATGCAAAGCGATAGAAACTTTAGTGATTTTGTTAGCATACATTTTGTAAAACTTGCGAATAATTACTGTAGATTTTCAAGCTCAAGATTGCGTGAAACATGACTCAATCGGAAGACATCAAGTACAGTGAAGTACAGTTGAGTACAGTTTTGAAGACGATCCTGATCGAGTGTCTAGGAACGTATTTTAGGATGACAACATGGTTTGTGGAACTCCAGTTCTGAACGTTCGTGACCGTTCGCGCCACCATCGCGTTCGATTGCGACACAATATTTGAATATATATAGTTATTTTGCATCACTTATGCTAATTTTCACGTTTTTTGGAGGGATTTCACTAATTATGATTTTTCCGCTTTTCAACCCTTGTTTATCTCCTTCCTTATCCAGCCTTAGAAGAGTAAAGATGTGCGCGCTTTAACTTTCGAACTTTGTGATTTATACCACAGCAAGGCAACACTGATCTATATACTAGTATATTAGTATATAGATCAGTGCAAGGCAATTATGTCTTCACACGCCACAGAAGATTCCTCCCACCAACTCACGTATTAGAAAGAGAGACATTGACTCTTGCTATTGTTCTCCTTCCCTTGTGTCGGCTCGTCCTCCTATAAATCGCGTAGCTATATATGTCATGCCTATGTATATACATTACTGTTTGTCAGTGTTTTAAGATGGCTGACTTGAACGAGAAGTTGTTAGCAGAACTCCTCAAAAAACCAGGAAATAACGTGTGTGCGGATTGTGGAGCAAAGAGTGAGTGAATTTGTCAAGAAGATTTAAATATGTTAGTGCATCGCGATATAAAACATCGTGAAGGATTTGCTTAGCATCGCATAAACTATTTAGTATTCACCGTTTCGTTTACATTTAAGTATAAGGCAATCTGATTACATTTGAAAACATTACACACAATTGAAAGTGTTGTCAAGTGCAATGAAAGATAATGTTGTTGTTATTATTAGTATATTATTTAATACTAATAGTATAGCATTAGTATACTGCTACCACTTAAAAGACTTATTTAACAAAACAAATGAAATTTTATTTACTCTTAAGCTTCTTAATTATTGCGTCCACAATGCATCTTATAGTGTAGAAAAGATATTAAAAATGATCTATCATACTTAAAAAAAATTTAAATTACATCTGTATCTAATAAAGAAATTTCACTTACATAGTCTTTTTGTTTGTTATGTTTATTCACCTTTCTTATTACAACACATTTCTCAAAGAATGCTTAGTTACATTGTTACTTTATCATTTATTATTCAATAGTTATTCAGAAGTATTATGGTCAATTATGAAAATATTATAAATACTCCAATAAAAAGTTTTGAAAAAAATTGTTTTGATGTAGACAGTTGTAATTGAATTTCAGATCCAGAATGGGCTTCTTATAACATAGGAATATTTGTGTGCACAAGATGCGCTGGCATACATAGGTCAATGGGAGCACATATTTCTAAAGTGAAACACTTGAAATTAGACAGGTGGGAGGATTCTCAGGTGAATAGAATTAGAGAGGTTGGTAATGTTGCTGCTAGACTTCATTACGAAGAACGTGTACCACCGTGCTATAGGAGACCAAGTCCAGATGCACCGCAGTAGGTTGTCATTCATGCATTTAAATTACTGAATTAAAGAACAGAGTTTATTGGAAATAATATTTTCTAATCGACAGAGTATTGGTGGAACAATGGATAAGAGCAAAATACGAAAGGGAAGAGTTTTGTCATCCTGAAAGGCAGAATCATTACGTTTCAGGTTTCATGGAAGGGTTCTTAATGAAACGCGGCAAAGAAGATTCACGTTATCATCCTCGGAAATTTGTTCTTTGCGAAGCGGATGATACATTGAAATATCATGTTAAAGAAAACAAGGTCTACAAATATTGATTATTACAGAACTCTGTAAATGTTGTGCATATTATCAATGTTCTTGAAAATATTTTTTTTCTTTTCGTTAGGAGCCAAAAGCTGTTCTTAGAATATCAGAGTTGAATGTAGCTTTCGCTCCACCCAAAACTGGTAATCAAAATAGTCTACAAATATCATTTATGAAGGATGGTACAACGAGACATATCTATGTGTACCACGAAGATTCAGAAGTGATCACTAATTGGTATCTAGCGATACGATGCGCGAAGCTTCATCGTTTAAAGGTTGCATATCCAGGAGCAACCGAAACCGAGTTACTGTCGCAACTTACCAGAGATTTTTCACGGGAGGGTTTTCTGTGGAAAACTGGCCCTCGACATACCGATGGTTACAAAAAGAGGTGGTTTACGTTAGATGGACGAAAACTAATGTATCATGACGATCCAATGGTATGTACATACGTATAGTATGTATTTATACGTATAACACATATAGTAATACAATTTATACTATACGAAGGATGCACATCCAAAAGGGGAAATTTTTTTGGGTCATTCTTCGGAGAGTTTCGCCGTGAGAACCGGAGTACCGCCGGGTGCGAAAGATCAAGGCTTTTCGTTTACTCTTGAAACACCAGACAGAACCTATCTTCTTTCTGCTCAAAGCGAAGATGACAGAACACAGTGGATGAATGTAATACAAAAGGTCATAGAAAAGCCTCTTACTCCACAAGATGCAACCGGTAAGTTTTACTGAAATGCGAGTTCTTGTGTGGTGACATTGTTTATAATTGAATATTTGTAGTGGCGGCACGTCTTATAAGAAAACGCACAGCTAGTGGAACAATGAACATATTTTCTTCTACAAGGTAGGGCTGGATCCCTCTTAGGTGCCTTTCCTAATTGTTAAAAAATGAACATTACTTAGATAAATGAATTGGGCTGTTGTATCGAGAGATTATAAAAAAGAAATAGACTACTCGACATGCATGGCGAATGGATGACGTGCTGTGATCGTATAATGCCATCGAGTCACACGCGTGCCCCTCCCCCTATACACAACACATATATTTATTCGTAACCATTAAAGTGTGGGTGTTCATGTAAATTCACATTTTTGCAGATCGCTTTATGAAAGCTGGAATTACTCGTAATTTAATGTATTATGCTGTAAATCTACAAAATTCACAATCTAATAATCGTTATATCGTAACATCTTATGCATATATAAAGTATTATAAAAACATTGTGAAATTTAAACGGAATTTAAAGAATAATGCAGATAGTTGATGTACAAGTACTATTATGTTGCATTCAGAGACAAATTTTTCTACATGCAAATTTGTATTAATTTACAATGAAAAATCAGTTGTTTCCGATTTGATGGTAAAGTATTCAATATGTGTATATATGCATAAGACCAAAGAAAATGGATTGTAAACGGATTACAATACATTCTCCGACGATACTTTTATCACGTAATGCTTTTCGCTTGCTGTCGAATCAAAGTTGACAGTATTATGCACTATATCATGAAAATTTTTTACTTAACAGTATCATTATCTATACGGTATTTATTAGCTGATAGTTGAAAACTTACAGTTTTATAGGACATGTAACAATTTTGATTTGGAATTTTTCAGTAAACATTATGTAGTGAAATATGCAAACAGAAGTGACGAAACGTTAATTAAAATACTGATTCGCAGTATTTTCACATTTTTCGTTAAAAGACTACGAGTAATAATAATTTTAAGTACAAAAGTAATAAATTTCTGAGGCCTAGTGGTTGATTTCTACATACGATTGCAAAAGAAATAAGAAACGCGTCGAGTCCGGGTCGAATTCTTTTGTAAACAACGTATTGCTATACATACGCATATGTTGTGTGAGTTTGATTCGTTTATGACTTTTGTACAGGTAATATACATTATCTTCGCGTAGTATGCATCTTATTTTTTTTTATTGCCTTGAATAAGAAATACTTTTCGTACACAAGTAATGTAGATGTCTAGTAAGAATAATTCTACTCCTATACAATATAAAACATTAAAAAGACTGCGTTGAATGAAGAGACTAATACACTCTACATGTATGTACGATGTTACGAGTATATTCGTACGTATAAATATTTGCGCGTACATATATATAAAGTGGGACAAATAAAAAGTATCTTAACTGTTTCAAAGATGAAGGTTCATATTTTAAATAAGAACGGTTATACATTAATAATACATTTTAAAAGCAGTAATCATTTCGTTTCGCTAATAAATTGTTTCGTTTTAAACCAAGCTTAATGCTCTACGTCGCGCAAACTTTCATGTAACGTTATAAAATATTTGTTCGTGTACACACCTAAACGTTTCCGAAATATTTGATTGTACACCGAGGTATATAATAGTAAATAGTGTAGATACTTTCATATTAACACACTGTCGGCCGGTCATCTATAAATAGATGTTAACAACTAAACTTAAACGGCCGGTCGTTCAAAAATAGATTTTTACGGACGTTGACACTGTTTCATTGGTCAGTTTTTAGTGAAATTTTCGTAAACACGGACGTGGCATAAACTTTCTGTACTTTCTTTTAATATATCATAATACTTTTGTAACAATTTTCCTTAAAATGGAAAGTGATGATGAGGGTATGTAGGACAATTTACCAGATATATCGGAAACTACTGAAAATGTTGATTCTGTCTGCCACAAAAAATCGTCGACCGATAGTGTGTTAAGGCATAAAAATATTTTATACGCTTTACAGAAAATGTCTGTTTAAATGATATTTACTTAACAGAAACTATAACAGAAATTTCATTACTTCTTACACATATCACGATAATATCTATTATCTAATATCTATTAATATACGTACAACAGACTTACTATTTTTTACAACTAAAAAACCACAATTAACTTAAAATTTATTGCAAAAGATACGAGAATACTGTTCCTTTTGTCGATGTGTTGAAGTATTACTCTATCGTGCTTGTATATGTAAGTATTGCGAACAGAATTAACTGCATAAAATTTAGCAGTGAAAGCCAGAAAGTTATTCAGAATTCTATTTTTTAAATACGTATATTTGTACCCTCGGGTTACGATGCCAAGAACGTTATAGAGTTATCGTAAAATATTTTCTAAATCTAATGTAAAAATATTTTTGTTCTTAGATATGTTTTCATACGCAGTGTTTCTTTCGTCGTTAAAAGTTGCTAATAAATTAATTTACGCAAGACGAGATTGAAATGTGCCTATTAAAATATATATGTTCATTGTTGTACATCATTTACAAGTGCACTAATGCAGAAGTGTTTGATATACTACTCAGTTCGACACGAGAAGTTAATACTTAATCTTATTATTCGGGTTACACTCGGATAAAGGTACGCTTTTCAAGTAACAAAGAATATTCACCCAACAAAACGCCGCAACGCTGACGAACGACACTCGCAACGCCGGCGGTATTAGTGAGAAATTTAAGAATTGCACCGGCAACCAGTACATACAAGAGGTCTGAAAGCAAGATACAATTATTAACTGCGAATTGGTAAAACGTTTACAAAAAGTACGAAGTTTTCTTTGTACCTTGAACGTTTGAAGGAACTTTGCTTTACATTCACCGAGAACGTCTGTTTTGCTCTCCATTAGGCTCATACCTAAAATATTCAGAAAAATGATGAACAGACTATATAGATACGAAAGAAGTACAAGACGAAGTAAAGAACATTATACGCACAGATAAAAAATACCACAACTAATGGCGGTGTAAGAATGAATTGGTCAACGAAAAGTTTCACTAGAACGACCTTCATTGCCTGACCTTTGTAGAACGTATCCAACCATTTATACCTGATGAAAAGTAGAATTTTCGTTAACTAATTTTCCGTCGATTTTCATCATACGGAAAGATGAAAATGTTTCGCCAAGCCGACTGATCGTGTGAATGATTTTTGACAATTTTACATAAACGATATGTGCAGCGATATAAATGATAAAAGCAGAATGAGCTCACCGATGGTGATACATCGAGAGAAGATCGACGTGCCGGCGAATGCATTTATCGTGCGATCAATCGTCGACCGGCAGTGTGATAACGATGCCCATAATAAAAGGCGTGTAGAATCGATTCTGTCGTCAAAGTTGACGACTACCTAACATCCAGTTATTTACAATACTACAGCCGGTTTAATTTTCATACATATGGACATGTATATGTACTATTATTGTTGCTACCATTTTCATCAGCAGCAGCATTACTAGCAGATTATAATAGTTGGTTTAAATACATTTATTATTTCTCTTTCATTCAGAACTCAAATCCGAGACAAAAATTGTTGTTCGATGATACTGAAATAAATCGATTTAGTAATTAATATTTCATGTGTCCCCTTATGTGTCCGATCGATTTACTAGAAAATTAGACGATAATATTCGATGTGTACGCGGACGTAATACAGAATGGTGTGTTAAAGCGGGAGCGACCGTTAAGTGTTATAAAGCGTGCAATGAGGAAGTATGGTATATTGACACGCGTGGATACCATCCGTGCAGCACTGGCCCTGCTATGAAGCAACCGTAGATAGCGTATCGCTTAAGTTGAGCCCAATTATAATTCCTTGATTGCGTCAAACTATCGTCGTCCGATAAACCTAAAGTCTCGTTGAATCGTCTCATCCAAACCAGTGGCCGCGTATTGGCATCGATTGTGTTCACCTGTTCCACCCTCTCCGGCACCGGGGACGGTAATGAAGACTACAATTATGACGAATCTCTTGTTTGATGTGTATTTTTTATGTTAAAAGAAAACGATTACCTTTACTGCTCTGTTATAGGTTTGTTGAGCGAACTCGGCACCGGTGTAAAAGGATCCATATATTATAGAGTTGAAGAGCAACGGTCTTTTCTGAGCTGAAATCTTCAACTTCCGTAATATTCCTGGTACAGCCATGATCGTTTACCAGCCTCTGAGTGATGAAAAAATTTGTCTCACTTTATCTTCCAATCCTTGCGGTTCCTGTAAATGAATAGTATAACACGTTACACACGAGTCAACCATAAAAGTTTGCCGTTTTTGCGTACAACATAAATGTCTTATTAGAATTTCTTTTCACTATCGATTGTTGCGTACACCATCGCAGCGAGATTATTACAGATTATCGCGACATCCATATCCTGCTTTTAACGGAATGATTCGATAAAGAAGAACAGGCAACGAACTGCATGCGACTTTAATTGTAATGCAACAAGCGCTGCAGGACATACAAATGTATATATAGTTGAGAAATGGTATACATATATATACACTTGTAGTATGGAGGAAACAAACAGTACCTACCGCAATGCGACAAATTTTTGCAAATAACAAAGAAATAACGAAAGTAACATTAACGTTCAGTAGCGAAATAGAAAAGTGAATTAATTAATAGTCAATAATACCGTTTTTTTTCGATAAAAAATTTAATTTTTCACTGTTTTTCCTCACGAGTGTGCTTCAGTAAGTATATCTCAACTTTCGTCTTTCTTTCCACGGTAAATCTTACTTTTGATCACATTTTCATTTATTGTCGAAATTGTGTAAACAGGTAGGTGCAAAAATATATGTACGTATTCGCGAGTATTCGTTTTAAACTGGCTCTCTTTTATAATAGTCGTTACTGTCTCTTTCTACGAATACTCGTTATCGAGCATCACGCGTTTCTGTTTCACAATTATTCAGGATGGTATTACGTATGTTTCGACGGAATTTTAAAAATTTCACTTAATTTATTGTATAATGTATCCTATTTTAATCGTTATGAAATATTTTTAAAACGTTGAATAATTTTTATTATAGCTTGCATCTCACTTTTCCAGTAGCGCTGATATGGAAACACGTGTCAATACATTTTCGATCTATACGAGGAAATGATCCTCTTTGCTGTGTTAACACAAATACATTGGACCTTATTATTTTAAGACGATTGTTGAATCAATATTGCCAAAAAAAATTACGCTATTTCAAATTATGCATTGCTGTATATCACATTGTTATATTTATGTTACTGTACTATTTAATCAGTATAAAAATTTACTTTTGTCTCAATAACTGAATAATCATCCGGTTCGAGTAAAAAAGATCGTCGCTTATAACAATTATATTTCAGTATATAAAATGAACTGGTTTTTCAACCATTTCATATTCAGGAAATAACGATTAAAATTTGAAAAATCAGGAATGTACTAACCTATATAACTTCATCCGCAAACAAAGTATTTGTTCTTTACTTTGAATGTATTATCGATTGTCTAATGAACTGAGAAGTATCGGTACACTTGAAATACTGCTCCGCAGAAGATACGTACGCGACACTACACGTGCACCCGGCTACGGTCACTTACATCTAATCAAAACCAATCACGTCCCGGTTGCGTCAATTGGAAGCAATTCTAACACAGAGAATTATTTGTTATCACCAAAGAATATAGATGTCGTGTTAATGATACACATTTAATTGTGTATAGTATTTTGTTTTGTTTTGTGGTATAAGAAAATGAGATTTGTAATAGTCACAAGATATTTCTTGCTATGTTCAATCTAGTAGAAGTTTTCTAATGTTACAAACACGATTCTTCTTCTTTGTAGACGTCGTAGCTAATTACACCCATAATTTCAGAGTATAGCCACTCTCTCCATTCTTGATTTACATTTTTCTCAAGGGTATATTCCTCAAAAACCTGACTTTTCTCTATCTAGTTGTAAATATAAATCATTAGTATCGATTGTCAAGTTACATACTAATTGTTCAGAATATTTTGCGGAAGTTACCTCTTCAAATTTTAATTTTTTGAACATTTTAATACTCTTTTCATTGCTGAATTTGATCTTTGCTGTGTATGTAGTCACCTTCAATGTGTCAATTCCTAATAAAAAAAACATTCTATTTCCCTTAAAGATACAATGTATGCGTATGGAGATGATAAATTAATGCAAAGGATATACCATATAGTAACATTAAAATCATTGCTTCCCAACCCCTCTTCTTGTTCCTATAAGCAATATCTGCTATCATAATCTCAGCTTCAGCGCTTTTCGGATCATCCAGATTATTGAAAAACAAATTTGTATCACCGATCATGGCTTCTAAAACTTATCTGTGTTACCAGAAAATATAACCAGAAATATAGAAAATCAGTTAAAGTATTCTATACCTATTTCGTTGGAGGTTGTAGAAAAGATGCTTTTTTCTAAAATAATGAAGGTACACTCTGTAACACATAAGGACATATAATTAGCATCGGATTCGGTGTCTAGCAGGAGACGGTTACTCACTGTCTTGGTCTTGATGCCATCGCTGTTGCATCTGAAATTCTTCTTCTAAAGTCAAAGCTTCTGAGCCAGTAAAATACTGTAGTTCTACCGATTTCATCCATTCGTGATACCTAAAAAAATAATGATAAATAAAAAATCGATAACACAACCGAAGGATCTATTTAACAGACGATTTAAAAATGGCGGATATTCGTGTTAGTTCATAATACTGTCGATAATCTGTTAGAAGTGTACGATACCAGCCTTCTAACATGTTTTTTCTTATAAGGTATTAAAATCACGTTTGATCCAATAATCCTGGTGGCCTCGTTGTCTTTCATAGTTGAAGAGAAATTGATACTGCAGCTATCAAGGAAATGTAACGACTGCGAGCTTTAAATTTAAAGAGGTTACGTCCATCTTTCTGCCATATTGGATGCAAACTTTGCACCGATATGATCTAGGGTTCTCACAACAAGTATATAAATCCATATATCTTTTTCTCCTGCTACTTGTAATTGTAACTCAAGACATATTTGTCGAAGGATAAAACGATTCCAATAAAATGGCCTACAATTTTCCGGGAGTGCCAGCGGCAGCTATGCCACCGATGGGTACGTTCAGAATACATAACCGTATATGTTACATCAGTCCGTCATGTAGTGCACTGTTTATTGAACGAATTCAATGCAGCGTTTAATACCACGATTATTCTATCGTGTTTAAATCTTCAAGTTTACCCATGAAAATCATATACCTTTAGGTATGGGGCCAATGGGATCTCTTACTCCAATTGCAGGACCACAAGGTTTCATGGAATTAGCTAGTCAAGGATTTCCTCCACTACCTCCTCCAATACCACTGCCTGGAATGAACGATTCCCCATTAGAATTTAGTACAAATAAGAATCAACCTCCAATAACTAGAGAATCCTCAGATGATAATAGTGATAAGAGAAGTGAAAAGAATGACATTAGACGAGACAGAGAAAACAGGGAGGGTAGAGATAATAGGGATAACAGAAGGTTGGTTTCCTTGTCTTTATTATTATTTATTATACATATATTATTCCTTGTTCTTACAATAATCATATAGCATGTCATTATGTTTACATTACACTTATGTCTGTGCAATTGATGATCACAGATCTAGAAGCGAAAGAAGCGACAGAAGAGAGAGGGACAGAGAACGAAGAGAAGAAAGAAACGAGAGGGATCGAAGAGAGGAACGAAGACCGGAAGAACGAAGCGGTATAAACTCTATGAGTAACAATAATGGTCATAATAATTCAAACAGTAATGACCTTCCATCGTCGTCGAACACTAGTGGCACACCGAATTTAGGACCGCAAATGGAACAAGCCACAGGTGTTTGGGGAATGGGAGTAGGATATCCCGTGATGGGAATGGGTCCGATAGGACCAATGGGACCAATGATGAGCGAAATGACGCTTGGTCCGCATATGGGACATACTCATAGCTACGGACCTATGAGTATGGGGATGATGTCGCACGATGGTAGTATGATAGGAGCACAAATATTAGGTCCAGAACAAATGATGAATGATGCTGCTCAAATAATGAGCGGTGCATTACCTCCGCCACCGTCAGCACCGCAAGGCACCAAAGAAATTATACATTGTAAAAGTTGTACTCTGTTTCCACCGAATCCAAACGCACCGCCCCCCACAACTCGGGAAAGGCCTCCAGGATGTAGAACAATCTTTGTTGGAGGTATTTTTCCGTCGTTTAGTTAAGGCAGTACAAGTTGTCGATGTCTTTCTAAATTTCTAAACTTGTTACAGGTTTGCCGGAAAATATTACAGAAACGATAATTCAAGAAATATTTGAAAGATGCGGCGAAATAACTACTCTACGGCTGTCGAAAAAGAATTTTTGTCATATACGCTTTGTACTTGAGAGTAGCGTCGACGCGGCTATTTACCTGTCTGGATACAGAATTAGAATAGGATCCAGTGGTGATTCTGTGAACACTGGCAGACTTCACGTAGACTTTGCTCAGGTTTGTAATTCACACGTATATATCTTTGTATTGGTGTAATATTAATATTCCGATTGAAATATAGGCCAGGGATGACCAGTACGAGTGGGAATGTAGGCAACGTCAATTACAAAGAGAACAACGTCACAGAGAAAGAGTCGAGCAAGAAAGGCAAAGAGCACCGTCTAGCCCTCCGCCGGTCGTACATTATACGGACCACGAGGCGTCAAATATTTGTGAGAAAATTAAACAAGATGACACGTTTATGAAAGCAGTGCAGGTAAATAAACAGTTGATATAATCGTAACGTGGTGTAATCCTAACATGGTTTGTCGATTACATTAGGTTGTTGTAACGTGGCTTGAACGGGGGGATTGTACGAAACGAAACGCGAACACATTTTACTCGATGATTCAGTCGACGAATTCTCACGTTCGACGGTTACTCACGGAGAAGGTTGCGTACGAGGAGGAACTCCAGAAAGCGAAGGAACTAATGAAGGGCAGGATGCAAGGACTCCTAATACAATGTACGTTTATACGCTTGGTAATTTTCTTTCTTTTTCGTTTCATCACAGCTCTGTACCATTGTACATCTTTTGTGTACACACAAGAGCAAATCTACGTACAAATTGCTTTATCCGGTAAGTTTTTTTTTTGCCATAAAATAAGGCCCCCAGCAATAGTTTTTTTTTTAAATGTCGTGGTATTCGATATCAATGACAAGTGCCAAAATGCAATTACGTCGGAATATCTCGCGTTTCACGTACAGAAAACTGCGAACTCTCTTCGCCGTTGGTAAATGCCGAGAGACCAATCTCACTATAACAAACGGCAGCGTTTCTTGTTATAGTAATTGCAAAAGGTACGTTGCTATTCTGATATTAAAGATAATCTTTTACGTTCGAAGAAGAACACGGAAGTAAAATCAAGAAAGAAATCGTTCGCTATTGCATATTACATAGTCGGCCGAGTTCAACGTATAGTTTAATCATGATGAGTCTGTTAAACAAAATTTCATCCTCGTTGAGATCCAACATCAGGCGAAATTGTAAGAAATTTATTATGTAACAAGCGGTCGGTGAATGCACGATCAGGACAACTCGATAGAAGGATCAAAGACAAGTAGGAGAAAATTAAGGTGGGTGAAGAAATCCTGTCTTTCGGTTCTAGGTACTAACGGTGTTGAACGAAAAAAAAACACAAATTACATATATATATATGTGTGTGTATATATATATATATATATATATATATATATGTATCAAGAGAATTAAATACATAGAGACATATAGTGTATCAAAGAGTTGCATGCTTGCAATGTTAAGGATAAAAAGGTGATGGGTTAAATATTTGTTGCGTAGATGATATTACGTTTCGATTCTCTCCGCTGTATTCGGAAACAATTTCAGTTATTTCCGATCGCGACACCATTTTGAAAGCAGAGAAACCAAGTACTGTATCTACCGTATCTGTGTCCGTGAAGGATTCCGTTTCTTCTCCTGCTATACTCTAGGTAAGCGTGGATCGTTAAGAGAATCGTAGCTTAAAATCATCGTTTTACGTTTGGAAGAGGCTGCGTGTACATGTTGTAAGTTGTTAGGTCGAGAGAACGGTGGCGCGGGTTTTCCAACGGGGGAAAAATAAGCACTCTCTGTTCTGTGACAGACGTTGAAAAGACTGATATTTGGCGGACGAGAAGCGCACACAGCTCGAAATGGATCCATCCCCTCGGTATTGTGAAACGCAGTGGTCTGTTCATTGTCAATTTCTTTTCGGATAAGTAATTTTATGACGGACAGCATTAATTAATGGATTCGATGTCGATTAGAACGATCGGAACGATAGTTAGCAGGTGTCCAGGCTAATTTTTTTCTTTTCGATATACGAAGGACACGTGGGTTCAGATCGGAATGATAAAAAGGGGGAACGATATTTGATAATGGCACATCGCCCGTTCCCACATTTTCTCCCCCCATTCGTCACCCCCCTCCCCCAGGCGGCCGACGATCACAATATTTGCGGAGGGAATGCATATTTAACAGAGAGCGTAGTTTTTTCGCTGTAACATCTTAGACCAAAACAAAATGAACGTAGAGTTTCAAGCAGGGTATACAACAGACGAATTTGTTGTGTTTTTTTGTATGCAACACGCGACCATGTCATCCAACAGTCAGTCAGATTGAACGCGTGTTCACTGCGGCCAGCCACAAGAAGGTCTGGGATCACTTCACAAAGGCTCAACGGAAGAACATCGAAATGTGGAAGAAACAATCCTCGGTATGTATTTGCATTTTCACGCGTTGCGGCGTGACACGAAACTTACGTTACCATTCTTTTACTTACCGATTAGAGAAAAAAAACACACACACACACACACATACATATACACATACCACACGCAAAAGTAACTCACCAGGCAATTGTGGTCTCACGAACGCCGTAAAGCCAAGAGAGACCAAATGAGCTTTTTTTCTATGCGATTCTGCACGATCACCCCCCATAAATGCACGACGATTCGTCGTCGTCGTCATTGCGTTTTGCAAAAACAAATCACGTTTTTTTCCGAGCGAACGAAAAAAAAACAGAACAGGTAAGTGGCGTTTTGAGTGACGAATTAACAGAACGGCTTCATATATACCTCTGGTCAGACACACACGCTTTCGCTGTACGTGCGGTGTTTAAAACGTTTTGGGATTATCGGGGTGCGAAAGGTAACGAAGTAGTTCCGCCGTTCGTTTTAAATTGAACGGGGTGTACAATTTACCCGGAGCGGTACAAGGTAATCGACCACACATAAGACCATCCATTGTAGATTTTACATACCTCTCGGATCAGAGTGCCAATTTCGATGTCACGGATGGAAGAGGCGGAGAACGTGTATATATATATATACATATATGTCTATATTATTAATTTTTTCTTGAATACTTGAACTTTCTCTTCTTATCATGCAAGTTATACCTTCTATCCTCTTCTTCTTCTCTTTTCATTGTTTTTCTTTTCTTTTCCTTCAAAGTTTGGGTAACAAAGAAGAGTGCAAACCTATCGAGTACTATATACTCTCTCCGTTTCTTAAGCTGTATATACAAATATTCGTCGACTATCGCGTTAGTTGTATAATATAGGATAATAATAATAACAATGCCCCATCTGCACGAGATTAAGATTAATCTGTTCAACGTGATTCAGGTAAGCGTGTCGTTTTTCAAAAAAAAAAAAAGGTCTGAGTTACAGAGAATCCGATGCAAAGTGTATATATACAGTGGTTCCTCGATGAATGCGACACATGAGTAAGCATAAGCTGAGCAGAGGCTCGGCTTCGTGTAAAAAATGAATTTACGAGGGGTTGACAACCTATTCGCTTTGCCATGACTGCTCCGAAGCGGACCCGAATACGTCGCACTCATCGAAACATTACTATATAATTATATATTGTGTTCCACCAGGGTGCAATGTATATTCGTTCCTTGATTTTTGTTTTGAAAGACGGCTTATGCCTCCGTATGTACCGCAAAGCTGAACTTCGTATAGGTAATTTCCACACCCCCGAACCTGAATCAACCTCGAGAAACACCACGTGTGCATACCATATACGTGTATACATGGCATGTTTTTGATGTTCCCTCACCTCTGAACGAGATTCGAACTTGAAAAATAATTCGATGACCGTTTCTTCTTTTTTTTTTCTTTTTTTCTACGATGACAGGAGATCAAAGCGGTGCAACTGGAAGAAAGTCTGTTAGAAGGTGAAGGGGAAATGGAGGTGTCCGATTCGGAGGAGGAACCGCAACGGAAGAAGCCACGGAATCAGTCGGATCCGCACGACGATTCCGAGCGACTGCAGGCGTTGAAAGAAGAAAACGACAGTCTACGGTGTCAGTTGGAGGCGTACAAGAACGAGGTGGGAGGGATGAAATATCACTTGGAATGCGAATTAATGAATTGTTGTGAAAGAGAATTCATTATATTTTTAATAGGTGGATCTGCTGAAATCCGAGACGAAAAGCGACATCGACGCGAAGGACAAACAAATGAAAATGTTACAGCAAACGTTGAAAGGCATGCAGGAACAGCTGCTGCAGTCGAGGAAACAGCAGCAGCAAGACGATCAGAAGATCAAGGATCTGACCGTGAAACTGAACGCCACGAAAAAGGAGGAGCCCAGAGAAAGTGAGGTCATAACGTTGGACAAAGACGACGACATAAACGAGGAGCCTCGAACTCCGAAGCAATTGGCATTAACGTCTAGTTTCGTTCAGATCACCCAAAAAGATGCTAAGCTTATAGGTACTCTCCTTAGAACACTTCTAATCCCGTCATTCGGCTTCGTACGATTTTCATCTCTTGAATGTTTTTTATAAAAAAAATCTTGTGGGGTTCCAGGATTAATAGCAACATTTTTACACATACATCCGTTCGGCGCCAGCGTGGATTATTTATGGTCGTATCTACAAAAAATGGAACATGGTATTAAACCGAACGAGGTGGAAGCGCTGATGCAACGATTTCCTCAAGTCTTCAAACAGGACTTGTTCGGGATCGGTGCGAACATGGAGAGACGTTGGCAGTTCTCGGGTTTCAACGTTTATCGTAGCCATTGAGACTGGGTAGAATCGTACTTGATAAGGAATTTTGTAACATTTTCATGTCATGGCGTCCCTCATTTCATGTAGATTCTTGTAATATTTGTTTTAGCGTGAGTCTTTATTTCGGGAATCCGCCCTTTCCATACCAAGAACTTGCGAACGATGATGATCAATTTAAATATCGCTAGGATATCTTCATGGCGTAAGAATATCGGGGATACCTGTTTTTTGTTAACCGTTGAGTGCCACTGATGTTTGTAGGAATGCGCGTTTAGAACGGTGCTTGAACCGTTAAAGTCGATGTCAGATCAACCGACTATTCAGGCCCATTCCGAGAGAACGTTGTCCGCGTTGTTCGTCTGGTAACTATCCGTTTGTACTTAGGGGTGGATTGAATCATCGTTATTGCATAGAAAACAAAGTTTGCTTCTGACCAACAGATAGCCTCGAGTAACCCACTGATTTGTCGTCGACTTTAATAAACAAAACCCTTACCTACAACTTGTCAACATTTTTTTTAACTTGTACACGAATGCGGTTTTTCCGTGCCAGGCTGAAGTGTAAAAAATAATACCATATTAAAATCTGTTAACGGTGCATAAATTACAAACATCCGTTAGGTATAATCAAATAATGAAACTCAAGCTTTAATATTTGTTACGCCCGAAATCAATTAACGATACGTGGTACTTTACACATCGACTGTTATATACATACGTTGTACAATTAAACGTATTCATGTATGTTTCAGCCTAAGTACATATATTCCTAACGGAAAATTTTTTATATAAATCTAGTATCGAGGCAAAACAAATGTACAAAAGCAATTACGTGTATGTATACATATATTGACGTATAGACGTCATACTCTATTCTATTCTATACTGTTTGTTAATTTGCCGGTTTTATGTCGAGATAAACTTAATTTCAAAGTTGTATCGATCAAAAAGAAGAGTCGATTGATACGTATTATTCTGTTTACCGCGGTTAATACTTTCCAGACCTGCCAGTAGATGGCTGAAAATGTAACAGTCATTACTGTCAGTAGTTCTTGTAAACCTATCGTCTGCTATCATCAGATATCATTATCGCATTCGTAGATGAGAAGACATCTGTACTTCTGAAAAAAGGTTCGGCCAAGTAAAAATCATAACTCTTATTAATCACGTGGAACTTTATGCACGAGCATGTATATGTTGATTTACATTAGAAGATACAGAACTACCAGAGATACGGCAAGATGAGTGAAACGTTCAATAGGTTATCCATGTGTTTCTTTCGTTGAGTACCCGAGCAGTACCAAGTGACATTTCATAATTGCATGTTCACTGGCTCAGACGAAGAAAATTCACTCTACGAATTCAATGGATTATTACGATATCCTTGGTTGTACGGAAGAATCGACAACCGAAGACATAAAACGTGCATATCATGCATTAGCTTTAAAATTTCATCCGGATAAAAATGCGTTTGAACTCGACGGAGTACAGTTCCAACGTATCACAGAAGCTTGGAATGTGTTACGTGATCCGAAATCAAGGAAAGAATACGATGTTACGAGAAAACAAGTAGATCTTGATTCGGACAGTGGTGTGATACACGCAAGAATATCTATTAACGAATTGGAGACAATTTATGATAACGAAGACACGTTTGTTTATCGATGCAGATGCGGAGGTCTCTATTACGTTCGAAAGGAATACATACAGGAGAAGGATCAATTGGTACACGTACCGTGTTTAGAATGTACTTTTGTTATTGTCGTTGAAACATGACGTTTGTGTATAAAGATTAAAATATTTGATACGGCTTGTAGCTGTTGGTCGGAATCGATTAAAGAATAACATGCAACAAAATTTAAAATGCAGCAACATTTTCTATTTCTTATAAAAAATGATACAACAGATAACACATCATTACAAATATAAACTATTGAGCAATACACAAATAAAACACGGTTCTTTGAATATCCTAGGTTCAATAATAAAAACTGCATTTACACGAACCATATTTCATATTACAGAGTGTACAGGATTTGTTATTGAAAATAAAGTGCTTATGTGGTTCATGCAATTTCTATGACGATAGATCTTGCATGAAAACTCTTTAATGTAAAATCTGCAATATTTAGAAAAATTGTATTATTCACGTTTTCTCTTGCACGATAACCGATCTTGTTTGATGATTCATGAATATTGCACAGGGAAGTCTGCAATTCTTATTATTGTCCCATGCCAAAATCAGACTCGTTAATAGCAACAAAATTAATACATTTTATTTAAATATTAACTCCTTGATAATCCAATTAAATTACTATCACGACTATCTCTGATTTATCCAATCAAATAGCGAATAATGAATGGCGCATGATTCTGTAACACATTACGTGCAGAAAACGATCAAGTACATATTTCAGAATGATTTGTGTATAAAAGAACTGTATACAGGATTACAACTTTCTGTTGATTATTTCCATGGATGTTATGCAAATATAGTCTGCAATCACCTTCGCACAAGAACTATAAGGGCAGTAAGACACCTTTGTGTATTGAAAAAGTACTAGAACCCAATATTGCGATGATTGATAACCATGCGATTCTGGTATTGTTTGTAAATTTTACAAATATCATTACTACAGAAACGGACAACATTGTCGGCCTTCGTTTCTTACATGAAATTATAAACACAAATTCCTTGCACATAATTACGTTTTAATGCTCTGGTCAACGAGCAATATAGAAGAAAAAAAAATGTTACAAGTCTTAATGAAAGGTAGCATTAATGTCGATGAAATATTAGAAATCGCTAAAATCGTTGAAGCACATCATTAATTCGAAAAATTAGGTACGCGTTACGATTTTACAGTTATGTATGAATTTCGCTCATGTTCTCTTTAGACGACAGAATACAAACTGACGTTAATGATACAGAATATGGAAAGCAGTTATATGTTTCATTGCAATGTCATTAAATACCGTTTATGATATCCAATTCTCATAGTAATAGACGTAAACGAAGAGTTTAAATAAGCCAAATGATGTATAACAATTTCAAAGAACTTAATGCTTGTGTAGTATCTTTGCCAACTTGGTCATTTTCATCATCTTTGATCTTTTATCCGAATTCATTGTCTTGATCCAATATATATATTTTTTTCCTTGTCTTTTCTATATCTTTCGTTTGAACTTTCCGTTTATTTTTCAAAATTTGAGATTCTTTAAGCGATAATCTTCATCTATAAGCTTGACAAATACGGTAACAAATCTTTCTTTCTGTAGTTTAAAAATACTTTCCTAAACGCCCATACAAATCGTGTTAGGTAGTCGTAATGCGTATGGCGGGCTGGATTTCATTTAAATTGCTACCGATTTCCTTCAGATTTCGTAACAGCAATAATACAATAGTACACTGATAAGCTCCTCGTTCTTCGTAAATTTGTTGAGTCTTTCAAATTTCATATTTGTACACCATTAATTAATTATACACTCCATAATTAATATAATTAATGCCTTCGGTTCGAACGTTCCCACCAGTTCGGAGATCATTTCCAGTAACTACAGATTCACGTCCGACTGTTCACGATCTCCATTTAGGTAATCGACATACATTCTTATCACAATCACACCCACGTACTACATGAATCATTGTACAGACGATTGTTTGCGCTACCTAATCAGAGTATGTACAGAAGACATAGAGGACAGTTTCTGTTGCAAAAAAAAAATGCACTATTTTACCTCTACGTCAAAGTCGAGAACAAGAAGTTTGGTCTCTTCTGTGCCGTTACGGCTACCCACTGCACACACTAGTTTCGTATCACTCGCGCGTATTCTCCACACAACACCACCACTTCCGCCGCTCTCCAGTGCTACTAAATTTCTTATGAAATCACCTAAAAAAATAGAATTTAGATTTTAACGAATGTTTATCGAAACACGATAATAAAAGTTGTAAAGAAAAAAAAATAAGAACAGTATAAACTAAACGAACCAGTTTTAACGTCCCAAAGTTTAACCGTGCCATCGTCGGACGAGGTAATAACAAAGTGGCTGTTAAACTGAAGACAAGTAACCGCAGATTGATGTTTGTTTGGACCAGAAAGTGTTTGAAGGCAGTGACCGCTAACGATATCCCAAACTTTAACAGTCGAGTCCGCATTTCCAGACACCAAAATGTTATTGCGTAATTCCATTCCCGATGTTAACGACTGATGTCCCATTAAAGTATGTCTACACGCACCGGTTTCAACTTCCCATACTCTTATGCTTGTATCCAAAGAACCGCTAACAACGTGTACACCGTCGAACTGACAGAAAAGGAAAACAGAAACAAGACAATTAATGTTCAACAATCTTCGGATCCTGATAACGCGTAAATACAAACCGAAATAAGAAGTGAACATTTGCATATAAAATATGCATACACAAATGTAAATACATTATTTATATATTGTTGTACGTACGACTGAAATAATTCTTACTTGGAGGGAATAAACACGATTTGTGTGTCCTTGTAGAGTATGAAGGCACTCCTCGCGTTCCGGATTCCAAACCTTAACCATATAATCATAAGCCCCGCTGACTACTAACTTTCCATCGTATTGCACGCATCTAACAGCTGCCAAATGGCCCACCAGCACGTGTAAACATTCGCCAGTGTCTACTTGCCACACCCTTAATGTAGCGTCTCTGCTGCCACTGACCACTTTATTACCGTGCAAATGCATACATCTCACCGTCGATGTATGCCCATACAACGTGTGAATGCACTGACCAGTTTCAGCGTTCCACACTTTTAACGTACGGTCCGTACTACCACTGATTACAGTGGTACCAGACATCTGAGAGGACCATACACCTCCAGTGTGCCCGACCAACGTTCTCAAGCACTGTGAGAGAAGGTAAAGTGTGAACAAAAAAAAAAGAAGAAGAAAGAACAAACAATAATATTACATAAGAATGCAACGAAATTAATTTTATAATGAGATACCAATTTACCTTGCCCGTAACTGCAGACCACACTTTAAGAGTATTGTCGTCGGAACCACTCACTATACGATTACCCGAGAACTGGAGACACGTGATCACATGATCGTCGTGACCTTTTAAAACTTTTGGCGTGCGAATGGGTTTCGTCCTCCAATTCATTTTAATATTGTGCTGCCTCATGTACGCTTGTTTCCACGGGGACGATGTGTTACCGGAATTTCTACCATTCTTACGTTTCGTAGGCGGCAAGTCTTTTAAATCTTCTATACCAGCCGCTCTACACTTTTCTTTCCATAGTAAATTATCGTCGGCAAGAAATCGCCAATTACGACACGTCTGAGCGGCACGTAAGAGATCTCTTGGCTCTAAGAAAGCTAGTACCGACAGGGCCAACTCTTTCGGCAATAACGATATGAAATCTCTCTGGAACTGTGGCTCTATCACCTGCATCATGTGTCGTACTTGCGTTGGTTCGCATCGCTCAATTAATTCATCAATAGCTAACATTCTTTCTGCATTCGACCACCTCTGTAATAGAAATCCGTATTTTAACTTTATGTACAGAAACATTTGTTTGATTGTGGCGGTAGGGTTTCTTGTACCTGAAATTGAAGAAGCCAATCACTCATTTCAGGCGGGGGATTATCTTTTGTTGGAATAACACACCTCATATGTTTACTTTTATCATCCAATTTTTTAATAATCCTGAAAATAGAAAGGTCGGGTAGCATGGTTTAATCGAGAAACATTTTGACTTATCGTTCAAATTCTACTTACATCGAATGTGACTTATCATCCGGATTAAGTTTTTTACAAGGTAAACTCGATTCTGTTTCGCTTTTACGTTTTCTTTGAGGTTGAACAACATCCAGTGGTACACAGGTGTGTAGAATAGGACTATGTACCCGCTGTGTAAGAGACTGTGTTTGGGATGCAGACAGTGAATAATTGGTACTTTCAAGGTCGGGTTCGCATTCTGTGTCACAAAATATCCCTGTGTCGCTAATCTAAAAACATTGGACACAGATTAATTTAATTGTATTAATAAAGAATTCATAAAAAACCCTAAGATGAAGCTCACTTCACTATCTTCTTCACTGGTATCATCCTCTTCCTCCTCACCATCTTCACAAAAATCTTCAGATTCTCCATCTTGTGGTAAAACAGAATGCATAGGTTCTAAGGAACTAGGCCCTGGTACACCTTCAATACCCTCTACAGGACTTGGACTTGTACCACCTGATTTACTGTCAGTTATTCTATTAGATGACGAAGAAGGGACAGACATTACTGGCTTATGTCCGATATATTATATTACCTAGATACACGAAACAATAATTTCCCTTTAAATTTTAGTAAAAATTTAATACTTCCTATTCTTTTTGTACCGTACATAAAGAAAAAATATGAAAAATCGATTGCACCTCTATTTGCATTAACTGATTTTTCCTAAATTATTTACGTTAATAAAATTGTATTGTTCGAAGTTATTAATCACGAGACTTTAATAAGTACGTCGTTATACGTGGTCACAGATTCTTATTTCAGGCTACCAAATAGATATAAACGTAAAATTGCGCGATCGAAAAAAAAATAGGAGAGTACTGAAATCATTAATTTAAGTACCTACATAACGTTTTAGAATAAAGGTTTTCTCGAACTGAAACCGTAAGAAATGACTAAGAACGTGCTGACACTAGTTACGTCCAAAGAAAGAAAAATAATCCTTTGGAGTGCATACGAATCCTAACCTTAGACGAATCTTAGAACTAAATCGGACTTGGAACATAGCCTAGAATAATAAAAGAATAAACCGGTCAGCCACACCCCTAAATTTATGCAAGATTAAGAAAAATAACAAAAGAACAAAATAAAAAAGATTAAGGATGAATAAGCAAATCATACTTAGGTTAAATGTTTCTCTTCGGTGGCACCCTTATTGTAAAACTATTGTATGACGGTAATCCAAGTTTTTTAGTTTCAATTAATGTTTCTATCATATGGTTGCAGCATGCATTTTTTTGTACATCGATATTTCGCCAGGTTCTATTGCGACAAAATGATCTTTTCGACTAAAGATTTAGGCCAACACGATTGTTGAAACAAAAATAAGAAACAGGTACAAACATGGATAAAGATCCATCGGTAGCTCTAAGTAGCCCCGAGGTTTTTATCTCGTCGGACTCGGTGCTTCGTAGACAGGTAGCTGTTGCACATGCGTTCACATTCGTAAGCCGCATATTCACCATTTACCACCATTTACGTTCTCATCGCCATCACATCTCTGACCGATGTCCTATGAACCAACAGTGCAACAGTCTGCAATATGTAATGTTTAAAAGTAATACCTAGATAAACAGATAAATACGTTATGGATTTTACGATTAAACGCTATAACTTTGACCAGTAGTGACTTTTAATAGTTTCAAAGGAATTTTTCGCAAATTTCACGTAGAGAAGTTAAATATTCGTTCACTTTGACTAGTATCCAGGGAACTAAATAGTGCTCCACCTCACTCTTGCCTTCCGAAAGACACTGTGAAAAAGAACATTTCCATCTATATCACGATGTTCTGTGGTATGAATCGCAACGCGGTAAGAAATCGTCAAATTTTGTGCTCTTACTCAAATTCATAAGTTAATTAAGGAATTCAAGATCGGTTGATGAAGCATTTCAAAAGATGCGAGAACACATAAAATAATATACGCTTAATGTACAAAAACAGTAAATATATACATTTATAGAAACATCGTAGGTTATCAGAAAAGTTAAAATGAATTTCTCGTTCATAATTTTTTTATTATCATATGATAGTAATACTTGCGAAATAAGTATGTACTGAAAGGAAACACTTTATAGCGCTATTTATTCATATTCTTTCACGCTAGCATTATTTTTGCGTGAATGCGTAATTGTTAGTATATATTTTTCATTAGAATATTCATAGAATTAAATCGAACTCCTTTTGATTTAGTTGAAGGGGAATATATACTTTCCTCCATCTATACTACAGTTAAAGACTTTTCTTTCGTTTGAATTGTAACAGAGCGATAAAATTGTGTTGAATTATAAAAATCGGAGAAATTTGTATATGTATATAAATTCGAATTTTTAAATTCAGATGAATTTATTTACTGGCAGAACATCACGCAAGTATCTAATTGCGTTCCGCACCACAAACGATTATAGTATAGACGGGAATGCTACTTTTTATAACGTCTTCAGAGAGGCAGGAGTGGGATGAATACCTGAATACTATTTTACTCAGCAATATTATATTTCATGTATAAATGCCCTGTGATCATCTTGGGCAATCTTGGCCTGTGAACGGAACTTTATTTTACGCGAAGCAAGGAAGGACGCTGCATCGCAGATGCAGTGTCTTCTTCAAAACTCTTCGAAACTGTTTAGTGTGGTTTAGTGTGGTTTAGTGACGAATGTAACATGTCAAGCGGTGACGTTGGACAACTGAATTTTGAAGGTTATCAAACGATCGAGAAATTGGAGTCTTCACACTGAAGGAGATTCATTGAAATATCATATTTCATCGATGTAGTGGATCGCCGTCATTGCTTCCTAATTTTCCAAACGCCGCGACATATCGTGACGATAGATGCGATAGATTATCGTGTAAATACTCCAGTTTTAGGCAAAGGTTAGGTGTAATTTTCAAAGTAATATACAATGGCTCTAGGCACGATATTGCAGGTGAACTGTCAAAACTTGTTATCATCATGTTATTTATCCGATCCATTAAGTTAAACATTGCTGTTATTGTTAATCTTTTCGTGTTTCATAGAAAGCTATAGATCTAGTTACCAAAGCAACAGAGGAGGATCGCAACAAAAATTACGAAGAAGCGCTAAGGTTATATGAACATGCAGTGGAATATTTCCTACACTCTATTAAATGTATGTGTACCAATCGATTTTTTTTGTATTAATTTATGTTTAATGTAATATTGACACAAGATTCTGTTCTGCTCTGCAGACGAAGCACAAGGAGATAGAGCAAAGGAAAGTATAAGAGCGAAATGTACACAGTACTTGGAAAGAGCAGAGAAACTAAAGGCTTATTTGAAGAAAAGTAAGAAGAAACCTGTGAAAGCAGGGGAGGATAATACCAAGTCTGAAGATAAGAAAAGCGATAGTGGCGACAGTGATACTGATAGTGATCCTGAAAAGAAAAAGCTTCAAAGTAAATTGGAAGGAGCAATAATTATTGAAAAACCAGATGTCAAATGGAGTGATGTTGCTGGTCTTGATGGAGCTAAAGAAGCTTTGAAGGAGGCTGTTATTTTACCAATACGTTTTCCTCACCTGTTTACTGGAAAACGAATCCCATGGAAGGGTATCTTGCTGTTTGGGGTAACTTTTTATGCAATAAACATTAACAATTGCACATAAATATTTTTCAAATAATTTTGAGATATTTCCAGCCACCAGGTACTGGTAAATCTTACTTAGCGAAGGCAGTGGCAACAGAAGCCAACAATTCAACATTTTTCTCGGTATCGTCGTCCGACTTGGTAAGCAAATGGCTCGGCGAATCTGAAAAGCTTGTAAAAAATTTGTTTGAATTAGCTCGGCAACACAAACCGAGCATCATATTCATCGACGAAGTCGATTCACTTTGTTCATCGCGATCTGATAACGAGTCGGAATCTGCAAGGAGAATAAAAACAGAATTTTTAGTTCAAATGCAAGGTAACGAAAGATTAAGCTTTATAACGCAGCGACGTTCATAACGTTTCTGATTCACAAGATAAATCAATGTATCAGGTGTTGGCTCCGACAACGATGGTATCCTAGTACTAGGAGCTACCAATATACCATGGGTACTGGATTCTGCTATTAGAAGAAGATTTGAAAAAAGGATTTATATTCCCCTACCCGACGAGCAAGCACGGGCTATAATGTTTAAACTTCATTTAGGAAGTACGGCTCATTGTTTAACGGAAGAAGATTTCAAAAAATTAGCAGCAGCTACTGACGGGTATTCAGGAGCCGATATAAGTATTATCGTTCGAGATGCGTTGATGCAGCCAGTTAGACAAGTCCAAACGGCAACGCATTTTAAACGCGTAAGAGGTCCATCACCGAAAGACCCTTCTGTTATTGTGGACGATTTACTCACTCCTTGTTCGCCTGGAGATCCAGCTGCCATCGAAATGAACTGGATGGAAGTTGAAGGTGACAAATTGTACGAGCCACCTGTAACTATGGTGAGTAATACAATTTACGTTTATATCAGGAATATTTGTAACATATTCTATAGCGTACACATTCCCATATTCAGAAAGATATGTTAAAATCATTGGCAACCACTCGTCCTACGGTAAACGAAGAGGATATGACCAAGCTAGAGAAATTCAAAGAAGATTTTGGTCAAGAAGGTTGATACTTGGGTTTTTTAAAGAATGTAAATCAATGTACACTTCCAAGAGTATGTTTCAGTTACACGCGCTTGCCTTACATCTTGTTTCATTATCGTTGCTGCTACTACACAGTATTTACCCAACATCACGTGAACTCGAGTTCTTGTATATCCTTTTCTCTCTATTTCTATTTCTCCTTCCTTCTTTTAACAATGAATACGCAATAACGATAACATTGAGAGCTTGACGCATATTCACAAATATTTGTCAATGTTAATATAAATATCATCGAACGAACTATATATATTTTGAAATGAAAAAACGGTTAGATTTCAATCAGCGAGTAGACGATACTCTTTTTCTTGTTTTTTTTTTTTTTTATTAAGAGATGCGTGAAGGAAATTAAAATGTACGTGTTTTCATACTATCTTATAATCAACGCTATGATTGTACCTAACAAATTAACTGTACAATATGTAGGTTTAAAAGCATTTCTGAACAATATTTACGATTATAGTTTAGAAATTTGTTTGTATATTTTACAATTTTTAATCTTGCTTACACATTGTCGATGCACTGTCTACAATATTCTGTATCGATTTGCTCGTAAGGAAAACGTTACAGGTAATTTACAGTTTAAATGATTTACTGAATTAAGTAAAAGCAATTATATGTAATATAATATGTACGTATGTACGTATATATGTATCCGTACATATGTACATATTGCAAAGAAACAGAACACTGTTTCCATGTAAATTGTTTTTATTGTTAACTAAATAAATAACAAGATGTACACGATGATATAGATTGATGGATTTTAGTAGCATTCAAATGCGGTAGAAAAATAATAGGGCTTTTTCATGCTTTCAAGGAGGACAATGCCTTAAAAACTCAGAATCCATATAAACCACTGTTATCGTGATATCATCACGAAATATCCGTACTACAGGGTTGGGCAGCGTTAATAATCGAGACAATTTTCCATGATCTATACCGTAATCTGTTCCACCGAGCGCATGCCTCAGTAGGTGCGTTGCCGCGTTACTATCAAGAGGTTTCTTTTTTAACCCTTCTTTACGTTGCAATAACATATTATTTATATCGGACAACTTCATATTTTTACAAGGTAATCGCAATGGACTTAACGTTATTTTTCCGCTCATATGTTCACCCACTAAACGAACTGCTTGTAAAGGTGAAATTAAGTCCCACAGGCCATCACTGGCTATTATAAGAAATTTGTCTCTAGGCGTTAATCTATGATATTTAACTTCCGGTTTCGCCGTTAAGTATGGTGGTGTATGATAATTCGGTGGTATCATGACTTCGCCGATGTATGGAACTACCTGTTGCAAAATTTGTTTACTCCACTTGTACTGAAAATCGCCTAGAGAACGAAGAGGTGCCAATTGACCAAGAAGTCGTTCCATTTTAATTACAGTCGATTTTTCATTCGCTGGGTGTTCCGATAAAATTCGTTCAACTTCCGCACGGTTATCGGTATTGTGTTCCACAGTCATCAACTTTGCAGACCAACCGTCGTCTTCTGCAATTCAATTGGATAGCAAACATATTTCAATTACCGATAGTAAATTTTTTCATACCCGAAAGTGTCCCAAGTACCGCTTGACAATCACCTACTCCAGCAACATGAAGATGAGGACCATCTATGTGTGCAACAACAGCTACAGCACCACTTGTTGCAGCTTCAAGGCTCTCTACTGTATTCTTTGTACCTAAGGTTGACACTGCTTCATTCGACAAATCATTATCTAACCTGACAAACGCATTTTCTAAAGCTTTTTCCATCTGAAATTCTGTTGTGCATTCCGTTTTTGCAAGATCTTTGACAAAAGTTAAGAAATTCTTTTGATGAAGATCTTTATTCTTGAAAAGAGGGTCAGTTTTTCCATTGAACATTTGAAGAAGTTCTAACTTATTATTCGAATTAACAGCATTTAGATATTGTTTGACTAATGTCCTAGGTAACAAGCAAGCTGATATATAATGAAAAAGTCTTTTTGATATTGCCTGGGCACACATGTTGCCTCCATGACCATCAAACACACCCAATAAAATTCCTAAAATAAATATGCACTTTTGTTGTAAATCTAAGTCTTGAATATTTTACAAATTGTATATTCTTGTTCAAATTCAAAGCAGTTTTGGTACCTTTAGTAAGTAAGCATTGGGCCTCTGATCGAGCATCCTCTATAGGATTATTAGATGCCAATTGATTAGAGTCGTAATACTTTATGGAACTTTGCCCATTAAATTCTCTAGTATACTCATTGGATTGTAGAATAGTGGTGACCTATAATGCAATTAGAGTTATATATCTAGAACTCCAAAAATGAATTCACTAACTATATTACCTCTTGTGGTGTGAGCCGTGGAAGTGCCATGTATAACCTCTGAACGCATTTGTTGCCATTCCGTTCCTTCTGCCTGACACACGCATTGCTGACAGTTTTAATGAAATTACTGCTCATGTTATGTAGGACCATCCTATTTCTGCGTTCTTAGAGTCGAAATGTGCTAGCACATTTTTACGGTCTTCTTAAAGTGCATTTTGATCTCTTTATAGGTTATGTCAAGCACCCGTCACTTTAAAAATAATTTTTTTCAAGTTAATCATTCGAAACTTATATACATATGTATACACACTCATACACACTTCACTTTGTCCCATGACTCGATAATTCGTATAGTGCGGATCCGATATTATTGTAGTTTTAGCTTTGTGTAGTAACTTGGTAAAGGGGGTCATAGAACCCCCGGTGGAGGCGCCAGAGACCCCGTGTGGTGGAGCCTGGGGTCATAGAACCCCCGCTGGAGGAGTCAGAGACCCCGCGTGGTGAGATCGTGGGGTTATAGAACCCCCGGTGGAGGCGCCAGGTGCCACGTGCGGTGAGAACGTGGGGTCATAGAACCCCCGAAAGTGGCGCCAGGACCCCGTGTGGCGCGACGTGGGGTCACAGAACCCCGCAGGAGGAGCCAGCGACCCCGTGTAGCGAGAACGTGGGGTCACAGAACCCCCGCAGGAGGCGCCAGCGACCCCGTGTGGCGAGAACGTGGGGTCACAGAACCCCCGCAGGAAGCGCCAGCGACCCCGTGTGGCGAGAACGTGGGGTCACAGAACCCCCGGAGGAGGCGTCAGAGACCCCGTGTGGTGAGAGTTCTGGCAGTTTCTGCAGATACTACTACAGCCCAAATTTAAAAGACGTAGGCAGTAGTTAGTTTCTGTAGTAACCTGTTGAACCAGACAACTATAATTAGTATAGGATTGTACAATATTTATGCAATTATATTTAAGACAATTCGATGAGATGAAGCTTATATTTCCTGACGTATCTTTATTGGAATATACATATATACATATAAATTATAATGATATAAAAGTTTGAAATACAATACGATGCGCTACGGTACAATACGTCTATTCGATTCAATTGCTCCCTTGCGACTACTACATCATGCTATCCGCGTTTGGCGCAATGCGCTAATACGGAGGACAATGAAATATCACTGTAACACTTAAAAAAGTGTTAAAGTTCCACTTATATCATTGTCCTGAGAAAATGTTCATACTTCCAGCAGCATTCATATTACAATCAAAGAATTTACAGAATAAGGAAAAGGAATCTAAATTAATTTTCAGTAGTTCCATACATCTTTATCTCGAATAATTTTCTAAAACATTCAAAGTACTAGGCATTTTTACACTTTGAATGTTATTCGATTTCTAAACTAATCCTAGTTCGATGTAATATAGAACGTGGTTTTGAGATAGATTCGAAGTTCGCAGCCATTAGCTCGGTATTGTCTTCAGTTTACAGTATTTTACCGATGACAATACCGATTGCCCAGGCCTCACCACGAGGAGGTTGCTGCGAGTGGAGGCCCAAGGCAAGTAGATGGAATCACAAGTTCTACATCTACCCACCTTTCACAATGAACCTTATAAAT